GTGACGCTGATGCGCTTCAAGACGATGACATGTACGGCAGCAGTGGTGTTGGAGATGGCGCGAGCAGGGTGGTGGTGAGGAGCTTTGAGGAGTGCATGCGGCTGTACGGACGGGTGCCATCGATCAACGTGGTTCTCATGGTGGGTGGGTGGGGGCGAGGTACGGGGTGGGCAGGATATTCTGTGGGCATGCTGCAAGGGGATATGCTCGATACCTGCTTCTACTTCTACTGCTGGGAGCAGTCGCTTGCATGTATGGGCGTCATGCTCGCTGTGGCCCCCCTGGCACCCTGCTTATGTTTGCTTGATGGCAGCAACGCTGCCTGCCGTTGATGCCGCTCTTCATTTCCCTGCCCCTCGGCTGACCGTCTGTCGATAAGCTCTTCGCCGCCTTCCGTGAACCTGATCATTACCCTTTACCTCTTCTTACCCGATCCCTTCCGCCCGCAGGTCGCCGGCACCCGAGGTGACGTACAGCCCGCAACCGCCCTGGGTGTACGGCTGCGGAGCCACGGACACAGAGTACGGCTGGCCACCCACCTGCCGTACAAGAGCCTGGTGGAGGGCGCGGGACTGGAGTTCTTTCCGCTTGCGGGTGACCCACGGGTCATGATGGAGCTCACGGTGAAGCACAGGTGTGCGGGGGTGGGCGAGCTGTGGGCTGCCTGGAAGGAGGAAGATACGTGTGGCTTTGCGTTGACTGTGTGGGATTCACCATGAATGAGGCACATTGCTTAATCCTATTTCGCACCTCCTTACTCCTCATAGCCTTAACTCCTCGTCACTCCCTTATGAAGTATCGTTACAAGTTGGGGGCCTTGTCACGACGGCTTAGCTTCCCCCTCCTTTTTACCTCTTTTCCCCATCCCAGCCCCACTCCTCTGCCTCCTCCCACCCACCCCCCGTATGTCGTACCGCAGGGGCATGTTGTTCAGCAGCCTGGCAGACCTGCGGTGGCTGCGGGGGCAGTACCGGGACATCATGGATTCCTGCTGGCGGGCAGCGGGAGGGGGAGGAGGCGAGGAGGCAGGGGGAGGAGGAGGAGGAGGAGCGGGTGGAGAGGAGGCAGGGGGAGTGGCAGCGGGGGAGGGGAAGCGTGGGGGAGGCGTCGAGGAGGAGCCGCAGCAGCAAGCCGGGCAGCAGGGGCGGCCCGCCGGTGGGGAGTCGGGGAGCCGCGCGCCGCCCTTCAAGGCAAGCAGTGTGCTCCAGGCGATCCAGGGGGGGCGGGGGGAGTGAGGGGAAAGGCTGGTACGGCAGGGTACACGGCAGCACCATGGTTGCATCTTGCATGGGAGAAGTGGAGGGGCCGAAGTGTTAGGGGGGAAAAAATTTATATAAAAGTGAAACAACGAATCCCAATCCCATATCCCGACTCATGCAGTGAGCGCATTCGCATTTTTGTTAGGGGGGAGGGGGTTGTTGCCTCGAGCCATCCCTGTTTCGCTTACCTACCCACCACCCTTCCATCGGGCCTCAATTACCCCTTCCCTCTCCCCTCCCTCCCTCCCTCCCCCCCCAGCCCGACCTCATCATCGCCACCGCCATCACCTACGGCGCCGTACACTGTGCCGAGGCGCTGGACGTGCCCCTCCACGTCATCTCAACCATACCCTGGCGGCCCTCACGGGTGGGGATTGGGGGCTGGGCGGGGGTGGGTGAGGGGACCGGGAAGTTGGCGGGAGTGGGGACTTGTGGGGGATGAACAGGGAACCTGACGTCGCAATATCGCAACGTGGGTGGGTGTCCTATACTTGGTGGTGCAACCCCACCCTAAGACTTAAGGTCTATCCTTGCTATCCTACGACAGCTGACGAGATACTACAACAGTGGGTGGGGAGTGGGTAGTCAACTACCTGCAGAGCCCTGTATCAGGCGACACGCCTTGCCACAGACCCACAGTCTTGTGGCGGGCGCGCGGGCCACAGTCGCTCCTCTGTGCTCTTTTGCTTTGCACACCCAAAACCTTGATCTCGTGTTGGGTCCGTATTTGACCGCAGTGCTTGCCCGCGCCATGCTCTCCAACCCCTGCTGCTCCCTCGCCCCCTCCCTCCCCGACCTCTCCCCGCCCCAGGAGATCTGCCACCCCTGGGCTCGCGGCTTCGAAGACACCCTGGCCGGCCACTGCGGTGCGTTGGCAGCCGCCGCCCTGCCGCCGCCGCCCGCCTGGGCCAAGAGCAGCCGACTGGGGGCGGCGTACGGACGGGTGAGGAGGGGGAGGAGGGAGGGGTGGAGGGAGGGAGGGGAGGGAGGGAGGGGAGGGGAGGGAGAGAGGGCAGGGAGAGGGAGGGCAGGGAGAGGGAGAAAAAATTATATAAAAGTGAAACAACGAATCCCAATCCCATATCCCGACTCATGCAGTGAGCGCATTCGGAGGCAGAGGGGGAGGGAGAGGGAGGAGAGGGAGGGGAAAGCATTTGTTGCGGCGGAAGGTAGGCAACATACACACGCACACGGCATGTCGCATGGTTAGCCCTCCTTTTCACTCCCCTCCCCTCTCCCCTCCCCTTCCCTTCCTCCCCCCCCTCAGGCCGCCTCCTCCGCCCGCTCCCTGCTGGTGTCCTCCGCCTGCTGGTGGAGCAGCGCGCTGTTGGACCATATGGCCTGGTTAGGCATCGCCGACCTGGTGGGGGGACTGCGGAGGCGGCTGGGGCTGGCGGCGCTGTCGGGGCGCAACACCGGCTTTGCGTTATACGAGTGAGTGGGGGTGGGCGTGGGGGGGAGTGTGGGGTATCGATAATGGGGACGAGGGGTGGTGGGGGCGAGGGGCATGTGTGGGGTAGTGGGGACGAGTGTGGGTGGAGGGGAGGCTGGTTTGGAGGGCCGGTTGATGTGGGTCGGCTGGAGGGCTTTGGGGTTTGCATGCATCATCTTGTTGTGGACTTCTCATTCTTTCCTTACCCACCCACCCCCACCCCCACCCCCCCACTCCACCCCACTCGCAGTGTTCCCACCACCTTCACCTTCAGCCCCTCCCTGGTGCCCCGACCTGCCGACTGGGGCCCGCATGTGTCGGTGTCGGGGCCGCTGCTGCTGCCGGCAGCCACCGCAGCAGCCACCTTTACGGCCCCGGCAGCTGCAGCAACCACCTCTGTTGCCACCTCTGCGACTGCTGGCACAGCAGCAGCAGCCACCGCCACCGCCACCGCCACCGCCACCGCCACCGCCACCGCCACCGCCACCGCCACCGCCTCAGCAGCAACCTCCGTCCGCGGCTGCAGCAGGGAGGATGCACTGGTGGCGGCGGCGGTGGTGGCGGCGGTGGAGGGCCGGAGTGTGGGTGACACGCAGGCGGGGGCGGCGGCAGCAGAAGGGAGAAAGAAGGAAGTAACGAAGGAGAAGGAGGAGGAGGGCGGCGCTAATAAGGGCAGTGAGGGTAATGCTGGCGGCGGCGGCGGCAGCGGCGGCTGCAGTGGAGGTGGCAGCGAGTATGTGCCGCCGTGGGGGCTGCTGGAGTTCCTGGAGCGAGAGCCGGGTGGGGCTGGGAAGGAGGGAGGGAAGGAGGGAGGGGTGGAGGGAAATTATAAATAAGTGCAACAACACAGTCCCAATCCCGAATCCCGACTCGGTTGAGGGAGGGGACGAGGGGAAGGAAGACGAGGAGGAATCTGCCAAGGGCCGATCATGTGGCTTGTGTGGAGGCTGGAACTGGTGAACTGTTGACCTTCTCGCTGTGTGTGCCTTTCCCAACCCCTGACCCAACCCTTTACCCAACCAACACCGCACCCTCCTCATTCCTTAATCTGCTGCCCTTTCCCCAGACCGTCGCCCCGTATACTTTGGTTTCGGCAGCATGACCGTTGCAGAGGGGCGTCAGGTGGCTGCGGCCATACGTGCGGCGGTGGCGGAGACGGGCGTGCGAGCCATCGTGTCGGCGGGCGGCTGGGGCTGTCTGGCCCGGGAGGACTGCGAGAGGGAGGGAGAGGAGGGAGGTGGGAGGAGCAACGCCGCCAACAGCGGCAGCAGGAAGCAGGGGTCTGAAGAGGAGAGAAGTGGCAGCAGTGGTGGCGGTGCGGGTGCGGCTCCGAAACCCAACGGGAGTGACAGCGATATCTTCGTTGTGCAGGACGTTCCACACGACTGGTTGTTCCCAAGGTAGGGCCGGGGTGGTGGTTGCTGGAGGAGGAGGAGGAGGTTGGAGGAGGAGGAGGAGGATTGCCTGTGCATCGCGTCACTGCATCACACAGTACGACTGTTGCTTGGAAATCGGGGACTTAAGGAACGATAGGACGGAAATAAGGGGTGTCTGTTGCGTCCACAGGCTACCCGTAATAATGCCAGACGTAGGGCAGTGGCTACTGCTAAGCGCGCTGCTCCTCTCCTCCCCACATCGTGCGCGCCCGCAGGTGCAGCGCCGTCATCCACCACGGCGGTGTGGGCACCACCGCCGCGGGGCTACTGGCGGGATGCCCGACCTTCGTGGCGCCCAGTTTTGGAGACCTGTTCTTCTGGGGAGAGCTGTGTGCGCGGGCAGGTGAGCATCCTGATGATCGTGCTTGCTACCAGCACCGCTAGCGTACGCAGCCTTTAGGGAGTGGTGAAAGATGGTCTTGTAACCTTGAGATGGTGCATGTCTTCGGACCAGTCGGAGCGAAGTGTTACCCCCGTGCCCTTATACCGGTAATTGCTACATGTATGCTGCAGGTGTGGGACCGGCAGCTGTGCCTATCTACCAGTTGACAGCGCGGGATTTGGTGGCAGCGATCAGCTTTTTGCAGACGGAGGCGGCAAAGGATGCTGCAAAGCGGGCGGGCGCGCTCTTGCGGCAAAACGATGGGCTGGGAGTGGCTGTCGGGCACATTTACAAGGGCTTGTTTGCGTCGCTTGCGACAGACCAGTAAGGGACATTACAGATAATCCCAGTTTGCCACGTGTGCACTGAAGGCTGCGTTGTGTTGCGAAAATTGAAGAGGTTTATGGCAATTGTACAACATTTGTAAGGTGGACGAGCATTGGAGTGGCATGCTGTTATAAGGCTAAAACTACTGCTTAACAGCTGATGGTGTTTATATGCACCTCCATATTGCATGTTAGGGTCGTGTAACATCCAAGCTGCCTTTTCGATAACCTTTACATCAAGTGTCTCCTGCGAATACCCGTAATCGCAACGTGCGCTCAATACCTGCTAGGCGACCAACGTATCATTGGCTTTCTGAGGTACTGGAGTAGAGAAATGAAAAGCTCTGTAGGCTCAACACCCTCGTCGTCGCATAGCCAGCCAGCAAAGATGGAGCTGAAGCCATGCCAAAAGAACTGTCATGGACTTCTGCTATACTTTCCACCGGTACCTCAACGTCAAAAAGATGGCAGTTTGACATCTTCCTCTTGGCGCAGCAGCGAGCCGGTATGCTTGGGGCTATCAAGCGTGCGGCAAGGTCCTGCATTCGACCTGGAACAGTTGCAAGAAGCAAGAGCAATTCCGGAGGGGCATAGCGTGGACTACTCGGTAGTGCTAGGACATGCCGTGTATCAGCAGACCGGTAGCAGTCGAGAAGAGGTAAGCAGCCGCACGACTGCTAGTAAAACTATCAGGTGGAAATCGGCGAGTTATCCTATCTTCTGGGAGAAGTTATAATAACGCGGTATCTACGCTGTCTTGCTGGCCATCCATCATCGCAGCAGGCCCTTCCGCCCGGCTGCGCTGCTGGTCTTGAGGTTATGCGCTTCAGAAACTTCCAGCTGCGCGAGTCAGAGTCGGCTGCTCGGCGATCAACCTCTTCACTCGCGTCAACGCTCCAAGCTTACGCCAAGAGCTTCCGCATGCTCTCCTCCGATGACGACACCGAAAAGAGTGGAAGCCGGACATGGGCCAGCATTCTCGCCTTCGACCCAGAGCAGTACATGACCAAGTTCAGTGCCCAGGCCGGCAAGAACGTGACTGCCATGTCCAAGTGGCTCAGCGAGCTCCAAGAGGCAGTCTCCAAGCCCAAGGCATGAGGGGTTTGAGAAACCGGTACCGAACGAATTCGGGGAAGAGCACATGGCTCAGGGTATGTGTGTGCAAGTTGGCTGTCGTATTTATGAGCGGTGATTCGCCGGGACTTCTGCGCGGAAGGACTACAAGTGGGTTCAACGTCGCAGTTTGCGCATTCCGTCTACGCAGGAGATAGAGTATACGTGATTGAGGTGATGGCAACATTTATGTTATCCTCTCGCTATTGTTATGGGGTGCCGTACTTCCAACCCAAATCCTGGAAGCTTTGGTTTTAGCACCCAACTGCGCCACAAAGCCTCCTTTGTCTTCAACTTGAGTATCCTCTTATTCGCCTTATTTAAAGTCGTCCATTACAGTTTTACGTATTCGGCTGTCACGAGAGGTGTAAGCGTGCTTTTCGGGTGTTTCCATGAGCTGTGTCATGTCAGCAACTCACGCAGGCCCTGGCCACGTGATATGGCGGGATTGCTGTGTGCATGTACCGGTACCAAGTGATGTAGGTGGGTCCTTGTAGTGTACTTATGTCCGTACTGTGGCCATCTGGGTCTCACCTCTTGTTGTCGTGAGCCATGGCCGCAAACGCTGGGTGTTTTATGAAGGTTGCTGTACAACTATCGTAAGTCTTGCGGTGATCAACCCTACCGCTGCTACCAGGACACGCAGATGACATGGGTTTCTTTGCTAGGACAGGCTGGTCCCGAATTGGTGTATCTCGGCCCGCGTGAACTTGTACCATACATAGCACAGCTTGGGCGTCCTGGAGGTATGTTTTCTCTATTGCCCGTTTCATGGGTCGCCTTGGCAATACGTTCGAATTCGTGTTAAGTCGCTGCCGTGTGTTAGGGTTGCTCCGTGTGGCGCTTTCTAACCCTAGGTAATGGGCATTCCGTGCATTCCCCTGCTGCGGTTGGTGACAGACGCCCACTTGTGCTGCTGGACTTTCGTGGCGGCGGGGGCATGGCCCCCATGCCCGGACTTGCTTGTAAAATGGTAACGGACTGAACTAGGGCCCTCTTGAGCGGCATGCAAGGGCAGTCAACGGTAATGTGTATGACAACTGCGTCATGGCAAGCTTGGGGCATGTGTATGAAGCGTGCCCCGCGGGGTGTGCGTGGCAGGAGGGTTCCTTTTTTCCCGTCAGGTGGTCCTGTAGACGGTAACCTTCAGAGGTGTTTCCCTGGTTTTCAGTTGTTTCCTCCTCTGCTGGAGTTTTGGTTTAGTGGTCTTCCTGGCCTCCCTCTGTAACAGTCCACATCGGAAAAAGGACTCTCATGGAGTATGCCTGTAAGCTACGTTACATGCGGCGAGGGCGCTGCCACTACCCTAGTTAGACAGCTCAGAAGAGGTCCTAGCTACTTCCATGGGCATTACTTAACGTGGGGCAGACCTGGCGTAGCGTGTAGCCGTCCTCCTCCAGGTCTCCAACCGTACGCTGTTTGACCGCCCGAAACGTTTTTGCCTAGGGCATGTAAGGTCAGAACTGGAACTGCACGGCCCCTCAAGCAGCTAATGCTCGAGCTGGTTCTGGTTGCCAATGCGGCAGTGTTTGAAGCACTTCCCAGGAGGCTCAAGGTGTGTCAGCGTTGGCGCGCGCAAGTGAAGACAGGCTGACGGCCCTGCTGCCCCGTCATGCGAACAGGCTGCGTACTTCTTTCGAAAGCATAACACTGAAGAGGTGGGGAGCCCCTCAACATGTTTTGAAACCTGCAGTATCGGCCGTGGAGTGCTAAGCTGTTTCAATTATTTCCGCCAAAAATGCTGTTAGAAACGTAAACAAGTAGCCTTTCTCGGGCTAGCCGCTGGCTAGTCGGCAGCTAGCCGTTGGCTAGCCATTGTTAGGGGCAGGTCCAGCAACGCCCAGCAAACCGAGCCAAGGATAATGCCAACAATAAAAAGTAGTTTGTTTAATGCTGCTGCAATAATTCGGCAGCGCCAGAGGCCACTTCCCCTGGGACTAGGTCACTTCGGAAACGCTTACGCGGGGTAGAACGATAAATGTTTTTGTTGCATGCCTCATCGATTACTGTGAAGCCAGCAGTATATATACCTTTCTGTGTTTCCTGTCAATAAGAAGGAAGAAAGCAGCCGGTTAGCCGTACTAGAAAGTATGTTGGCAACTTGGAACTATCTTATTTGTTGCCAAAATTTCTATCTATGTTTCAAGTGTTTTACACATTGTGACTCACACTGTTAGCCTTTCAGTTACCGAATGGCTGTGAGGGCGGTTTCCATTCCCGACTCTTATGCTCGTCGCTCACTGGGACGAAACTAATGGTACTAGTTCTTCGCCTATATGGTTTTACCTAGCGGATGACTGACGTTGATGTTAGGCGACAGCTGCACGCTTTGCGGCTGCATTTCCAAGACAGCAATGACGACGCAACTCCAGCTACCGGCTTTGGCGCGGTCGTCAATGCCATTAGACATCCGTTTGAAGCAGCATGGCAAAAGGTACATCCTGTTAAATACTCGACTCCTGTTGTTCGTTTCATTGCACTTCACAACGACTACATATACTTGCTCGATTTATACTTCTCCTACCATGCGGAAATGCAGGTTGCGAGGTTATATAAAACACGTGTGGAAGCCAATGATAGAAGCTGGTGGCTCTTTACTCCCCAGAACCCCCTTCGTAAGGGCTGTCGACTGGTTTCCAGCAACCGTTGGTTCGGTCGGGTTGTCCTTACGCTGGTGCTGGCGAGCTGCGTGGTGATGGCTTTGGATGACCCCGGCTGTGTGGACTCTTGCAAGCAGCAGGCGTTGCTTAATAAGGTTAGCCACTGGGGGACCCGGCGCAAGTATTTAGGCAGGGAATCCGTCTAAATCCCCCGGCTCCTGCATTCCCGCTCCACGTTACAATGCCGTGCGTTCACCAACGTGCCATTCTTCCTGTTTTCGGCCGTTGTCTGCTTCGCGGTGTCCTGCCTCACTTCCTGCCATCTCATCCCCTTCTCCAACCCTATGGTCCTCACAACGACCTGAACCATGCCCATTGCCTCCACCCCAGCCCACCTCCGCCCCTTCACCTCGTGTCTTGCGGCGTCTGCACCTCCCCCATGCGCCCCTCCCCTCTTTCCCCACTGCCCGCCACGCCCCTGGACCGCCTGCTGCCTCGCCCCCTGCCCCTCTTTGCCCCTTCCCCCCCTCAGGTGGTGAGTAAAGCACGACGTCGCCGTTGCGACCTGTACCGCCGGGTACCGTAGTAGGCCCGAAGGGCGCGGAAGCAGGCATGACCCCACATGAAGGCTTCGCGGCCCCTCTCACCACCGCGCCCGTATGCGTCATTAACCCGTCTCCGTCGCACTAAGTTGTGTCGTGTGCTTCTGTTCCCTAGTCCCTCCTTGCAAGTCTAGCCAGGGTGTACTAGGGGGGAACGGGGCTGGGGCGGCTGTGCAAGTGTGGGAGGGATGGGAAGGGAAGGGTTGCAACTAGGGTGCAACTGGGGCGCTGGAGGATGGTACCTTTTGCGGTGGTGTGTTTAGCACCACGCATGACTGGTTGCGGCTGCCTCAGGGAGCCTGACGGCGGGCGGCAATGGCTGTGTATGCGCCTGCTGGTGCTGCCACACCGATACCGCCGCTGGTGCTGCCACGCATGCCTGGCGGGAGAGGGACATACGCGCTGCGGTAGTGGCCGTAACGGGAGCATCAGTGCACGTGCAGAATCAGGCCAGCCTGTAGCGCTTCCTAGCAGGCGCTTCTAGCGGGCGATTCTTAGCAGGCCCTTCCTGGCTTCTAGCTCTTATGGCTGCACATGGAGAGCCGGCAGCCCTCCCTACCTTCCTCTCCCCTGCTTCGACTCCCTACCCTGCTGCCTCCTTTCGTACCCCCTCCCTCTCCTCCTCCGCACCCTCGCCCCCAACCCACAGGCCTCCGTGGTCCTCGACATCTTCTTCCTGGCCTGCTTCACGTTGGAGATCTGCATCAAGTCCATCGCAAACAACTTTGCGTTTGGACCGGGTGCCTACCTCAAGAGCGGGTGGAATTGGATCGACCTGCTGGCCACCTCCTCCGGCTACCTGCGCTATCTGCCGCTAGGGGAGCACGGCGGGGCGACGGGACTGAGGGCGTTGCGGGCGCTGCGGCCGCTGCGGGCGATGACTGCCATACCGGGTGGGGGGCCGCGGCGTGTGGGGCGGGGCGTGTTGGGTGGGGAGTGTGGTGAAGGGTGCGGGGGGGGGGGTACGGGGTGGAGTGGGGTGGGGTGTGGGCGGTTCATCATGTGCCTGGGTTAGGGTGGGGCGGGGTGCGCCCGGAGGGGGTGGAGTGCGGATTGCTGCCTCCCCAGTGCAGCCCCTTCCCTCTCCCCTTGGCCCTCCCTCCTCACCTCCGACCATTCTCCCCCTCACGCACAGGTCTTCGTGCGCTGGTAGAGACGCTGCTCGCCGCAGTGCCGCTGCTGCTGGACGTGATTTTCTTGCTGACCTGGGTGTTCTTTGTGTTTGGCATCGTGGCGCTGAACCTCTTCATGGGCAGGCTGCAGAAGCGCTGCATGGTGCTTGTGGACCCTGCAGCGGAGGCGGGCATGCCGCCGTCAGACGGGCCCTCCTCGCCGCCAGCAGCAGCAGCGGCGGCGGCTGAGTTGTTGGGTGGAGGAGGGCCACCGTTACCGATGCCGCTAGGACTGCCACAGCCGCCGTTGGGCGGAAGCTTTGATGTGTTTGGTAACGGCAGCAGCGGCGGGGATGGCGGCAATGCGACGCTGGTTTGGCAGTTTGTGGATGGGTTGGACAACACGCCCTGTACGACTGGGGGCGCGGGGCTGTTCAAGTGCCCTGATGGTGAGGAGGGGCAGCGGGGGGTCAAAGACCATACCTAACCAGCAGCGAGGCGGGGCGGGGCGGCAGCGAGGGAGGAGGAGTGGAGGGCAGCAGCGGAAAGGATCAGCAGCGGAAAGGAGGGTCGACGCGGTGTGGTGGTGTGGTGTACAGCATGTGTCAGTTAATTCTGGGCGGGTACGGCAACGGCACGGGGATACCGGTTCAGCGTGTTGTCGTGTGTTGTTGTCCGGGACCCGTCCATGCCCTGTTTCCGATCCGTTGCTTTACCCGTCCCTTTTCCTCACCCCTCACCCTACCCTACTCCCTACCCTACAATTCCCCACCCTCCCTCTCCTCCCCGTCCCCCGCAAAAGGCTCCACCTGTGTTGACATCAACACCAACCCCAACTTCGGCTACACCTCCTTTGACAACTTTGGTTCCGCCTCCTTTTGCATCTTCCAAATGCTCACGCTGGATTCCTGGACGTCTACTCTGTTGTACCCTCTGATGAACGCCATGGGTCCAGCAGTGCCCATTCCCTTCTTCGGGCTGTTGGTGCTGTTCGGGACCTTTTTCGCGATGCAGCTGCTGGTGGCGATTCTGAGCTCCAAGTTTGCGGAGCTCAGTGCGCGGGTAGGGATGTGGGGGGGAGCTGCTGGGAGTGAAGAGGGAGGGGCCCCATGCACTGCTCCTCCACCCTTCATCCTCCACAACCACCCTTCCATCCCCCACAACCACCCTTCCATTCCCCACAACCACCCTCCAACCTATTGGTACCACACACACACAGAGGCCCAAGAAGCAGCACCGGCGGCGGAGACGTTACGCGCACACGCCCCCAGACACATCAGACGAAGAAGAGGAGGACAAGGTGGAAGGCAATGACCTGGAGTTGGACCTGGGGAGGACGAGGGAGAAGGCGAAGGGCAGTGACGACGGGGATGATGGCGAAGGGAGCTGCCAGGTGGCGCGACCCGTAAGGCGACGGCAGCGCGGTCCGCCGTCCCCCGCTACCCGGCTGCGGCGGTGGTGGCGACGCGTGTGGTTCCGCTTCCGCCGGCGCTACCTGCAGGCGTTGCGGCGGAAGGATCTTTCCTGGTGGCGTGTGATGTGAGGAGGGGTGTGGGTGGCGGGTGGGCGGGAGGAGGAGGAGGAGGGGGAGGAGGAGACGCGAGGGTGGGGAGGCATGGAAGGGTGGAAGGGGGCAGGTAGTGGGTGCTTCCTGTGCTGGAAGCGGGAAAGTGGCAAAAGACCCAGGACGTGTGGATGTGCTTGCAGTAGTACACGGATGTCGAAGTGTGCCACAAGCACACACGCACCATGTACTGTCACATGTACGGCACCGCCCGCATGCGTTTTGCCCTAGCCGTAATCCCAAGCGCTGTTAGTCCCCGTGCACATAGTGATTGCTCACACCATAAAGTATCATGATTGCTGCGTCGCCTGTCCCCCCTGTGCCTGGCCTTGCCCGAAGTCCCTGACCCTCTTTCCTCTGTCCCTTGGTCCCTTTGTGTCCCTCGTCCCCAGTTTCTGGGACATCGCCTACAGCTCCGTGTTCAGCCACCTGGTCAGTAGCCTCATCCTGGCCAATGCCATCACACTGGCGCTGGCGCATGCGGGCATGAGCGAGGGGTTCCGGGGGGCGCTGGATACGGCAAACCTAGGTGCGGGGGGAGGGGCAGTAATGTGTTTAGGGAGAAGGGAGGGAGGAGGGGAGGACGGCGGTAGATACAAAGGGACCTACAGCTGTATAGGACGGGATGGATGGTGGGAGTGAAGAGAAAACTACCTAAGCTATAATGGCCCTGAATGACGGTGGGGTGGGGTAGCAGGAAAGTGGCACGACCCCCCGTTTACGCAGGCTGCCCGTATAGGTATCACCAAGCCTGCTGCCCTTTCTCCTCCTGTTTGCCTTCCTTACCTCCTCCCTTTCACCCTCTCCCTCCCTTTTCCCCCTCCACCCCTTTCCCTCCCTGCCGCAGTCCTGACGGGCGGGTTCCTCCTGGAGTTCCTAATCAAGCACCTGGGTGTGGGTCTGGTCGGCTACTGGCTGCGCGACCCCTGGAACCTGCTTGATGGAGCCATCGTGGGGTGTTGCGTGGCTGAGCTAGTCCTGAGCTACGGGCCTGCAGGGGCAGGGGCAGAGGCAGCAGGAGGGGTGGAGGGGGGAGGCGGGGTTGGTGCCAACACGCAGGTGATGCGGACGTTTCGGTTGGTCCGGCTGCTGCGGACGTTCCGGCTGCTGTCAAAGGCGGAGGGGCTGCGGAAGCTGCTGAGGATGGTGCTCAAGGTGGGCGGGGAATGGGAGGGATGGGGGGTGGGGAAGGGGAGGGGACAGGTAGAAGCCATGGCGCACCTTCCCAATGAAAACACAAGACGGTGGGGGGCGGGAAGAGGGTGTAAAAGAAGGGAGACACATACAGAAGAGAGACGGAGGAAAAGGGAGGCGTGATGCCCTGATGCGATCAGCGGGCGTTCCGCTTAAAGAATGCAAAGACGAAGGTCATGTGGCCGCTTGTTGTTCGCGCATGGGGCTAAGCTGAACCCTATCCTATCCTTATCCTTCCTACCCTCCCCAGCATCACACTCCCTTCCCCATCCCCCATAACCCCATAACCCCGTACCCCCCCATTTCCCCCATCCTCCACTTTCCCAACCCAAACCCAGGGTATCATAGATCTGAAGGACTACATGCTCCTGCTGCTGCTCTGCATCTTCATCTTCTCCATTCTGGGGCTGCAGCAGTTTGGAGGCAACGAGCTGTTCGCGCCGGAGTCGCAGGACGTGGGCTACACCTCCAATTTCGACACGCTGTGGTCCTCCTTCTACACCGTGTTCCAGCTGCTCACAGGTGGGAGGCTGGGTAGGCGGGGGGGGGAGATAAATGAGATGTAGCTGATATACCAGGCCCACAGGTTAGGGCAAAGCAGTGGGGATATGGTGCTGTGGTGATATAGCTGGTTAGGGGGAAAATTACATAAGAAGTGCAAACAACTAGGAAGAGGGTTGGGAGGAGGAAACCAAGCACCCGTGTGACACGAAGGCTCCTCAAGGATGGGTTGCGCCAAGGTGGTTGTCGACCTGCCGACCCCACAAGCCCTACCAGGGGAGACCAGCATGCGCCTCCCATCCCCCACCTCCCTTGTTACGGTACTCTCCCTTGTTGGCATTGATGAAGACCTACCTATCCTCACCCACAAACCCCTCCCGCTCCTCCTAACTCGCCGCCCCACCCTCTCCCCCGCCCGCCCCCGCGCCATCCCCTCCCCTACCCGCCTTCCCCCCTATAATGCTCCCCTTCTTCACTCCCTCTCCTCGGCTACCATGTTTGCACCCCATGATTGAAGCCGTGTCATACAGGCTTGTCAATTCCACTTTACCCTCCCCTTCTCCATCCCCCTCATCCCCGCCCCCCTCATCCCGCCCCCTCATCCCCGCCCCCCAGGGGACAGCTGGGTGGCCACCAGTTGGAACGCCATGCGGGCTCGTGGGACCCCCGCCGTCCTCTACTTCATCGCCTGGATTATCATCGGCAATTTTGTGCTGATGACGCTCTTCCTAGCCATCCTCATCACCAACTTCCAGGTGCCTTGGAGGGGAGAGGAAAGGAATACAGGAGAATCCGTGTACCTCTTAACCTTTCTTACTTGTCGCCCACTCTCTACATGTGTGCAGCCTCTCTTCTCTCAACGTCCTCAGCCACTCGCCCCCTTTTACCCTTCCCTCCTTTCCCACTTCCCCTCCCTTGCATGCATTCGCCACTTGCAGCTGTGACGCCTTACCACAGTCTCTTTTCTCACTGCACTACTTTTAAGCACCAATCTATGTTTCTATGCCTCCCGCACACAGTTCATTTAACACGCAGACACACGAGGATGGGTTGTATACTTGCGTCCAGTTTCCTTAACACATACACAACCCAACCTGTTGTCCCCAGGGCGACGAGGATGTGCCCCCCTCAGAGGAGGAGCCCAGCTCCCTGAACCCTTACGTGCCCGATGACGCCCACTCCGAAACCGCGTCCGCCCTTGGGGGACCCGCACGTGGCGGCCCCGACAGCGTGCTGGGCGGAGGTGGCGGAGGCGGGGAGGGTGGCGGCAGGGATGCTCGCAACGCGCTGCAGCTGCGCATCACCCGACGCACCGACCCGGCAGCAGTGGCCAAGTTAAAGAAGTGGCTGGTGCTGTTGGGTTATCATCATGGAATGCGGCATGCGGAGGTGGGTGCAGGAGGAGAGGTGTATGGAGGAGGGGACAAAAGCTGACGAGCTGTCGGGAGCAATCGCGAGGAGGTCTCAACTAGATCTACCTTTCCCAAGAGGTGTTATCTTACCTAAACCTCACTCACTCCCGCCGCCACCTCCCCCATCCGGGCCCCCCCTTCACATTTCGTTCACGTGTCACGCCTTATCACACGGCTCCTTAGTCCTTTCCTCCTCACCCCCTCACTTCTCAACCATGTTTACGGTATGGCCCTTGACCCCGCCAGGTGGAGGAGATTTCCGCCCACATGGACGAACTGCACCTGCTGATGCCGGAGGCCTTTGAGCCGGGCGCCCGCATCCCCGTGCTAGACCTAGACGAGCGAAGCAAGGAGGCCGCGGCGGCGAGGGAGGCCTCCGTGCACCCGCCCGCAGCGGAGGCGGGGACGGCAGGCGATGCAGCAGCCGCCGAGGGGGGCCCCGCGGATGCTGGCGCTGCGGCAAGCGCGTTCGGCTTGAAGTTACCCAATAACGCGCTCATTCAGTCCATAGCACGCATTGTACCTCGGCCTAGCTCCGACGGTCGAGCCTCTGCTGCGACGTCTACTGCCACGGGGACAGAGGGAGGAGGTGTTGGGTTGGGCTGGAGGCGACGCCTGCCCTCGTCCAATGGCATATCTGTGGGGTTTGGCGGTGCGGGGCTGGCTGGGAGGAGCCTGAAGAAGCTGTTTCGGCGCTCAGAGCCTGGGGCGGGAAGTACGATGGCGGGAGGGGGACAGCCTGGGGAGTCGGAGGGAGGTCAGGTGCTAATGACGCCGGTGGTGGAGGACGGGCATGAGGAGCAGGACGGGCGGGGCACCCCGGAGAGCCGAGTGAGTGCGGTAAGTGGTTGTTGATGAAGGGGGTTATAGGAAGGAAGGAAGGGTGTTAGGAAGGAAGACCCTTTGCCCGCCTGCGTGCTTGCTTGCTTGCCACCTCGCTTCCTTCTTGCTTGCTTGTATGGCGTGGGAAAGGGCGTGAAGGGCTGTTCATAAAAGTGACAACGTGCATGCGTGCCGAGAATGCATTCCGTGCAGTCCTCCTTTCTCCTTCCTCATCCCGCCCTGCTCCCTGCCTCCCTCCTTCTTCTCCCTCAGCTGCCCCCCAGCCGTCTGCAGCCCACCCAGCTTCCCCCCCACCGCCACTCCACCTCCTCCGCCACCCGCGGCCGCCTCAGCCGCCATCGCAGCGCCGTTGTCCGCTCCACCGCCTCCGGCGCCACCCCCCGCGGCCCGCCCACCCTCATCACCGTGCCGCGGCACCGCCCCAGCCTGCCCCCCAGCGTGGCAGCAGCCCTGGCCGCAGTGAAGGGCTACGGGTCCTGGGCGCCCCAGGACGACCCGAGAGAGGAGCGTGAGGGGGACCCTGTCCCCGTGCCGGGACAGAGGAACAGGGGAAGGAGCAGTGACGGAGTTGAGGAGTTGAGGAGGAGGATGGCGGAGGTAGGGGGTGAGGGCGAGGGTGGGCGGAGAGGTAGCCGCTCGCCCTCACCGTCCCGGCGGCGGGAGATGTTTATGGAACATTGGAGGAGCTGGTTTGAGGATATGGCGACTGCGCCGCCTGCGTCGCACGGGCCCTCGCGGATTCAGTCGTTCGAGCCGTCAATGGCGGCGAAGGCGGCTGCGGAGGCAGTAGCAGCGGCAGCGGCGGCGGGGGGGGAGCGGCGGGGAGGCGGTCACGGGAGTGTCTTGGAGGGAAGCAGCTTTGGGGACTTCCCTTGCCTGGACTCGTTCGAGATCAAGAGTCACAAGCTTGCAACAGCTGTACGGAGCCTTTCTGGCGGCTCGTCGAGTGGGGATAGCGGAGGAGGCGGCGGAGGCAGTGCAGGTGGTGAACGGCCGCCACCGCAGCCAGCGGCGCCGTCCGGGAATGCTGGCATTAGCGTTGGCAATGGTGGTGGTGTTGGTGGTGTCTTGGAGGATGCTCAACGAGTGGCCGATGCAGACCTGGTCACGACAGAGCCTACCCTTGCAGCAACGGTAACAGCAGATGCGCCGCCGACGCCTGACGCGGGCGATGAAGCGACCCGTGGGTCGCTCTCGTCACCGCGGTTAGGCCGAAGCGCGCGCCGGTCTGGACGGGTCCCCCAAGCCCAAGCCGGGCACATGCTAGGCGGGCAGTCCCCTGGTGATGCCATGGCAGCCCTCAGTGGGGCGTACGAGTACGGCCGCGGCGGTGGCAGCGGCGGCGGCGGCGGTCGCATGGAGGCTATGGATGTGGGGGCGGATATGACAGCGACGCCGCCACCGACCGCGGTTGCTTTCATTACTGCTTCTGGGCCCTCAGCGACAACCGCTGCCCCTGATGCTGCTGCCGCTGCCGTGGTTGCCGGCCCTGAGGCGGCTGGCGTGGCTGGCGTCAGAGGTCCGGTCCCCATTGGACGCCCCCGTAGCTGGCCGTCCAACCTTGACGCCGCTTGTGACCGCACCACCACCGGCGATTGCCCGCCCGCGTTCAGAGAAGCCGACAACATGGCCTTTTCCAGCAACACAACGGTGGCGAGGGTTGCTGCTGCTGCGGCCAATGCTGTGGCTGCTACTGTTACCGCTACCGCCGCTGCTGCCGCCCCAATGGCAGCTGAGGAGGCGGTTGGCGCCTCTAGGTGGCCTTCCCCGAGACGCCCTCCTTTCCTAGGCATCCTCCTGGGGTCTTCTTCCTTTGGGAAAGCCTCTCCTCAGTACTCATCCCCTACCTCAACCGTACATGCCGTACAGACGCCGCCGCAGCAGCAGCCAGCACAGCCGTCGCCGCCGCCGCCTGCGGCGGATGGCTCTACCGTACATGCAACCTCGGTAGCTGCTGCCATGTCCGCCCTTGCCGTACCTGCATCCTTCATGCTGACATGCATGTCCATTGCCTCCACCTGCAACTCCTCCTCCGCCGCGTCTTCAGCGCACTTCCTGAGGCTGCCATACCCCGACGTCGCCGTGGACCGTACGGCAGCACCCCCCACCGATCCAACCGCCGCCCACGCCGCCGCCACCGGCAGTAGCAGCTCCACTCCCCTTAACGCCATTCTCCCGCCGCTGCCTCCCACTCTCTCCCTTCCGCTCCCTCACCTTCCTCCCCTGCCTCGCGGCTCCCTAGCACACGACCTCCACCCTCACCACCCCCACCCCCACCACCAGCAGCACCTTCATCACAGGTACTACAACACGCACCGCGCCCGGCGATCCACTTCAATCGGAGCCGGTGAGGCCCGCCTCAACAGCCACCGTACCACATCCGCTATGACGTCAGCCCTGCTTCGCGCCCGGCATCCCACCAGCGCCTCCTTGGGTCGCAGCACCAGCGGAGGCAGTCTGGGGAGCCTCGGACATGGCGGCGGCGGTGGCGGTGCCGCCACCACCAGCAGCTCCCTCTGGCCCTACCCGCGAGGAGGAGGAGGAGGTGGTAGCCGTTACAGGGGCAGTATCGGCGCATCCACACGGTCCCATGGGTCACATGGGTCGGTGACGCTGGACGGCCAAGTCCCGGCGGCGCGTCCCACAGCAGGGCTGCTCCCGGCGGCTGCTAGTGGTGCAGCAGCTGCGATGCGGTCTTCCGAGTCTTCCGCCGGCGGTGTCCCCACTTCCACACGCACAACCGTTACCTCCACCACTGCAGCTGCTGCTGCAGCAGCAGAAGACACAGCAGCGGCGGAAGCTGAAGCTGAGGCGGAAGCAGCAGCAGCAGTAGATACGGGTGGGGAGCCTACCCTGCGGTCCATGGGTTTGTGGCGCAGTCCTAGCGGTCTGCAGGGCACGCTGCGGGCGGCTGACCTGAGGAGCTATGCCAACGCGTTCCAGAGGCCGTTGGGCGACCCTACCGGTGCAGGTGGTGGTGGTGGTGGTTTCGGGGCTGCTGATTCGGGCGCTGCCAGCTGGGCGACCGACGGCAGCATCAGCGCCATGATTCCGCGTGGTGACAGCAGCTCGCAGCTGCCCAGCATGCCTACTTTTACGCCGTCGCCGCTGGCGGCGGCCATCTTTCCCACGGCTGTCGAACACGGCTGTGTTGACCAGGCAGGCAGTGATGAGTTGGGGGCTGCTGCTGCAGGGGTCGCTGCAGCTGTGACACCTCTCAGCGGCAGGACAGAGCCGCGGGAAGGAGCTGCTGCTGCTGCTGCAGGTGCTTATCGTCTGGGAGCAACAGAGGGGGGAGCGGAGGCTGTTGGGCCTGATGAGGCGCTGCTTATGATACCATCATCTCGCCCCCTGCCTATCCCGGTTCCGCCAACTGCTGCTGCGGCTGCTGCGGGGGGAGGTGTGAGAGGAGTTGCTGAGCTATTGCCTCCAGCTCTAGCCGGCTTTGGTGGTGGAGCGGCAGGCGGTGTTATGGTTCCGGGCTGGCGGGGGCTAGGCATGCTTGGGCTGGCCCGCTCCCATCCATTGGTGTTTGGACCGGAATCGGGTAGCTATGGTGAGGAGGAGGAGGAGGAGGGGGAGGAAGGGAGCGAAGGCGAGATGAAGGATGGGGATGCGGAGGAGGAGGATACGTGGCTACCTCTTTCACCCATGCGCCTCAACGGCCCCGGCGGTGTAGTTTCTGGCAGAGCGGCAGCAGCAGTTTTTGGTGCAGCTGTTCGCGCTGTTGGTGCTGTTGATAGCGATGTTTCCGCAATGGAGGCAGCAGCTCCATCCACGCCTGCCCACCAGCGCATCACCGGGACAGCTACCTGCGATCCGGGCTCGCAGACCCCAAGCCAAGACTCCTCCTTTGCATTCGCGGTTACGCATGGCTCCGCCTCCGCCGCCTCCACGCCAGCCGGGTTCCGAGGTGGGGGGGGTGCGGCAGCAACCGCTTCCAGCGGTACGCCTGGGAGCGCGGAAGACACGGCCCGGTCAGCCGCCGCTACAACTGCCACATCCATCGCTACCACCACCCCTGCCACCACCCCAACCTCCGCCGGGGACGCAAGCGGTGTGGGGGCCCCGGCTGCGACACCGCGCATGGTTAGCGTTGCTAGCCCCTTCACCTCGCCAACCAAGTCATCGTCGTCGTCCCAGATGTCCTCATCATCCGCCCCACGACGTTCGATACCGCGACCGCCGGCGCTATTGTCTATATCGACGTCACAGCAGCAGCACCAACCACAACAGCAGCAGCAGCAAGAGCAACAGCGGGGGGCAGCTGCAGCGAATGTCAGGACAGCAGCAGCAGCTGCAGCAGCGGATGCAACATCCTCATCCCCGGAAAAGACGGGAACTGGGGCGTATGAACCGGGCTCTTTTGCGCGAAGCAGCTTCGCCTTCCCTATTGAGCCCATCGCACCCACCATCACCACCACCGCCGCCCCACAAATCTCCGCTGGCGCAGCCGGATCAGTTGCGGCGGCGTTTGGCCGCACCACCCACACCTCTTCGGGACCCAACTCCAACAGTAGCGGCCCGAATAGCAGCCCTAGCGGCAACCCTAGCAGCAGCGCCCGTAATGCACAAGGCAGCCGGATCCCCACCGGGAGAGCTCCTGCAGGCCAGATCCAGTCCGTTACCGTACGTTCGCGAGCCATATCACAACAGGAGCAGCAGCAACAACAGGAGCAGCAGCAACACCAGGCGGGACGTGGCAAAAGCAAGATCCCATCTCTACTTGCCGCCGCCGCGGTTGCCCCTACCACTACCACCGCCGCTGCTGCTGTTGCTTCTCCCTCCGCTTCACCAAGTGCAGGAGGCGCAACGGCGGGGTTTTCAGCAGCAGCCGCAGCGGCAACCGGTGGCGCTGCATCATCTAGAATGGTAGTGGCGAGGATGGCTGGTGGTGGCGCCACCGCCGCTGCCATCGGTACCTCCTCCTCCGCTTCGTCGCCTCGCTCTCCCCAGGAAGCCAAGAGGGCGCCCCCACCCCCCACAAAGCACCCGCTGCAATCCTTCTCCCCCTCCACCGCGGCCTCACGCCCGAGGGCGCACTCCGACGCATCCATCCTGCGCGGTAGCGGCCCTGCCGCCGCCGCCGCCGCGGCCCCTGCCAGCGGCCGCCCTCTCCAGTCCCGACCTCGAAACTCAATTGAAGTGGGAGTTGTAAGCCGCGCCAGCACCACCACCCTGGTCACCGGCGGCGGCAGTAGCACCGCCGCTGCCGCCGCCGCTACTGCCGCCGCCGCTGCTGCGCACACGGCGGAGGGTGAGTCTGACGGCAGCAGCGAGGACCCCTTTAGCATGCCCCCGCTGCCGCCCCCGCAGCAGCAGCAGCAGCAGCAGCAGCACCGCTCTACCCCAAGCAGCTGGCTGCCCATGGCACCCTTTGCTGAGCTAGGGCAGTTGCAAGCGCAGCGGAAGGCGGCACGGGCGGGCGGGGCAGCGGCGGCGGCAGCGGCGCCGACGCAATCAGCGGCCAGCAGGGGGAGACAGGGGGCAACAGGGGACAGCATCAGACAGCAGGGTACGGCAGCGGGTGGCAGCGGTGGCAAGGGGCTGCTAGGAAGCGCGGGACCTGTATCGGAATCTGCATGGCAGGCTGATGGGGAGGGGTTGACGGAGGCGACGGCGGCAACGGCGGCGGCACCGCCATCTCCATTCTGGTACGGCAGTTGCCGTATGTTGCCATATGTTGTGGTTGGCGAGCGTGGGGAGGATGGGGGCCTGTGGTGGCAGCACGCTGCTGCTGCTGCTGCTGCTGCTGATACAGCGGCGCCGGCGCAACGTGGAAGCGGCTGCGGTGGCTGCGCTCACGCCAGCGGCGCCAGAGCGGACGCAACAGGAGGAGCAGGACCTGCAGCAGCAGCAGCTGGGTTGTGGGTCCGCCGCAAGTCGCCTTTGTCATCGCCGCCTCCGACACCCTTCCATGATGCGTACGACATTGCATCCGACATCGCTGCGGAGGGGATTCAGTTCGTCGCCAGTACGGCAAGTGGGACAGGTGGAAGGGCCAGAGGCTGCATCGGCGGCGGCGGCGGCGGCGGCTTCCTCGGTCTCCGTCACCGCTGCGGCGGCGGTGTTGGTGTTGCAACGGCGGTGAGCCACTCGACTCCCCTCCCAACAGCGACTCGTACGCATCAGCGGCGGCCCGCAGCCGCCGCTGCTGCCGTCGCTGCTGCCGTTGCCGCCGAGGAAGCGAGCGGCATGTCGTCATCCGACTCCGGCTCGCAGGTCCCACCCTTGCCGCTGCTTCAGCCGCAGCAGCTGCGGAGATGGTGGGGAGGAGGCAACCCGCTAGGGGGATCATCGGAGTACGGAAGCGGTGGTGGTGGCGGTGGTGGTGGTTGTGACGGAGGCGGCGCCTCCGCCGGTCCAGTGGCGGAAGCTATGGTGGCCTCGACGGCGGAGGCTGGCGGCACGTACAAACGATCCACATCCCAGAACCCCTCCCTTGGACGGAAAGGTGCGTGGTGGGGAAATGGTGCGGGGGGAGAGGGAGCCACGCACGGTGTGTGATGAAGGACGCGGAGGTGTATGTGAGAGAGGCGAGTGCATGCCATCGTCGTGTGGGTCATGGGTCACGACTGCAGGCCAGGGACGAGTTCCCTTTGCCCATCACCCTCTTAACCTTGTCTCCTCTCCTTTCCTCCTCCCTAACTCCCCGCCCGCTCCCCCAGCCTCCGGCCCCGGCGGCCGCTCCCCCTCCGGGCGCCTCCTGTCGGACCTCGAGGACCCCGTCTACCTGGAGCACAGCTCGCTGTGGCTGCTGCGGCCGCACCACCCGCTGAGGAGGGGGCTGCAGGCGGTGGTGACACACAAGCTGTTCGAGGTGGGAAGGGAAGGGAACTGAGGGGAAGCGGGAGAGGAATAAGCTAATTCCGTCATATGAACAGGTTTGCCCCACAACTTTCCTTGCGCCCCCCCTCCTCCCCTTCCTTTTCCCTCCTCCCCTCCCCTCCAGAGCTGCGTGATGGCTATGATTCTCGCCTCCTGCCTCATCCTGACCATGGACAGTCCCCAGCTGCCGCCCTCCTCCCGCATGGCCCGGGCGACACGGGTGATCGAGTGGAGTGTGGTCTTGTTCTTCCTGGCGGAAATGAGCCTGAAGCTGGTGCTGAAGGTGGGTGAAGGTGGTGGCAAACAGCTAATTGACCGTATGATAAGGCGTCATCAAGGTTTGCAGCATGTGGGGGAGGGAAGGCCTTAAATATACGGTAGACTAAACCGGAGGAAACCATAGGTTAGGGCAAAATAATGGGCACAGAAGAGGAGGGTGGGGTGGGGGGCGGATCATGATGAGGACGATGCTAGCCTGGTGCACTTTACCGGTACGAGTGTTTTCCAACCCGTGTTGCGATGCTTACAGAAAACCTCTCACCTATGCTGCCTCTTATTCCCTTCCCTCCTCCTCCCTCCTATTATCTGAGTTGCGTGTTCCTAGAATAGTGCCTCCGTACGCGCTCAGCGCATGAGAAGTCGGGATATGGGGTTGGGACTCCAGTTGCTTCATTTTTTCTCATTTACTTCTTCTCTCCTTCCCTCCGGCCCCTCCCCTCATCCCTCACCCCAACCCCCTCCATCTCCTATCCCCATTGCCCTTATCCGCTGTTTCCTTTAATCCGGTCTGGTCACTGTCCTCTCTAGGGTGTCATCCGCCACCCCCGCGCCTACTGGCGCACCCCCTGGGACTCCTTGGACGGCATCATCGCACTCACCTCCCTCGCCGCACTGCTGTCCCCCTCCGTCTCCTTCCTGCGTGCACTGCGGCTGCTGCGGGTGCTGCGGCCGCTGCGGGTGATCAGTCACATCCGCGGCATGCGGCTGGTGGTGGAGACACTGCTGCGCTCGCTGCCGGCGGTGGTGCATGTGGCGGTGTTTGGGGGGTGAGTAGTGCGGGAGGGGGGAGGGAGGGGGGCGGGAGGGAGAGGGGGTGCATGTGGCGGTGTTTGGGGGTTGGGGAACGGGGGGGCGGTATTGCAGGTACTAACCCCATGAAAACATGTTCCTCCCTACTTTGCCCACCGAGCTCTTGACACTACCCCCCACCTGGCTTGGTACAATACCAACACCCTCTAACAACCGTACTCCCCCAATTTAAACCCCCTCCCCCTTCCCCCCTCCCTCCCTTCCCCCCTTCCCCCTTCCCGCCCCCAGTTTCATTTTTGCCATCTTTGCCATCCTGGGCACGCAGCTCTTCATGGGTCGCCTGGACCGCTGCAACCAGGCCACACTGCCGGATGATGGCACTGCTGCTGCTGCCGGGGCCGTGCCGCTGCCCCTAGAGACCAAGGAGCAGGTAAAGAGGGAGGAGTGGACATGGAGAGTTTTACTTTGCCCTAATTGAGCTACCGGTAACCATTGAAAAGAAAAGAAATGATGTAATGATACCCTGTGGCGTCTGGATTGGCTCTCAAGCATGCAATGGAAAACTCCTTACCCAACCCCTCCTCCTACCCCTCCGTACTCCCCCCCTGGCATCTTTGAGATTAGGAATCCAGTGCTTCACCTCCACGTCCCCCCTCCCTCCATCCCCCCTCTGTCTTGTGGCACCTTGCCGTCTCCTAACCCCATCGCTTTGCCCTAACCCGTGGTTTCCTATGGTCTGGTCTGTTGTCTCTGACCCCCGCCCCTTCCAGTGTATCCCCGGCTCCTTCATCTGCACCGAGTCTGATCTGTGCGATAACGTGGGGGATGCCGCTGAGAGGGCGTGGGTGACTCCCTTTCGCAACTTTGACCACGTGGGGCGGTCGCTGCTGACGCTGTTCATCCTGTCGACCCAGGACGGATACATGGACACGCTGCAGGCGGTGAGGAGGGGGGAGAAGAATACCCAATGGGAGTAGGGGGAGGAGGGAAGGAGGGAAGGAGGGAAGGAGGGAAGGAGGGAAGGAGGGAAGGAGGGAAGGAGGGAAGGAGGGAAGGAGGGAAGGAGGGAAGGAGGGAAGGAGGGAAGGAGGGAAGGAGGGAAGGAGGGAGGTTCCCCTTGCTACAGCGGGTCGAGGGTCCGCTGATGAGCCAGGCAACCTCCTTGGCTCTCCTGCTACTTCCCTGGAGCCGACCGTCAGTCCGCCACCCGACCCCCCACCCCATCCCCCTCCCACTATCCCCCCATGCAGTTGATAGACGCGGTGGGGGAGGGCAAGCAGCCCCGCCCCAACCACAACCCCTGGGCCGGGCTCTACGTCATCGCGTTTGTGTTCATGGGCGCGTTCTTCTGGATTAACCTGCTGGTGTCGGTGAGGCGGGGTCAAAGACCATACCAAACCATAGGAGACCACAAGTTAGGGCAAAACAATGGGGGGGGAGGGGAGGGGAGGGGAGGGGTGGATGAAGCAGATGAATCTGGAGAGGGTAGAGGAAGAGTGGGATGCATTTTCGGCATTAGGCTGGATTCTAGGATTGCGTATAGTCAAACTTGGGCAAACTGGGGCAGGAGAGGAGGGGGATAAAGCAGATGGAAGTTTCCCTCTCTTTAGGTCGGTTAGGCGACTGATGAGGGAGAGGCGGGGAGCCTAAGGGGCCGGAGGGGGGGGCACGACTGGCTCGAGGCAGTCTTCATATCGGTACCGCCACCAATACAACCCCCTGTGATGGGATTCTCCTCATCCCCATACCGGTACTCCCCCCGCTATCTCCCCCTCTTCCCCCCCGTCCTCTCCTTCCCCCCGTTCCTCCGTACTCCAGTTGCTTCACTTTTCATTAACCCCCCCTCCCCCTTCCCTCCCGTCCTCTCCAGGTCATCATCGACTACTACAGCCAGCTGATGCTGGAGGAGGGCGGGCTGCTGCAGTCGCGGGAGACGCGCGAGTGGATGAAGCTGCTGCAGTTCAGCGCCAGCCCGCAGCGGGACTACTGGAGGAGGGTGCCGAGGCCCGAGCACCCCGTTAGGGCGAGGTGGGGGGGGGGGGAGGGGGGTACAGGTGGGGAGGAGATGGTGTGGGATCATGGAAGGCCGAATAGGTGCATGAGGAGGGGTACCCAGGTTTGGGTGTGGGGGGTTGCACCGCTTGAAGTAGAGGGTGAGGTAGAGGGTATGCTGTCTGTCGAAGGAAAGCCGGGCAGGGGGCAAGGGTGGGGGGGTATGCGCCACGGGAGAAAGAGGGTGGGGAGGAGGGTACGAATGCTGCTTGAGTTGCAATCCATGTGGCACCAAGGTGCCGCGGGATGGCGCCCTTCCTTTCCATCCTTCCTCATCTCATCCCTCTTCTGCAGACCACATGTCAATCACATGCACCCTCCCCTTCTTCTTCTTCTTCATCTTCTTTTTTGGGCGGAGCCCCCGCCGCGAAGCGGCTTCGGGGGGGCTTCGCCCCCCAGGATTGCCCCTGTCCGTGTGTCCGTGTGTCCGTCCGTGTGTCCGTAACGGCAAAACATACAAACTAGACAAAACTATTTAGTGCACCTAATAGATATTTGTTATCTGTATTCAGTAAAAATAACTGGAAGCCAAACAAACTTAATTTCGCAACAAACGATTTATTGACCAGCCATTCAAAAGGACCACCGCGGCAACACCGATTAGCGCTCCTCTATGGTTTGTCCTGGTACCGTAAACAGTATTTAATGAATTGGAAACAGCGGCGTGTCGCCAAAGGGCTACCTGTGAAAGTCGGCGAGAGCATGCTTGCTTCCATCGATTGTGCTACTCTGAGCTCACACAATCCTTTGTGACGATGTTGCCTGCCATTGCTATTGGTTTGTGTGCCATAATGCCTATGAACTGTAATGCAAACGGGTACCTCGCCTATAAGCTAACATGCGATGTTGGGGCGCAATGGCTGAAGTCCTTCTGAGCACGATGCCGAGATTGCCGAGCCTGACCTCCTCATCATGTTAGTAATGTAGGTGAAACCTAAACGACCTACGGGACCCTGAAAGCACTCCCATGTGGCAGTTACGCCGCCGATTTGGGTTCTGTAGCCTAATGCGTGGGTGTTATCAAGCATGACAAGACGTTACTGAGTGCGCGATTGAACAGGCGTAACCTAACAATGTGTGCAATGAGTGAGGACACTATGTACGCCGTGGGTGAACAAGGCGGCCGGCCTTGGCTGGACAAGGGGCTCTGAGCTCGTCTAGCCATGCAACGAGCACTAAAACTACAGTAAACAAGGGGGTTCAGCGTCCGTATAACATCCGTGTTAGGTCATCTGGTGCCGTGGAGTCACAGGAGCGCATGCCGTGCTCATTCCAAGTCTATAAGGCCCATTGAGTCGTTCCACTCCCCTGTAATCGCATTCATTCCAGTGGTAATAATACATTCCTGTACTGAAGAGGAGGGGCTCCGCCCTTTTCCAGCTTTGAGGAAGCTGAACCCCCTTGTCTTCTCCCCCCCCTCAGGTGCTACGATCTCGCCTCTTCGCCCTACTTCGACAACACAATCATGGGCGTCATTTTGGCGAATGTGCTGGTCATGGTGGGTGGTAGCTGGGGTAACCTCGGGAGGAGGCATGCTGGAGCCCCATTACCCATCCTTACCGAACAGCGCCTCCCTCTCAACTCCTACCCAAGCCGACCTTCACGCCCCTCACTCGCCCAAACCACCTCCCCTTTCCCTACCTCCCCCTTAACACCCCTTAACACCCCTCTTCCTCCCTCTTCAAACCCATCTTCAAACCCCCCTGCCGCTTCCTATCCCCATTGCTTTGCCCTAATCCGTGGTTTCCTAAGGTATGGTCTTCCCCCCCAAATGCCCCAAACCCAGGCCCTCCCCCACGAGGGCTCCAGCGCACGCTTTGACGACGTGCTGTCGTACCTCAACGCCGCCTTCACGCTGGTGTTCATTTGGGAGGCGGGGGTCAAGTGCAGCGCCATGGGCCCCCGGAGGTACAAACAGGTGAGGGGGGCGGGTGGAGGAGATGGCTGACTGGCGTGTATCCTGTTCGCTCGGGCCTTTTCACCTCCTGACTTTGCCCTTCCCCTTCTCCTCTTGGCTCCGCCCTCCTGCACCCCCCTCACCCCTCACCCAGGACCACTGGAACAAGCTGGACCTGTTCATCATCGTCAGCTCGCTGCCCGATCTGGTGTCGCTGGTGGTGCCGCTGGGGGCGGGCAGCGGCGTGGCAACGGCGTTCCGGATACTGAGGATTGGTGCGTGAGAGGGAGCTGTGGAGTGGGGGTAAAAACCCGGGAAACCGTGTTGAGGCAACTAACGAGCTATGTGACAAGGCTTGAGGGGGGTGGGGGAGGGCGGGGGATTAGGGGTGGGCTGCTGATGCTGGGGTGTTTGGGGCGAATTTCCGTCAACTATGTTGTTCAACCTGTACACGGTACGGTGATATCCCCATCTGATCCCCACTTTTTCTTCCCCACCCCCCTATCCCCGTGCTGCTTCTTATCCCCTTGCTTTGTCCTAACTTTTAGTTTCCTATGGTTTGGCATGGTCTTTGCCTCCCCCCCCCTCTCCCCCTCCGCCCCCTCAGGCCGCATGTTTAAACTCATCAAGAACGCCCGCGGCCTGCGCACCCTCTTCAACACACTCATCTCCTCCCTGCCCGCAATCACCAACGTGGGCAGCTTGCTCTTCCTGCTCATGTTCATTTACGCGGTGCTGGGAATGAACTTGTTTGGAGTGGAAGGGGGCCCCTTTGAGGGCGCCTCCTCCACGGATACCAACTTTGATGACTTTGGGTCGTCTCTCATAGCGCTGTTCCAGGTAGGTGGACGAGGTGCGGGGGGGCGTGTGAGGGAGGGTAGGGGGGAAGGAGAGGAAACTGATGAGGAAGGGGGGGAGGGGGGAGAGGGGGTGATGTGAGGGTCAAGGGGAAGCCAACCCGTTCTCAGGGCGGTGTGAGGGCGAGGGTGAGCAGAAGCGAGGGTGTGGGGTGGTCCCTGCCTTGGCTATCATTCACACCATTCTACTCCTCCCCCATCCCGCCCTCTCTCCCGCAGGTGTTCACGAGCGACGGCTGGAGCGGCGTGATGGCCCAGGCGGCTGGGTGCGACTCAAATGAGTTCGGCTGCAAGACCGGCGGACAGGCGGTGGTAGCGTGCCTGTTCTTTTGCAGGTGCGGGTGCTCTTGTGACGAGGGGGGGTGTTCGGGTGGGGGGTCAAAGACCATACTAAACCATAGGAGACCACAGGTTCGGGTGAGGGGGGAAGAAGAAGAAACGGACGAGAGCTGTATGACGAGGGGGGCTTCAAACTGGGTTGCTACATTGGGCCCGGCCCATCACAGTTCTCCACCCTGCTGGGGGGACTGGTCTCACCCCCAGTTGCCCCTTGCGTGGCCCCTTCACCTCCCGCTCTTCCGCCCTCATTTCGACCTCTTCGACCTCACATTGCCGTTTCCCCTCCTCGCCTCCCTCCCTGCCTCCTTCCATTCCCCTCCCCCAGCTTTGTCATCCTGGCAAACTTCATCATGCTCAATCTGGTCATCGCGGTCATCCTGGATAACTTCATTTCGTCGGCGCAGGTAGCCCTGCAGGGTGTTGGAAGGGGGGGGCGAAAAAGAGAGGGGTGGAGAGAGGTGGGGAGGGAGGGGAGAAGGAAAACCAAACCATGTGAGACAGTTCCACCACGAAGGAAGGGAGGCGGGTAGAGACCCCGATGCCACGCTAATGCTACGTCTCCTCTCTCCTTACCCTCTTCCCTCTCTCCTTACCCTCTTCCCTCTCTCCTTACCCTCTTCCTTCTCTTCTTACCCTCTTCCCTCTCTCCTTACCCTCTTCCCTCTCTCCTTACCCTCTTCCCTCTCTCCTTACCCTCTTCCCTCCCTCTTTACCCTCTTACCTGAGCCATGTGAGCTTACTATACCCTAACGTTCTCCGCCCCCTCCCCCCCCGCCCGCCTACAGAAAGAAGGCCTGCTCAAGAACTCGCGCTTCACAGACGTCATGAGCACCGTCATTTCGCTGCGTGTGTTTGTGCGTATGCTGCGACGGAAGATCGAGACGGTGAAGGCGGTGGAGGAGCTCAAAGAGGCGGCGGCGCAGGCGGCGGCGAGCGGGGAGCGGGGGGCCAAGAGGGCGGTGGCGAGGTGGGTGGTGCGGGAGGGGGTTGTGCGGGCGGGATCCGCTCCTCCAACAGACCTTCACACACCCTCTTACCCTCCCCTCTTTCCCCCATCCAGGACTCGCAAGAAGAGCCTGCTGCTCGCCTCCCTCGCCATGCCCTCCTCCGTCCTCAAGGCAGCAGGCGACTACTCCACCGCAGGCGGCCTGAGCATCCCTGGCTTCGGAGCCGAGGACATGGTCATTCGCGCGCTCTCGATGCACCAACAGCGCTCCAGCCACCAGAGCCACCGAGGCAGTGGGCGCGCCGCGCGAGGCGACGGTGGACACCACCCGCACGACATCCGAGAAGCGACCTCGCACCACAGCTTCTTCGGAATTGTGGGTTTCGGAGGCTTCGGAGGGAGTTTCGGTGGGGGAGCTGCTGGGAGGAGAGCCAGCTTTAACTTTGGAGGCGGCGGAGGTGTAGCAGGAGGAGGAGGAGGAATGAGCGGCAACGGCGCCGCTAGCGGCGGTCTGGCGCTCGGCCTCGCAGCGCTTCGCCGTACGTTTAACCGCCAGGTTAGTAGCGAGAGCGCAGGGGAGAGAGGCAGTGCCGCCGCCGCCGCTGCGGCGGCGGCGGCCGCCAGCGGTGTCAGCATGAGCGGTCCGCTGTTCCGCGGCGCAGCTGCCTCGGCGGTGAACAACAGAGCCGCAGCCGTCGCCTCTGCCGGCGCAGCAGCCGGTGAGACGGGCGGGATGGTGACGTCATCCGCACGTCCCTCACCCAACAACCTGATCCTGGTGAGTGGTGGCGGCGGCAGCGCAGTGGAATACCTGCGGTCGCGAACCGGCTCCTTTCGCAGCTTGCGTAGCGGCCTGCCCACCAGCCTCAACGGTGGGCAGGAGGGAGGCGGCATGGCGGCTACGCTTTCCGGCGGGGTGGTCGTGGGCAGTGCGGATGAGGGGGACTCGGCGACGGGTCTGGGGACGGTGATGACGACGGGAGGGGCGGCGGCAGCAGGGTCGGGGGTGCTCAGCGGCAGCACGGGTCGAGTTCGTTTTGTGACCACGGGGGGTGAGGATCACAACAACACGGGGGGTGAGGAGGTGGAGGAGGAGGAGCGGCGGTCGGGTACGGACGCGGGCGGGGTGAGTATTGGATCGCGCATGTTGTCGGGTCTGGGCAGTCGCGGAGCGCCGGTGCGGATGGCCAGTCGGAGCTACAGCCAGAGTCGGCTGTCTCGCTAGGGGTGGCGTGTGGGGAGCTGCCTCCCTAGGTGTGGCGGCTGTCACGGGGGGATGGTAATGGCCGCAGGGAAGGGGTTGGCTGCTTGGTAAGTGGAGCGCCCCTGGGATAAGACGTTTATCTATGGAAACAAAGGAGAGCTGCTTGTGCACTGGGGGATAGGGAGCGGCTGCAATGTTACTACTACGGTACTACGGAATTATGGCGCTATAAATAGTTTCGTATCGTTTTCATCATGCAAGCTTTCATACAGGGCGATGTGGAGCAAACACCTGCTGCTCGTGTGCCGCACGGGCTATAAAGCAATGGAGCTGTGAAGAAACACCCATGGTCCCCTGCAGAGTGTTTGGGCCAGTGTCCAACACGCTGGGTAGATTCGGCGGTTAGTACGACAGTCATAACCCCCATCCGTACGAACGTGAGAACTACTAGTGAGGAGTAACGTTTATTGCTTTCATATTTCATGCTTATATCAATGCCCCCTCAAATGTGACCAACGCATGCGTTGCGCCGTTGCGTTTGTTGGTTACGTGGATTTTGGTGATTGCTGCCCTTGTTTTGCGTTCTAGAAACCGATTATTGAGGTAAGACCCACCATCCTGTGCTCGTGCTTTGGGTGGAGTGAAGGAATTCAAGCTGGGCGTTGGGATGTGGCCTTACCTTCGTTCCGGTTGTCCTTGATGTGGCGGGTATTATTGTGACATGGAGGTGTTTGCTTAAACGTCGTGCGCATGTCAATGGCCCTTGTAGTGCCGTTGATCAGGGTATGCAGCCGGGGGTGCTGACTCGCACTTTTGTACCCTCATGCACTCTGTACGTACGAATTCTTTAGTATTCGTACGTTGCCTTTGAAAGCAAAGTTCTTGTTGTGAGTCATCCGATGGCAATGCTATTAATGTTAGTATTGTCGTTACTCGTGGGCCCTTTGATGCTATGTGGCAACGCGGCATGGCTGGCTGGTCTACGACCTTTATGCCTGTGGTGTACGTCTTGACCGACTGGCGGGGATGATGATGGACGCTACAGGTGATGCGACGGCGGGTTGCGACGTTTCAGCATGGTTTCGGATGGATCACTATATATCTTTTTATCAGAGAGCATGTCCGAGAGCTGAAAGTACGCGTCCCATAACGTCAAGTCCTATAGCTATGAGGACCATATCATGCGGCAATATCATTTCAACGTAAAATACGTAATAATGCCCTTGATGACGATGATGATGTTGAGGTCCTGATGAGGTCCCAATGCCGTACATGTTAATGTCTTGGTGCCCAGTACACAGGGTGATGCCATGATGATGTATGGGACGTACACGTCTTGACATGTGAGGCTGCTTTCGAGTAATAAATGGATGGTTGGAGAAGAAGTTGACGTGCAGTGTGCAGTATGTTTTGCCCCGCCCTGAGTCATCAAGGAACCAACCACTAGTTGGGTATCAAGTTATGACTGGGTGTGTGACTGCAGTCGACTGCTCCGGTGTGCGTGTGTAGGGTCCCGGCGGACAAGCATATGTCGCGTCTCTCTCTCTTCCGTCCAGCGGATTCTTCGCCTGTTCCAGCCTTTTACAGAGCTTGTAGAGCAGTTCATGAACCGTCAACATCCGCGGTTTGTGTCTACTGCGGAGACGATTGCACTGTTCATTGTTTTGGTCCATAAGTGTTTCTTTGCAAGAGTGTATGGCAACGGCCGACCCCTGCCTGTTTTCCTATCCCCGTGGCTTGTGTCATGTTTGTGTACTTGTGTGTTTTGGTTCGTGACGGACCTGGAGTGGGGAAGGTGGTGGTGGTGGTGACGTGCGGATGTGATTGTGGCTGTGGACGACATGTATTGGAGAAGGTTCGGGGGTTCGGGGTTTAAGGACCGTTCGTGACCTCTTTGACTTCTGAAACTTTCATCTTCAGCATCTTCGTTGTCACAGACGCGCATCACTCGCGCACGAAAGCCAGTAGCGACCGGTTTGGGATGTCATCCTAAACTAAGTAGCGACCGGTTTGGGATGTCATCCCAAACTAAGTGCTTACAGTCGCGGTCCTCTTCTTCCCTTTCCACATTGGACTATTGCTGAGCATTGCGACATTTGTGTGTGTGATAGTTGGTGCTTGTTGTGAGACGCGTACGACGTGCACTTGTTCTACTTGCCGTACATTTGTGTTCGTACACGCAAGCGGAGGGCCGTACGTACACTTGGCAATTGGCAAACACTTAGCGCCCATTGGTGATTGCTGTTAGTGATTTCTGTTTGCATTTTGGACGCTTGGTCATTGTGCTGGTATGTGGACAATAACTTGGTGATGGGTGGGTTGGTGGGTGAGAACAAGGGGCGCAGTTAGGGGGGCATGCAATATCCCTGGCCACCGTGACTGCCGTGGCAGTACGGAAGTGGTCATACCCTCCCCCTCCTCCCCCCATGTGTATGACATGCATGTGCAATGCAGTTGCTACGAACAAGGGGGGGCGATGCTGATAGAAGCAAGCGTTGAGGTGTACCGGTAATGGGGTGTGTAATGTATGCATCCCATGCACCGCTGGAAGCCCAATGGCCCCACCCACCCACTCGGGACCGATACCGGTAGCTGCCCTGCAGCTTGTAATGTCGTTGCCATGATGTTTCAGCAGTGCTCACCTCTTGCTGCCTGAAGGGAGTGAGGTCACGCACTGGTGTGACTTGGATGAGCTTTTGGGGAGGCTGGCCGCGCAGCCAAGCAAGGAAGGAGGTAGCATGGGAGGCAATCGGACGTGTGGCCGTATGCCGGGGGGAGGTGGCAGAAGGGGGTGGCGGATGGAGGAGCGCTGGCAGTAGGGCGACAGGCCTCTGCAGGCAGTTTGCATGTGTGTATATACCAGTGCAACGACCTTCTTTCACACACTGTTTGACACTTTGCTGGCTGGCAATATGGAGGCCGATGCAAAGCATGACACATAGCACAAACTGGCGACCATGAGAGATTGTATTTACCCCAACGACACTGTGTTTGTCGCTTGAGGCTCTCCTACAGCTGTGTGACTGGACCAGACGAGCTTGCGCCTAACACACTAATTTAGGAAACATGAGTCATTCATGATGAAAGGCACACGAGTCATGGCATGTGGTGATGAAAGGGAACCTCCACCGCCCGGCGCGCCTTGCAGCCTCGCACACCCGCATCACCGCATTGCTGCATGACACCACTACGGAGCACGGGGGCACACGGGAAGCCAACCAACCTTCCCCCAACCAACCTTCCCCCAACGCCACGTCAACGCCAACGCTGCCTCCTACATCCCTGATGGATGGCCTGGTTCCCTCTTCCAAGGTCCTCCCACGAATACGACTCAACATGTACGACAACCATCTCAGCCAGCAGCACCCCCAGCAACAACACTGCGCTCACGCCTCGTCTCCTCCTCACAGACATACATTGCTTGTTCAAGACGCCAAGCAGCACACAGAATGTCATTCTTCCGTTCTGTCCACGACGAGCTGTGCATTGTAGGCTATGCCAAAACGCTCTAGGAGCTACCCACAGTGGGAGTTCTCCTCTCCTCCTCTCCGTTTCCTCGCTTGCTGGCTCCTTCCCGCACTCTTGAGATCTCTCTTTGCCTCCGTTCCTTACCCTTCTTCTCTCCTCTCCTCCTCCTCCACTCTCCCGCCCTCTCGGACATCTAGCTGTGCCTCAGGCTTCTGCCCCTCTCTCCAAGCAACACGCTTCCTCGTAAACCCCCAGCAGCCAGCCACGCAACAACCGGACCAACCAACCACCCCTTACAACCCCCCTCCCCTCCTTCCAACTCCCTCTCTTCCTCCCCACATAACAAACCACCTCACACACTCCCGGCCAATCCCCCTCCCATCTCCCCTCAGTACAGCCTCCTCTCCAGCTGCTCGAACGCAAACTCCAGCTCCTCCTCCCCCACCGCCTCGCCCCGCCGGTAGCGAGACACGATGCGCCGACAGTACTCCAGCACGGCGGCGTCCTGGGCGCGCAGGCGCTCCCGGGCCGCGGCGAGGGAGGAGACGGCGGAGGAGCGGAGGCGCTCACGAGCCTGAGAGGAGGAGGGGGTTAATAAGGATGAAGATCCGCATTAAGCTGGATTTTAGGATTGCGCATAGTCAAAATTAGTAGCAGCACACAGGAGGAGGGAGGGGAGGGAAGGGAGGGAAGGGAGGGAAGGGAGGGGGTTGGGACTTGTGGGTGAGGTGCGGGAAAAGGGAGGAGAGCGCGAAGGGAGGGAACGTTGTGCGTGGCTGGAGAGAGAGGGGTGGTTACGACACAGCCCAGACGACTCTTCCACACGCCACCTGTACCACCTCGCCATCCCGCTTCGTAATCCAACAACATGCGCTCCTCTTCGTAACATGCGCTCCTCTCCTCACGGGCTCCTCCGCCCCGTCCAACTCCTCCCCAGCCCGCATCCAATCCGTTACCCCCCACCCCCACCCCCACCCCCATCCCCATCCCCACCCCCACCCCCATCCCCACCACCTCCCCTCACCTGCAGAATGTCCTCCCTGCCCCCCGCCCCCGCCCCCTCCCTCCGCTGCCTCAGTCGCTCCCGTGCCGCCGCAATTCCATCCTCCGCACTCAGCGCCGCCAGCCGGCCCAGCTGGGCAGCCTCCGACTCAGCCTGGGCGGGTGGGCGGGGTGGACGGGAGCATGGTGGGATTGAACCCATTGAGGTGCGATGCAGGTGGAAGAATACAACCGTAGGAGCCATTGTGACAGAGGAGCCGGGGGGGAGGGGGCGGTCCCCAATGCGCGTGTGGCAAGAACGCCCCTCTGCAGTCGCCACCGCTTCCCCGCTGGCCCTCACCCCCACCCTCGCCTGCTGTCGTACGACCCCCACCCACCACCCACACGATCCGTTTGTCGTCTCCTCTTTACCCACCACCCACATGTCCCCCACCCAGCCCACCTGCCGTACTCGCTCCTGCGCATCTCGCAGCGACCTCTCCCACGGCAACTGCTGTTGCCCGGGGGAAGAGAAGGTGGTGGAGGTGGAGGTGGAGGTGGTGGGCGGCTGCGGCCAGCTGCTGCCGCCACCGCCAGCGCCACCAGCACCATTTGTGGGGTATGACGGTCCAGCTGCCCAACTGCTGCTGCTGCTGCTGCTGCTGCTGCTAGTGGCAGTGCCCGCCCCCGCCCCCGCGCCCGCCCCCGGTGTCTGTCCCCCTACCGCCATGAGTTCCAGTAGCTGGGAGTGCTTGGAGCCGATGAGGGCCGCGAGCTTGCCTGGCGAGTGGTGGGCAGCAGGGTGGAAGGGAGGGGAGGACGGGGAGGAGGGGGCGGGGGGAGGGGGAGAAGTGGGGTAAAGGAAAGAAAAAGAAGTGGAGCAGAAGAGTGAGGGAGGAGGTGGAGAAAGGGGGTCGACCTTCCGCACATGCCCGCGCGGGCGACCAAGGCCCCTCTGTAGGGGGCTCTAACGGCAGCCAAGCTCTTGAATAACAATTTGCATGCTTGAAAGAGCGCAAGCCGCAGTCGGCAGCTACACATGCCCCCCGCCCACCTCCACTGACCATAACCCCCACTGTACCACCATCTCCCACCCCCGGCACCTCCCACCACCCAACCTGTGGCTTCCTATGGTTCGGTATGGTCTTTGACCCCCCACCACCCCCCCGCCCCACCACCCACCCGCCAGTGCAAAGTTGGTTTGCGCCTTGCTGTTGCTGCCCTCGATGATCTCCCGCAGAGCAGCTTTCTCCTGCGGCAGGTGGGGCGGGGGGCCGGATGGGCCGGAGCGGGGGGGGGAGGGTGTCATGTAACGTCAGACGGAAGAGCGCGCGCGTCATGTCATGTCAGGTCATGTCAGGTTCATCATGTCATGTGCACAGTGCGCAGGGCTGCTTTCCGCAACCCCACCCCCCAGCTCCCTCCCTTCCTTTCTCAGCATGGTATCCTTGCCTTCCTTGTACCTTACCCTTCCCCACAAACATATTGGGAATTCTTTTTCATGTTCCCACCCACCTGCAGTACCAGCTTGGCCCCCGCCTCGTCGCCCGCCTTCACCTTCTCTAGGGCCAGGTCCTGAAGGGGAGAGGGGAGAGGGGTAGGGGGAGCGGGGAGAGGGGAGCGGGGCGGCCAAAAGCCTGGGACAGGGGCATGGTAAGGATATCAGGAAACAGGAAGCAAGGAGATGTGTGACGCTCAACCCCCCCCCCCGCCTGCTGCGCCCCTTCCCGTCCAAGGTCAAGCCTCGTCACATAGCCCGTCAGTTCCCTCTTTTTACCCACCTCCAGCAGCTGCGTCATATCGGCCAGCCGAACACAGGTCCGGGCGCAGGACTCGGCTGGGGAGGAGGGGGAAGAGGGGGAGGCGGGGAGGAGTGAGAGTGAGTAGGGGAAGGCGGAGAGGAGGCGAGCGACGAGGGGAAGGATAGTGCGGGTGAAAGGGGGTTGTGAGGTGCCGGGAGGCTTCAATGCCAGCGGTTCCCTATCCTGCCCCGGCCCCCTGCCCTCCGTCCCGCACTGCTCCCCTGCCCTCCGGACCCCCTGCCCTCCGTCCTCCCCTGCCCCGCCGTACCCGTCCGCACAGCGGTGTCCCGCTCCTCCTCTAGCGCCCGCAGCTCCCCACGGAGGGACTCCAGCTGGGCCTCGCGACGAGGAGAGCCGGAGGTGGAGCTGCTGGCGCCGGATCCTGGAAGGGGAGGAAATGGTGGCGATTTATCGTGATTTGAAAAAGGTAAGGCAGGTGGATTGGTGCACCAACAGATAGTTTGCCAACAGCAGCATGCAAGGCTCTGCTGCCTTGCATTCCAGACGGCATACGCTAAGGGAAACAATCGACACCTAAGCTGATTCGCAATCTATTTATATTCTAGCGTCGCAGCTTCGAGTGCATGCCGACAGGCGCTTGTCGCCAAGATGCGAACCAATTGCATACAACAAGCATACGCCAAGATCATGCTTGATAGGCATCATACCAGCATAGCTTCTGCAGGTGCAAGCTTCGGATATGTGAGGCTTAAATGGCCTGGCCCTGTCTCGTGGCCGAAGGACGTGTGCATGAAAGGCAACTGCTGGCCGAGCCTCAACAAGACCACAGCGAGCTACCCTCCCAGCCCCTTTAAATTGACACAACGAATGCAGCGCCATTTGACCTAGTCCGGTCGTTGCCAAGACACGGAGCCAAGAGAGTGTTGCAGTTGGTTTTAACAGGTATTAAAAGCCAAAGAACCAGGCCTAGGGTGATGTACCTACAGTTGTAAAATTACAACTCTCCAAAGGATTAAGGCAGTTAGAAATCGCGGATTTCGCAGCCACGAGGCCAACCGCAGTCAATGGAAGGTACTAGGCGCGCCGTACTTGTGCCCCTACATACATGCCATCCTCAAAAAGAAGTGGACACCTGGGAAGCAGCAAACAACTCAGCCACCTCTAATAATACAGCAATACGCAGCTGCCAGTGTGCACAAGCACCACGTGTGTGACAGCAGGTCTATCCATGGACCAGGCCGGACAGCATGTGCACCAGGATCCGCCACTCCTAAGGGGTACTGGCTGGCATGCTTCATCGCGCACAAAACTGGCATCCAAGATGTAGCCCTGGCAGCTCTTTAGCATTACCGTACGATTTGCTGCACGGGTTATGGCATGGTGCACACGCCTTGCAGCTGCCTGCCTCTATAACAGGGTAGGTCATTCAGTAGGCTTTCAGGTCGGGGCCAACGAAACCCGAGAACTCCGGCTGTCCTTGTCCATATGAATACAAACAAAGGACAAAGGCGGTTCATGGGGAGAGTGGCCAGAATCACTGCGCTGACAGGCGAGTGTAGCTATGTGGAGTTGCCAGCTAGACAGCCTTACATGGAGACCCCTTGAGGGTTGCCGCCAACGCCGGAGCACACCGCGAGTTCAGCAAAGAACCCTAGCCACACGTATGACTGCTGTTGCACCTGTTCATTTATATCTGTTGTTTAACTCTAAGAATTGGTATCACGCGCAGCTCCGTGTACGGGTATGTACGGCAAGGCGCACGAGAGGGGCTACCAAGCCATGTGTCGTACTCCTCTTTGCGTGCCCGCAACCAGCCCTACAAATGTCACGCTAATCGCTGCAAACTCCAACAACATGATCAGTATTTTGCCTTTACAGGGCCCCCATCATATAACATCACATCACAATAACACAGCCGCAACACGACACGTAAAGCCCAAAATGGGCTAGTAAAACTCTGGGTTATCCTGGACAAAGAAAGGACGCAATAAAGAAAGGGAGCACGGGTGCATGGGCCAGGATAAGCCCTAGCATTAGCAGAGAATCACAGAGACATGCAACGTTCCATGCATACACATATGTATTGTTGTCTGGGGGGTATCAAATCATAGCCCTTTACGTCTTCCACGCAGCGGCTAGCAGCCACACACAACCCAGCCACAGCCGCTCTAGTAGTACCCTGGTGTGATGCCCGCACCCTCCTCCGCCGTGCCGTACCCCATGGTGCCGTACCCTCCGCTCCTCATGCCGTACCCCCCATACCCGGCGTACACGTCCCCAGCAGTCTCCTGCTCAGCGCCGCTGCCGTAGTATCCTGGGGCGGCTGACTGGCGGAAGCGCAGGGGGGCGGGGGCGGGGAAGGGGGCGGGGGGCCGGCGGGAGCGGCGGCCGCGCTTGTATGGGGGAGCGGGGGCGGGGTAGGGAGCGGGTGAGGGGGCGGGGGCGGCGGGAGGCGAGGGCTTGCGGGTGCTGTCAGGAGCAGGCGTGGGGAAGGGTGCGGGTGCGGGTGCGGGTGGTGGCTTGGGCTGCTTGGGCTGCTTGGGCTTCCGGGCCTTGGGCGGCTTGGGCGGCTGAGCGGGGCTGGGCGGCTTGGGGGCGGGCTGGGGCGGACTGGGTGGCTTGGCGGATGGCTGGGGCGAGGGAGGCTCGGGGGCGGGCTGGGGCGAGGGAGGCTTGGGGGCGAGGGGAGCAGGCGAAGCTGCAGGGTGGGGCAGGGAGGGAGGGAGGGAGGAGGGGAGAGGTGTCAGCCCCCACATGCGACCTGTCGGGTAGCATGGCAGCAAGTCATGCCGCTTGCAGCAGCAGGGGCACATCCGACCAAAACACATAGCGCTGAGGAACACATACGCAAGACCCTGGGATCTTCCGGCTATTCGCCGCGAAGGGCAGCCCTTCTGTGCCGCTATTCCCCCCCAGCCGCTAACCCCCGCACCCGCCACCCACCCTTTCCCCCGCACGTCTTGGCGGCGCATGCCTCGCTGACGGGCAGTGAGATGCCCGCCTGCTTCCACTGCCGGTGGCCCCGAGCACCGTTGGCCGAGGTGACCTGCAGCTGCACGGAGCCTGAGGGGCGGGGGCGGGGGGGGGAGGGAAGGGGTGGGGGCGGCCCTCATGTTGCATGCGAGTGAAGCCCCCGGATAGAGCCACATGTCCCATGCATGCAGCCCCCCATCAGCCCCCATCAGCCCCCAGCAGCCCCCGTCAGCCCCCATCAGCCCCCAGCAGCCCCCAGCAGCCCCCGTCAGCCCCCATCAGCCGCCATCAGCCCCCAGCAGCCCCCGTCAGCCCCCATCAGCCCCCATCAGCCCCCATCAGCCCCCATCAGCCCCCGTCAGCCCCCATCAGCCCCCATCAGCCCCCATCAGCCCCCAGCAGCCCCCGTCAGCCCCCATCAGCCGCCATCAGCCCCCGTCAGCCCCCATCAGCCCCCATCAGCCCCCATCAGCCCCCATCAGCCCCCGTCAGCCCCCATCAGCCCCCATCAGCCCCCATCAGCCCCCAGCAGCCCCCGTCAGCCCCCATCAGCCGCCATCAGCCCACATCAGCCCCCATCAGCCCCCATCAGCCCCCGTCAGCCCCCATCAGCCCCCATCAGCCCCCAGCAGCCCCCGTCAGCCCCCATCAGCCCCCATCAGCCCCCATCAGCCCCCATCAGCCCCCGTCAGCCCCCAGCAGCCCCCAGCAGCCCCCAGCAGCCCCCAGCAGCCCCCAGCAGCCCCCAGCAGCCCCCAGCAGCCCCCAGCAGCCCCCAGCAGCCCCCAGCAGCCCCCAGCAGCCCCCAGCAGCCCCCAGCAGCCCCCAGCAGCCCCCAGCAGCCCCCGTCAGCCCCCAGCAGCCCCCAGCAGCCCCCCATCAGCCCCCGTCAGCCCCCGTCAGCCCCCAGCAGCCCTCCCCCTCACCCTTTGCGTCGCATGGCAGTGTGATCGTAACGGTGAACTGGGGGGCCTGGTTGCGCCCCTTGGAGGCGCCCAGGTCCAGGCGGTTGGGGCAGGTGCTGTCCGCCGTCGCCACGCCCTGGCCCCCCGCCGCCAGCACCCCCTGCGAGCTGGTCAGCAGCGCCAGCCGCTTCTCGGGGAAGGTCAGCTGCAGCGAGTGGCTGGCGCCGGGGCACAGCGCCGCAGAGGGCTGGCCGGAGGGGGAGGAGAGGGCGAAGGTGATGGCGCTGCAGGGAGGGCGGGGGAGGGGGTTAGGAGAAGGGGTTAGGGGAGGCGGGTGGGAAGTGGTAGTGGTTAGCAAAGGAGGCTGCCGTTGTCATGCAACATGTCAGGGGAAGGGGAAGGGGAGGCAGCAGCATACATCCTTTCCTGCCCTGCCTGCTGCCCCCTCGCCCCCCGCCTCCCCCCCTCACCCCCCCCCTCACGCGTCTTGCTGCGGTGCCCCGTGCGGCGAATCCAGCGCGCTGTAGTCCCGCTGCGGGTGCTGCGTGCATCCCCAGCCCGCCAGCTCCGAGGGCAGCAGCGAGGGGTCGATCAGGTAGCTGGGCAGCGCGGAGACTGGGGGCCGGGGGGGGAGGGGCGGGTGGTGAAGGGGGACGACAAGGTGAGGTGGTGCATGGTACGATAGGAGGCAGGAAGAGGGGTTAGGGGTTCACACTCCCGTTTCCGAGTCCAAGTTGCAGGCACGTCTACAGACGCATGGGCGATACCGGAACGGGGTATTGCGTAGATGCTGGTAGGTACGGACAACCCGCACCGCACGCAAGCCGTACATGCGGGGCAGACATGTGGGCACGGTGTAGGGCCTGCTGGGAGGCACCGGTTCAGCATCGGTGAAACATTCCCCTACAACCCTGGACTGCAATGGCTCTTGGCTGGTAGCGACTGTCCGGTAGCAACAAAAAGGAAGAGCCTAAAACTGCTAAAGGAGGATAGCCGTGGATGCAAGGCCCTGCCCAGCCCACTCCCACCAGGGACGCAGAACAGCGCCAGCACCAGCAAAGCGGGCAGCAAAGCGGGCAGCAACGCGGAAGCAGCAGAGGCGGCGGCAGCTGGGCGGCAACTGCCGTGGTTTCGGTGCGGCGCAGTTGCCATGACACACACACACTTTGCACTTCTTATTCACTGGTATGGTTTGTATGTTCAAGGGTTCTCGATGGGTGTTGTGTGTTGACTGGGGGTCAGCTTTCGTACTTGGCGTGTCCTGATTGACTGCTTTCCTCGGCTGGCTGGTGGCTTGATCGATTGAGGACATGGGACGTTTTATACACAGGCTGTGTCGGCTGTGCCGCTGGAAGGAAGCAGAAGGCGGTTTTTCGCGGCTGGGCCCACATGGCTTGACCCCTGGGTCGGCTCGTCCGAGCGGTTTTAGAGCCGATCGAAGTCCATCCCATGAGTCATTGTACGGCATGAAGTATCGGATGAGTGGATTCAAATGGGCATAGGAAGCGTCACATGTGTGAAACCTACTGCAACGCTGATGGAAAGGTGCCGGTAATAACATGACTAAGGCTGCGACGGCTGGAGGTTTGTCGCCACCATTCGGCCAGTGCGATGGGCGGTACGGTAGCACCAGTCGCCCGCTTACTGCATGTCCCCTAACCGCACACGTTTCCAGAAAACAAGTCAAGCCACCTTTACTGCACTATTACTCAACACACCCGAGCTAACCAGGGCCGCAATAGCAGCGTTGCCATGCGTTATGTCGGAAAATTCGGGGGTGCATCCGGTATCGAAGTAAAACACTGGGCGTTTAAGACAAGGCTTTAAGAGGGGAGCGCCCGTAGCAATGGTATTGCGCGACGCACCATGCGACTAATGCCAGGAGCACAGCGCCTCCTCAAGCCGAGATTTGGCACCAACCAACGCAACCAGCCAACCAACCAAGCCTTAATTCCCCACCCCCTTCATCCTGCAGCTAAGACACCTTGGAATGGGTGGGCAGTGTCGGGTACCGGTAGTTAGGGACTTCGGGGAGGGATGGGGTTTGCCCGTCCCAGCTACACGCGCGGGAAAGCAGCCTCCCACTAGCCGGTGTCAGTCATTCATACTCCTCGTTGTACAGGATAGTTCTGTCACAGGTGGATGGAGCCGCATGTGTGTGCCGGGCTATGCCGTACGAAGGCGCGCATGTGTGCGTGGTACGGCAGCCATAATGCGCTTTGGCAGCAGTTGGGATCGCTTCCTTGTATGAATGTTCTGCTTTAGCTTTGACCGAACACGTCCACCTATGACTTTAATGCGTTTCTAGCTCCTATGGGGTCAGTCGAAGCCTTTTGAGAATAGCCGATAGGAAATAAAGAAGTGTATTTCACCATTGACGTTTCCATTATTGATACGTCATTGGGAAGCGAACATCTTGTGCCTTTAACCGGTCTTTGTAACCATGACAACAGTGGCGCCAGCTGCTGCGGGAGCTACTAGCAGCAAGGATGGAGCAAATAGTTGGATAGTTGGCAACAATGTCGTCTTTCGGACTCAAACTGGCGAGGACATTTCAGGCTGTGTCTTCGCTTTCGATCGTCAGAGCAACTTGTTGGTCATTAAGGAGAACGGATCTCACTCGGGCGTATCCAACCTACGGATGATTAAAGCCAGCGCTGTGCGGGAGGTGGTGTCCTCAGTACAGCCTGAGCGGCCTTTCAACCTAGAGCTTCCCCATGTGGACTTGGAGCGCTGCAGAAAGCGTGAGGAGAAGGCGTTGCAGCAAGCAGAATTGGAGTCCGCGCGTGTAGGCCATGGCGTGACTAAGGAGGCCCAGGCGATTTTTGACGCACTAGTAAAGACGATGCCATGCGTCTGGCGCAACAAGGTGGGTAACGCAAGGATTTCCCCTTTCACGCATCCTGCCAGACTGCTCCGGGCACCTACAGCCGGACCCCCCTCCACTTTCTGTTCCCGTTTCCTGCAAGGACATACCTGCCCCTACCCTCACCTCGTAACTCACCTTTCTCTCTCTCCCTCCGTGCACACCCCGCTCCCGCTCTCACTGCCTCCTCCGTCCACCCTATCGCATTCCCGTCGTACTCACCCTGGCGCATTCACCTCCGCGGTCGCCTCCGAAAGCTGCTCCGTTCCCGCACGCCTCTCTCACACATCCACCCCCATCCCGAGCTCCCGGCCACCAAGGCTCCTTCCCAATCTCTCCCTCCCCAACCTCCCAAACTTCATTAGGTTAGAAGGGTCGATCGAACCATACTATGCAGCCCATGCTGGTGCCATGATGTCACACGGTTCGTTCCCTCTTCTTTACCCACCCCTCTCTCTCCCCCCTCCCTCCTCCCTCCCCCCAAAAGGTCATCGTGGTGCTCGACTCTGTGTATGTGGAGGAGCCGTACACCCCCGACAACTGCCGGGCGGATCCGGAGCACTCCGCAACTCGGGAGCGAGTCAAGATGGTGCTGCGGCTGGAGAGGGAGCGGCTGGGGCTGTGAGGAAGCGGCTGGGGCTGTGAGGGAGCGCATGAGCGGAGCAGGAGGAGGGTGGGGGTTACAGAAGCATGGGAGGAGGAGGGCGGGAGGCGGGGGCGGGAGCGGCCGGGGGCGAGCGTGGGATGGGCGACGTTGGGAGGTTTGATGATGAAGGGGTGGGTGGGCAGGGTGGGGATGGGGATTGGACGGGGCCTGTGGGGGCGGGGTGCGAGAAGGCGGAAGGGTGACGACGGGCCGGGTTGAGGCGTGGGAATGGGGATGTGGGGGTCACGGCTGCTGTGAGCGCCTAGGAGAGAGGGGTTAGAGTAGGACCAGGGAGGGAGGGAAGCGGGAGGTTGGCAGGAGTCTTTGAGTTGGGACCTCATGGTATTGGACTTGGGTTCGGACTTGGGAGGGTGAGAGTAACGGCTGGAGGGCTGGGGTTGCCCTGAAGCGGGTTGCCCTGTCCCGTCTGTCTTGTTGGTGTTACTGTTGGTGTCAGAAGGGAGCAGCCGCACCTGGCTTGACGAGCCCCATGCGTACGGTAACCGACGTGTAACGGAGAAAGGGGACTTACAGCACCCCCTATGTAGCAGTTGTGCTGCTCGAATGTGCCTGGTATGCTGGAGTTTGTGGCGGAGGGGTATTTGAGGGGTAAGCCGCAGAGCACGTTGGGGCCACAAGTTGGGTTCGTACCCTCCGGCGACGGTACGGTGACGTTACGGCGCTTAGCACTCCAGCACTGGCAAGTATGTAAGCCTCCGGCGACGGCCCGCGTTGCGATGTGCGGTTGATCGGTGCGGATCATCCTGACTTTCCCCGCGAGGGAAGTCATCCCATGTGGACGTGTGGCTATCTTGGTCCAGGGGCAGGGGGGAGGCAACGATAGCAGCGTTGGGATCGGCGGCGGGGGGGGGGGGAGGAGTTGGCGCGCGGGTGTGTATGTGTGGGTTGGGTGTTGCTGGTTGGGGTACGCTGCAGGCATGTGGGATGTGGCGTGGGCTGGAGAGGCGTGAACGTGGGTTGGATTCGCAGGGCTGGCGCTGCTGCTGCCACTAGTGGGTTCGTGAAGGGCCGTATGTGCGTTGCTTTTTGCACGACGGCCGCATTGCGCGAGGCTTTGGAGTGCCTTGTTGTGTTCGACTGTTTGAGCATCGAGCCCTTGTCGCTTGTTAATCCATTATGTTGTTCTGTAGCAGCTGCTGCTGTTGCTACGGCAGCTGCTGCTGCTGATATGGCGGGTCTGCTGGCGCTGATGAGGTCTCCGGCCGCTGCGTGTCTTCAGGTCCGAGGGTATCTTTGGGTTTGCCTGCCACCGTACCGAACTGCTATCTCGCGGTCTGGAGCAACGTGTCATTCTTTTGACGCCGTACTGTGCTCCTACAAGGAACGGCGGGTGACATGCAGCTGCGTGCGTGTTGGGGTTTGCGTTGACATGCACATGCTGTTTGGGTGTGGGAATACATGCGTGTCTCCTCTCTGCGTGGAAGAGCATGCGGTGCTGCTCCCTCTGCTCGCCGCTGTCCACAAGCAGAACGTTTTTAAGTCTTCCCAACAGCTGGTGTGAGGCTCCTGATTGGATCCCAAATCTCGCATGCATGGCATACATACTGGTATTGCATGGCATACCGGGACTGCATGGCATACACCCGTGGTGTCAGCGCGCGGTGGCGGGAGGCTATGCCTGGAGGCGGGAGGTGAGGGCTGTGTGCTACCGAGTTTTGCAATGTTGCACCGCTGTCTCTGGAACAATTGCATGCAAGTTAGGGAGCGGTTAGGGAAAGGCGGTTAGGCGGGCGGTTGGGGAATGGTGGATGCATTGCTACGGCGGTGAGGGCGTGGAGGGGGGCCTGTCGCGGCCGGCCTGCCTGCTGGCGGAGCCTGTTGGGGGTTGTTTTAAGGTGGGATGTTGCGCGACGGTGGGGCGTAACGGGGCGGTTTGGTGTGGCGTGCTGGGTGCAGCAACCCGTGCTACCCGCCGTTGGGGATTATGCGGCTCACGCGCTCACTATGCTATGTTAGACTGCAAGTTTGCGTTTCTGGAGCTACTACAATTAAGCCGATCGACGGGTCCGTGGGTCTCAACTCTCATGCATCACGCAATCAAGGGCTCCAGCTCCAGCTTTTACCACCCTTAAGGCATCGCATGCTTGCAGCAACACAAGTTGAATCGTTGTACTGCCGTGTGCGTCATTGGCCCGTTCAGTGTAAGTGACATAAAGAGCCATTACGTACTGTTAAATGGATTGTGTTGGCATGTGGCCCCGACAGCGTGCCATCCTGAACGACGACATTTGCGCACAGTACCTGAAGAGAACTGTAGAAAGCATTTAACAACACGTTGGTCGCCTCGGGGGCTCGATTTGGGTGCTGGGCGTTAACATCTCCGCAAGACCCGTGCGGGGTCCGGCTTTACGGATCGCTGATATGCCCATATGTCTTTTTGTTTCACCTGCATACGATGTGCATGAATCGGCTGTTGTTGCTCGGCACACAGCCGTTGCATGCGGTCAACACCACAGTGACCGCATGCTTTCACCTTCCTCAGTTCCTCCTTCCTTCAGCAAGCGGGACGTTACGTTCGTATCTAGTCACGTGTCTATCGTCGCTGCCGTCTCCGCCACTCCCGTGTGCAGTTCGGTGCAGTGTTACGGTGGTTACCGGTATACGACCTAGGAGGGATACACTGGGCGGACAGCCTAGCCCGAGGGACCTGCCCACACATACGTGCGTTGAGGCTGTAACCCCCATAGCTTGCCACATAAAAGGCCCACCTCCCACCGGAACATCCTCGCACTCAACCTTCCCACTCATTATAAACACACCTTTGAAGGCATGCCGTACAGTTTCTTTCTGTAGCATTAAGGGGTAGCAGCAGTAGCAGCACTCTTCAAGCCCGTCGGTTGAGGCCTAACTTTAAGCAGGCCAATTGGCTTATCACACACCAGCACGACTACCGGTTTACCCTTTCCGGCAATAACCCCCAGCATGCGAGCGGCTCCCCGCACCTCAGCAGCATGCGGCTGCTGCATGCTGCGTGCCTCCGCCCGCCGCCCCTGCCGCTTCGCCTCTCCGTTGCTGGCCGGTCTCGTGTCCCTCTCCCTGACTCTACAGCTGCTGCTGCTGCTGCTCCTTAGCTGCCGCACCGGTGGGTGGAGGCAGCCCGATGGGAGCACATCACCCCGCCTCGCCGTTGAGCGCATCAGATGCGTACAGCTGCTGCCCTACCACCCCACCCATACCTACATACACCCCCGCGCACTGGCAATTGCCGGCCATCTTCGGGCCATCTCCCGTTTCCGGCCTTCCACACACGCCACCCACCCTTCCCAGCCCAACAGCTGGCTATAACCCTCACCTTCTCCCCCTTCACCACCCGCCCCTCCCCCCCTCCCCCTCTTCCTGCCTCCTATCGTACCATGCACCACCTCACCTTGTCGTCCACCCCACCACCGCCCCTCCCCCCCCGCCCCCCAGTCTCCGCGCTGCCCAGCTACCTGATCGACCCCTCACTGCTGCCCTCGGAGCTGGCGGGCTGGGGATGCACGCAGCACCCGCAGCGGGACTACAGCGGGCTGGATTCGCCGCACGGGGCACCGCAGCAAGACGCGTGAGTGGGGGGGGTGAGGGGGGGAGGAGGGGGGCGAGGGGGCAGCAGGCAGGGCAGGAAAGGATGTATGCTGCTGCCTCCCCTTCCCCTTCCCCTTCCCCTGACATGTTGCATGACAACGGCAGCCTCCTTTGCTAACCACTACCACTTCCCACCCGCTTCCTAACCCCTTCTCCTAACCCCCTCCCCCCACCCTCCCTGCATACCACACTTTGGAATTTCTTTTTTACCCTCCCTGCAGCGCCATCACCTTCGCCCTCTCCTCCCCCTCCGGCCAGCCCTCCGCGGCGCTGTGCCCCGGCGCCAGCCACTCGCTGCAGCTGACCTTCCCCGAGAAGCGGCTGGCGCTGCTGACCAGCTCGCAGGGGGTGCTGGCGGCGGGGGGCCAGGGCGTGGCGACGGCGGACAGCGCCTGCCCCAACCGCCTGGACCTGGGCGCCTCCAAGGGGCGCAACCAGGCCCCCCAGTTCACCGTTACGATCACACTGCCATGCGACGCAAAGGGTGAGAGGGAGGGCTGATGGGGGCTGACGGGGGCTGCTGGGGGCTGATGGGGGCTGACGGGGGCTGCTGGGGGCTGACGGGGGCTGCTGGGGGCTGCTGGGGGCTGCTGGGGGCTGATGGGGGCTGATGGGGGCTGACGGGGGCTGACGGGGGCTGATGGGGGCTGACGGGGGCTGCTGGGGGCTGCTGGGGGCTGATGGGGGCTGATGGGGGGCTGCATGCGTGGGACATGTGGCTCTATCCGGGGGCTTCACTCGCATGCAACATGAGGGCCCCCCCCTCCCTCCCTCCCCCCCGCCCCCGCCCCTCAGGCTCCGTGCAGCTGCAGGTCACCTCGGCCAACGGTGCTCGGGGCCACCGGCAGTGGAAGCAGGCGGGCATCTCACTGCCCGTCAGCGAGGCATGCGCCGCCAAGACGTGCGGGGGAAAGGGTGGGTGGCGGGTGCGAGGGCTAGCGGCTGGGGGGGGTGGTACAACAGCGGCACAAAGAAGGGCTGCCCCTTTGCGGCAAATGGCAGGAAGACCCCAAGGTGTCGGGTGTGTGTCCTGCAGCACTAGGTGTTTTGGTCGCTGCAAGCGGCATGACTCGCTGCCATGCTACCCGACAGGTCGCATGTGGGGGCTGACACCTCTCCCCTCCTCCCTCCCTCCCCTCCTGCCCCTCCCCGCAGCTTCGCCTGCTCCCCTCGCCCCCAAGCCTCCCTCGCCCCAGCCCGCCCCCGAGCCTCCCTCGCCCCAGCCATCCGCCAAGCCACCCAGTCCGCCCCAGCCCGCCCCCAAGCCGCCCAAGCCGCCCAAGGCCCGGAAGCCCAAGCAGCCCAAGCCGCCCCAGCCACCACCCGCACCCGCACCCGCACCCGCACCCTTCCCCACGCCTGCTCCTGACAGCATCCGAAAGCCCTCGCCTCCCGCCGCCCCCGCCCCCTCACCCGCTCCCTACCCCGCCCCCGCTCCCCCATACAAGCGCGGCCGCCGCTCCCGCCGCCCCCCCGCCCCCGCCCCCGCCCCCTTGCCCGCCCCCGCCCCCCTGCGCTTCCGCCAGTCAGCCGCCCCGGGATACTACGGCAGCGGCGCTGAGCAGGAGACTGCTGGGGACGTGTACGCCGGGTATGGAGGGTACGGCATGAGGAACGGAGGGTACGGCACCATGGGGTACGGCACGGCGGAGGAGGGAGCGGGCATCACACCAGGGTACTACTGAATGCTGTTGTTGAGGGTGGGGACTGCCTTGGGCTGCATGTTAGGGGCTAGCAACTGTACGGTGCATGGGCTTCACTGGGTTGTGATGGCACACCCTGGATCAGCCTGTATCCAGTTTTCTTAATACACCCTGGATGGATGTCGCGGGCTGCTGCCCCACATTAGTGCCGCTGGTCTGCACACGTGCGTACAACTGTGGTTCTAGGGTCATATCGCTCGTCATGCGGGGGTAGCATCCGGTCATGCGGTTGGGCTCATGTGGGGGTAGCGCTGGGGGCAGCATCCTGAGGCTGGATGTTGAGAGGATTTGGCACTTCGGGCGCATGGTATAGAGGACTGATTCCTACTGATTCCTGCATGCTGTACAACTCATCAACTCTAGTTGCACATCCGGTGTGGATAGCTGGATAGGGTATGCTGCCAGGTGGCACCTCTCGGACGGGGCACCCCTCTTCTGGTGTGTGCGTTGGCGTATCATTCTGTCTCGCTGATGCGTACTTCTTGCCGCATGCCGGTGTGTTAAAATAACTGGCCGCGAGTAGGAACATGCCGGTGTGTGCGTCTGGTGGGTGGGTAGACGTATGTTATATTTATGACATTCTGGGAGAGGTGGGGTGGGGGGTAAGGTGTTCAGAAGCTCCACCGGTACTTGCAAGCAAGGGCAGTGAGATAGGGGACGCTGTTGGGCTGTTCTGCAGCTGCAGCAGCTGCTGCTGTAATGCCTGCTGTTACCGCGTCCGTGACTCCGTGTAGGTCCACGGCTGCGTTTAGGATTGACTCCATAATTGCTTTGCCATCTCCATGTGTCGGAAGGCAGGAGAGCCGGTTGGTTGGGAAGCTCACATATATCAGGGCACCTAGTACGGAAGGGTACTGCGTTCATACCAGATGGCCGTCCGCAAGCCTTTGGCAGTATATATATGACGGATTCCTGCATCGTAACAACAGGGAACCATTGTAACGGCCATTCGTTCATTCAACAAGGTGTTTCCTGCACAGGCTAACCTCCTTGCTGCTGCTGGGTGGGAAGCAGGCACCACACGTAAGCATCCAATCCATCCATGACCAGTCGCGCGATGTCATGAGCAGTGGACTCACATCAGGACCATGCGCCCCAGCTACTTAGGCCCCCAATGCCTTACACCTTATTGATGCTAGCGGCATAGGCGCGGCACTGGCGCGGCACTATGCACCAGTTGTCACTTCAGCTAATGCTCTTGTCCCTAATACGGTAGCGCAACGGGATACGCCATATCACTGCATCTGATTGCTAAAATGGTTACAATGGTCCCAGGTGCGCTTCCTGGCAGGGTGCATAGTGTCGCTTGCTTGCCCTGGCCGCCCTCCATCTTGTATGCACCCATCCGATCCGTCTCAGGGCCCGTTGAGGCCCCTACAAGCGGCCCAGCTACTGCTCACAATTTCTCCCGTCTGGCGATAGAACCTTTAAGCAAGTTGTGGCATAAACTATATTCCAAGAGGTCGAGTTTTGGCTCCTGTACCTGTCGTGTCTGACGAACTTCGCGATGCGGGACAGCGGTGTTACAAGCCTGGTCAACAGTCCACACATTTATTATTTGAATCCTTACTTACTCAACCACCTGCACGCTCAAGATGTCTGCACTTCGCATCTGCAAGCCCTTCACCGCTAGCGCTCAGCGGGTTGTTTCCCGTCGACCATGCGTACGCGTTTCAGCTTCGATGAAGCTCTACAGCAACCCCATGTCTCGCGGCAAGATCATTGAGTGGTATCTCCAGGAAATTGGGGCCACCGATGTAGAGGTCATCAACCTGGACCTGAAAGAAAAGAGGGAGCACAAGTCGGAAACCTTTAAGAAGGTAAACAAACAACGTGGTTATGCAGACCGTGGTTGCCATCCTTGGAATGTAACAATGCGCATGGCCATGGCGAGCAGGTGAACCCCTTCGGCAAAGTTCCTGCGCTGGAGGATGGAGATCTAAAGCTGGTGGGTTAGTAACGAAGGCATACGTGGGACTGGCGGTCGCTAGGGAGCGACATGCGATGCACGTGTAAATAGTTGCACCTCGTTCTTCTCGCTCCTCCGCTCGCTTTCCACTCTCCCCGCCCTCCGCTCTCCCCTACCCCGCTCTTCCATCCCACCGTCCGTCAGTTCGAGAGCGGCGCCATCCTGCTGTACCTGGCTGAGAAGTACGGCAAGATCCAGGATCCCACCCAGCGCGCCAAAGCCACCCAGTGGGCCCTATTCGCTAACAGCACACTCGCCATCTCGGTGTTCTCGGAGCAGGTGCTTTGGGGGGCGGGTTTGTGGGACCGGCAGGGGTCTTTAAAGGCTCCCCCTTGTGACCTACTTAGCAAGGGTGCCTTACCTGGGCGCTACCTACCTGTACGCATGGAGATATGTAGAGCTGGGATGTGGAGGCTTGCAGCAGAGCCTTCACTGCTCTGTAACCCTGTACCTCCCCTCTTCCTCCCCTCTATTCTGCCACCCTCCTCCTCCCACTCCTCCTTGCCTCCTTCCTCCCCTCCCCTGCCGCCTCATTCCCTCTTTGTTTTGTCCATTCATGGTTTCCTATGGTTTGGTCTTTTTGACTCCCCTGCCCTCCCCCCCCTACCCCTGCCCCCCCATCATTCAACACCTTGGGATTCTTTTTCCCCGCCCCCAGTTCCGCGACCGCGCCATGCCCGACCTCTTCTCCAACCTGGACGCCCTGCTGGCCCAGCATCCCTACCTTGAGGGCGACGCCTTCAGCGTGAGCGATGTGGCGGTGGGCGCCTACCTCCTGTACATTCCCGCCATGCTGCCACAGGTGGACCTGTCACCCTACCCCAACGTGCTGGCCTACATGCAGAGGTAGGGGGGAGGGTTAGGCTGGGTGCTGGGGAGAGCTAGGGGGGAGGGTTAGTTGGGAGGGGGGAGGAGGACGTGGCACCGGAGGGTGAGGGGGAGGACAAATGGGTGGAGTCAGGATGGGTATGCGTGTGCGTGCGAGGGGCTCCCATGTACGTCTTCTTCGTACCTTCTCGCACCTCTTACCGGTACTGTGGCATGGCGGTCCCTGACCGCCCCCTCTCCCCCTCTTTCCCTCCTCTCCCCTCCTCCCTTCCTCCACCCCGCCCCCCAGGCTGGCCCAGCGGCCCGCATGCGCCGCCACAGTGGCAGCGCGCTCGCAGGAGCGCCGGCAGCAGGAGGCGACGGCGGCGGCAGCGGCAGCGGAGACAGAGAAGAAGAAGAGCGCCTGAAGAAGAGGGAAACAGCGCCCTAGTACGGTAGGGTAGGGGAGAAACCATATGTACCGTACACTGCTCGGTGGCGAGGAGGGACGTACACAGGATGTACAAATGAGGTGTTGAGCCGCGTTTTGAATTGAACGGCGAATATGTGCCATTGTGACCGCTGTCCTCGCATGGATGATGGCCGTGCATTGAGGGTGTGTGCGGGGACGAGTGCTGGGTTGAGGTTGTGAACGGCTTGCAGCAGGCCTCCGTAGCAGGCCTTGGCATGAGGCGTGTGTGGGTGGGAGGGAGGGAGCGGGGTTGCCGGTGTCGGTATGTGAAAGGGTAATATGAGGCTGCGAGAACTCGGTCGGGGCTTGTAAGCAGCAGTGGCATCTGCATGGCGCTCGTGTGTTTGTAACGTGAGCACCTGCGCACCTTGTATTATTGTAATACCACACACTATCTGTCTGACGTAACCCATGTGCCTCGCTCGCCGGTATAAATATAGACATCTGTTGGTACCCGCGTGCTCACTAAGGCTGATGACCCATGGGTCACCAGCGACTCCAAAGGTGATGCTTCGAGGCGTTGACGATGCACATGTGGGGTTGTGAGCTTGCGACACACGCGCAGCGTATAGCAGCGTCCTGCATAACAGGAATATGCGGAGGAGCTTGTGGACAGGTCGGTCGGACGCCGCTGACCGTCGTCATACGCATGCATGACCATACTCCACACCTGAAGTGACAATCGCATAATCCCCCCCTCGCTCCCCCACCCTACTGACAATCCAGTTCATTGTGGCATGTGTCTAACCCATTATACACTTTGCCTCCCCCATTGTCTCCCCCTTCTTGCCCCTCTACTTGCTCCCTCTCTGCTAGTCCTTCTCCTCCTCCTCCTCCTTACCTTCCGTACTGCTGCTGCCCTGCAAGACATCCGCGACTGTAGGTCCGCAGCTCGCCGCGCTGCAACCAGCACCCAAACTGGCCGGTCCATGTTCCAGACAGTGTTTATCCACCGACCCCAGTTTGTTCATTGACAAAATTATGAGTGATTATTTGGGTGCCATGCCAGCGAATGGTAAGCCTCAGCAGCAGCAGTGCGGGTCCCCGGGGTCACTCAAGGACCGAGGATACGGCTGTGGCACAGAGCGGTCCAAAGGGACGGCATCTGCAAAAGTACAAATGACTTAACAGCATCATTGGTATAAAAACATTCACCAGCAAGACACGATCTTGCAACAGTCTTGCAACAGTCATCACGCTTTTTGCGCCCTTGCCCTGCGAAACGAGGGTTCCTCAGAAGCAGCAGCTTTTGCACGCCGACAAAACGCCGGCGCAGCGCTCCTTTTTAGGCGTCAAGTTGTCGGCCAAAATCAAAAAAACAGCATTACAGCTGCTATTTTAGGCCATCTACGTAATGAGCTACGGCGGCGGAAAGGTGAGCATGCCGGTGTGTGTGAAGACCGCAGTGCAGGTGGGGGTGTACCGGTACGTTGAAGGCCGCCTCCTCAAGCTGTTGGCAGCAACCGGGAACTAAGGAGGCGTTGAGGCGGGCGCGCAGGCAAGCCCACGAGACCGTGTTCCGTGTTCATCGATTTATCCCTATGCGTTGTGGCTTGTTACTTACCTGCTGTTCCAAAAGCCGGCATTTCCAGTCAGCTTAAGACTATCTAGACAGCTATTTGGACAGCTATTAATTGTCCGTGGGCGCGATTCAGGGTGCATTCTTCGTCCTTATCTACCGTATCCGCGGCGGCTGTTGACCTTGCTTTTCCTGGCAATCTTTCCTGGCTCCCTGGCTGGTGACGCCTCCTTTCCTCCATATGGTTTGGTTTCCCAAAGGACTCCCCTCCTGCCTCCCCACCAGGGCTCCTCGTACTCCTCCACCAAGAGCCGCTACACGCTGCTGGTGGACAATGTGTCCAGCATGACACCAAAGTGGGGGCGGCGGGGGGACAGGGCTTGGGGCAGCGGGGGCAGTTGGCAGGGCTAGGGGAAGATGAGGCCGGGCAGGGGCATGTGCGGATGAGGGATACACTGCCAAAGTCCACACGCGCGCTCGAGCGTTGGCGCCTTCAGCAGCTAGCGCCGACTGGAGGCGATTCCGTACCGCCCCTGACCCGTTATGCCTCCCTCCTCACTTGCGAGTTCCTTGGATAGTGTCTCCGAATGCGCTCACTGGGATATGGGATTGGGACTCCAGTTGCTGCACTTTGTGCTTTTCATAATTTTTCCATCCCTCCCCCCCTCCCTACCCCACCAGGCGCGACCTGATCAAGGAGATGGAGCGAATCGCTGGAACCGTGCTGTCGGTGAGTTGCTGGTGTGTGTGGGGTGAGGGGTAGAAAGGATGAGGAGTGCCCCTTGGGTTGGTAAGCTGGGAGGAGAAGGGGATTTGGCTGGCCGGGTGGATGCGGCGGAAACGAGTGGGCATCATCATCAGCCTTTACACTGACCCACGGGTCACCAATGGGACGTTGACCTTCCGGTTGCCGCTCAGGCCTGTTCCCCGTCCTTTTCTTGCTGCTCGGCTTTCTCTCTGTCTAAATCAGCTCAATTCGAGCCCGACCTCAACAACCCAACGCATGCCACATGCGGCACGAAACACCTTTCTCGCCCTTTTCTTCCCCTTTCCTCCCCCCCTCGCCCCCCTCGCCCCCCTCCCTCTCCACCTCGCCCGCCAGGCCGCCAAGGACGATCGGCGGCGATCCGTGCTTGTGGAGTTCAAGCGGCCGGGGTGGGGTTGGGGCGGCTGGGGGGCTGCCCTGCACGCTGCGTTACCCTGTTTCGCCTGCCTCTCGCCTTGCCCCCTCCCTCTCCTGCGCCACCCATCCTTTCCGTTTCCTCCCCTCCCTTCTCCTCGCTATATAACAACTACATTTATACGCTAACCCAACTATCTAGCCTGACGTGGAGTAAATACCGGCATCCCTATCTCGTTGTTTCACTTATTTACTTTTTCCCCCCTCCCCGCTAAGGGACGCCGAGTACGCCTACCGTAAGGCCCACGGGGTGCGTATGGACGGGCGGCGGTGGGAGGTGCGCTGGGCAACTCGCGAGGACTTCAGGTGGGGGCGAGGGGGGGTTCGCATGGTCGCCCTGCTTCCTATTGGGTTGGGGGCTTCCTTGCTTGCCCTGCTTGCTTGCCCTGCTTGCTTGCCCTGCTTGCTTGCCCTGCTTGCTTGCCCTGCTTGCTTGCCCTGCTTGCTTGCCCTGCTTGCTTGCCCTGCTTGCTTGCCCTGCTTGCTTGCCCTGCTTGCTTGCCCTGCTTGCTTGCCCTGCTTGCTTGCCCTGCTTGCTTGCCCTGCTTGCTTGCCCTGCTTGCTTGCCCTGCTTGCTTGCCCTGCTTGCTTGCCCTGCTTGCTTGCCCTGCTTGCTTGCCCTGCTTGCTTGCCCTGCTTGCTTGCCCTGCTTGCTTGCCCTGCTTGCTTGCCCTGCTTGCTTGCCCTGCTTGCTTGCCCTGCTTGCTTGCCCTGCTTGCTTGCCCTGCTTGCTTGCCCTGCTTGCTTGCCCTGCTTGCTTGCCCTGCTTGCTTGCCCTGCTTGCTTGCCCTGCTTGCTTGCCCTGCTTGCTTGCCCTGCTTGCTTGCCCTGCTTGCTTGCCCTGCTTGCTTGCCCTGCTTGCTTGCCCTGCAGTACACAGTACACACCCACCCACGCACTGGGTTGGAGGGGCCTTGCTTGCTCCCGCGACTCTTCCGCTCCCGCCCAGCTACCGACAATCCGGCGGCTCTCCCGCCCCTTCTGCAGCCCTTGCTGCCCGGCCCAGCTAAAGTGCCCAACCCCTGCCCTTCTACCCTCGGCGCCCGGCCCCAGCACATAACCCCAACCCCGGACCCCCCCCACTGTTGCCTCCAACCACCAACCGCCTACTGCTGTCCCCACCTGCCTTCCCTTTCCTCCCTTCCCTGTACTGCCGTCTCCGGCAGGGATTTTGGCTGGAAGTGGACGGAGGGCGGTGGCGGCGGCTACGAGAGCGGGGAGGAGGACGAGCGCGACACCACCGGATATAACACCATCACCCCGCTCAGCAGGGAGAGGAGCAGGTGGGGGGGGGGGAGAGGAAACGGATGAGAGCTGTGTGACGAGGCTTCACCGCGGGGATGGGGGTGGGGCAGCCCTACACAACTGAGACCTTTTCCTCGCACCCTGCGGCTCGCTCCCCCAACCTGCGCCCGCTGCTTCCCGCTACTCCTCTTCCACCCGCGCCCCAACCCCTGCCCCGACCTCATTTCCCCTCCCATTCTCCCACTCCTCCCCCAGGAGCCCTGTGCGTCACGGTGGCGGGGGGCGGCGGCTGTCGCTCAGCCCCCAACGCAGCGGCGGCTCGGGCTACTGATGAGGTGCATGCAGGCCGTATCTGCACACTGCGGGATGGAGGGATGTCGATGGATGGGTGGATGGATGGATGGATGTCTCTGGAGGGAGGGATGGCCCTGGATGGAGGATTGTCTGGATCGAGGGGGAGGAGGGGAAGAAGGAGGAGGGGGAGGGAGCAAGACGGAGCGCTGCAGCGGTGTGCCGCTTGAAAGACAGGCGCACGCGCCGGGCCTGAAGGTGGGAATGAGCTACTGCGTCGTGTAGCTGATGGCGACCCCAAGGTGGGGGGTATACACAGGAAGCTGGTCACAGCAAGCTGAGCTGAGGTAGCTGGACACGTTGCTGGCGTTCGTACGTTGCCATGGTCAAAGGTTGTTTGTTGAGTTGCGTGGGCGTAGAGGCAGGCTTGCGCGGCAAGCGAGCGGCGTGTACCGTACTAGGGCCGAGGAGGGGGTTTCTCATCATCGGGTGTTGAGCTTAGGCAAGGAGGGTGGGGAAGCTTGCACTGCTGCGAGCATTCAGATGGGGCGTTGCGGACCCACATGCACACATATTGTGAAATTGCGGGTTTCACGTGTGTTCAGACTGTTCAACTGAATGTCCGGTGCGTATGCATGCGCAAATGTTACTACGGTACCTAGGGTCTTGCCGCCTAACAAAGAGCAGTATTAGCATAATATTGTACCGTAATTATATTACTATTCGGCTATCCATGTCGTTTGGCAGCGTTCAAAAGCATCCTAAGGGTTGGGTGAGTCATATCGCAAGTTCAAAGCGTCGCATGCAACGACATACGACAAATGAAAGTAGGACGCAATAATACTATATATGCCGGTATTAAGGGTTTCGCAACAGCAAGGACAACAGTGGCGGCGATGCGGCCGAGGATACGACCAGTCACATGGGGTCCTGTGCATACGCTAGTGGCGCAATGGGTAGCCATCGTATAGGCGCCGATCTTTATCAATCTGAAAGGAGGATAACTAGCGCACCTCTTTCATGTTCTTAAATAGGCAGGGGGAGTAGGTTGAGGAGGCAGCAGTTGGCCAGTACGTTCGTCATAGTGCTACTCGGCACATGCCGCGCAGTGCGGAATGGGGGAGCCAATGGATTTTGGAGATTCGCAGTTTGTGTTCACTGACCGGGAGCTTAACGACTTACTAGGGGCAATTGAGTCACAGCGGGCAGCAGGCGTCGAGGGAGAGCTGGAAGTCCCAGACTTCCTACGTTTGGAGGGCAAGGAACCTCTTGCCTTGCAGGTAAATACTTGGGTAAATTGTTTTGCGAAACCTAGTCCTTGCCGACCTTGTCGTCATACATCCACCTCTGCTGCCATCCGGGGCCTGCAGTTCCAGCCGCATTACAGCAGAGGAATCGAGCAAGCTCTTGACGCCTCTAGGGCTTGCGCGCTGGTGAAGGAGGAGATGCAGTCGGTCAGCCAATTATCAACTGCCATGGCGTCAACACAAGCCGAAATACATCAAATTCAGCCGTCTTTTGTCGATGAGACATACAATATGGGACGGTCTTCTGGAATACCAGCCACCCATCTGTCGGGTCCAACCGCACTGATGGCTCCCTTCAGCAGCGGCATCCCCAGTCCGACTCTCGGAGTCGGCTATTCGCCATTTATTTCCTCTGATATGGCCAAATCAGTTATTGTTCCACAGTCGCCGCGAATTGTCCAAGCACAAGAGCAACTACCGGTGTTGCCGCAGCCGGCTACCTTGCCTCCATCATCATCGCGACAGTCCTTGCCGTGCCCGAGCCGAGGCAAGTTTAAGGGAGGATTTCCCTATTCCGTTTGCCAGCGTCACGGCAAATGATATGCCCCTTACACGCAACACCTGACGCGCGGGGTAACTTCAGTCCAGACACATGGCTTGTCGCGGCGTGTCAGTCCTGCGGCTCAGTCCTGCTTCAACACACGGCTTCTTGTACATCCCCCGGCACAAAAATCCCCACGCATCCCATTCGCCATTTCCCCAATTTTCCCTCATCCTCATGCCTCTTCCCCCATCCATCCTCATGCTCCTTCGCAGCTTCCGTCGCTGCTTCACGCCCCACTGCCCCGGAGGTACGAGCGGGAGCAGCCGGCAACAGCGGCGGCAACGCAGCCGGCCCCAGAGACGTTAGCGGCGGCAGCGGCGGCGGCGGTAGCGGCTCTGGCCACCAGATCAGCCATTCGACGGTTGAGAAGCAGCGGCGGGACCGCATCAACTCACTCATTGATGAGGTGAAAGCGCGATTACCCCTCGCGTGATCCCTTTCCGCATCACCTTCAATTGCATGCCACCTGACACGTGGTTTTCTCATCTTCTTTTTTCCCCTCCTCCTCCCCTCACATTGCGATCCCCTTCCCCTTCCCCTCCCTCCCTCCCTCCCGCTCTTCCCCCCCCCCTTCCCTCCCCTCCCAGCTCCGCGAGCTGGTGCCCCCGCAGCGCCCGCAGCTCCTGCGCTCCAACAACGGCCCTCTAGCAGCGGCAGGAGGAGGCGGAGGAGGAGGGGGACCAGCGGGAGGAGGAGCAGCAGCAGCAGGAGGTGTGGTCGCCCTGTGCGCAGATGGTGGAGGTGGTGGTGGCGGTTGCCCCTGTGAGGCGGGTGGAGGTGGAGGTGGAGGTGTTCCCGAGTGCCGGCGACCCAAGCACGTGGTGCTGGCGGACACGATTGCGCTGCTGAAGCACCTGCAGCGGAAGGTGGGGAGGAGGTGGGGAGGCGGTGGGAAGTGGGCGCGAGGGCGAGGGTGAGGGTGAGGGACCTGAGGGCCATGAGGGCGAGGGTGGGGGTGAGGGGTCCAGCATGTTTCCACCGCGCTTCCATCCTGCCCCGCGCCCTTCCTCCGTCTCACCCCTCATCACCCCGCATGATACCTCCCCCCTGTTCCCCCCTTCCTCCCGCAGCTCCAGGTCAGCTCCGCCGCCCCGCAGGAGCAGCCGCCTCCCCCCGAGCAGCCGCATGCAGCAGCAGCAGCAGCAGCAGCAGCGGACCGGCAGCAGCAGCGCGAGCAGGAGGAGGAGCGGGAGCGTAATGAGAACCCGCACCAGCCTCAGCAGCGGCGGTCGCGGAGGGATGGAAGCGGCGGAGCAAGGGAGGGAGGCGCGGCGGAGGAGGATACTGCTCACATGTGCACTGGGGGGCGGGAGGGATCGAGCAGGTAGGGTTGTCCTCGGCACCCTTCTCCACACTCTGGGCGTGCGCCCCTCCCAACACAGCGCCGCGCGGGCTTTGACTTGGCTTGACTAGGCTCCTTTCCTGCCTCCGCCACCCCTCCCTCTCTCCCTTATGCTGCACTTATCATTTATTTTTTCCCTATTTCATCCCCTCCCCACCTCGCTCTGCAGCCAGGAGGAGGCTGAGGATGTTGAGATGCTGAGTGGAGCTCCCCGCATGCCGCATGTGAGGGGGGGCAGGGAGGGGGGGCAGGGAGGGGGGGTGGTTGGGGGGGCAGGGAGGGGACAGGGGGGGCATGGTTGGGGGGGCAGCAGCTTCCGGTCGGGGAAGGAGGGAAGGAGGGCGGGGGCGAGAGGTCAAGAGGGGGAAGGAAATACATGCCGCATGTGAGGGTGGGGGGGGAGGGGCCGCCGGGGGGGGGGGGCAGGGAGGGGGGGGTGGGACAACCGCCTCCCTGCTGCGGTTGGGGAAGGAGGGAAGGAAGGAGGGAGCAAGAGAGCAAGAGGTAGAGAGGAGGACATGTGCAGCATGCGTCTCATCGCTCATGCAGCATGTATCTTTGTCCCCGCTCCTCAACTCCCTCCCCTCCCCCCCCGGGGTCTCAGATCCCCTGCCATGTGACGGAGAACGCGGGAGTAACTGTGGAGCGGGGACCCGACTGCTACTACGTGCAGGTGGGCACGAGGGGGGAAAATTATATAATAAATGCAAACAACAGGTGGGCACGAGGGGGGGGAGGGAAAAAAAGAAATTCCAAAGGGGGGAGGGAGGGGAGGGAGGGGGGGGGGTAAAAGGGAGGAAACGGACGAGATACCGTACGGCAGGTGGGGTTAAAGAAGAAGAAGAGTAAGGGGTGGGGTGGGGTGGGGTGGGGGTAAGGCGGTATCCCGGGGTACCGTACTCAACCGACCAGCCGCCAACCCGCCCATTTCGCCCTCCTCCCGCACAACCCCATACCCGCCCTCGCCCCCGAATCCGTTGCTGCACTTATCTTTAACTCCCCCCCTCCCCCCCCAGGTCAAGTGTCGAGACCGCACGGGCCTGCTGTCTGACATCATCAACGCCCTCAGGCAGCTGCCGCTAGAGGTGCGGGGGAGGAGGGGCGGGGGGGGGGGAAGTGGGGTAGGGTGGGGGAAGGCGGAGAACCACTGACTGCCCACCCATCCCCTCTTTCCCCTCCCTGCTTCCCTCTTCTTCCCGACCCTTCCCCCCCCCGCGAACCACTTTGGAATTTCTCCCCCCCCCCCCGATCAGATCCGCACCGCCTCCGTCACCACCACCAACGGCATCGTGCGGGATGTGTTTGAGGTGCGTCTGGAGGGCGGCGGGGGTGAGGCTGCTGCTGCAGGAGGAGGAGGAGGAGCAGGAGCAGGAGGAGGAGCAGCAGGAGGAGGAGGAGGGATGCCAGAAGGCGCGAGGGGAGGAGGAGGTGCTGAAGGCCCAGTGGGCGCAAGCGGTGGCGGTCCTCCTCCTCCTCCTCCTCCTCCCTCCCTGGAGCCCGAAGACCTGCAGAACCACATGCACTTCGCACTCTTCCAGCGACCACCGCCCCCTCCTCCGCCGCCTCCTTCGTCTCTACCTCCACCTCTAATTCCTCTACCTGCTGCTTCTTCGCCGCCTCCGCAGCACCAGCACTTGCAGCAGCAGCAGCAGCTGCAGCACCCCTACCTGGGGCAGCAGCTGCCGTCATGCGGGCAGTCGCCTCCCGGCTACAGCCTCCACCCGCCGCCGCCTCCGTACGTCATAGCTCCGCCGCCGCAGCAGCAGCCGCTGCTGCGGCCACTGCAGCAGCAGCACCCCTACCTGCCGCCTCCGCCCCTCCCGCTGCTCCCACTGCTGGCACCCCACCAGCACCAGCAGCAGCAGCACCACCTTCTACCCGGCTACCCGGCGTGCATCCACCCGCAGCTGCAGCTGCAACCGCACCTGCAGCAGCAGCAGCAGCAGCAGCAGCAGCAGCAGCGGAGGCGAAAGAGCAGCAGCGGTAGCGGGGGTGTTGGAGTGGGTGTGGGTGTGGGTGGTGTTGGAGTGGGCCTTGGAGGTCTGCTTGGGGGCGTGGGCTCGCCTGGTGTTGCTGCCGGTGTTGCTGCTGCTGTGGAGGTGGCGGGCGGGGAGGGGAGCCCGGGGAAGCGCCGTCGGGGGCTGGGCTGAGGAGCGGCGCAGAGGGGACCGGGAAGGATGGGTCGGTGCATGCGGGAAGGATGCCGCGGTGCATGCGGGAAGGATGCCGTGCGCAGGGCGTGAGGGCTGAGGTAGAGAGCTGATTGGCGATGGAAGGGAAGGGGCTTACGGAGAGACGGAGAAGACAAATGCTGCATGCATGGGAAGGGAGGGCGAAAGGAGGGGCCGGTACATATGGTATATGGTTATACGAGCGGTTGCACCACTAGCAGTTGTGCAGGGGTTCCGGAGACACACACACATGCGCCAGTTTTCTTAACACACATGCGCAACCGCGTTGTGTTGCGTGCTAAGCGGTTTGCGCTAGCTTGTAGCGTTTTACATGTTGTATTCTTTCCTGTTGTATAAAGCGGCCTGTTGTGTATAAAGCGGCGCTTGGGAGGTATGTGAAGAAAGTTTGAAGAGTTGAAACATCCTCTTCATGCATGGGGAGGTATCCCGCCTGCTGTTGAAGACAGATGAGATGAAAGTGCAGTACAGATCACCCACTGGTGCATCGTACATCGTATGTACGGCAAGCATTGTTTCATTTTGCAGTTCCATCGTAGTTATAGCGGTTATCATGAGAGGCCTAAATGCATTTTAGGGAGCCGTAATTGCATGCTATGCATGTGCCTTCGCAGGAGTGCATGCACGTGTGCATGTTGTTATGTTCTTCGAGTTGATACTGTTGCAGCCGCGATGTGGGCGGGTACAAGGTAGGGATATGCAGCGTGTAACTTACGCTGCTGTTGTTACTGTCTCTCGGTCCAATCCGCAACATATACCTGGACGTGGTTAGCATGGTTCACCCACGACACATCGAACACAAGCTGCGGCTCTCATTGTTGTTTGCCTCCCTGAATGCATGTCAACTGGGCCTTTAATGTCTCGGAAGCGCTGAAAGGCGCTGTTGTATATCCGTAGGATGGTTTCGTGCCGTATTTTCCATGTTTTTGCCCTGCACCGTAAACGTCTGCGGCCTCCTCAATTGGTGTGTTATGGTACAGCGTACAGCAACTCAGCCGCGTAACTGAACTATCATTGATTGTTGGTGTATTCCTTGCACTGGTTGCAACCTGCGTTGATTGAGGTCTGGGCAAGTTTGTAAGTCGGCGGTTGTAACTCCTTGCTTGACCGGTAGGACGGGCCAACACGGGGGTCAGACGCACACGCCTCAAGAGGCAACAACAGCACGAGGCTTGCTTACTACTGCTACTACCAAGGTCGCTGTAGGCCCCTGTCCGCAGCCCCTACTACCGGCCAAAGGATATCGGCGTATGCCAGAACACGGAACGAAACGTTTAGCCATGCACGGCTCTATCTCTTCTGCTGCCGGTACTATACCAACGACACGGGCAGCACCCAATGTCGCACTACTGTACGGTTTATACAACCGCTTTATACGGCAGGAACCTCCGCACCGCGCAATACAGCATCACTGTTATGTTGGCACCAAACCAACCCGCCTTTGCCAAGCAGGGCCCTGGTATAATGCGCACCATGCTTGCTTATGAGCGCGCCTCCTCTGCTGCTACAGATGTACGACACACCCGTGTTGGAATACGGCACACCTGTCATCATGTACGGTAAAATTCGTACTCTGCCGTACACGTATCGGTTAGCCACATGACCTCCATCGGCGGTATCAGTGCCACTACCCTCCTGCACAACGCGTTCTCACCACCCTGTCATAACCCGACTTCATTTCTTTTCCCTTATAACCCGGGGACCCGGGCTGCCTTTCAATGAAAGCACGTTGCTGCTGGACGCTCCATTGGCAGGTTTGTCCCGCATGCCGTTCATGCAAGGCCACGTTGAGGTGATGGATCGCTTATGACGGCCACACACACGTCCTGCCGCCTTCCTAGTGGTCCCCACCTGCATAGCTCCCAAGCGACCGATGGACATGATTACCACTACCACTACTCCCATCGCGAACGCATGGCTGCCCCTGCACCTACCCGAACCACTTCCGTACCTTACTCTCGACCATGTCCTTAGATCCTCCCGAGAAGTGGAGCCCTTGGGGTGATACCACCCCTTATTACGTAACCCATCCTACTCCGCCTTCTGTCTTAACGCCCTTCATCCATGTCCACCACCACCACCACCGCTCCCGGCCCCCCCCCGCTGCTAGCCTACTAGTATTGTTGTCGTACAGAGTCCTCCTGGAAGCGCCGTACAGCCTGTTGCACCTCCTCCTCCGCAGAGGCCTGCTTGGCGAACTCCCAGCGGCCCAGCTTGCCGCCCAGCGGCCCCGGCTGCAGAACCACCACCACCCGCTGCACGCCCTTGAGCCCCTCCTGCAGCGCGCCGCCCACCACGGAAGCAGCCGCGCTGTGGAAGCGATGGAAGTGGTTTCAGAACGGGTTCGGAGTGGGTTTTAAGCGGGAACGGGAAAGGGTTTGGAAGGAGGGATAGCAGGTGTTACAGGAGGAAGGGCATGGCGATGTAGGAGATATGATGGCATGGAATGGTGAAGGGGCTGCAGGTGCTTATGATACCCGTACGCGCAAAGCCGTTGAGACTTGGGTCTCACCTTGCAGTAGCAGAACCTAAGCTGAAAAGCCTTCCTAGACCCGATGACGACATCGGTCGTGTCTTAAAAGGTGCTTCCCGTGTGGACTTCGGTGAACGGTTTCTCGCTATCTACTGTATAGATATAGTAGAGGTGCAACGTCGGGTAAGGAACGTGGCTAGAGGCAGGAAAGTGTCGCTTACTGCAGCTTACTGAGACAACTTGCACATTACCGGTACAATTGCAACAGAGCACTCCAAGTGCAAGAAATTAGATGAGAAATCAAGCAGGCGCAAGTGGCAGCTTGGCAGCTCGGCCAGTAACGAATTTGGCCTGATACGGAAGCTCGGCCATCTACGCGGCAATTGCCCCAACCCACATCGCTATCGCGTCCTGAACCATTCACCACATCAAGGGATATAGCGTGCATGCTTTATGTAAATTGCGCATACAGCGACTGATCTGCCTTATACAACTGTAGACCAACTTTTGCACCTCGCGTGATTCTTGGGCAACGGGCATCCCATGAGAAGAAGTGCTCAACGCGTTGTTGACGGTATAGGAAGCGCCGTAACACCGGTGCTCAGTCTTTGCGGTTGGCAGGCAGGATGCGGTCGACAGCTACACGCCGCCGCGGCTGCACACAGCACCTACGGCTTCAGCCTAAATACATTGCGCGCTGAAAGCTTTTACGACTCCACTGTCGAAAAGGTAGCCGGCGACCTCCTTTCACCTCGTAACAACCTCCCATCCAGAGCTGCCCGCCAAGAGCACCGTCGCCTTTCACTCTTCCGCACTGCTAATAAGCTCGCACAAATTAATCAGAACCGCAGTTGCTCCCACCTACGCTGTACTGCTGACTGCTTTCTTGTCCCCATCCAATTACCGGTCCTCCGTTACCGTACTCCTTCCTAGCCCCAAACCCTCAAACCCCCAAACCCTCACCTCTCCTCCACCAGTACGCCGCCATGGACGTGGAGGTGCTGTCGCTGCGAGACATGCTCAGCTTCGGTCGCAACGCGTGGGACCACCCCGACCGCATCATCCAGAGCGGCAGATACGTGCAGCGGGAGGTGAGGGAGGGGGCCGGGGCGGGAGGTGAGGGAGGGGGCCGGGGCGGGAGGTGAGGGAGGGGGGCGAGGCGGGAGGTGAGGGAGGGGGCCGGGGCGGGAGGTGAGGGAGGGGGCCGGGGCGGGAGGTGAGGGAGGGGGGGCGGGAGGTGAGGGAGGGGGCCGGGGCGGGAGGTGAGGGAGGGGGCCGGGGCGGGAGGTGAGAGGGGGGCAAAGAGGAAACAACTAACTGACCGTGTGATAAGGCGTGATAAGGGGGGGGTAAAGAGGAGGTGAGGGGAGGGGAGATGAGGAGGGGAGGCAGGGGTGCACAGAGGAAAGGAGGGCAAGAGGGTCGGAGGCAGGTGGAGATGTGGTGTACGATGCCATCCCAGGCATGCGGTGCCCGTACATACAGTAGGGGAAGTAGGGGGGCGCCGGCTGGCTGGCTGGCTGGCTGGCTGGCTGGCTGGCTGGCTGTGATCGGCAGCCAGTCCCCTGAGGCAGCATGAGGCGTAGTCCCGCCTTGAGAGCAGCAGGCGGCACACAGGGCTCGGAAGCCCCCCCGCACCCCTCCCTGCGGAGCCCCTCCCCTTGTGCAGTACCAGCACACCACACCACACCACACCTCCCGACCCCGCTGTAATCGCCTCACGAGGAATGACCCCAATCGCTCTACCCCCTTCCCGCTACTCCCCACCCTTCCTTGGTCCTTTCCTTTCGAACCCTTGCCCTTGCTCCTGCTACGGTACTCCCCCCTCCCCCATGCGCTCACTGCATGAGTCGGGATATGGGTTTGGGACTCGTTGTTTCACTTATTTAATTTTTCCCCCTCCCTCCGCCTCCCCCCCCCCAGCTGCCCAAGCGACTGGCTCGACGCCTGCTAGATCTGCAGCTGCTGCCGTGAGTGACGGGGAGAGGCGGGGGGCGGGTGGGGTGGGATGAGGAGTGGTGTGGTCGTGGGGCGGGCGAGGTGGGCTGGGAAGAAAGAGGCAACAAGAAGAACCAAGGCCTGCTAATCGGAATCCCCTCCCCGTGACATTGCTTCACTCTATCCCAATTGCCTTGCCCTAACCTGTGGTTCTGGTATATCTTTGACCTGTGGTTTTCGGTGGGAGGACTCCATCTTTCGGCAATCACAGTACGTTTCGCCTCGCGGCCAGTTATTTTAACACACGCCTCCCCCTCCCCTCTACCTCGCCTCCCCCTCCCCTCTACCTCGCCTCCCCCTCCCCTCTACCTCGCCTCCCCCTCCCCTCTACCTCGCCTCCCCCTCCCCTCTACCTCGCCTCCCCCTCCCCTCCCCCCCTTGCAGCTACATTGTGGTGACCAACCCGCACATCAAGCGAGTGTACAATCAGTACTACGTATCATTCGGTGGGTGTCGTACTGCTGCCGTACTGCCGTTGCTGCTGCTGCCGTATTCCTGCCGTATTATCGTCGTGCCCGTGTGTAACAGCAGCCTCAGAGCGACTTGCTGCATAGTTTTCCCTGCTGTATAGTAACCCCATGCGCACCCCCTACCTCACTTATCTCCCCCCCCTCTCCCCCCCTCCTCTCCCCCCCCTCCTCTCCCCCCCTCCTCTCCCCGTCCCTCCCTCCCCCCTAGAAACCATGCGCCGCATCCCGCCCATTCGCACCCTGGAGGACAACCAGGAGTGGTGCCACATCCTGAGGCAACATCTGGACGAGCATGGTAGGGGGGGGCAGCGTGTGTGTATGGGGGGTACTCGGCACTCCCCCTCCCCTCCCCTTTCCCCCCTTTTTCCCTGACTTTGGGTCAGTGGGAACTTGGGCTTGTTCCCCCCCCTTCCCCTTCCGGCTGCCGTCTTCTATGCTATGCCCTAACCTGTGGTTTTGATGTATCTCTGACCCCCGTCTCCCCCCCCTCCGCGCCCCGCAGCCCCCATGCTCGACTCCCTGGCCGCCGGCCTGCGCGAGTGCAAGAGCAAGGAGCTGGTGGGTCCCTGTCTGCAGCTGGACGCGTTCTTCGACACCATGCTGCGCAGCCGCATCAGCCGCCGAGTGCTGGCGGAGCAGCACCTGCACATTGGGAACAGGAGGTGGGGGGCGGGGGGTGGGTGACCCGTGGGTCACCAAGGGGGGGACAAAGACCATACCGAACCATAGGAAGCCATAGGGGGAGGGAGGGATCTGGGAGCAGCACCTGCACATCGGAAACAGGAGGTGGGAGGAGGGGGGCGGGGGGTGGGTGACCCGTGGGTCACCAAGGGGGGCGAGGCGACGTTGGGAGCAGGGGGGGCGAAGCTCTGAAGGGCCGATTGACCAGCAATGGGTGCTCCCAGGGCCTGGAGGGGAGCAGAAGGCGAGGGGTGGTGGTGTTACGCTACATTGCAAGGGGTGGGGACCCAGGGTGGGAGAGGGGCCATGTGATGGTTACGGAGAGGTGCGGCGAGATGCGGGTTGAGCTCTTGCCGCACCATACCAGCCCTACCCACCAACTACCTGCCGCTCCCCGTCTCTCTCCCTCCCCCCTGCCTGCCCCTTCTACATTGCGTGTTTCTAGGATAGTGTCTCGAATGTGCTCACTGCATGAGTCGGGATATGAGATTGGGACTCCAGTTGCTGCACTTGTCGTTTACCTCTTGCCCCCTCAGGCCTGCCTACATTGGCATCGTGTGTACGGATTTGGACGTTAACGACTCCATCGAGTTTGCCGTACAGAAGACCAAACAGGTCAGCTGACGTGCAGGGTTCTTACAAATGCAATTTACATTGTTTTTGTAGATGCATGTTAAAGCGCATTATATTAAGAATGCATGTTTGGAATGCTTTTTAGTTTGGCGTGGGCGGGGAAGGAAGATAGGGATGCATACGGTACACGCACGCAGGTGTACATGGAGAGGTCCGAAATGTTACCCTCGCCTTACTTCTGCTAGAAAAACTCCCAATCCCCAATCCCCGAACCCCAAACGCTGTACGATACATGGTACTGTACGGCACACTCCCCAACGCGCGCAGGTGTGTATGGAGACGTACGGCACCGCCCCTGACGTCATCGTCAGCGGCGACCCCAAGGTCACCATCCCCTACATACCCGCACACCTGGACTACATGCTGTACGAACTGCTCAAGAACGCCATGAGGTATGACCACATCCGTACGTTGTTTTCAGAACGGCATTCGTACATTCTATTGGTACGACATTCGTACGTTTTCCTATCGTCCGGACGCTCGTGTATACGGCTACGCGCTCCTGCCCGCCTACCGGCTTTGTGAAGGTAGGAAACTCACATCCCCGCGGTGCATAACGGCTGTGCACTACTATACACTACGTCATACAGGCAGCCCTATTTACATGACGTGCATAGTGGCGTCGATCTAAATGATGCATACATAACACATGTACAACCTCCGTTTCCTCCCGCTGCCGCCTCCTCCTCCCCCCCGTGTCCCCCTTGCGTACAGAGCCGTGGTGGAGTCCAGTCGCGCGGCGCAGCAGCAACAGCAGTTGTACGACGCCACCAACGGTACCTCCTCCTCCTCCCCCTCCCCCTCCCCCTCCCCCTCCTCGCTCACCAAGCTGCCCCCCATCCACGTGCGCGTGTGTGACGGCAGTGGTGGAACGCTGACCATCCGCATCTCCGACCAGGGCGGCGGCATTCCGCCGGAGATCATGGACAAGGTAAGGGGAGCTTCGGAGAGCTCCGGAGGTCGTCATTCATTACCTCCGGGGGAAGGTGGCTACCGGGGGTAGGGGTAGGTCTCTGCAGGTCTGCAGGATGGGATAGGATGGGATAGGATGGGATAGGATGGGATAGGATGGGATAGGATGGGATAGGATGGGATAGGATGGGATAGGATGGGATAGGATGGGATAGGATGGGATAGGATGGGATAGGATGGGATAGGATGGGATAGGATGGGATAGGATGGGATAGGATGGGATAGGATGGGATAGGATGGGATAGGATGGGATAGGATGGGATAGGATGGGATAGGATGGGATAGGATGGGATGGGATGGGATGGGATGGGATGGGATGGGATGGGATGGGATGGGATGGGATGGGATGGGATGGGATGGGATGGGATGGGATGGGATGGGATGGGATGGGATGGGATGGGATGGGATGGGATGGGATAGGATGGGATAGGATGGGATGGGATGGGATAGGATGTGCACTTGGCGGACAGGGTAAGAGGAGGAGCAGGTGCGGGTGAACACCCGTGTGCTGCTGCCGACTGGGATCTTTTGTCATGCAGCGTGCTGAGACTGGAAGTGTGGGAACGCCGTTGCTGCTGGCGAAGGGTTAGACAAACTAAGCTGTGTTAACAGCAAGAGCAAAGGGCGAAGGTGCTGCCTACGTGCACACCCAGCTACCGTCAGCTGCTGTCTGCGCCCGTGTGACGGAAGTGAAGGGCCCTTTCCGGCAGTGTTCCATTCAACCCCAACCCCCGCACTCCCTCTCCTCCTCCTCCCCACCCGCACGCACCTGCACCTGCACCTGCGCCCGCAGGTCTTCTCCTACGGCTTCACAACCATCGGCCAAACCGACCCCGAGGGCCCCGAGAGCAGCAGCAGCAGCAGCACAAGTACCAGCAGCAGCAGCAGTACCAGCACCAGCACCAGCACCAGCACTGCTACGAGCGCCAGCGCCGACTCCTCCCGTGATGGCGTAGAGGGACTGGGGCATGGGACTCGTGCGCGGGGTAATGGCGGCGGTGCTGGAGCAGCAGCAGCAGCAGGGCGGCAGAGCTCCGGGGCCGGGAATGGTCTGCAGGGGTTGATGTCTGGTGGGGCTGCAGGAGGGGCGGCGGGGGGCGGCAGCCGGTATCGCATGGCGGGACTGGGATTCGGACTGCCGCTGTCTCGGGTGTATGCGAGGTACTTTGGTGAGTGCGGGGGCGGTGTAAGTGAGGGAAAGGGGGTTGGAGGAACTTGGGGTGGAGAGTGGGTGGGTTAGGGTAGGGTGCTGGGATGTAAAGCAAACTGGCCGCAAGTAGGATCGCTGGGGTGTGTGTGTGTGTATTCAAGGGGTACGAACACTGATTCGTTTGGCCATCAACTCAACCCCCGCACTTCACTCCGCCCCACTAACACATGCCGTACACACCCACCCCTGCCGTACACCCCCGCCCCTGCCGTACACACCCACCCCTGCCGTACACACCCACCCCTGCCGTACACACCCACCCCTGCCGTACACCCCCGCCCCTGCCGTACACCCCCGCCCCTGCCGTACACACCCGCCCCTGCCGTACACACCCACCCCTGCCGTACACCCCCGCCCCTGCCGTACACCCCCGCCCCTGCCGTACACACCCGCCCCTGCCGTACACCCCTGCTGCCTGCTGCAGGCGGCGACCTGCGGCTCCAAACCATCCCCGGCTACGGAGTGGACGCCTACCTCACTCTCCGGCGTCTGGAGGAGCACGAGTGGCGGGAGGAGGTGGAGGAGCCGGGCATGCTGCCCATGAAGACACCGTACTAGGGGAGGGGAGGACTGAGAGAAAGAGGGGGGCAAAGCGGATGCGGACGGGCTCGGTATGTTGCGTATCAAGACGGCGTAGTGGTGAAGCGAGGGGGAGGAAGGACAGTGCCCTGGGGGTGTGGGAGAAGAGGAGGGAGCGGTGCTGAAGACGCCTGATGCGAAGGGATGACGGGAGGAGGAAAAGGAGGAATTGGACGAGCCCGGACACATGTTGTTGCTCAATAAGACTGGCCTCTACTAACTAAAGGAAGCGGTTGGCGCGGCGGGATGGGGGGTGGTGGGAGGTTGGCAGGGCGGATGGGGGGAATGTGCGAGGATGGATGCATGCGGGTATGGTATTCCGGGGTTGTGCCATGAGAAGCGTTTGTTGCGTGCGAGAGTGAGAAGAGGAAAAGGAAGTGTGTTGTTGTGCATGTGTGTGCTGCCGGTCTGTTGAGTGGTGCTGACGGAGGAGTGGGACAAGCCGGGCAGGAGGCAGCGCTCGGCTGGTTGTTACCTAGCTTACCGGTATATGAGTGACATGCTGCGGTTATAGGGAAATGCGTCGTTTGGATTGTTTTCTTGAAAGCATTTGGCCACTGCTTGTATTGGTGGTGCGAGAGGAGGCTGCGGGTGTCGGGATGCAGAGGGGGACGAAGGGGAGGAAGGGGATGCGGGGAGGAATGTGTTCGGCATGTACGGCACTTCCGTACTGTATAAACTGTTGTACGAACGTGGTGAAGACCTCTTCCTGTCTGGGTTGTCTGGACATGTTTTAGACCTCGTCTTCCTGTCGTGGGCGTGGCACCAACCGGGAACTTAACGACCCGCACATGCAAAATGATGTTTGGGAGGCGGGTCCTAGGGTTTTGTTCTGGAACCCTCCGCTCCTCCAAATCGATCTGCTGGTTTTCAGGGAGTTTTAGGCTAGGTTAGGGGAGTTCTAGGCTAGGTTAGGGAAGCACGCGGAGAGGGCTGGAAAGCGGGGAGCAAGGACAAGGAAGCCACCGGAGCAGGGTAGAGGTCCGGTGCTACCCACCAGTTCTGAAACCGAGTGGGTGCGCCGGGGCCTACACATCCTCCTACGGACACCGGTAATCGGGCCCAGGACATGATCGAGTCGCGCAGCAGTTAACCCCAATGACGTGCAGCAACACACAACCCAACGCCCTCTCCCCAGCTGTCGTAACCCTCTCTGAACCCTCTTGTCATACAGCTCATCGACTTGTTCGTTTTTACTCCCCAGGTCGTAGGAGCAAACAACCTGATAACTGATAGCCAGACAGATTCCGGGGCAGCATGCAAGCCAGCCAGCCAGCCTAACGGTGCGTTTCAATCCCCCCGCCCTCTATAACCTCTGCCACGACCTCCACCCGGGTACATGCCTGGGTAGAAGCCCAAACCGGTACATCATTCAGCCGCAGCATAGCGGTAAGCTGCATGGCAACATCGCTGTCCGCTGTACAGGTGGCGTTTCTGTGGGGACTTCATCTTCCGGCAATCACAGCACCGGTACGTTCCAACTCGACGCCAGCTTTCTCATAACACACACGCACAAGCTCGCCATAGACCCGAGAGTAGTCATACCTACTACTACTCACAGCACCGGGCCGCCCGGGAGGCTGGAGGATGTGGAGAACGTAGAAACCCGCTAGCAACCTAGCCGGTGTTAACTTCGACTTGACTTAGTTGACCAGTACACCGGGAACGTCCTCGTCGTTGTAGCAAACAGCCAGTATCGGGTACACTGGGGTCAACCTGACACAGCATGCCAACACGCCGCCACACGCATATATCAGTCAACGATGGGAAGGCGCCTCTCGGCGCCTGCGTGCAACGGCAGTGACCCACGGGTCACTGCTCCCGGCACGGAAGAAGGGGCTTCCAGCGTGGTGGCGGCGGCGGCAGGGGGCGTGTCGAAGCCCACCCCAGCCAGCCAGCCATCCCGGTTGTTGCGCCCCAACGCGATGCAGTAGTGCTCCTGCAGGGGGGGATCAAATATGACCTAACCATTTGAAACCATAAAGGGCAAAAAATAGGGAATGAGGCGGCAGGGATCGACCAGACAGACGGAGGGTTAGTGGCCCCAATGCGATGTAGTTGTGCTCCTGCAGGGGGATTTATAGGGATACATATTCCGCATTAGCCAAGGGGAGGGGAGGGGAGGATACCCAATGTGTTGAATGAGAATGGGGGAAGGGGAGCAGGATCACACAGAGAGACGGCGGAGAGGGAACGGGGTGAGGGGAGAGTGCTGCGGAGGGGGGCTGTGGGTTGTTGATAGTCGTGCATTTCATGTCCACAGTTCATGCCCCTTCGTGCATTGCAAGCCCCTTGCCTCGCCACTGCATGTAGGTAGAAACGATACCTCTTAGCCCTAGATCGCCATGCCTAACCCAATTGTGCCCCTCCTCTTCCCAAGCCCTCCTCTGCTCCCCTGCCCCCCCCCCCCCACCTGTATCATGTGCCACTCCTCCAGTTCGTCAAACAGCTCCAGCCGCTCCACCCGCGCCCGCTCCCCGGCCGCCAGGAAGCGGCGGTACAGCTCGTCCATGTCGCGAGCGTCAGCCCAGCCCCAGCCGTTGCGGAGCAGCCTGGGGGAGCCGCAGGGAGGGGGGGGGCGAGGGTAAAGACGGGTTGGATACTTCGCCAAGGCGGCGGGAACGGTACGACAGCGTCCGGACGAGGAGAAACCCAGTCGCGCACTCGGCCTTGAGTTCTCCCCCTTCGCTGTGCCCTTTTTCCGCTGGCATTCAGGCTCTGCACAGCGACTCAGCCTCCCCTCCCGCCCCCCCCCGCTTCCCCCCTCTCCCTTCCCCCCCCCCCCTCGGACCTCTGGCAGTGCGACTGCAGGGTGGGGGTGGCATGCAGCCCCCGCAGCGGGCAGCCGCGCAGCTCCAGGTTGGAGATCATCTGGCGGCCGAACGCGTCGTCGGGACGGATCTGAGGGCAGGCGGGGGCGGGCGGGCGGGCGGGTGGGAGGGCGGGTAAAATAAGGAATCTGGCGAACTGTATGATGACGATGCTTCACCATGGGCGGGCGGGTGGGTGGGCGGGGGGTGAAATGTGTATAGGGCTGGGGTGTGTGGTTGAGCGGAAACAAGAGCAAGCAGTTGTGACGGGGCTGGGGTGTACATCAGGGCCGGGGGAGCCGAGGGAGGAGGAGTCCGGGGAGAGGCAGCTCGGCGGCCGCCGGTGTGGGGATGGACAGCTGCTGCTGCAGGCGGAAAGGCGGCGTGTCTGGGTCGGGGACGGGGATGGCCCCTGACACGCCCCACCTGCCTCATGCCGTCATGCGTCATGCCAACCCCCACCTCTCCCTCACCCCCCATGCCGCCCCACCTGCTCGTATATGGCCATGACCGCATTGGGGAATGCGCCCGCAGCCCACCTGGTGAGTTAAGAAGCGGGGGAGAGAGGTGTGTGTGGAGAGAGGGAAGGAAGCGGGCCGGGGACAGGAGTAAGGCAAGTTACAGCAACAGCAGCAGCCGCGACAGCGAGAGGGGCAGCAGCAGTAGCGGCAGCAGCAGCAGCAGCACCCCAGGATGTATTGTGCCGCACCCGCACCCCACCTGACAGACGTGTACCTCGGCATTCCCGCCTCCCCCCTTCCTTGCGCCTCCCTATCCACCCTCTGTAAGTGGTAAGTCCATTAACCGTACTGGCTTGGCTAATTCGGGCTGGGCGGGTCGGGCTGGCTCACATGTTGCAACCCATGTTGACGCCTTATCCCTCAAGTCTGTTAGTTGTTGCCTCTTTACCCCCGCCCCCCCACCTGACCACCATGTCGCTGTGCCCCGGCTCCATGTAGACCAGCACGCATTCCGACAGCACCAGCGTGGGAGCACTGGCGGCAGGGGGGGAGAGGGGTGGATGAGAGGGCAGGGTGGGAGGTGGAGGGAACGATGGGTCGGGTGGAAGGGGCTGGCAGGAGCGCTGACTCGTCGCCCAAGACCCTTGCCTTACCCACTCAACAGGTCACCGCCCCCAGTCCCCCTCCTCCCCACCTCCTTCTCCAACGCATGGTAATACTCTTTTCCCCACCTCTTCCCTTTATTCCTCCCCCTCCTCCTCCTCCCCTCCCTCACCAACCCATGGTGAAGCCTCGTCAAGTCGTCATGCAGTTCGTCAGTTTCCCTGTTTTTCTCCCCTCCTCCTCACCTCCAGTCCAGCCCCGCGCGCCCCGCCGCGCCCGCCAGCGCCCCCTCCTCCCGCAGGTCCACAGGCAGCAGGCAGTAGCCGCCGCTCAGCACCTGGCCGCCGTGCGGGTCAACCAGGATACCCCCGCCTCCTCCCCCTCCGACTCCCCCTCCGACTCCTCCTCCGCTGCTGCTGCTGCTACCAGCTGCCGGCTGCCCTACACCCTCCTGTCTGGGAGCCGCCGCCCCTGGCGCCCCTGCTACCGCCTCTTCCGTGCATGAGGAGGAGGAGGAGGGTGCTACGCCCGCGGCGCCCGACCCTGACCCCGGTGCTGCTGACTGCAGTGCTGCGGCTGCTGCTGCTGCGGGTCCTGCAGGGCAGGAGGACGAGGGCTGAGGACCGGGCCCTGCTCGAGAGCCCGGTTGCGGCTGCTGGGAGGAGCGGAATGCTGCTGCTGGTGCTGCTGCTGCTGGTGGCGGTGGTGGTGGCATGTTGTGTGAGGGTGAAGCGGACGACGGTTGGCCTGCTGCTGTTGTTGCAGCTGCGGGGGTGGCAGCGCTGCCGTGCTGCTGCTGCTGCTGCTGCTGACCCTCCTGCTCCTCCTCCTCCCCCTCGCCCCGCCGCCCCGGCAGCAGCAGGCCGTGCAGCGCGGGCTCCCTGGCGATGATGGCGGCCTTGCGCTGCGTCACCTCCTTGAAGTCCACCTCGAGGCACCTGTACGGCAGGGCAGTAACAGGTGTGAGCAGTGCAGCTGTGCAGCGCAGTACCAGGTGTGTGGTGATAGGACTTGATATGCCACGTTGTTTAAGACTTACTTGTACGGCAGCCGGCCGCGATCCTTGCGCATCTGGAACCACGTGGTGTCGTACCCCGCACCCAGCACCAGCACCTGGGGGTGGGGAGGGACGGTGGCGGAGGGAGGGAGGGAGAGCGTTGGGAGAGGGAGGTGGCATTGGAAAAGGGTTGGAGGAAGGGCTGCGGTGTTGAGAGGTGAGGGCTAGAAAATGGGGAGGGCTCAATGCCGTGTGAACCGCTATGCAGCAACCCAACGTCCTCCGCTATCCGCACAAACCAAGAGACCCGTTTCCAGTCACCTGAGGCTGCTGCCCCGCCGCCTCCGCAGCCGCCAGGAAGGACTCCAGCAGCTGACGTAGCGCGGCGTGGCGGCTGTAGTAGCCTGGAAGTTGCGATGTCCCCAAAGAAGGGGATGGGTTTGGTAATGGTTAGGTTTAGGAAGAGAGAAACAAGTGGCGTAAGTCGTGCGCGGAAGATCAAGAAATGGCGGGTGGGGTTGGCAAAGGGCGGGTGTTGGAATAGCGGGTTACAAGTCGGGCATGTCGGGCGAGATGCAAACTGACGGGGTGCTGACGCACCTCGATTGATGAGAGGAGAGCGCCGCGATGCTCGCCTCACGAAGTATTGAATGAACTCATCGCGAAAGTAGCCTGCTTTGGCGCAAGACCTACAGCATGCCGCGGAAAATGCACAGTCCTTGCACGTCGGAAATCATTCGGGGAATATAGCATCCATCTGAACCAGATCTCACAGTTTGCTAACTTGGGCATCATCGTTTGTCCCTTGAACACTGGCATCGCTGCCTTCCAACGACCGCAGCATGATGACGCTGCGTCTCAGACGTGAAGCGGTGTTTCTGTCGTCTAGTAAAAGTGCATCTAAATACAGATCTACAAACGCTACATATGAAGATTACAGGGCTGGTGGATTGCTGCAAGCAAAGCTGTCTCAAAGCTCAGCAACGAGCAAACGGTTTATAGCCGTGACACAATTTAGCAGCACAGGCAGCAATTATTAAAACGCAGTTATCGATGCCATACGCTAAAGCTGCTTGCTATCGCTCGCATGTACAGCCTGTCGGAGCAAGCCCCGGTACGGCCAGCAGGGCAGTCGGCGATCTGTGTGCACACTTCCAACACTAAATAGAAAACATGTAACAGCAGATTCCAGGGCAGCTTCGCCGCAATCCCGACATGCCCATGCCATGTTGCCGGCCCACGGGTCCTGTCCATTGTAACACATGTCCTGGCTCCCACAACGCTTGGCGCACAGCAGCTTTGCCGCTAAAGCAAGCCGAAGCCAATAACCTTCCATTCCCTGAAACGGGTACTCCGACAGCAGCAGCCCCATCGTTCGTAGCAACAATACCCAGCAGTGGCGGCAATTGTCCCTCTTCACTGTGGTACTACCGGTACCCGATTGCGCAAGCAACCCGTGCCTCCCCAGGCTGGCATCTTCAGCAGCAGAATGCCCTGCCTGCCTCGCTAGGGTGTGTACCAAACGGCAGTGCTCTCCAGCAGCGACTCACCGGCTGTCGTCCCGACGGGGCCCTCCACACACATATCGGCTGACATCGACTGTCAATGTCAGTGTGCCGGTGTTCCATGCGTGGTCACTGCGCGTTCATTCTGCCGCTCAGTTGGCTTCTGGCACACATGCATCGGTGCGGGTAGCTTCCGCTGGGTACGAGTCCTTGCAAGTTGCAACATGACACGTTGTAATCATGCAACATATTGCATAATTACAACGTCTTAGAGGACGGCCAAGAGAGTCCCGGTATCTTTCTGTCGAGGTGTTTATGACGGGTCATTGGGTCCGTTAAGTGTTACACAACCACCTCTGCCCTCACACATGCCCATGCCCTTCCACGGACAAGCGCGGGGCATACTTCTTAGCAGCAACGATCCTGGCCGCTATTGATATCACCAAACCTGCCAAACCGTCATCAGTCGACTGTCGTACATTGCGGTTTGAATCACGGATCCGAAATCTGTACGACCACCTTGCCCACATGCTGCCCTCGTAGCATGTAGTCAACCGCGTCCACGATGCCTTCCACGCCCTGTACGGGTTTCGTACGTACGGCAAGCAACAGGCATTACGTTACGCTGCAGGGGCTCTGATGTGATGTGATGTGTTGACACACATGATGAGGGCCGTACTGGATGACGACGCTAAGGAGCGGATGGTATTACTTCGGCCTTGCACTTGCGATACACCATGCTACTTAATGTCTGGAAGATAGGTAATGCCGGCATGATTATGCACCACCACCCTGCTTAACCGCCAACACCCGCACCCAGTTCCCCAACAAGACTCCGCAATACCCGTGAACTATAGCCACGACCTGTGCCGACCTGTGCTTGCCTTTCCACTTGCCGCCCTACCTTGTCTACGCAGTACGTACCCAATGCTTATAGCTTCAGACTCCTTCATTACACGATTTTCACTCCACTACGGTACCTTACTTGTACCCATGTCCCCACCTTACCAGCCCCCGCTTACCTTGTACCCATGCCCCATGTCAACGATGACTCGCAACTGCCCCCGAGCCGCCAACTCGAACACTCGCCGCCGGCAGCGCACGATGGTTTTGAGGTCCTGGACGGCATTTGGGTGTTGGTTAGGAGCCCGTTGGTGGGGGGGGGGTAGGGGGAGTTGACGGTTATTATTGACTGGCATTTGGTAGATAGCCGTATAGAAGCACACAAAGGTACCTAGGGATAATATACAGTATGCCATGGACATCTACCCTCACGCATTCCTGAGACCGAACTATGCAAAAGCCGCATAGGCAAAAGCCATTCTACTTACACTGCACCCCCCCATCCACCGCATCCCCAACCCCTATCAATTCCCACCCATCTAAAACTCACCTTGGGCCAGATCTGTCCAATGATCCGCTGCTCCCCCCGCCGTACATCCAACCCCTTCCAAAACAGCTCCGCACAGGGAGGCACCTCGGAGGCCTGGTTGTTCGCACCATCAGCACCACCACCACCGCCCTCCTCCCTATCCTGGCCCCCTGCTGCTGCTGCTGCTCCTGCTTTTGCTGCTGCTCCTGCTTTTGCTGCTGCTGCTGCCGCGTCCGGTTCAGCTATTGGGTGTAATGCTACTGCTGCTGCTGCTGTTGCCTTCTCACCTCCTGCCGATGACACGCCAAGCGTCATTGCTGCCTCTACCGCTACTGCTCCTCCACTGCTACTGCTGCTGCTGCTGCCACCCTCCCTTCCCTGCGCCAGCGCCTGCCTGTCCCCTTTCTCCTCCTGCTGCTGCTGCTGCTGTTGTTGTTCCTGATGCTGCTGCGAGTGGTGCGTATGCGGGTATTCCGAAATGTAGCCCACCTGCACAGCACAGCAGCCAGTGCAGCAGCCAGCACAGCACAGCCGGGCTGAGGGCTGCCTGCCTGCCATGTATGCCGCCTCACAGCACCAACGGCACATGCCATGCATGCCGCCTCACAGCACCAACAGCACACCATGCATGCCATGCCGCCTCACAGCACACCGGGCGGCAGCTAGCTGCGAGCGGCAGCCCCAGGCATCCCCAGGCAGCCGCCTCAGGCAGCCCCAGGCATCCCCAGGCATCCCCAGGCATCCCCAGACGTTGGGGGGCTATCAGCATCATCAGCAGCAGCCATGATACACAAACCCCCATGATGGAGCCTTTAAGCCACATGGTTATTTACTTTCTCCCTCTCCCTCCTCCCTCCTCCCCTTCACTCATCCCACTTCCCCCGTACCTGCAGCAGCCTCCCCCCCTGCGGCGCCAGGCAGCCCAGCAACGCCCTCCTTAGCGCCCCTCCCACCCCCTCGAACACCACATCCACCCCGCCCGGGTAGCGCTGAGCCAGGCAGGCGGCCACGTCCTGAGGAGCGAGGGGGCAGGGTGCAGGAACAGAGGGAGGGAACTAAAGCAGGGCACAAGGGCCGAATAGAGGAAGACAGAAATAGATAGGGGCAACATGGGGCCTTAGCTGCCTCCTACCCCGCGGCTCACTTGGCTTACTCCCCAAACCTTCTCTTTCCCCTTCCCTACATCAACTTTAATGTTTCTTCATCTCCTTCCTCTCCACGCCACCCTCTACCCCACCTGCCGTGTGTAGTCAATCACCAGCTCCGCCCCCAGCTCGGATGCCACCGCTGCCTTCCTCGCCCCACCCACCACCGCCACCACCCTCGCCCCCGCGGCGGCCGCCAGCTGCAGCGCCAGGTGGCCCGTGCCGCCCGCAGCAGCCGTCACCACCACCACCTCGCCGGGGCGGATACGGGCGGTGGCCTGGGGGGGCAGGGAGGGTGGGGTCGGGGGGGGGAAAGAGGGGGGAGGGGAAGTAAATGAAAAGCGAAGCAAGGGAGGGGAGGGATGGGGGTGGTGAGAAAACAGGGGAAGGAACTGCGCCGGGTATTGCAATCGTGAAGCATGACACGGTTCCAGCATGGGAGGATGCAAGGGGAGGGAGGCGGAGGCATGCATGTGGATGGGAGGAGGGGAGAGGACGACGAAAACAACACAGCAGGCACACAGGCCGCCCTCCTCCTCATCCCTCAGGCAAGACAGGTTACCCCAGGGGTTGCCCCCACCCCCCCTCACATCCAGCGCCACACACGCCGTCACCCCCGACAACACCAATGCAGCCGCCTCCGCACCGCCCAGCACCCCTGGCGGCCCCTGCTGCTGCTGGTGCTGGTGCTGGTTCTGGTTCTGGGGTTGCTGCTGCTGGGTTTGCTGCTGCGGGGATTGCTGCTGGTGGGGATGACTCGGGAGGGCTTGCTCGGGGGCCGCCTCCTGCTGCTGCTGCTGTGGGGGGCACTGCCGCTGTGACTGCTGTGGCGGCGGCGACAGCGGCGAAAGTGGTGACAGCGAGGGCGGCGGCAGCGGCACCACCAGCGCTGCTCGCGCGGTGACGTACTCGGCGAACGCGGCGGCACCGTTGAAGGCGACCCCTTGGCCTACCTGGCGGGCGCAGGGGTGCAGAGGTGCGGGAATATAGATCAAACCACATATAAAACAAACCACACATTAGGGCAAAACAACGAGTGCAGGCGGGAGGGGTTGGGGAGAGAGGGAAGTTGGGCTTCCAGTCAACGTCTTTCTGCCAGGCAAAGTGATGACACTAGCAACCAATTCTTAGACCTTGAAAGGGGGCTTTTGCAGCCTCAAGGGCAGTCCCGCCTTACCTCCAGACCTCCTCCTCCGTCTCCTCCTCCGCCTCCACTGCCTCTTCCTGCTCCAATACCCTTCACTGCCGCCCCTGCTGCTGCCCCTGCTGCTGCCCCTGCCCCTGCCCTCCTGCTGCCCCCCACTCCGGGACCCAACGCCACCACCACACCCGCACCCTCGGCACCCAGCGGAAAGCCCTGTAGCGGGGCAAGTGACAAGTAAAAAGGGAGGTACCCGCAGGTACCCGATCAAGAAAGGTGCCAGAAACGTGGATACAGCTAGCTGCGGTTTGGCTTGTATGGCAGTCTATAGCTGTTTCCAGCATCAGCTTCTAATGCTGGAAGCTGAGACCCTTGGTTGCCGTTGGTTGTCGTACGGCAACCAAGGACCTCAGCTTCCAGCAGCAGCTCCTAGTTACTCAATTGCCCCCAGGCGGAGAAGTGAAGCATACGAAACAGCAGCAACTTCAGAAACGCAAGCATACATCGTGGATCGGGAACCCTTGACCAAAGCGGCAGCGTCGTACATGCCGTACATGGTCAGTAGCGCATGTACGGCTCCTGCTCGGCTGGGCTGGGCTGCGATGTCGAGTGCGTGTACGGCAGGTGTACGGGACTATAGCACCCACGGGAAGAGCACCCCACACTCTGTTGAACATGCATGCATGGGTGCATGCATGCATGCATGCATGCGTGCAGCCCACTACTCACCTGCAGCTGTCGGTTGGACTCAAAGGCGAATTCTCCGCGGGCCCGGAAGGTCTCACAACCTCCGTTGATGCCCGCATGTGTGACGCGGATGAGGACCTGGTGGCGATGTGGTAATGGAGTTGCCCAAGGTGAGCATACAGATTTGCAACTGTAGTGTAAGGGTGCAAATCAGGAAAATAGGATATTATTTTTTATTAGATGGTTGACTGCGCGCCATAAAAATAGCTTGTTGAAGGGACGTGGATGGATGGGTTTGCTATGCGTGTGTGACGAGCCTGCGCGATTGCGATAGGCAATTTTGGCTTAATTGCACACCTCTCCTGGCCCCGGTAGAAGTAGCGGCACCTCTTGCACGGTTGCGACCTCGCGAAAGCTAGAACCGCATGTCTTAGCGACCAATCGCTTATACGTGGCGGGTAGAGTTGATGTATGTAACGCGCTCTGGACGCCAGTTGTTGCAGTGGTTCCACCGGTTGCGTATACTAGCTGGCAGGAGCGTCGACAGTGAGCCCTGCATGGAGCTCGAGAAGTGTGCAAGCCACATAACAATCGAGCATTCAAGCGCACAGCAGCGCCGGCAAGAGGCAAGCGTGATGTCAAATCCATAGCTCAGCTAGTCGAGGTCAATCTGCCTTCGGAAGGCAAGAGGGAGAAAACCAAATCTGTCTGAGTTTCGGAGCAAATCGTACTTTCCAAAGTTCCAAGGATGTCCATCATGGGTGCTTTTCTGAAGTAGCATTTGAGACGGCATACCCAGTTGCTCTGACTTCGTTTACGCTTGTGGGTCTTCCCAGTCCTGCGTCTTTGTTCTGGTGTTTCGGCCGTTACACGACAAACAGGCAAAACCACCCTGCGGTCTTCGGCCTATCACTCCGTAACTTAGGCCTCGGATAATCGATAATGGGCAGCTGCAACGCGACCGCACAAGTCAAGATGGCGGTACGCAAATCTTGCAGGTAGAGAGTGCGGTCACGTGCGTAAAGCTGACTGTATGGATACCGTGTCACTTTACAGGGGGAGTTCGACGCCTTTGAGGCCAAGATGAAGAATGCGGGCCTCAGCGACGCTGCGATCGCAGCTTTTAAGAAAAACTACGACCAGTTGATCGCTGGCGTAACGGGCATGGTAAGGGCTTGGGATGTATGTGATGCGTTCAATGCAATCGCGAGAAGCTGTCGGGAGACATATCCTGGCTTACGCGCTGTTGCACTTGCATACATGTCACGTACCCACAATGTTATAAGCTCCAGAAGTACGCACCACTTCTTTCCCAACCTTCAAAGTATAACTATGGTCCTGTACATCGTGTCCGACCTCACGTTTACCATCCTCTAAGCCTTACTTGTCAACCGTCCTCCGTCCAAATGCCGTCGGTTTACCATGGGTGCTAACCTTTTCAGCACAATCATCCATAGGAACCTACAGCGCTTTACCGTTCAATGTTCCAACCTCCTGTCATTCCTTTCAAACACGTGCCGCACAGGTTCCCGAGGTCGACATTGACAGTGCATCCGGACTCCCATCCCTCCTAGACTTGCCCAGCGTGTCTCCTGCTGATGCGAAGGTGAGGCCAAAAGGGTAATGTGCGGGAAATGGGTCAGTCGGTCATCTTCCCAAAACTATCCGTCCATCCATCGTCTTTCCCCAATGCCTACAAGTTTGCGATCACACCTCTCAGCGGTTCCCTTAGCGGCTTTACCCTCCTGCGTCACCCATGCACGATGCCAGGACTCTGCTTAATCCAAGCTAATGCAACTGCGTACAACATTGCCCCCAAAAGTCCTTGGGGCAGCAAAACCAACCACTCCCACCTTCCATCAGCCTTCCATCGGTTCCATGCATCCCGCTGCCCTCCCAAACCCAACCCAACGCTCCTCCTCCTCCTCCTCATCCTGGCCACCCCGACCCCATCCTCCCCCCCATCCCACCCTTCATGACCCTACAAGCTGGTTCCTAATACTCCCTTGCATGGCTCCTCCCCATCCCCCATCCCCCACACCCCACCCGCCCCCTCCCTGCAGTCTCTCCTCTCCCAGACCGCCGTGCTCAAGCTCAACGGCGGACTGGGCACCAGCATGGGCCTGGAGAAGGCCAAGTCGCTGCTGGTGGTGAAGGACGGCAAGACCTTCCTGGACCTCATTGCGGAGCAGGTGGGAGCTGGGGGGGGGTGAGGAGGGGTGAGGGGGACCGGGGGAGGGGGAGAAGACCATAGCGAACCATAGGAAAGAGGGGGAGACGGGGGATGAAACGAGGAAACTGACGAGCTGTAAGACGAGGGGGCTGCACCATGGGTTGTGATGGGGGGGGGTAGGAGGGGTAGTGAGAAGCGAAGCAGAGTCCCATGAGCGGACGCCTGCAGTGAGGGCGCAGCAGTGCTGCAGGCTGTATCCGGGTAAGCCACGGGGAGCCTCCTTACGGTGTGTTGTCCACATGTGTACTTCAAAGCGTGTTCCTCCTGTCCTCCACCCCCTCCCCTCCCCCCCTCCCCCCCCCTCAGGTCAAGCACATGCGTGCCTCGTACGGCAGCAACGTCATCTTCACCCTCATGAACAGCTTCAGCACCAGCGAGGACACGCGCGCATTCCTGCAGGAGAAGCACCCGGACCTGCTGCAGGTGGGGGGAGCGTGTATTGTGAAAACTGGCCGCGTGTAGGAACGGTATGCGTGTGCGTGCGTGTGTATCCTGTTGGGCCGGGAACGGATGGCTCCCGCTACCATTCCCTTCCCTGTCCACCCACATCTCGCTCCTTCTCCACCCCCACCCCCCTCCCAGGAGCCCCTCATCGAGCTGCTGCAGAACATGTCACCCAAGGTGGATGCGGCCACCAGCGCACCCGCCTCCTACCCGCAGCAACCCGACATGGAGTGGTGAGGGGGAGGTGGGGGGGCCTTAGACGGGGTGGGGGTGGGGGCTTAGAGGGGGGTCAAAGACCATACCAAACCATAGGAGATCACAGAGAGCTTAGAGGGGGGGTTAGAGGAGGGTGGGGGCGGGCAGGGACTCTTAGAAGGGGGTGGCTCAGGTTGCTGCTGCTGCCTCCGCCACCACTCCTGCCCTTACCATACATGCACGTTTGAAGCTCCCCCATCCCCCGCCTCCCCCCCGCCCCCCCCCCAGGTGCCCCCCCGGCCACGGTGACATCTACCCCTCGCTGCTGGGCTCGGGCATGTTGGACAGGCTGCTGGACCAGGGAATCAAGTGAGTAGTGGGGCGGGCGGGAGAAAGGGGGAAAATTATATAAGTGAAACAACGAGTCCCAATCCCATATCCCGACTCATGCAGTGAGCGCATTCGGAGAGAGAGAAAAGGGGAAGGGAGGGGGAAAGAAGAATACCCAATGTGTGGAGGAAAGGGGAGGAGATGGGGGGGAAGGGTTACTGGTTGCTCAAACTGGCTGCAGTTGTTGTTGTAGACGCGGATGAGGGTGACGGGGTGTGTGCCACACAGAAGCAAATGTCTCCGGTGCTTCGCTTCTCCCCTCCCTCCCCTCTTCACTCTGAAATTCTTCGTTTCCCTCCCTCCTCCACCCGCCCAGGTACCTGTTTGTGTCCAACTCCGACAATCTGGGCGCCACCCTGGACCTGGACCTGCTCAGCTACTTCGCCGCATCGGGCAAGGCCTTCCTCATGGAGGTGCGTGTGTGTGAGGGGTTGGGGTTGGAGAGGGAGAGGGGGGGAACGGGGCTTCGCGTGTTGTGTGTGTTAAGAAAACTGGCCGCGAGTAGGAACATACTGTGATTGTGTTGTGTGTGTGTGTGTGTGTTTTGTTCTGGGGGGAATTGGGAAGGAGGTGAATGGGTTTTACTGTGGGGTAGTATGGTTACAAAACCCGAGGGCCAACCAACTTGGGCCTTATTCTCTTCCCCCAACCACCCAACCAACCGCCTACCTAACCACCCAACCAACTGCCACCCAACCGCCCCCATGCAGGTGTGCGAGCGCACCGCCGCGGACAAGAAGGGTGGCCACTTGTGTGTGCGGAGGGCGGACGGGCGGCTGATGCTGCGGGAGAGCGCCATGTGCCCCGACGAGGACAAGAAGGCGTTCGAGGACATCGAAAAACACAGGTGGGGTGGGGTGGGGTGGGGTGGAAGGGGGGGTACTTGGGTGGGGTTGGAGGAAGCACAGGTTGCGACCAACTAGGTTACAACCAACTATTTTGCCTTATTACTAGTACATATAACTACTATTACACTGATACCTACTAGTAACCGCTTCCCCCTCCCCCCGCCTCCCCCTCCCCCCCGCCCCCCCCCCCCGCAGGTACTTCAACACCAACAACTTGTGGGTGTCGCTACCCGCGTTGCAGGCCACCCTGGCCGCATGCGGGGGCGCGCTGCCGCTGCCGCTCATCAAGAACAAGAAGACCGTCAACCCGCGTGACGGCGCCTCCGCCCCCGTGTTCCAACTGGAGACAGCCATGGGCTCCGCGATCGAGTGCTTCGACAACTCGGGTGGGGACTTGGGGGGTTGGGTTGGGTTGGGACGTGGGGACTTGGGGGGGTTGGGGTGCTGGGGGACTTGGGTGGTTGGGTCGGGTTGGGGTGCTGGGACGTGGGGGCTGAGGGGTGTAGTGGAAGGGGTGGTAGGAGCGGGCAGTCGTGTCACGTCCCTCCTCACGTAACGCCGCCTCCCACCTCACCATATGCCAATTTAGTCCGCCGAAAGCTTGGGTGGCTTCCCAAGTCGTTACGTGTCCGGCCCCACCCTCCACACCTGCATTATCCTGCCCTCCATTCGTGGTTTCCTATGGTTTGTTCAAATTCGACCCACCCCCAACCACTCCCTTCTGTCCCCCCCCCCTCAGGTGCCATCGTGGTTCCCCGCTCTCGCTTCGCCCCCGTCAAGACCTGCTCCGACCTCTTCGTCCTGCGATCCGACGTGTACCGCATCGCAGAAGACGCAACCATTGCCGTAATCCCCGAGCTGCTCCCCGCCACCAAGGGCGCGCCGCCTGCCGTACCGTTGGTGAAGTTGGACGACAAGCACTACAAGTTGGTTGATCAGTTGGAGTCGTTGGCGCCGGCGGTTCCCAGCCTGAAGGGCGCGAGCGCGGTGACGGTTAAGGGAGCGGTTAAGTTTGCTGCTGGGGTGGTGCTGAAGGGGGAGGTGGTGGTGGAGGCGGTGGGAGGTGGGGTTGGGGAGCTGGCGGCGGGTGAGTATAGCGGGAGTGTGAAGGTGGGGGAGGCAGCCGGGGTGTCCGCGTGATGGGAGAGGGGAAAAGTAAATGAAAAGTGAAGCAATCCGCGGGTCCCAATCCCAATCCTGTATCCCAAGAGGAGGGGGGAGGAGTATGAAGTGGGAAGAGGAGGGTTGCAGTGAGGGAGACAGTTGAGGCAGTTGTCTTGCATGGAACGTTGTTGGGAGCTTGTTTCGGTCGAAGCGGAACTGTGATGTGATGATATCTATCTAATAGCAAGGCGTAAGTCTATCCTAAGATTTAAGAACTTGGTTGCTTCCTATCGGCCATGCCCCAACGAGCCGTCCGTCTTTTGATGTGTGGGAAGTGGAGGCCACTGTGTTTTTCGACCCATGGGTCAGTCCCGGGTATTGCGGAACCACATGTGAGAAGACATGCGCCGGAGTCGCCTTCCCTGGTCCTGGGGCCCGCACCTTCTTTCCAGAACTTTCCATGCTGCCTGTTGATGTTGTTAAACGACATTGCGACGATTGCTGTTGGTGCAATAATTGTTATCATGTGAAGAGATGTGCTACGGCGTGTGAGCCGTCGAGTTGTATGCGTTGTTGTTATTGCTGTTGTTAGGAGGTGGCAATGTATGCTTATAAGGTTCAATGACGCATGCAATTACAACGTAACATCCGAATCTGGTTCCGTACGGGAGAGACAAACACCATTTCGTACAGCTTCTTCCTTCGTTTGCACTTAGCATCTACCTCAGCAGGAATGAAACTTGCTTACACACTTTCAACCTCCGCCTGCCATCGGTATTGTGATTGCAGCCGTCGAATCAGCTCGGCCCCAGCTGCTATGCCGAATACATCCTTAAGAGTGTCATCCGGTCACCTTGCTTCGTGGCCAAATCACCAAGGTATGTTGCGTCACCGGCAAAGGGGAACACACGTCTCTTCGTTCTCTTGTTAACCGAATAGTATCGCCCAAGAGTTACGTTACAATCACACCAACCTGCCTTCTGAAACCCGTGCTTTATGTGACCCCAATCTACCGTTTCGGGTCATCAACACATGCGGCTACTGCTGCTAGCTAGCCATCTTCCTAGCGCGGAGGATCCTTCCCCGCCACACCATATGTGTGGCACTCAACAGAAGCGACGACGCATGCATCCCCAACCCCCTGCAGTACGTTCCTACTACTCGCGGCCAGTTTTTTAAACACACACGCACACTTCGACAGATGCAACACAAGCTACCGGTATTACTTCTTACCCCTCCCGCGGCATAAAGCTACATGCGTGCATGTAAATCCTGCTGCTGCTGCTCCATTCGTTGACAACCCCATCGAAACACATCCATCTTACCTCGCCTGCTTTCCTGTCACTACTCAACATATCATCCTGCACCCACCACATTGTTCGCTACCTGCCCCACCCCACGCCAAGAATACGTTACATCACACAGCTTTCCCAGGGCAAGAAAACCGTCAGTGGGATGCAAGGGGAAACAACCGCACACCAGGACACCCCCAAGGACCAACGGCAAAAAACACACCCAAACAGCACCATGACGACGACACCACCTTTATAACACCTTCCATGTTTACCATAAAACGACAACATCACACAAGCGCTTTTTCACATTCTTGACAGCTCAAACGGCACACATGTGTGGCCCTGCTACAACCCTGATGCTGCGCTCCCCACACGCCTTCCTCTTTACATACCACCGCATTGCCCCCCCCTCCCCCGTTGCTTCATCGCAGCCCCCAACACACGCATGCTCTCACGCACGAAACACATCCCTCACGACTCGTTACCCCCACATCCCACATCCATCTCACCTAGCACCCAACCTCCCTCACACGTTGTCACGTGTAAGCAGCAGCTGAGAACCACCGCCCTCCCTCTCGATTGTCTTGTTTGCCAGCCTCATCCAACACCCTGGGTATTCCTCTTTTCCCTCCCTCCCAAACCCCAATCTCTCCCACCCCCCCCAATCCCTCCCTTCCCCCCAGCCCCCCTAATCCCACGTCAGCAGCATGACAATCACCGTCACGTTGTCCGCCGTACCCCTCCGTACCGCCGACTCGAGCAGCGCCTCCGCAGCAGCTCGTGCGTCCTCATCGCGGAAGGGCACTGCGGCGGCTGAGGTGGCGTTGTGGCCGTAGCGAGCCTGCGGGGTGGGAGAGGGGGGGGGCGATAAGGATTTTCACCCGTTCCAGAGTAAAAAAAAACAATACCCCATACCTGCTACCCCCCCCTTCCTTCACCTCCCCCCCTGCACCCTTTGCCGTAACCTGGGTTTTGTTTATCATGTATCTCAGACCCCCTCCCCCTTCCCTTCTCCCCCTTCCCTTCCCCCCTACCTGCAGCACCCCATTCGCGCAGTCCACCGCCTCCTGGTCGCTCATCACGTCCCACAGCCCGTCACTCGCCAGCACCACCAGGTTGTCTCCGGGGCGGGGAACCAGCCGCCGTACATCGGGCTCACACTCCACGAAGCGACGCGGCTCCTTGAAATCCAGGTCGCCCAGGGACCTGGGGGTGGAGACGAGGAGGCGGGAGGCGGGTATCACCCCCTATTGGGTACTCCTCCTTCTCTCCCCACCTGCAGCGTAACCCCTCCCCATGCTACCCCCACCTGCTGTCTCGCTCCTATGGTTAATCGTCTCCCACCCTCCCCCCTCCTCCGCACCTCTGCTGTATACCACCTCCCCCCACCACCAATGCTACAGTTGCTGCACTTCTCATGCATTTCCCCCCCCACCTGCCCCGGAATGCCCCCTCCCCCCCACCTGCTGACCGCCAGCCCGCTGCCCAGCCTCCCCTCCCGCGGCTCCACGATCACCCGCCAGCAGCGCTGGAAGTCCACACGACCGCCCGCCGCCTCCACCCGCGCTCGCTCGCCCGGCAGGTGCGGCTTGTGGTCCTCTGTGAGGCGAACCGCGGAGCCGCAGCGGGACAGCACGGCGCGGGAGTCGCCTGGGGGGAGGGAGGGGGGGAGGGAGGATAAACAAATGATGAGTGCAGCAACCGGAGTCCTAATTCCATATCCCGGCTCATGCAGTGAGTGCACTCGGAGACAGTGGGATGGAGGAGGGGAGGAGGAGAGGGAGGAGGAGGTGGTACGGTAAGGTGTCGTGGCGAGCCTGGCGAGCCCGAGCCGGGGCCGGGACCAAGTCATGTGCCCTCAACCAGCATCCAGCACACCCCGTGCCAGTACCTCCCCCTCTCCTGTCCCCCCTCTGCTCCCCATTGGGTGTTCTTCTCCCCCCCAAAACAACTCCTACGACCCTGCCAACTCCTATCCCCCTTGCTTTGCCCTAACTTGTGGTCTCCTATGGTTTGGTATGGTCTTTGACCCCCCCTAACCTGCCCTAACCTATGGTTCTGGTACACCTTGCCCCCCACTCCTCCCCCTTCCCCCCCCTTACCCACCCGCATGCGCCGCATACAGTGTGTCCGCCAGCCGCAGCACCAGCAGCGCAGTGGCTCCGTCCCGCGCGCCGTCCATCCGCGCCTCCGCCAGGATCTCGTCATCCACCCGCCGGAACACGCGGCGCAGCGCGGTGGAGATGGCGGACTCCTCCGCGGCCATGGCGGCAGGGGGGCCCAGCTCGCCTGGGGGAGGGGAGAGGAGGGAGGCGGGGGGGGGGGGAAAGAGGGGGGAGGAAAGAGGGGGTGGGAAGGGGGGATTAATAGGGATACATATTCCGCATTAGGCTGGGAGGGGTCTGAGGGACAGGAGGAGCGGAGGAAGGAGGAAGGGTAGGGGTGGTGAGGGGCAGAGAGGTGTTTGGAGTAAGGAGCGAGGTGACATGGGTGCCCTCGCCCTCCCCATTTTATCATTTACTCGCCATTATCAGGTTTTTGAAACACATACCCCGTTCGTTCCCTCCCTACCTACCCCTTCTCCTCCCCCTCTTAAACCATACATCCCTCCCGCCCGGTTTGCTTTATCTTTTGAGTCCCCTCCTCCTTTGACTTCCATCCTTTGACTCCCCCCCTCCCTTCCCCCACCCACCCGTGTGCGACCTCAGCGCCGCCTCCCCCGCCAGCATCATGTGCAGCCGCGCCGCCGCCGTGTCCGCCGCGCGGCTGCCGTTGTGGCCGTCGTATATGGCTGCCAGGCAGCGCTGCACGCCGTCCTGCAGCGGCTGCCCCGAGGCGGACAGCGGCCGCAGGCACTGCACGATGCAGTGGCGGTCCTCCATGTAGGGGCGCGCGCAGCGGGCCTGGGGGGTGGGGGGGGGAAGGTGGTGGGGAGGTGGGAGGTGGTCAAGTTAGGCTAAACCGTAAGAAACCGTAAAAGGGCAATAATCGGGGAATGAGGCGGCAGGGAGGTGGGGTTAGGGAGGGGAAGGAGGTGAAGGGCAGGGGTGGAGGGAGGTGGGGGGGACCTGAGGACGCCACTCTAGATGACCTGTCCTACAGGGAAAGGAATGCCGCCTTTCCCCTTCCCCTGCGCATCCCTGACGGGATACCCGGTAGGTCGGCTGCCACGTTTGCGCCCCACAGTGAAGCCGGGTCGTACAGCTTGAGCGGTTTCCTCGCACCCCAGCACCCTCCCCGGCTGCCCCTCACGTCTCACCGATGCCGAGCCGAACAGCACTCGTCCCAGCGAGCGGGGACCTCCACCGCCGGCTGAGGGACTGCGACCCCTGCCGCCGCCTGCACCCGTCGCAGCTCCGCCACCATCCGCGGCATCCACATCCACGATGCCCCCTTTCCCTCCTCCTCCTCCGCCGCCGCCGCCGCCGCCAAAACCAAAGGGCTGATATGGCGAGGTGTTGGCAGCGGCGGCGGCGGCGGCGGCGGAGGGGGAAGTACCGGTAGTGGCATGGGGGCTGGGGAGGGAGGGGTGCGTTAGCGGTGCCACCGCCGGGCCTGCTGACCCGAACGAGCGCAGCGGCAGCGGCAGCGCGGGAGCACTGGCGGCGGTGGTGATGGTGCGCGCCGGAATGATGTTACTCAGCCGCTGCGCCGCCTCTTCTCGCATGAAGCGCAGTGCCGTACTGGCGGCGAGGCGGTTGGCGGCGGCAGCGGCGGCGGCTGGGGCGACGCTGACGACTTTGCGCACGCCGCCGGTGCCGGCGCCGCCGCCCAGGCTACCCTCCTCGTCTAGCTCGTCTACAAAGCTGACGAGCAGGCGAGAGGGTTGCGACACGGGCGCCGCCGTGGTTGCTACGGGGCGTGCGGTGGAAGGCACCTGTGGTGGGTTACTAGGAAGGAGGCTAGGTGCTGCGTTGGCGGCGACGGCGGCGGCGCCTCCGCCAGCGTTGACACCGTTTGCGCTGACGGAGGAGGCTGTTGGCTGTCCAGGGGCCTTTGACGCGGCAGCGGCGACAGGCTTCAAGAGCGGCTTGACGCCCGCCGCCGCCGCTGCCGCCGCAATCACCATTGCCGCTGCCGCTGAAGACGCCTGAGCGACAGCGGCAGCGGCGGTGGCGGCACGCTCGGCGGCGCTTGACCCGCCAGCACGGCCAGGTGACTGATCCCGTTCCCTCTCCCGTCCTGAATCCCTATGGTCCCGCTTTCCGTCCCGCTCCCTGCCTCGCTCCTGCGCCCGACTCGGACTGCGGCTCCTGCTCCTGCTGCTGCTGCGACTCCTGCTATGGCTCCTGCTCCTGCTGCGGCTGTGGCTTTTCCGGCGGCTGTTGCGATCCCGGCGGCCCCGATCTCCTCGCGAACGTGAACGTGAACGTGAGCGGTCCCGGCCCTTGTCGCCATGGCGGTTCGCTGGACTCCTTGCCCCGGAGTCCTCATGCCCGGCTCGACGGTCCCGGTCGCGACCGCGATGTGGGTCGGAGGCGCCGTCGTCGCCGTCAGGGCAGGCGGTTTTGGAACTGCGGGCGCGCTTGCTCGATCCAGGCTTGGAATCCAAATCCGACCCCGGTGACCCAGATCGCGACCGTGACCGTGACCGGGACTTGGGTTTTGGCTTCGACTTGGATTTGGATTTCGTTTTGGATTTGTGGGCCTTGAGAGGTCGTCCGGAGCCGGGACTGGGGTCGTCACTCGAGCCGTCGGGGGCAGGTGCGGGCGCATGCCTTGGGCTAGCGCTGCTGCGGCCGCGGCTTGACCTGTCGTCTCGGCTGCGGCTGTGACTGCGGCTGTGGGATTTGCCGTTGCTTGTAGCCTTGTCGCCCGTAACATCGCTCATGGGCTGATCTGGGGTGCCATGCGGGCCATTCGCCTGCTGCGTTGCTGCACCATCGAGCTGCTCGTCCGGCACAGCCTCCTGGAATATTCCTCCAGGGGAGCTGTCGTTGCCTTGACATGCGGGCATGTCGGCTCGTTTACAAATGTCTTCGCAGTCACTAGCACACGAGGACTCCGCGCAAGCTCCCTTGCCTGCGTCACAGGACGGCGGCCCAACACCACTGCCGTCTGGACGCTGCTCATCTTCGCGGTCCCTGCTGCCGCCGTCGCAGCTGCTTGGAATATTAGGTTCAGCACATGCCTGGCGCCCAGGCTCTGGCCCACCTGGGCACTGCCGCGTCTGTACTTCGTTATACCCGTTCCCCTGCGGGGTCTCGTATTGCGACGTTTCAGGGCCGGAGCCGGGGCTGCGATCGCCGAGAGGTGGTTTCCCGCTAGCTACCTCCATGGTGCTGATGTTGACACCAGCGGGAAGCTGCTTAGCGTTCGCCATCTGCCCAGCCGTGTTACCATCTTGCAATTGATCTGCACAAGCGCTCTTCTTACAACAAGCTCGTACAGCTTCCGTTGTAGGACTGCGACACGGGCAACATGAGGCATGAGGCAAGGCGGGAGTTAGAAGTGAAGCCATGGCGCCGAGGCTACGGTGCTCAATTGCAAATCTTTAACCTTATAGTAACAATAGTATCCGCGTTGGTGGCTAAAAAGCTGGATATGGACAAGTCGTAGGAACAGTAATAGCGGGTTACCCCAAAACAAAAAAAGGTAAACTCTAGCGAGGATTTACCTTTTAGCCCCGTGGCTATTCACATCTTGCCCTGTAAGCGTCATGGCTGTGCGAGAAGGTAATGAGTTAGGTAGGTTACAAATGCAGCTGCAGGAAGTAACTAATGCTACGATCTAAGCGAGCTGGTCGCGCTGGTTAATAGGCTTTAATTATAACCACGACTTTCAGTCCGTCTGTCCGTGGCAGTGGCCAGCCTGGCCTCGACAGGGCCACAAGGCCAACTAGATAACGCCAGGACTAATGAAAAGCAAGGGGATTTGCGCAAAACTCCGCGATTTACCATACACGTTATGCTGCACTGGCAGTATCATCTACCCTATCCTGCCGGATCGGGACGTTCATTTGCCGTACAAGGGCCAGCTACTGTCGGAACCAGGCCATACCGTCTTGTCTGAACACCATAACACCCCAAGGATGACACTCCTGAATTGCAGATGCACACGGTCTACACGATCAATGTATGCCTGGTCAGTGTGTGCTTACGTAGCATGTGCCATCCAATGTCCAATTGTCGCAACAATACGCGCTAGGCGTGCAGTGCAGGCATTCATGTCCCATTGGCCTACCCCGTTCTGCGATGCCAATCACTATTCAGTACGCCTACTGGCCATCTAGACCCCAGAACTATCCTGTCTTAACCGTTCTCTTCACCATGTCCGCAGTTGCTTGTGCGGCGCCTTACAGCGTCCGGCCAACACCGGTGTCTTTCTTCCGCAAAGATCCCGTTGCTTCCTGTCCAACGATGCCTCACTCCACACGCCGAAACTCATGCATACGTGTCTTCTCTTGCGCAACGACGCAGAAATGTACGACCATGCTCATCTGCCACACACGGCTTATTCATGCTGCGATCAATTCATACCGACACGCTACTCCTCAACTTTGTACACATCAGACCTCGCGCACGCTGCCGTACGCTCCCTGGGAACAATGGCCTCCCAGGAGTCCTAACACGACGCGTACTTCCACCAAGGAAATCATGCTATGCCCGATGCATTCCGCATGCATGTCATCGCCCATCCCATTGATGCAACCAGCTTGCCCTGCACTGAACACCCTGCCTACACTATACCATCTGACCTACATGCCCTAAAAATACACAATCCTTCGGACTCCTGCTGTTAATAACGCGCGATCCCCGCGCACGCCGCAGCATTATGTATAAGCACGCTAGCTACCCACTCCTCGCACACGTACCAGAAGGCACGTACTAGAGCCGCACTCGGCGCAAGGATACGTCCGTTATTGCAGGAAACGCAGCACACGCCGCATGCGCTTCAGCATGGCGTTGGCGTGCGGCATATACGCCTCAGCATGCCCCGGCAATGGTCAGCAGGCACTTCACGGGCCTAGTAGGCCTTGACTTGATCAATGCAGAAGTCTTGGTTGCCGCCCCAGTTGTTGGTGAAGGTGACTCCGTTGACGGACCAGTCGTTGACTGAATCGCTGCATCCGCCAAACGCATTGCCATCGTCACCACCGCTGCAGGGCCGTAGGGGCAGGGCGCATGTCAGAAAGCGCGTATTAAATGGCATTGCACTACAACCGGTAAGTCAGCTCGCATTGTACGACATGCTGTGGCTGTCCCCAAGATGCAGAACACACACCGTTGGCAACAGCCCGTAGACTCCTAAGCATTCCAACCGCACCCGGAAGTCCAAATCCTTTGCTGAACGAATGGCCGTTACAATGATTCGTTTGCTGTTATGCCCTCACCCAAGCACCCCCTCACCTGCGGCGCCAATCAAAGGCGCTGAGAGGGACCATGAACCTCGACCATCCGCTGCGTTGGTCCTTGGCCGTCACATCTCGCAACCGCAGAGTCTTGCAGTCGCCCTGCGGTACCGTATAACACAACGAGGTAAGGCAAGCGAACAAGCGAAAGAGATGAGAGGAGGTAAGGATACCAATGAAGGTTGCTGGCACAGAAGCTGACGGCCAGGTAGACCACCTCCCCACGCAGCAACGCTCAGTCACGGAGCAACCAACCGTCGCCGTACCAACCGGCGGCCACAACCACGCAGATGCAACGCGACGAGATGAGTGCGTCCTAGCCAAGCGCTTTGCACGTAGCGCAGAGGGTCAACAGGTAGGCCGACTCACCGAAGAAGAAGTGAGCTTGACGCTGACGTCAGGCGAGTAACCGCTGTTCTGTCGGACGTAGAACTCGAGGGTGCGTTTGGAGCTGAAGACGCCCGACCAGGCGTTCAACTTGACTCCGCCGTATCCCGACAGTGTCACGCAGTACGCCTGCTGGCCGTCCAGACCCCAGGAAGAATCGCGACCCCACCTGAAGATGGGACAGGCGGGGGAAAAGGAGAGAAGGTAGTCAACGTCTGGACCAGGACCTGGGCCGCGTAGATCCGGTATTTTTAATGGCGCCTTGGCTTGACGTGTGCATGACCCACATCCGGACACATAGGACTTCATCTTCCGACAATCACAGTACGTTCCGCCTCGCGGCCAGCTTTCTTAACACAGGACAAAGTAGCCGTCAGTGGGCCAACTACTCACTTGTTGATGCTCCAGCTGCCGCTGTCACTCCAGCCCTGCATGAAGCCGCCATAGTAGGCGTTCGTAAGGGCCGACTGCTGACCCACCGACTGCTGCTGCTGCTGCTGGCTGCCAGAGTTGTAGCTAACGCTGACAGTGCTGTTGACGGGCGGGTTGGAGCCAGAACCGGAGCCAGAGCTGCTGGAGCCACCGATGTTCCAGGACTTGGATTGCGACCACAGGGACCAGCGCTTGTCCTTGGAGGAGTCCCAGTTCCAGGGGGCTGACTGGGAGTCTCGGACGGGCGACACACCGCTGGGCAGGTAGGCGCGCTTGGCGGGCTGGTAGTCGCACGGGACCCTGCGGTACCTGATGCCGATGACGCCCCACTTGATGTCCGCAAGCTGCGAATTGGAACGCAAAAACAAGGGGCTCTGTGGGGTTCGAACTTGCTGGTCCAGCAGTTACAAAGCGCGGTAACTGCCGACAATTGAAGGGTAGCTGAAGAGACCCAGATTGCATTAGAAGCCCGACCCACCTTTTGAAAAGCGAAGCTGGACATGTCGAAGTGCTGCATTGCAACAAAGCGGAAGCGCCAAAGGGAACGGAAGTCAGCTTTTCAGTATTGGAGGCAGTAGCAGCATGATGACTGGTGATAACGTCAGTAGGCCTAACCGCAACCGCAACATACGTAGCTGTAGCACGCGTTGCAACTGAACTGAGGGGATACTGCTTCCCCGGGCTGACCTGCATGTCGCCGCAGCACCAGCGCTTGTTGGAGTAGGCGTTGGCGGGGTAGTAGCATGGGCTGCGTGACACATGAGGATTTCGGGTTCGCTTCAGCTGGGGTGAGGAAGGAAGCGGAAGGCAATCCCGCTCACACGTTCATCGTATGGGCACCATAAACCGAAGAAATGATTTGGGTCGGGTCTCGCAATGTGGGTCAGGACTCGGGTCTCGCAATGTGGTCAGGACTCAGGAGCGATCTGGGTCAGGGCGATGGAGATACCCATTTGGGTCAAGCGCAACTCCCAAGCATCCCAAGACTCTAGGCGTAGTTCGGACCAGCAATGCTCGTCCCTCCTGGCCTTATGGGTTTGCCGTCAACCAGTCGACAAAATGGACCTACCATAGATCGGTGACCATGACGACTACGCTGGCACTGGGGTCATAGCAGACACTGTTGCGCTCCAGCGCATTGCCATAGAAGTCGTGGAAGGACATGCCTTGGCAGGAAATTTCATAGCAGACGCTGCAGTGCAAAAGAGTAGAGAGATAAGCAAGATTCCTTTCGAGCGGCGCTTTCCAAGAGGCAATCAGCATGGCCCACACCAAATGTGCCTATGTTGCCGTCGCATTGAACATCGTGTGCGGCAGAGATAAGGGGACTGAAACGACTGACCCGCAGCTGCTCGTAGACGCGTCATAGTCCCAGTTTTGGTCGGAGGGCGCTACGATGTCCCAACCAGTACCTGGAGAGCATGAGGCAACAAAGCGTGTAAGAAACAGTTAAATGAAGCTATAGCAAAATATCAGCCCCTTTTCGTGATACAAGGGATTTTGCCCTTCGGCCACACTTACCGACATTCGGGTCGAGATAGTAGTAGCCGCAGTGCCCAATATGGATTGACCCATCTCCAGCACCACCTAGGCAAGGTGGAAGACAGGGCGTCTTGTTACGCCTTGTTCGGATGTGTCGATGGCATTAATAAGAGGGACATGAAATCCCCTACCCCTGCAAACTTACCATAGTGCGTCGCACGGCCAGTATGCCATTGATAATCAATACCAGCAGCCAAAGAGCTTGGGGGTAGAACTGTTGCGGCAAAGGCCACCAACAAGAGACGCGTGACCGGGAAAGCTCGCCCCGTGGGAAATTTGAAGTCCATTATAACCAGACACTTTGGTTAGTGAATTAATGGTCCGTTCTCCGCCCTTCGAACATCAAGGTCCGACGCGACGATTGACCTTGTCGACCTAGCTAATATAAATAGGGTCACAAGTAAAGAAGCGCATCGACTATCTTGGCAGCTAACAAAGAGGCTTTTTATAATTGGCATGAATTGGACTGTCTACGGTTGTACGGCCTGCTGTAAACGGCGCGCGAAGGTTTCGGTGCCGGAAAAGGTTCCGCATAGAGTTCAACATTCTAGGTGAGCACCTATGGTCCATGAGAAATACGCCCTTCCATGTCTTTCGGGGTCCGCAGCAGCAAGTTTGCTTCCTGACTTCTGACATTCCTGAAGTCAACACATGTCAGCCCGCAACCAAGTCCAACTATGCGTGTGCCGCAGTCTCCCTAGTGACCTGAACGCTTACAATTATCCGCTTGGGATTCTGCTACTCCAATAGGGAGAGCCTACTGCCATCGATGCAGGCCAGCTGCAGGCTTTCGGCAGAACGCACGCATATCGGTCCCAAGACTGACCACCATCTCGTCGCACATCCCTGCAGGCCCACAATTTACCACAGCTCGCTGCCCAGCCTGCCCAACCCGGTTAGGTTGCATATGCTTACCTGGACTCCTTGCGGGATCGGAAGTACAACAGAAGGCCAACAAACAGAATCCGAACAGTAGCCCCGTCCTCAGCCTCCCCGTCGGCGCACCTCATCTGAAGGTAAATGACGCCCAAGACCTCGCATTGCACTTCCGTGCCGAAGTGTCTTCCGGACTGCAGCATTTCCGAGCGCAGTCCTGACTCTACACACTCAACAGCGTGTCCGTCTTCGAATAGAACCGTCTTCGAATATGTGACTCCTTATAACGGTTGAACATACTATCCCTGCACGTTTACGATCTGGGTCGCGTCTTCGACGGCCCTTGCGTTTGAACGGCTCCCATTGCAGCTCTCAACCTTGGGCAACGTCCACCTCAGCAACGCCATTCCTTGGCCGCTCATGTACTAGTTAATGACCTAGTAACTTTCATACCCAAACACTGCAGGACAACTAAGACTCTCCCACAGCAACACATTCACACGCAGCCGCCTGCAACATTGCTAATTTACTATCCAAGCGTTAACCTGCAACATCCCGGCACTCGGAAACCCTCCCAGTCCTACGACACCTAAGCCCTAACACCTGTCGCCACATCCGCACCCAACCCATTACGCTGCATACAACCTTCACGCTACGATCCTAGTCTAGCGCCTGGCTGCCGCAGCAGCACGCACCAAGGCGCACAACTCCTTGTGCCCACCCCGCGCGTGCGCCATCTGACAGTCGCGGCTGCAGTACAACACCCGGCCGCACTTCCCGCACGGCTGCAGCGGCAGCTCCGCCTCGCCGTCACCCGCCAGGTTGGTGCAGCGCGGGTTGCCGCACACCCGCGCGCGCCCAGACACGAGATGCGGAGGCGTCAGCCGCTCCGCCACGCACCCATGCTTCTTCAACAATCGCGAACGCACCTTCTCATTCGCTTGCACCCGCACCGCATCGCCATATTCCCCAGACATGCACGTGATCGTATGGCGCTGCTCCGCATCCATCACATGGCTGCTGCCCTCCCACTCCAGCATCACATGCATCCGCAGTACATACACCAGGGAGAGAAACGGCAGACGCCCCTTGCGTGCTCCGCCTCCGCTGGCGCCCTTGCCCAATGCCTCTGACATGACCTGCGTGAACTGAGGCGCCATGGCATCAGCCATCTCATCAGGGAAGGCGAGTATCATGGCCTGAACCGCGGGCGCAAAGTTGAGCAGGAGGCTGCGGCTTCCGGAATCCGTGTAGATTCGCCCCAGCTGCGAGGTCGTGACATCATGCGCTGCTGCCAAAGCCACATCCATCACGCTGAAGACGTCAATGTCGGAGAGCAGGAGCTGCTTCCAGGCGGCTGCTGCGGCTACCTGGCCACGCTCCAATGCCAGCAGGTACGCAGTCGTAAGCAGCGGCACCCAGCGCAGCATCAGCGAAGCCACCTCTTCCTGGGCTTTGCTGTTCAACGCCAACAGGTTGATGCCGTACGATGAAATGTGCGGAAGCACGGCTGCCATAGCTGGCAGCCGCCGCGCTGCCATGACGGATCCAAGCAGCAGAACCCGCTCAGCGGCCTCCACCGGTACCTCCGATACACCAGGCAGGTCGCTGGAACCACCATCGTCGTTGCCGCTCACGTCAGCATCGCCGCCGTCGTCGTCGACGTTTGCGTCGGCTGGGGGAGTAGCGCCTCCGGCGGTAAACACAAACCCAAAGGACAACTGCTGCTCTGTAGCGCTAGCACTGGCGGCACTGGTGCTGCTGCTGCTGCTGGCTACCGCAGCAGCATGGCTGCTGCTGCTAGAGCAACCTGGGTCAGGCCCCTCCTCGTTGGCAACTCCAGACGGCACGGAACCGCAGGCCGCCCCGACCGCAGCCCCCTCCTCGGCTGCAGGCTTCTCCTGCACATCAACCATGCCTGCGCTGCGCATAGCCAGCGCCCTGCCGCAGAGCCTCATCACCTGCAGCAGCCCTTGCGGCACGCTGAAACGCGCAATCGCATCCATTGCGTCACACTCGAAGTTGTGGTTGCTCATAGCCTCCTTGGAAACCAGCCGTGACACAGCCTTGCTGGAGGTCACCACATAAGGCACCAGCTGGTCAAACTCCGCTGTTAGCAGCAGCGAACGCATGGAAACCTCGTTGGCGAGGATGGAGAACAGCCCCGATAGGCCCGATGCGTGGCCGAGCATGTGCGGCAGGCCGCGGCGCAAGACTCGCTCCAGGCAGGGCAGTAGGCCTAATGGATGCGCGTTACGGAGGTTGGCGGCGACAGAGCTGGACAGCAGGAGGCCCCGGTGGTGGCTGTGGTTGCGAGTGCCGCACAAGGTAACTGCATGTGACAGGAAAACAGTTGGGACAGGCTTAGGTTTCGTACTGAAGAGCCAAAGGCGTACAGGGTAGAGGTGTAAGACCAGCAGCCTTTTCAGCGACATCGATAAGAAAATCACAAGGACAGCCTTAAGCAACAGGAGGCAGCGCCGGCAGTGACAACATTGCATGGTGACACCTTCAAGAAATTCGGTACCCTTCAAAAGAGCACTTGCCAGCGTTGCAGTTCTGAGCGACCACCTACCTTGCTTCGACAGCTCGTAGAGGCCACCCATGTTGCATACGTCCCGCAGGCTACCAACTTCCTCCAGCGAGATGTCAAAGACGGTAAGCGCGTCCCGCCACCAGTCCTCCGGAAGCACCGCAACCTCCACACCACCGCTTGTGCTGCTGCTACCGTTGGCGTTGCCACTAGCGCTGCTGGCCTCTCCGCCTGCCTCACGGCTTCTGGAAGCGTCTTGTGCTGTGCTGCCCCCGCTCCCATCGCCTGCGCTACTGCTGCTTCGATACCGTCTGCCGGCATGCAAGCATCGGGCTGCAGTAATCACGGCGTCCATAGCCAGGGAGGGGCAGTCCGACGGCCGGAAGCGGTCTGCCCGAGGAGCCAGAAGCCCACGCTGCCGCTGCTGTTGCTGCTTAGCACGCGCCCCTCCCTCCGCCTGCTGCTGCTGCGCCTGCTGCTTCAGCTGCTTGGCCTGCCGCATCTGCTTCTGGGTAAGCCGCCGCTCCTGCGGCGGAGGCACCGACGCTGCGGCGGCTGACTGAGCATGCTGCCCTGTTCCTGACGCAGCCCCAGCGTGCCGCACCCTGGGCGACTTGCCGGTTGCCTTGAACCACCAAAGCAGCGCAACCTTTGCCAATCGCATGCTCATTGCGAATTTGGCCCGCGGACTGATCACCTGCCGCCGTTGCGTCTGCTCATCCGCTTCTAATGCGCGCACCCAGTACCGCAGCACACCGCGGACTGAGCAGGTGCCCAGTGTAGATGCCTTGCAATCCGGGCGGGTGCAGCCGCCACAGCACTCCTCCAGGACTGGCGGCAGCGCATCGGTAGAGAGGCCGTACATGGTGGATCCGGCGTCGCTGCTGCTGCCACCTGCACCGCCGTTTCTAACGTCACGACCGTCGTCCAGGTGGCAACCGTCAATGGTCTCGGCGCTACGCAGCTGCGCTGCCATGTGGGCTGCCATAAGGTACTGCATGCACGCGCCAAAGGGGCAGTATGCGGTCCAGGCATCCGGGTCTTCGCCCCTGCCCGCAGTGGTAGATACATCAAGCTGGCGTTCCGCTGTTACGAGCAACCTGGCCAGCACATCGTTTACTACGCCAGTCAAGGCAGGCGGCTGCACGGAAGTGTTGCTGGAGCTGGAACTGGAGCTCGAAGTTGAACTGGTAGCCGCAGGGGATGGCACCTCCCTGCGGTGCAGCAGAAAGCCCTTCGCCAGATGTTCCAGCAGATAGCTCTTGTTCATGCTTTCCAGAATCTCGTACAGCAGCGTCGTGTCGTGGTCGTCACTGGTCAAGTGGCTGCTGCTTCTGTTGTTGTTTCCGCTGGTCTCATCATCGTCCGAGTCCTTGTCGGCTCCCACGTTGCAAAAGGCCAGCAAGCCCTCCAGCAGATTGATGACAGCGACGTACCAGGAGAACCGCTCATTGGGGTCCTTGAACAAGTCCCGGGCAACAAGCTGGCTAAGGCATTGCAGTGTATCAGACCGAACGCAAGAGCGTGCCACAGCCGCGACGATGTCCATGAAGCAAACACCATCCCAGCTTATTTTCTTGCAACTTTCGACATCCTTGCAAGCGGTGTAGAAGAGGTGACTCAAGATTCTCGTCACCGCAATGCCTGCACGGCTGCATGCGTCACCCAGCGCCCGGCTTTCGCCTTGGCCGTGTGCGACGCTGCCTTCGCCTCCCTCAATGCCAGATCCAGTCTCTGCGTTAAAGCGGTTGCTGATAAGCATGCGCAGCGCCGTGGCGTGCGCTTTGAGGAAGGAGAGCTGAGATTCTGAGCGACTCCAGATAATCTCAAGTTCGTGTGGCTTTTCTAGTAGGTCAGAGTAGGACATAAGGGGCTCAAGCATGTTGGTAAGCCGGTCCCAATACTCGGTTGTCATGAGGTCATCGGCATTATGGTGAGAATTGTCAAAAGCGGCCGGGCCTTCTGCGCCCAAGCTGTTTAGCAAATTTAATCGCGACCGAGAATGCTGGCGTGGCATGATGCTAGCCAGTGGCAAAAGGCGTGGCTTCTGCAGGTAGTAAGTTGCAACGTTCAAAAGCGGAATGGCAGTAAATGTACCGGTATAAAGTGTACGCAGATGGACATTAAAATCAGGAAAAGGACTTCCGAGGGCGAAGTTCAGCCAATGCGCAGGTAGTTGTACGGAGACTCATGGCGGGAAACTCCAGTACATGGCAAAAGCTTGACAGCTTTAGCCATGTTGGTAGAGCATTCGAGCTTGCCCCAACAACATGCATGTCCATGACTATTAAAGGTTTTCATATGCAGCCTTATGACGGCGATCAGATGACGGGATAGCCATCCTTCACGGAACTTATAATTTTCTTGTTTTGAGCGGTTATCTATATGCGTCAACTCGACCCCGCTCACAAAATCGTGTCAGGGTGTGCGGAATGCTTCGTATGTTACATTGCATATGTCTAGCCAGCTTTAGTGTTGACGTGTCGTCAGTTGCCCTGCAACTTTATCATTCGTAATACATGCCTGCTTCCAGGATGAGTTCATAACTACTTCCTAACAACTTAGCCACACCGTAGCTCCGTTCACGCCACCGATTGCCACCTCGGGCTTATTCATCTGCCATCACTCTACTCCATTGGGAGCGTCGTAGATATCGTGCACAGTAGTCATACGACAATTTCCCTTGAGAAGCAATAGCCTTCCTAGAGGAAAACGCCGACTAACACATAGCATCAGGCTGTGCACAGCGTTTTCAGCGCGCACATACCGCCTGCCAAGCATCCCCTGCCCTACTCGGCAAATTTTGCCGCAAACACTGGAACCTCACTGCCCTGCGAACAAGCACACAGCCCCATTTGGACTGATCTTATCGACGCGCAGTTCTACGCACGCCACATCATCATACAAGCACGCTACCTAGCCACACCTCGCCCGCGTACCAGCAAACGTTGTACATGGAAACTGCCACGTGTAACTCTCCGTACCGCTTACAACGCCGCTAAGCGTGCCCCGGGAGAAACGGAAAAATCACCATGCTTAGAAGACCTTGACTTGGTCAATGCAGAAGTCTTGGTTACCGCCCCAGTTGTTGGTGAAGACGATGGCGTTGACGGACCAGTCGTTGATGGAGTCGCTGCATCCGCCGAACGCATTGCCATCGTCGCCGCCGCTGTAAGCACGAAAAGGGGCATATCAGTAAGCGCGTTGCCGTTTGGGTTGTAAACCCAGTCGAACAGCTGTGGCAGTGCTATGTACACGGCACGCTGAAGTGCCTTCCGTAGAATGCACACGCGAAACCATGCTGTTGAGCCCGCCCCATGAAGTTCTCACCTGTGGCGCCAGTCGAAGTCGTCAAGGGGAATCTGGAAGCGCGACCAGCCGCTGCGTTGATCCTTGGGCGTCAGGTTGCGCAGCCGTAGGGTCTTGCAGTCACCCTGGGGTCGGCGCATAGAGCGCAGCAAAAGGAGTTAAGGGAGCAGGTGATTTATAGTGCTGTTGAATCAAGCGACAAGGTCGCACGCTGAGCGGAGAGCGGAGAGCAGCATGCTCGGGACTCACCGAAGAGGAGGAGAGCTTGATGCTGACGTCCGGCGAGTAGCCGCTGTTCTGGCGTGCGTAGAACTCGACGAAGCGCTTGGAGCTGAAGACGCCCGACCAGGCATTCAGCTTGATGCCGCCGTACCCGGACATGGTCACGCTGTACGCCTGCTGGCCGTCCAGACCCCAAGAAGAATCGCGACCCCACCTGAAGTTGGGACCAATAGGAAACATGGGAACTGTCGACACCCGTGGGTCAAGCTAAGAGGAGCATATGCACCTGGTACCCATGCGACGGCGACTAACCAGACCCACATCCGATACATGGAAACAACGCAACCGAGGTAGATAGCGCACAAGGCGAGGAGCAGAAATCGTCCTACGTTCGGGCGGACCAGCTTCCGCAACTTACTTGCTGATGCTCCAGCTGCCGCTGTCACTCCAGCCCTGCATGAAGCCTCCGTAGTAGGCATTGGTGACGGAAGACTGCTGACCCACCGACTGCTGGCTGCCGGAGTTGTAGCTGACGCTGACGGAGGAGCTAGAAGAAGAGCTTGAGCTAGAAGAGGACGAGACGGAGCTAGAGCTGCTGGAGCTGGAGCCACCGAGGTTCCAGGACTTGGATTGCGACCACAGGGCCCAGCGCTTGTCCTTGGACGAGTCCCAGTTCCAAGGGGCCGACTGGGAGTCCTTCACGGCCGTCGCTCCGCTGGGCAGGTAGGCGCGCTTAGCGGGCTGGTAGTCGCACGGGACCCTGCGGTACTTAATTCCGATGACGCCCCACTTGATGTCCGCAAGCTATGCAAGGAAAGGCGGCAGAGGGATAGGAGGCTTAGTTTTAGGTGCAGTAAAACCGTGCCGGCGATGCAGTCATGTGAAACAACAACCGAGCCCCGCAATGTGGGTTACGATGGAGTACGCCTATGCCTTGGCATCGCAAGAGCCTAGGAAAGCAAGAGCCTGGGTTCCTAGGAAACAACGACTGAACCCGACCCACCTTTTCAAAAGCAAAGGATGAGACATCGAAGTGCTGCAATGGTCGATAGGGAACGGCAAAAGGAAATAGGGTTGGTGTGCCGGGTATCCTTGACCGAATACAAACAAGATATGCTGGTTCCATCCGGTTAACCGTGGGTAAAGCTTGGCAGACATTTTGTGCGTGACAAGCACGCGTTGCGACAATATAACACGTTGTGATTGTTCTTATGGGACCCACTTCCCCGGGCTGACCTGCATGTCGCCGCAGCACCAGCGCTTATTGGAGTAGGCGTTGGAGGGGTAGTAGCATGGGCTGCGTGGCGTGGGGTGGAGAGGAAATAGAAGCTTAGGTGAACAAGTAAGAACGCCGGGTCGGTCCTTACATGCGAGCCGGTCCCTAAATGCGGATCTGGGGTGATCTGGGTCAGAATGCAAACGGGATCGCTCATTTGGATCGGGCACCACGTTTGCCGAGGGGGCATTTCGCCCCACCAGCTTGCACCATTCCACCTACCATATGTCCGTGACCATCACGACAACACTGGCGCTGGAGTCGTAGCAAACGCTGCTGCGCTCCAGCCAGTTGCCGTAGAAGTCGTTGAAGGACATGCCTTGGCAAGCAATCTCGTAGCAGACCCTGTAATATATTGAAGAGGATTAAGGATGACATCTCGGCTCAAAATATTTGAGACAAGCAGCATACGTAAGACAAACAATGTGGATGTCGGGTTGGCTGGTTGACATTTCACACAGTAATGCCACACAGTACATTCCGGGTCGCGAAAGCGGTGGTGACTGACCCGCAGCTGCTTGTAGATGCGTCATAGTCCCAGTTCTGGTCTGACGGCGCTGCAATGTCCCACCCGGTGCCTGCAAAGATAGAACAAAGACGGAAGATAGTAAGCAAGTTAAGAATGCACAATTACCCGCACGAAGCTTTGCAATTAAGGGAATGTTCAGGCCTCTAGCGAGCCGCATGCTGCAGATCATCAAGCTTACCGACACTCGCGTCGAGGTAGCCATAGCCGCAGTGCCCGTGATGGATTGACCAAGGGTCTCCAGCTCCGCCTGAACGAAAGGGAGTTTGCCGACGTCGTCCCCAGATCCCAGAGAAAGTGTGTCTCAATGTGACATTGTGACATGAAACGAAGATAAGGACACAACTACGCCTGTAGGCGCTTGTCGGCTTACCGTAGTGTGTTGCGCGACCGGTATGCCATTGATAATCAACACCAGCAGCTGAAGACCCCAGGAGAAGAGACAAAGCGGTGCACGCCAGCAGCAGATGCGGCATAGCCTGGGAAGCTCGCCCCATAGCTCCTGGTAGGGATAAATATAAAGGACACACTCACTAATTTGCCCTTGGCCGCTCGCCGGGCGCGGGGTGTTGGGACGGACTTGTCGCCGCGACGGTTGGCCTGGCGGACCTTATAGATAAAATATAGTCACAAGCAGTAGCAGAAATGAATCTACTGCGTTTGTGTTTTGGGTATCTGAGGACGGCTTTTATAGTTGGCAGCTAAGAAAGCAACTCTACGGCGGTTGTACGACGAGCGCGGGAAGGTTTCGGTGCTGAAATGTCTCAAGCATGGCATTTACAAAGGGCAAAAGCCCTACGCTGGATGAGATGGTCCATGCGTATAAGAGCGTAAGCTCGCTCAGTATCTTCTCCAACTGGAACTCAAGAAGAGCCTATGTGCCAAGCTGCCAACGCTTTAGTTACGCTCTGTCTCCGCATGCTTTTATGTACTTAACAACCATATGCATTCATAAGTACTTGCTTGCATAGTTAACGGTTATTATTATTATTAAAAAGGGACATACAGTATGGAAGCAGGGCCTGCCGCAGGCGGTTCCATAAAACCCATTAACCGGCAATCCATACATAGGATATGTTCTGGACAGGTTATATTGGACCTGTCAACAGCTGTCAAGGAGCTGGTGGAAAACGCGCTAGATGCTGGCGCGACCAACATTGAAGTGAGCCCCGGAGCGGGCGAAACGGCTGCAGGATACCGGGGGCGTCGACGTCAATTTTCTTAGAAGCCGGCATGCCCTAAAACAGTTTTTCCCAGCTGAGGCCCTCTCCCAAGACCCCCAAGACTAAGCTTTGAAACACACCGCGCCACCCTGTTTTCGTCCTTTCCCCCTTTAGCCCCGCCCCAACTCGACGCCGTATGCTTCCATTACCTTCACCTCCCGATCCCCCCCTCCTTTCCTCCCTCCCTCTTGTACGGCAGGTCCGGTTGCGAGAGTATGGCTCGGCGCTGGTGGAGGTTGCGGATAACGGGCGCGGCGTGCCCCCGGCGGATTACCAGGCGCTCACACTCAAATATCACACTTCCAAAATCACTTCCTTTGAGGACCTCACGGTGGGGCTTCTGGATCCGAATCCGGGTGAAAATATTATAGGGGGGAGCACTTGGAGGGCAGCACTTCAGTTTGCCTTTTCATCACATAAATAACGTGACATGGACATGGAGGGGCAATGTTGATGTGCTGCACCACGCACGACCTAGATGGGTCGCCATAGAGCTTGACCCAGATGGATTTCCCTTATTCTTGTGCACCCGCAACCTTTTCTCTCCACCTTCTCTGTGCCTCCGTTCCTGCCATGCCAGTCGGTGAACACGTACGGCTTCCGTGGCGAGGCGCTCAGCTCCCTTTGTGCGGTTTCAGGGCTGTCCGTTGTAACGCGTACGGCAGAGCAGGCCGCGGGAGTACGACTGGAGTACGACCATGAGGTGAATGTGAACGCCATGTGAATTGGGACTAGGATCTTGGAAGTTGGGACGGGTAGCGGTGACTACTGCCACTACCGGGTGGCATTAGCACTGTGGGCGCGGCGGGGCAGACTCATTCAAGTCAAACATGAGCGGGAACCAATTTGCACCTCAACACTTAGCGCCACAGGAAGAGCGACTCCGGCACACCACCTCTCGACTTGGCCCACCTCCCTTGCCGCAGCTCTCCTGCATGCCCTCCATTTCCTAACCTCCCTACCCGTTACACACTGGCTGTGGCTCACTAACTGCCCCCTGGCTCCTCTGCCGCTCCACTGGTACACAGGGAGTGCTGGTGCGCACCTCTCCGACGCCCCGAGCGGTGGGTACGACGGTGGCGATTAAAGATTTATTTGGAACCATGCCTGTACGACATAAGGTAAGAGGAGGAACTGAAAGAAGGGAACTGGGGAAACGGGTGAGCTTGGGAACTGAGACAGGTGAAGAGGCGCTATGTGGGCTCTTGGATGTAGCGGGCGGGTATGGATGCTTCCTTTGGGTTGCTCCTTTCAACCTCCATTTGGGTTGCCGCACATCCATTTGGGTTGCCGTGTAGAGTCATTGGGGCCTGCTGCTCCTTGTTTCCTCGTTTCACAACCCCGACCCACATCACTCCTAACCCCCCTTTGCCAATTTTGGGCTCCCTCTCGGCTGACCCAAATCAGCCAAGGCCAATACCGTCTTTATCAGCCTCCCTAAGCCCGACCCAAATCGACCCACATCGATCCCTGCAGGAATTCCTGCGCAACCTGAAGCGCGAGTTTGCACGCGCCGTTGCGGTCCTGCAGGCCTACGCCCTCATCGCCACACACGCTCGCATCATCGTCACCAACCAGTCCGGCAAGGCAGCGCCCCGCAGCACCGTTTTCACCACCTCCGCTCCAGCAGCCACTTACGAACCATACCTAACGGCTGCGGCGGAAGCCGCAGAACCAGCAGACCCAGAAACCTCAGGTGCAAACGGCAGAGGAGGTGCTGCCGCTCCAGCCGTCATGCCCGGCTGCCTAAGCGCGGTGACGGCTTGCGCTGCCGGCGCCGCCGCTGACCCACGGGTCAGGGCGCAGCTGGCGGCGCTGCGTGATAACGTAGTGGCGGTGTTTGGCGGGCGGGTGGCGGAAGCGCTGGAGCCGCTGGTGTTGCCGGAGGATCCGGACACGGGAGCCAGGGTGGCGGGGTGAGGCTGGGGTGGCTGGGAAACAAGGGATGAGGCTGACCCAAATGGGAATGATGCAAGAGAGGATAGGCAGGGCTGACCCAGATGCCTTACAATGTTAGGAAGGTCCGACCCAGATCGCGTAGGGAGCAACACCGACCCAGATCGCTGAGGAGGGCTGACCCAGATTAACTTGATGAAGTGTGGCTGACCCAGATGGGCAACCAGAAACTAGGCCGACTACCGGTAAATGATTAGGTTGATCCTGACCTTGCAGCACGATCTTGCCTCCATTTTTCGCTTTTTGGACTTCCCAGGCCGTTGGCGGACCTTATTTAATCCTTTACATGCGAATCGCCCAGTGGCCTCCATTACCTTGTTAGTAGCCCCTAACTGTCGCCCTCCTCCGTCCTTGTACCTGACCTTGCACGCCTAGGTGGGTGTCCCGAGCCGGCTGCGGGCTGCGAGGCGACGCCTCACGGCAGTTCTTTTACCTCAACGGCCGACCCGTGGACCTCCCTAAAGCGGCACGGTGAGGGGGCATGTTAAGGGAGATTTGCCTTGACCGACAACAACGCAGCATGCACGCTATTGGGGGGGCCTAAAGGTGCGGGTGTAAGGGATCGTCAAGCAAGGCAGTTGCCTTAGTTTGGTTTGCCCTCACATCGTCCTGAGCCAGCTGGTTATGCGGTGTGCTTCGTCAATCCCCTTTGCAGCATTCTGAACGACGCGTTCAAGTCGCTATCATCCCCGGCTCACGCTGCCGCGCACCGACCCATGGGTCTGTTGTCCATTTCGCTGGACGCGGCTGACGTGGATGTCAACGTGACGCCCGACAAGCGGCGCGTCTTTATGGCGGCGGAGGACCGCATCTGCACGTTGCTGCAACAGGTGAATCCTGGGGGTTAAGAACATGGAGAGCGGAGAGGATAATGCTGTAACGTTATGCTGCTGCATCGCTGTATCGCCAATGTCGCAGACCCACATCGCACGGGATACCCTTATCCCCGCCGACCCGCATCACTCCCTCCTCGCACTGCCCTCGCTCATATCGTACCGTAGCAGCAGCACTCGGCTCCTCATGAGCCCCCTCCATGCCCGTCCTCTGCCCCCAGGCCCTTCATGCGCTTTGGGAGCCCTCCCGCTGCACCTTTGCCGTCAATCAGCCTCTACCTGGTGCCCCAGGGGGCAGCGGCAGCGCCACAGCCGCTGCGGGCGCGTCCGCAGGCGGCAGCGGGAGCCTGCTTGTGGCTGCTCCTGCGGGTCAGCGGGGCGGCAGGCAGCGGCAGCAACAGCTGTTACTGAATGTGCGCCGAGGGGTGGGCAGCGGTGTCGGGGCGGGGTCTCAGGTTGCTGATGGTGCCGCGGGAGATCAAGAAGGAGGTGAGGAGAAGGAAGAAGAGGGCGTACGGGGTGCTCTTGGTCGCACAGGCATGGGGTTACGTAAGCAGCAAGAGGAAGAGGAGGAGGAGGAGGAGGACGAAGGAGCACATCCGCCTTCCAAGCGTGCAAGATTGAGCACCGGAAGCGGCATGGCGGCCGGAAGTGATGACCAGGCAGCGCGTGATGTTGCCTCTCCCGATGGCGGTGATGGCGGCGACGACGGCTTCAGGGGCAGCCAAAGACGGAGGCAATCGATGCAGCCGGCTTCGGCCACTGCTGCGGCGGCGGCACCGATGGAGCCCTCCCCGGGTGGACGCCGCGGCAGTCCGACAGGAGGAGGCGGCGGGACCGCCATTGCTGCTGGTGCTGCTGCGGTGGCGGGGGCAACGACGTCGCGTGCCCCCTTCCGTCATCCTTTCCTCTCCATGTTTGGTGGGTTCTCAGCGGGAAGCAAGAGCCAGCCGGGGGGTTGCCGTGGTGACGGCGGCGGCAGCGGAGGTGCGCAGGAGTTGGGGTCGGTGGCAGCTGGAGGCGTGTCATCCCCGGCAGCGGTAGCGGCAGTACCGGCTGTGGCGACAGGACCTGGGGGGAGAGGGCGGGGGTCTGCAACGGCGCGAGCTGTGTTATCGGAGATCACCGAAGGAATGCACGGCAGTGAAGAGGAAGGAGAAGAGGAGGAGGCTGGAAATGAGGGGCACGAGGAGGAGGCGCAGCTAGCAGCGGCAGCAGTTGCAACGGAAGAGGAGGACGAGGGCGAAGAAGCGCAGGACGCAGCCATGGCCGATGCAGCGGATGCTGCGGCAGCTGAGAACACTTATGAGCGCGAGGAGATGGCAGGAGAGGATAGAGCGCGATTCGGGCATGCTGCTGCAGTGGAGGCGGACGAGATGGAGGAGGAGGAGGAAGATGATCCTGAGGAGGAGGACGAGGCAGGCGGCAACGCAGGTCCCGGCCTGGACGCAGCTGCTGTGGTCGCCGAGGGTGCTGCCATGGAGGTAGACGCGGAGCCCGCTGAGGCTCAAGCTGGCGGCGGGTGGGCCATGCAGCCGGCAGCTAGGGCGGCGGAGGCAGGAAGGGGCCGCGGGCGAGGTCGTAGCGAAGGCAGTAAAGCCGCCGCCGTACAACAGCCGTTGCCGCCGCCGACGGTTGCTGCTGCCGCTGCTGCGCCGGCAGTCATGAATAACGTCGGCGGTACGGGCGTGCATGCATTGCCCATGGGCCCTATAGGAGTGTTGCGCTTGGAGCCGGGGCAGTTGGCGGATCTGACGGCGGCGAGAGTACGACACCTACAACGGCGGCGGCAACAACAGCAGGGCGTTGCGGAGGCTGAAGCTGCTGCTGCTGCTAGGCGGTTTGCGAGCTCTTCGCTGCAGGAGGTGCGCTACGTTGGGTTGAGAGCCCGCCACACGGTTGGGCTGAAGGCAGCCTTACAGTGCGTTTACAGTGCGGGTGCACGGTACATGGGTTGTTTTGTTTTGACATCTTTGACGCCGGTGCGCGACAGGGCTGCGTTCGGACTGTTTAGGGTTCGGACTGTTTTAGAGAGCCCTGCCAGGATGTTTGCGTTCGGGCCCCTTTCTGCCCCTCTCCCATTGCTCCCTCGCACCCCACCCGGAAGTTGATTTGCATGTAGCGGCATCTACAGCCATTCCTCCAGCCTTCCAGACGCGTCCAACCATCCTTGCAAACCCACAGGAAGGCGGCGCAGAAGACGGCGGTGGAGGTGGCGGCGCTGGGCCTCCCACCACCACCGGCAGCAGCAGCACTCGTGCGGAGCGGGAGGCGGCTGCTGAGCTGGAGTTGGAGCGGGTGTTCCGCAAGGAGCAATTCCTGGACATGAAGGTGCGTTGTTGGGCTGGTTACCGGATCATCTAGTTGGCTACCTGGTGCCTACCTGGCTTCAGCAACCGTCCACACCGGCATAAGAGCTAGCAAGCTACATCATCGCCAGCTAGCGGTCGAGGTCGCCTAAGATGCCTTGTGGGATGTCGGGTGGCCTGGCAGGCTGGCTAGGCTGTCCGACCTCACCTGTTGGCGATTTTGTTGCGGGCTCGCCGCTCTGTTACCGGGTGTGCACTCGACACGACCTCTTTGCGGCACCACCCCTCATGTCCCCTCGATTGTATTCGTTATTCATTTACCCCCAACCCCGTGTCCACTCCCCGCTGGCTGCCTAATCCGCATGCATGCAAAACAGGTGGTGGGCCAATTCAACCTGGGCTTCATCCTGGCTCGCAGCGGCCGCGACCTCTTCATTGTGGACCAGCACGCGGCCGCGGAGAAGACCACCTTTGAGCGGCTGCAGCGCACCGTGGTGCTCAGCAGGCAGCAGCTGCTGGCGCCGCGAGGCCTGCCGCAGGGGCTGATCATGCCGGTGGACCAGCTGCTCATAAGGTGCGGGTGCGGGAAGAGGAAGAATTCCCAATGCGTGGAAATGCGTTGGTGCGGGATGGGGTGGGGTGGGGCGGGAAGTGTGTTTGGGCTGTATAGGGTTACTTGAAACGGGCATGTGAACGGTGGGGAAGAGGCACAAGAAAGGATGTGGTGTGGTGGGGAGAAGGTACTGAGGGTGGACGGTGGGGGTGGCGTTCCTCCCCGCCTTCGCTTCCCACTGCTGCCATGATCCCCCAGCCCCCCACCCCGGTACCCCCTCCCAGGGAGCACATTGAGGTGTTTCGCCGCAACGGCTTTGACTTTGTGGAGCGCCGGCCGGACGGCCGCATCGTGCCGCTGCCCGCTGCAGCTGGAGGGGGGACAGCAGCAGGAGCAGCTGGAGGGGCAGCAGGAGCAGCAGGGGCAACGGCATATGATGAGGGTGGTGACAGGGGTGCCGTGGGCGGTCGTGATGAGGTAGTGGGAGAGTTGGGCGATGGCGGCTATGCGGATGCTGGCGGTTACGAGGGTGGTGGTAGTGGTGGTGGTGATGGCTGTGGTGGTGGCGGGGAGTTGTTGTTGTCTGCGGTGCCGGTCAGTCGCGCCACGGGGCAGCTGGGGCTGGAGGATGTGGCGGAGCTGGTTGCCATGCTGCGGGAGGGAGAGGCGGCGGGAGGGGGAGGAGCAGGAGGGCAGCGGGCGTGGGAGGAGGAGCTGCGGCCTTCCAGGTGGGGTGGGGTTGAGGGAGGGGGAAAGGGGAAAGGAAGGGTGCTTGTCAAGGTACCGATGTCCATTGCATTGTGTATCAGGGCACTGACGTGTCAACGTTACCCAGCACGGTTGGGCGCCTCCCCGCGTGCAGTCCCCGAGGCAAGCACCAGCCTCCAACCCACAATCCGAAATCTTCCTGGTCCCCCTTACACCCTTCGTCCCCCCTCCCCTCTTCCCCACCCCATCACCCCCCTCTCCGGCACTCCAGGGTTCGTGCCATGCTGGCCTCCCGCGCGTGTCGCTCCTCCGTCATGGTGGGTAAGCCGCTGAACCGCGGGGAGATGCGGCGGCTGCTGGGCGGACTAGCGGGACTGAGGCAGCCCTGGAACTGCCCGCACGGGAGGCCCACCATGAGGCACGTGTGCGTGCTGCCGCAGCAGCCGGGCATACCGCCAACATGAGAGGAGGGGGGGGCGGACGACGGGCGGGATGATTGAATGGGATGGGTGGGGACAACAGAGGCCTATGGGGTTGGGGTTTGTAGTTGATATAGGTGTTGATGTAAGTGTTTACGGGTGTAGTGCAGCAGCCTGTGACGTTTTGGTTGTGGTTTTACCGTTTGCATTCGTTGTCGCGTGCATTCTTTTACTATACATGTTGATGTTGCTAGTGTTGTTGCTAGCGGAGGGCTGGAGTGCTGCCGCCCCAAAAATTGTAAAGCGATAAACTGACGTGAAGGCCCAAATTCTATCGCTCACGGTGCGATGAAAAATTACCCCCCAAAATTGAAAAAAAAACACTGGTCGGGGATGTGGTTCCATGGCCAGGATGGAACCTACATTCCTAGGACAGAATGAAAGTGAACGCTAATTCAACATGGGGGGCCGATTGCGTTGTCGTCGCCGGGGCCATCGAGCTGCCTGCACAATGTGCACATCCAACTGCTGTAGCTGTACGGAATAGACTAGGTAGCTGTCGTACCGTTGCATTGCGTTCATGGCGTAGTGTATTGTTGTGCTGACAATTTTAACGCTTTGATAGGCAAGAGTCTTGTGTGAATTCTTTAACAAAGGACCGTGATAGCTTGTTACGTGCACGCGCGGCTGTGACACCAACGATTGCACATTGCGGCTGTCCCCGAGCGTACATAACAGTGGAATGTCTGAGCGTTCAACGTCTGTACCGCGTCAATGGACGCGTGAGGTGGCTTGCTCGGATACTTTCATCGCGCTTTCATTGTAAGCTTGCGACCACCTGCTGCATCGTTTGCTATACAATACTCCGTGTCAGCTTACCGTATTGAACAACTTTGCAGGTCGTTCCTTGACTTGGATTCGGAGGCAGCGTCAGCGGCGATGAGCGAGCAATTGTTTAGAGACGTTCTCACACAAGCGCTGACCGAACTCTTCGGATTTGTCGGCGGTGCGGTTGTCTTCAGCATTTTACAGTTGCGGGACTCATCGGCAATTGTCCGCGTTGACAAGCGGTGAGCATGGGCACTAACGCAGCAAACACTGCAACCTAGGTTTTGCGATGCCGTCTGTTGAACATACGGCCAATTGGTCATATGTGCAGGGACGCCGATAAAATATGGGCTGCAGCGGCTTTTGCCACCAGTTACGGTGGACACGACATCCGTCTGGCCGCCAGCCGGTCTTCGCCTTTCCTCATGTCCATGGCAGTGGACAGCAGGGAATGGGCGGCAACACGCGTGGCTCCTAGCCTCGGATAGGTCGTCCGATATGCCTGCTTTCGGTGGCGTGCCACATATACCCATCGGCCCGTGCCTTCGACCACACCCGCAGCTGTCGTAACCCGAAGCCAGCAGCGCCAGGCCTCAGTTGCAGCCCACCTGCCGTACATGCGGCGTACGGCAATACCCACAGGATTTGGCAGGGCTTACCTTCTTGCCGTCTCCTGCCGGCTGGGAGCGGCCGCAGGCGCACTGCACCTGCCGGCCAGCCACACTCCACGCCCAGCGCTCACCACCTGCTGCCGAGTGCTTACTGCCGAGGAGACGGCAGCAGTTAGCTCTTCTAATCGTTCTTGATACCTTCACATTCGGATCCTCTGCGCATGGGCCCGCCGTCACCATGTTAACACAACTCCTACAGCAGACTTCATCAGGCAGAGGTCTGTACGGCATATGACGTGGCACAGCACAGCGCAGCAGGCCACAGGCAGCACGGGACCCGTACGACTGGGCACTAAGCTGTGCGCAGCTGCAAAGCGGGTAAGTCCCGGTAGGGGTACGGGCCTAAGGGACTCGAAAGGAAAGGAGAACGCAAGCGGAGAAACGCTATTTTGGGCGGGGCGGGTTAGGTTTAAGTCGCTGAGACGTTGTTGTGCCTCCTGGTGGGGAAAGCCGTGAACATGTAACGGTGTGCGGTTATGTGCGCCTTCCGTCCCGGCCGGTGCGGTCATACAGCCGTGCCTATCCTGGCTCTAGACTAGCGCACAAGCTTACCTGCGCTGTGAAAGCCCGCTCCCTCCTCGCTCCCTCCCTGATCGCCGCCGCCTCCTGATACCTTTCCTGGTTGCCGCCGCCGAATCCCCCTCCCGATCGCCGCATTACAGGATGCAACCTCAACCCCAGAGGCCTTTGCTGCACCCGCCACGGCAACGACCCCTCTCCTCCTCACCGTCTTCTTCCTCTTTCTCGTTTCCTTTTGAGGCTGAGGTTGAGGTTACTCGGCGGTGCGCGCCACAAGTGCGATGCTAGCTGGACGCATATCCGCGGTTGGCGACATGTGTACAGATGGAACCGATATGGAGCGCAGCAGGGCATGGGGGAGAGGAGGAAGAGGGTGGAGCAGGAAGAGGGCGGTGGTGGCGGAGAACGGTGGCCCTAGAGGCCGGAAGAGGTGGAGAGGGAGCAGGGGTGTGTGACTGTTGTGGCGTATGCAGTTGTTGACTTGTATAGCCGGGGTCAAAGGTCTGATGGAAACCTCAAGTCAACAGGGAGAAGGAGGCGGCAGGATGCCACAAGGGAGAAGGAGGCGGCAGGATGCCACAAACACAAGTGGGCTGTTACAATGCAAGTAGACTGTTGAGCAGTTTCGTTGCCGTACCCAGGCCCTACAAGCCCTTCAACCGCTGCCGCCTCGTCTCACAAGACACAGCACACAAGCACCATATGACCGCCGCATCTATCGGTATGTACATCTGGAAGCACGACTAGCCCTGGCGAACGGTGTTATGCATGTAACGGCCATTCAATCATTCATTTCGAAGCCCTGGGATGCGTGTAACCCACGTGCTGTGGCACACAGGGGCAACAACCTGAAAAACTTATTTTGCCATCCCGCTCGCTTACGTCTTGCGCCTTTCCAGCTCCACATACCGGTAAATCCAGCCGAAGCAAGCACAACATCGTCCGTGCCATTAACAAAGCGCGCACCTACCGCACGTATCCTTTGCATTGCTCTCTTGCATTGCTGCAATCTTCTTAAGCACACATCGGTACACGCCATGCACCATCTACTATCCCGGTCGGCTCCCGCCCCCACGCACCACTCCCCTGCTCGCCTCGCAATCCGGCCTGTGTCCCTCCCGCCAGTGCTGCTTCTGACACCCCACGCTGCAGTACAGTACGGCAAGGCAGCCGGCACACCGGCTAAGCCGCAGGTCGCCCTCGCATGCACCGCTGTAGTTTCCACAACCCGGGTTGCCGCACACCTTTACCACGCTGCAGCGCGCCGGCGGCACTGCCACTGGCGGCGGCAGCACAGCTGCTGCTGCTGCCGTACGTTGCGATTCGCCGCTGCAGAGGCCGCAGCCATCTGATTCCCCGCCGCCAACCGCCGATTCCACCTCCGTCAGCAAAGCAGCGCTAAGCCCCTCCCCGCTGTCATCCCAGCCTCCACCACCGCTACCGTCACCGCTCTGCAGCCGCTGCGCCACCCAGCCCAGCAGCTCACCCCCATCCGCTGCGGCCGCCGCCCGCCACATCGCCCGCAGCGCACGTGCCTCCGCCACATCCCAGCCCGCGAGCCCCTCCAGCAGCATCACACCGGCGCGGCTCAACGCGGCGCCAGCGGCCGCCGTCACACCAGCCGCCTCCGCCTCCGCTGAGCAGCCCAGCAGGGCCAATGTATGCGCACGCAGGGACACGGCACGCTCCACAGCACCCTCCGTTGCAGTTACCTCCCCGTCCTGCTGCCGCTCGGCCCCTCCCTGCCGTGCCTCCCCAAGTCCTGCCGCCAGCCAACGCCGTACCTCCACCAAGGTCTGTCTAGCAGCGGTAACGCTCAGCTGCCGGTCCTCCGCCACCGTCGCCTCAGAGGCCGCCCCCATGCAACCCAGCATCACCCCCAGCGCCGCCATCAGTTGGTGCGGTTGCGCCGCCAGCAGCGCCGCCGGCGGCACCTTGCCGCCGCCGGCGTCGCCGTGCAGCGCCGTCAGGGCGCGCATGCCGGCGGAGGCAAGATCTAATGTCTCCGCGGCCGTGACGTCCCTTCCTGGCTCCTCTGCGGCCCGCAGCAGCAGCGGCGCCGCCAGCATGCATGCCGCCCGGGCCGCCAGCGTCAGCGCCTCCGTCAGGCCGGCGGCGGCTCGCGGGCCTGGCGGCAGCGCACGCTGCCGTCGCCACCCCACCAGCAAGCCGATGCCGGCATCCATTTGCAACGTGAGCATGCGTGCTAGCATCCTAGCCCGCGCGCCTGACGTCGATGGCGGAGGCCTCGCGCGCTCCGGAGCCACTGCGTTGCTTCCCGACTGTCGTACTGCTGCTGCTTCCTCCTGGGAGGAACTGAGATCAGCTGCCGTGCGCAGTGCCAGCTTGCTAACCGTGATGAAGAGCCCGAGCTCCCGCTTGGTGACCCACGGGTCGGCATCGCGGTTGTCACCTTGCGAGTGCTCGTCGCCGCTGCCGCTGTCCACTACCGCCTTACCCGTCCTTGCACCGCTCTCGCTCCTGCTGTTGGTCTCCTCCGTCTCTTCCGCACCCAGCTGTCCACGACAAGACTGCCTGAGCATCTCCTGCAGCAGCGGCTTCAGCAATAGGTACGTGTTGAACAGCACGGACTCCAACACGGCCTCGTAGGCCCTATGTTCGGCCCCTGCAGCGGTGGTGGCGGCGGCGGCAGCACCGAACATTGCATGGACGGTGTGGCGAAGTCGGGCGTCGAGGTTGTGCATGAGCCCCGTGCGGACCAGCCGTAACGCCAGAGTGCGGCGCGCGTCGGCTGGAAGCCGGGAGGCTGTGCAGAGGAGATGGGCGGGGCGCGGGAGAAACCGGAACAAAGAAAGAGTTACGAGAGGTGCATAGGGTTCAGGGCGGAAGATCCAAATCAATGCTCCCCTGCCTAAGACTGGCGAGATAGGATACCGGTATGCTGACACATGGTACGGTAACAGCCCGTCTTCACATTGACAATGGAATCCCTTTTCGCAAGATTATTAACCCCGCCCAATCCATTGAGCCGCCCGCCCGATTCACCCTCAGTCACCAAATCCAACAGAACAGCACACCCACCGATTGGGTCGGCAGCCAGAGTCCTCAGGGTGAATGTGGGCAGCCGGGTATGCAACTGCTGTCGTTCGGCATCCCCCATGGCCCAGCCGCGCTGTTGGACATCATTCACCACTGCTAGCGCCCACGCGCACGCCTCCTTGGCGTCAAGCACCGCCGGGACCTCCGCCTCAGGCACCTCAGATGACTCCTCAAATGATACCTCGGACACCTCGAATGATGGCGCCTCAAATGATGCCTCTAACAGCTCTTCGACAGACATACAGGTATCTTCTGCTGAGGAGGCGGCGGCTCCCCGCACGCCTAGCATAAGGCCCTCCAAGCTGATGGTCAAGTCCAGCAGTTGCACAACTGCCGCCGCCGAAGACGACGAGGAGGAGGAAGACGCCGACGCCGCTGACGATCCGGTCACGTGGTAATGCCCACCTACGCCGCGGCCGCATGTCAGGCGATGTAACGCTCGCGCCAGCCTCAGTGACAGCCGTACACGCTCCGGTGCGGCGGGAACCATGGGTCGCAGCCTCGGGCACTGTTCAACCCTCGACCAGCATTGGAATACTACGCTGACGATGCGAGCATGTGAAAGGGTCAGACGCTCATTGCAAATGAGGGTGGGGACCACCTTCTCCGCTGCAATAGACGGCCTGGCGTCGCTTCCGCCGCCGCCGCCGCCGCCGTCGTCGTCGCCGCCGCTATCCGCCACCACCCTCTCCAGCAGCAGCCGCTGCAGACCCACTACCTCCGGCGCCGCCAGGATTTCCAACACCTCCCTGCAGTCCTCTTCGTCATCGCTCAGTTGCAACAGATCGCCCGTGTCGTCCAAGCAGCCAATCATGCTGGTGCACGCGTAGTACAGCGCTTCTAGGACGACAAGGATGCGGTTCGGCCTGCCGCCGCCGCCGCCAGACACTGTAGCAGTTGCTGCTGAAGGGGAAGCAGCAGCACCGGCAGCACCAGCGGCGCCTTCGGCGGCGTACCTCCACAGCGGCGACGCGGCGTTCAGGGCGCTGCAAGTTGCGGCAATGACGCCACTTCGCAGCAGCATGCGCAACAGCGGCTGCTGCAGCTGCAGCAGCAGATGCTGCGGCAGCCCCCAGGGCTGCTGCTGTCGACCGGTGACGACGCCATCAGTCACGCTGGTTACCGTCTGCGCGTCAGCGATGCCCCATTTCATCAAACGCTGCAAGCTCTCCGTGACGAGCTGCATGAGGCTGCAGGAAAGCTCGTACAGGTCCTGCTGCCTCTCCGCTATCTCTTGCGATAATGGGCCTGAAGACGCCGCCGCTGCCCTTCTTGATGCAGGAGCCCTGGAGGACTTGCTCCTGCCCCTGCCGCTGCCTCCGTCATGCCCCTGTGCTGCCGCTGCCGCCGCCGTTGATGCCCGCTCGATATGCTCTTTCGCGTTCGGCCAGCCTTCCCGCTCGACTAAACGTACGGCAGCGGCCATGCAGCGGCCGACGGCGATGTCGCAGACCTGCTCGTACAGCCGTGGGCGATTGGCGGCGAGGGTGGCGGAGGCGGCGGCGGGGCCCCCTGTGCTCTGCACCTTGCTGGGAGCACCTAGAATGATGCATAGCATGAGTAGTCCCTGAAGTGCTGACGATAGAAATATGGCATCTAGCTGCTCGTGAAGTTGCGTGGCTTGGATCGCCTCCGGTGAGAGCCCAGCAGTTGTGGTGGGACGCGTTGGAGCGGTGCGGGAAGTGGGCGCGGTGGTGGTGGTGGGAGAGGTGGAGGCAGCATTCGGGCTGTGCGCTGGGTTAATTCCTGCGGCTTCGTTTCCCACGTTGCCGCCAGGATGCTCCCTGGCCGCTAATATCTGCATTTGAAGCGCCGCGGCTCGAGGAATGATGTCTAAACTAATTCCCATGCTCGTTGCGGTGGCTTCCAGTTGTGGCGATTGTTTGATGTCCCATACCTGTTCCAGCGCGTCCCGAACATACTTACTCAACTCGGAGACGTTAAGGTGAAAGTGCGTGCTCGCCATAATGGCGTTGTGTACTTCCCCTTTGCTGCTTTCGCGTGGCTGTCGCAGCACATTTGAGGTGGGTAGAGCAGCGATCTGCTGCAAGCCGTCTGATATGCGTTTGAGTGCTTGACAAAAGCTCTGTGGAGGCATTTCCTCAATGAAATAAGCTCAGGGCCAGCTCAAGGAAATTTAAGAAGGCCGACGGCTAGAGGCCGTTGCAAGGAATACTGGAAATACAAGGGACACGCATAGGGTAGAATTGGTGTGTGACCAAGGGGTGAAATGAAGTTGTGCGGCGGCTTTAGACAGGCGAAAAGGCCCAAGGCGGCTGGTTGTTTCGTTAGTTGTTTCCGGCAATGGCGTTACCGGTTCCTGCAAACCCAGGATGTTTGTGAGACGCCTGTACACACCGTACAGTATTTAACACACAGTGATAACACAGTAGGAACAGGGCGCTTTGCGCAGGATTATCTAAGACAAAGATTTGCAAGATAAACCAGTCACCTTCAGCCGGACCCAAAAACATTTTGTTCTTCTGGTATAGTATTTCTCCCATATGAAATGTCACACTAGGTTGCGCAATTACTAGAACTTTTATAGGCCGTAACGGGCTCTACAGTATGGCGACCTCTGAGTCCTGTGGTCCCTTTCGACCACCTTGCACGGAAAGAGTCATTTATGCAATAAGCCATGACAATTGTCTTAGGGGTTTGAGACTCAGATTCCTTGCGCGACGCTTATTGTTTCCGAACTTTGAGAGTACAGGGCACAGCATGCACTAATGCGGGTGCCAACGCATCACGCAATTATGATAAGCATACACATTTCAAGACTTCTACCTCTTGGCGACCTTTTATGGGGATGTCGTAAAGTGCCACGTTTGCATCGATTCGCTCCGAGGCCAACAACGCTTCGAGGCCAAAACAGAGTTTATGATCAAAGTGCACTCTGCACATGCTAGGTATACTACAGCTGTCCACTAAGCTCGTAAGGAGGCAGCTTGCAAGCCAGTTGTAAGACCGCAAACCCTAACCTTGTCAACCTAGCTCATTAATCAAGCGCCCATGGCGCGATCTAGATCGGTGTTGCTGCTTATGGTAGCAACAGCTGCACTTATCATACCGCTACGGTTGTCGAGCGCTGGAGAGGTGCATCGCGTGCAGTTGAAAAAGCGGTCCCCGTCCATTGATGGCAGGCCTAGACCGTATCTGGGAGCCCTTTTGGGCGCCGATGGCGATGTGCCGCTGCACAACTTCATGGACGCACAGGTATGGGAGAGGTCATTTCGTGGCCCAAGAGCGGTCCACGAGCTGGCTCGCTTTGTCTTGTTGCTGACACGGTGCTGACACCTTTATTCCCCTACAAACGTGACCACAGTACTATGGAGAGATTTCGCTTGGAACGCCAAAACAATACTTCCAAGTCATATTTGACACTGGAAGCGCCAACTTGTGGGTGCCATCCTCGAAGTGCGCGCTCTTCAACATCGCTTGCCGTCTGCACCGGAAGTACAATTCTGCCAGATCCAGTACCTATAAGGTAATTCACCACTTGTGGCCCTTAAGATCCTGTGGTTGACGCTTTTCTATTCGAACCCGTCGCTTAGACTTCGGCATCATCCTCATCCTCCTTTGCTGGCATACCTCTGTATTGCCTGCGGCCGTCTGCCTACCACCGAGTCCCCGCTTTGTGCCATATAGTCTCATCCGCTGTAAGTCCTGTCCCAAGCCGCAGACCCTCCTCGTCCTTCCCCATATCCTCAACTCACCCTACACCCCACACACCGTCCCTCAACTCGCACCCCCTCTCAGCCCAACGGTACGGAATTCTCGATCCAGTACGGCACCGGATCTCTGGACGGCTTCATCAGCCAGGACGTGCTGGGCTGGGGCGGGCTGGAGGTGGTCGACCAGGGCTTTGCGGAGGCAGTCAACGAGCCGGGGCTCACCTTCGTAGCCGCCAAGTTTGATGGCATTCTGGCAAGTAGTAGTGCCTCCACCCTCATCGGCCAAGTTCTGGCACGAGTTCCCCCGCTTAGTTGCTCAGCAGCCTTACCGGTATATCCTTGTCTGTCGGCCTTGTCGTCAGCAGGGAGCTTCGCCTCCTTCCCGCTTCGACGAATGCTGACACCCCTTGTCCAGCGCTTCCCCACCGTAACGGTACACCATGACGGACGGAGAAAGGCATCAGTCCGGTCTCCCTTTCCGCCCGCACCCAACCTCTCACCCTAACCACCCCTAAACCCCACTCCTTCGCATGCTGCACTTACCCGCCCCCGCCCCCACTACACAGGGCATGGGCTTTCCCGCCATCTCCGTTAAGGGCGTGGTGCCACCCTTCACCCGCCTGGTGGAGGACGGCGCCCTGGCCGCCCCGCTCTTCTCCTTCTGGCTCAACCGCGACCCTGATGCGCCCGTGGGGGGAGAGCTGGTGCTGGGAGGGGTGGATCCGGCGCACTTCACCGGGGACCACACATGGTAGGGTTTGGGAGTGGTTTGGGTTCGATCAATTGACCAATCTGTCGTACACGTCGTATTGTACCAACTGCTGCTGACGTCCGTACATACACGCACGCACGCAGGGTGGATGTGACGCGGCGGGGCTACTGGCAGTTCCAAATGGACGGCATCGCAGTGGGGTCCAAGCAGCTGTGTGCCGAGGTGAGGGGCGGTGGCGGTGTGTGTTGGGAGGTTGCGCGGATGAAACGGAAGAGGATTCGTGCATTAGACGTAAAGTTCGCGTTATTCTTAAAAAAGGAGGTATTTGCATCGCAGACAAAAATATTGGAAAGGAACAGGTATCCATCCGCTGTAATCCAAAAAAGTTGCGGCGATGGAGCTTATGGGGATCGATCCCATGACCTCACGCATGCGAAGCGCGCGCTCTACCACTGAGCTAAAGCCCCTTTGTCCTTGATGTCAAATTTCTAAACTCGAAGCCCCAGGCACATGGAACGGGTTCCTCGGCCCCTCGCACGCATCCCCGGCCACGCTCCGCAAGTCCGCATCCCTCTGCCCCCTTGCTTCATCACACACACTCGTCGCCCCCATGGACTCGGTATCGGTATCGCCACAATACGGGCCGCTAATAACCGTCATCGTTCGTTTTGTGGCAGCCTGCCGCCTTTCTCTTGCCCTCAATTGCGGGTTGTGTCTCATCTGGCCCATCTGCAACAGGGATGTGCCGCCATTGCCGACACCGGCACCTCCCTCATTGCGGGCCCCGAGGAGGAGGTAGCTCAGCTCAACGCCGCCATCGGCGCCACCTCGGCGCTGTCCGCGCAGTGCCGCCAGCTGGTCCGTGACTACCTGCCGCAGATCCTGGCGGCCCTGCAGCACATGCCGCTAGACCAGGTGTGCGCCAGCATCGGACTGTGCTCCTCCTCTAATCCTGGAGCTAATAACCAGGAGGCCAGGCAGAAGGAGCAGCAGGATGTGGTGTTGCACAGCAGCCGGCGGCTGCTTGCCAGGGAGCAGCAACAGCAAGCGCTGCATGAGGTTCGTGCAAGCAGCAAGGATGCAGGTTTCGCTGCTGCTGCGGCGCTGAAGGCGAGGCTGGAGGAGGTGGTGAATGCTCGTGGAGGCTTGGGAGCCGCCCTGGGCAGCAGCAACAACAACAAGGAGGAGAAGGTCCAGATGCAGCAGCCGGGTGTGGGTGCGGGTGTGGGTGACAGCATGGTGTGCAGCTTCTGCCAGACGGCAGTGGCGTATATCCGCATCGCGCTGGCCTCCAACTCCACCATTGAGCAGATCGCGGAGGCGGTGGGGACGCTGTGCGACCAGGTGGGGCAGGGAGGGAAGGGAAGGCCGGGAGTAAAGGGGGCGAGGCGGGGAGGGAAGGGGACGAGGCAGGCCAGGGAAGGGGGCGAGGGAGGGAGGGCCGGGAGAGAAGGGGGCCCCTGGGCGGTACCGGTGGGGGAGAACCGTGCTAAGCAGCAGCCAAGTACGGTACACGATAAACCTGGTTGGGGGGGATTCAACGGGCTAGCTCCCTCGCCGGGTAACGGGTGATGTTGATGAGGGCCGACATGGGCTCGAGCTTCTAGCACCTTTCCTCGCAATCCGCAGCCGCACACCCCTCCACCGTCTCGTTCCCTTGCCCACCCACCCACCCTCACAGATCTCCTTCGGCGGTCCCTCCGTGGTGGACTGCGCCAGCCTGCCCACGCTGCCCACCCTGACCCTCCGCATCGGCGGCCGCTCCTTCCCGCTCTCCCCGCGTCAGTACGTGCTGCGGGTGGACGCGGGCGGCGGCGAGGAGCAGTGCGTGAGCGGCTTCATGGGACTGGACGTGCCGGCGGGTCCGCTGTGGATCCTGGGGGATATCTTTCTGGGCGCATACCACACGGTGTTTGATTACGGGGGCAACCGTGTGGGCTTTGCCACGGCGGCGTGAGGAGGTGGTGTGAGGAGAGGGGAATGAGACGGGCGGGCTTTGTAATGCTGATGGGTAATCTAGCTATATGGCATGGTGTTGGGATGTGCGGAACTGGGGCTGTAACGGGTGAATGGAGTTAGGATGCAGGTTTTGAGTCCCTGTTGTGTGACACCCGTCAGTTGAGGGTCGCTGCGATGGGGAGAAAGGAGGCGTTGATCCGGACAATTGCGGTTGTGCGCTGTTGTACAAAAGCAGGTTGTGCAATGTATGCTAGGCCATTAGTCACCAGGGCTGCCCTCTATTTAGTGGGCGCTACGAGGTTGACCGCTGTATTTTCTTGCATATGCTATGTGTCTAGATGTGTATATACGCGGCGCTTTGGGTGTGTCAAGATGTATGTACGATATGTGTTTGCGGAAACTCCGTTCCGTAACATGCTACAGCTGAGGCTTAACACGCTGTGGTAGTTGGCTATGTTGCTTGGCTACATAAGTGCACGACCAGCTGCGCTGTGTACGGATGTAAGAATCGAACATATAACATCTGATGGCAATGAGAAACATAATTTGCAGCCGCACTGTCAATCCACGTGAAAATGTGCCTAGGAATGCGGTATGGCCTGGGTCCAATTGAGGGCTGCGGCATGTAGCAGTGATATAAAATGTTGTTGTATGATGGCGAATATCCAGATCTCCCGAGCGTTACAGGGTCGCGATGCGGCAAACCTTTGCCACACTACGGTTGTCAAGACACCCATGGGACCCGATATGAGCCTACACTGCTCCGCCGCGTCCTCCTCATACTCGAGGCGAGTTCAGGAACGCCAGCACGACGGCAAGAGAGTCCTGCAGACGCAACGCCACGGTTCCCTTTTTGGGTTCGTCGGCCATCACGTCCGCAATTCTTCGCCTCCCTGATGCGCCATGCACAGCCCCTGTCGATCAAACAGCATAGGAGGGGAAACGGTACTTGAGAGACCATCTCAAAGCTATAAACACACATAGGTGCGAAAGATCCTGGTCACACGGCCATTGGCCTGCCGTACACACGGTCTGCGCAGGTTTCATGGTCTACAGCAAACATACTTGCCGCTTACCGTGGCACTGCGCCGTCAGTAGCGTACATAAGCGGTTCCGGCGGTCCTTGGGAGAGAGGCTGGAGGGAGCATGATGCAAGGCGCGGTGTACCACTCCTGGCGCTAAGCATGCGGGTTCACATTCCCTCATAGCTCCCACATTCCCTGAGCGTGGGCGCATCAGGCGTTCCAGGCTGCTGCTCACTGGTCTGTATCCGATCATGTACGACCTACGAGGATATGTTGGGAGGAAGCAACGTTCGTGGGTATGGCAACCAAGAAGGCCATTATGCATGAAACCCCATGTGCCGGTACATGCACTGACAGCTACCACAGAGACGATATGCCATTGGGCCCAAACCACCGCCTTGACCCACGGCCTCCATGCGCTAACTCACCGGACCCGATCGCGTGAGGGGAAAGAGGTTCACGCTAGGCGCCTTGAGGATCCTCAAGGCCATCCCCACACGTCGTCACGTATTAGCAAGGGTTTCGCCGACTCGTCAAAACGGATCCACTCCGCAGTATTGTAGGTTCGCTCGCGCTGCACGGGCCCTGACGTACTGTTAAGCCTCTTTATTTCATCCTGCACATGTCCGGCAAATGGTCATTTGAAACCTTCATGAGCCGTGGAGGAAGCCGACAGTCCCTTGTCCATGTGCAAAGCCTGACCTCAGATGGGACTTGGAGAACGCGGTTTGGCCCAGGCTGCCAAGCCACAATTGCCATGGCCACAATTTCGCGGGGGTCAGGTGGTCTTCCAGGATCAGCAGCAGTCCTATATGGGACCTCCACATAGCCTTGGGCGTACTTATCGGCCAAGTTGGTCCATTCCTGAAAGCGCATGCAAGGTTCAGGGGTCACAGACCGCGTGCAAGTGCGCCACCGGACGCAAAGGATGGGCTGATAAGGAGATCTGCACACCTGCTCTTCTAAGACGACATACTTGTATTCAATACGTTGCCCTGCCGCAAACTCAACCTGCAACGGCGGCGAGTCGCCGAACATAAGTTTAGAACCCCCGATGATCGGCCGCCGCTGTGCGTGCACGAAGCTTTAACCAACCTCGCAAGTCCACTTGTCATCGGGGTTCCATGCCATGGGCATTTTGGCGATGGATAGGAAGGACCATCCGAGGGGCAACTGGGACCCGCCAATGCACAAAATTTGGTGCCGGTGGGCACGATAATGCACGCTAAACTTCACGCGCACGGTCGGAGCAGCCTCTCTGCCATTCGCTGAGGCCCTCACAGTATTTATGCGTAGCGTCCGTGAGACCTGGCGATGTGTGAGGCGCCGCGTAAGTTGCACGCGTTGTATCTGCATCTTTGTACACTATATATAGAGGGAAGTATTGGACGTAAGCTATAGAAGCATATAAAGCCCCTGCGCACTCATTAAGCCATTCCCTAGGTAGGGCCGCAGTACACTTGCACTTTTCCTTTCACGGCCACCGGTTGACGCTATGAACTACATAAACAAAGCTTTGGTGTCTTGAGACTTGATCTAAAGAAATGTCTGCGGTAACTGTTGTGGCATAAGTTCTCACCGCTTATGCTCAGTACGTACGCCATAAGCATGGTAAGAACTAGGCATCAGGTTTACCGCTATAATGAGCGGCTCTTGTATTAATGATAACATGGAACTGTTATATGTACGCTGAGGCAATCGAGGGTGATGGGGAACCGTGGGTCAGGAACCATGTTTATGGTAACTAACCAAGCCCAGCGGCATATTCCTGTAGTCAAGGGCTATCAGTACGGAGTGAACGGCAACAGAAAACCGCTGCCGCTGATGGCCACCGGTTAACGCACAAACGTCGACCTCGGCGATTGTTCCTACGTCCAGTAACAGCGTCCTTTTTCGCTGGGTCGGTCCTGCCACCAAGTCTTCATCGCATCCTCCTTTCGCATATCCGCTCAACACTTGTATCAAGATTTGCCAACCTTTGGGGCCATGGTGGTTGTCATGGGTACTTGCAGCATTGCTTAGCGATATTCATTACTATCCTATTCACATTAGAAGGGCTCATTACCATGTTACAAGACCAGAGGTTGCGACTGCTACCGCCCAAATAACGTTTGCAATTGCGGTATGTTTCGCAGGGCGGGGTCGTTGTCTTTCCAGCGTGCATGTGGCATGGTGCTGACGCCAGTCACCCGGGCTGTAGCGGGAACAGTTCGCAGTGGAGAGGCGGTTACATGTTCGTGCACTGCACCGTACAGGAGTGCTGGGAGACACTGGACACCCGATTGATGGGTGGACTTGACGATTGAGGAGGGGCACAGCGACGCCTGCGCTTTCTTTGCCTTCATGCAAGACGCCCAACGGTAGCAGGACACAGCTAACAAGGCTGGCTGGAGGCAGCTGGCTAGCTGGCTGCATGTAAAGTCAAGGGTACCACCACCGCAAGGTGCCCACTACTGTCATAACCGCAAGACAAACGGACAGGGCGCTGTCGTCCTCTTAACTGGTCTCTTCCAAGCAGAGCAGGTGGCCTGGGGACACAATTCAACCCCTGCAAGCAGCAACTCAACTCCCTGACAGGCTGAAGTGCGAATTATGGTACGAGTCCATGCCTGTATGCCGCGCCTGTCGTACACCAACGAAACACACGTGTCACCAGGAGGCCAACACGGGGGTCCGCACCACCCTCATCAAAACCAAGCGCCTGCCGCATGCATGCATGCACACAACCTACATCCTGCACCTCCTTGCACACAGCATCCCTCCTGCCAACTATGCTCAGCTGCATGCAACCCATGTGCTTCCTATTTCCGTGGTGTAGTTTTCAATGAAAGTCACATTGCATCATGTCACGTATCTCCTTGGCCCACACCAAACTCACCGATCCCCCATCGCCAATTGTGCACCGCTCTCGCCCCCGCCCCGCTACCAACGTCACTCATCTCAAAGGCAACCCCTCATCGCGATGCAGCAGCTCACAGCGGGCGCAGGTGGCAGCCCAGCAGCCCCCTGCCCGCCCAGCGCTGCGGCACCAGCTGCAGCTCCCGCGGCGCCCCCTGCCGCAGCACCCGCGTGACCACCTGGCGCCCCTCGCTGCTCGCCAGCACCCCTGCCACCCGCTGGAGCAGGGAGGCGGAGGAGGAGGAGGATGCTGGTGGTTGCTGTTGTGATGTGGTTGTGACGGCTACATCCCCAAAGCCGCACAGCAGGTCGCCCACCTGCCGTGCATGTGAGCATTGTTGTTGGGGGCATTGCGGTGCGAGAGGGGGGAGGGACACACGCGGTGAGAAAGGTGCGTGCGTGGGGGCTGGGCCGCTTGGCTGGGTCACTCGGCTTCGTCAGGGGCGAGGCAGGAGTGGCAGACTAGGGCGGAGTCGCTGTACTAGCAAGGACACGTGCGTTTTCGCCGCGGCCAACACGCCCTTCTTGCTGATACACGGCATGCATGCAACACCAGGAAGCATAGCACGCGTAAGCCTCGTTAGGGCCACAACCCTGACCCGCTACAAGGGCACCATGCCCCCCTCCACATTCCCTTCCCGCCCGCTCCCCTGCTGCCACCCCACCTGCAAGCCCGCCAGCGCCGCAGGCGACCCCTCGGACACCTCATCCACCAGCGCGAACGGCACCAGCACCGCAGCAGGTGGCGCCACGGCCTCGCCATTGACCCAACCGCTGCCACTGGCCAACGCCGTACCGTCAACGTCCATGGGGGCGGTGCCGTTGGCCGCCGTTGAGCGGACCGCGTTGGTGCGGTCCGTGCCCGCGTCCGCGCCTTCTGAAGGAGCGGCTGCCGCCACTGGTGCTTGCGTTGCTGCTGTTGAGGGGGTGCTGGAAGGCAGCGAGGCTGAGGTGCTGCCGGGCCCCGCGGCGGCGACGGCGCCAGCCTCGCTGGGTGTTGCTGCGGCGGCTGTGGAGCTCTGCTGAGCCCTGTCATGACCGGTCAGCATCCGACCAGAGGATGCGGGTAAGGAGAAACGGGCAAGGGACGGGGGGCCAGGCGGTCAAGAGGAGGTGGCATGTAGGTGTTGTTATGCATGGGGTCTTAGGGGGCCGAGTGTTCCCGTGCTACACATGAGAGGTTGCAGCATGGGACGTTCGCGGTGCGATATGCCACGTGGCCTGACCTGGTCGCCGTGTGCAGCTCGCCCAGCAACCGAGCCAGCTTGTCCGTTAGGGTCTTCTGGTCGTTGGTGAGGAAAATCAGGCGGTTGCGGTCGCGCCGTACTTGCGCCACGTCAATATCCGCACGTGGGAAACCCTTGCAGGCGAGGGGTGGGGATGAGGACAGGATGAGACAGTTGCCAGGGAGTGGTAATGACTAAGGAGTGCATAATGATTCGCCGTGGGCAGCTTGTTTGCATTAAACCTACCAGCGTGGCGCAAAAGGGCAACGTACAATGGGCCAAGAAGTTGATGAGTCGTTGACGTAGCCAAGCCTTACCTCTTTATCAAGTAGACTACCCTTTATACCCGGCTGTCCGGGGGCGTTTAACCGTTCCGATAGCAGGGCGATTTCGTCTTCAATTGCTCGCCTCTGGTTATCCAGATCACGCAGCTCTTGGCGCAACGCATCGACTGAACTCCGCGGTATGGACATCTCAAATAATTAATTGTCCAAGACTGTACTTCTATCAATTACAGCCGAGCACGTCAACGAGATGGTGCAGAACAGCAGATGATACTGCCTTTCTTCTATGAAGAAGAACAGTAACCAACTATGATCAATCGGTACAGCAGGATGCGCTATGTAAGCCTTGTTTCCTCTATATTCCTCGTCAAACATCCGTACTCTCCGTGAAGCCTCAGATTCGACAACCATATTGAATCCTGTAACAATGGCACCATGCGAGCCCCTGCAACTCCAACCCAAAACTCTCATAAAGCACAATAAACAGCTTTAGGTCGCTGGTACATACCTCGACGTAGCCACGCCCCATGCGGTCGCGGCCTGTTTCACAAATGGACAAATCCTATACCAACTTCTAGTGCAAAAGCCTGAATTACCTCTAAATTTTTGTAAAGGCATACTTAGAAGATGGCACCGGCTCCTATCGAGCAAACTGGATTACCACCTAAGCGGAAAGTAAAGGCTTATCAGGTGCTCGGCGATGTTGGAGAGTTTCAGGAGCGGCTAGCAGCAACTTTGCCCCCTCCCAAGCCTCCGCCTCCACCAAATGTCTTTACAGTACAAGACCCCAGCGAATTTCCGCCGGACGTTTGGTTTGCTGCAACCATCTCTCCAGATAACGGTGTATCAGTTATAGCTGCGTATAGGGAGCTTTGTAAGGCCAGGTATGCGCTGAGGTTCACTCTTCTATGCGTCGGCATGTCACGCAGCTGCAGCTGCTGACCGGCATCCTGCCAACAATCATATGTATGAGCCCGCACTTTCCGACTCATATGCCAGTTTACCCTGTCACAGAGGCTGTCCTTTCTCCACGCTTCTGCACTCCCTAACTTCCAATGATCGACAACTCGCGTCCCATTTGGGCCATCACCCTAACCGTAACCCCCTCCCCGCGCCCTCCTTTTCTCTCGCCCACCATCCCTCTCTCCCGTCTACCCTCTAGGTCCCTCTACCAACAGCAACTCGCCAACATCCACGCCGCCCGGCGCCAGCACAGCCTTCCCGCGCCGCTGCCCTCCTCCTCCGCCGCCTCCTTCGCCTTCCCACAGCCCCCGCTCTCCCAACCCTCCACCTCCTACCTAGCCGCAGGAGCAGCCCCCGGCGGAGAGCTCTCCTGGGCCACCGCAGGCGCCCCGGCCACCACCCAATCCGGCGGAGGCGCACCCGCAGCGGCAGGGTCCTCACCCGGAGCAGGCGCCCTGAGCGGCGGTCGCAGCGCTGCTACCGGAGTAACAGGCAGCAGCGCGGCTCAGCTGGCAGCCCCGCTCACTATCTCGGAGGCGCTGCGGGCGGGCGCGGATGCACGGCGGTTGGGGCGGTTCGAGGCTCAGCAGGCCAAGTGGGACGAGGTGACGGCCACGCTGGCCACACGAGTGGGGCGGACGCCGCAGGAGCTGGCCATGCAAAGAGGTAAAAGGGGGTTGGGGTGGGGTGCAGAGGTGGGAGGTGTGGGAATGGGTGGGTGAGGGGTAGGGCTAGTGGCACAGGGCTGGGTTGGGTGCAGTGGGGCAAGGAGAGGCGTAAGCGGGGTCGTTGCGCAGGAGCTAGGGTCATGCAGCGAGGTGGGGGTGGTGGCAGTAGTGCGGGGGCCCCGTACATGGCCCACAAAACCCATGAGGCAGGGATATAGCGAGGGGTAAGGAGTTGAGGTTCGCGACGTGGTCATGACATGCCCGCGGCTAAAGGGCGACGGGAGGGCCGGAAGCCCCCCCCCGTAGACATGAAAGCACCAGTGTTGCAAGCGCCTGCACACCACATCTCAGCTCCTGACCCCGCCCTCGCCTCTCCCGTCCTGCACAGGCCCCGCCTGGCGCACCCGCGCGGAGCTCACGGAGCTGCTCTACCGCGCGCAGCCCCGGGACGCGCGCGGCCTGAACCCGGATGAGGTGCTGCTGACCAGCCTGCGGGACGCCTGGGAGCGCATCATCCCGCTGGGGGACATCTTCTCGGGGCTGGCACTGCACCTGAAGGTGAGCTTGTGGGGGTGGGCCCGGAACAGACAGGCCCCACGCCATCCGCCATCTCAAACCACTCTGACCGCTCACACCACTCCCTTTGTTGCTTTATCGCTTTATCCTTACCCCACTCCATGTGCAGGACAAGCCGCACGAGCTGCCCGACTGCCGCGCCGCCCGCGTGGGCCGCCCGCTGGACCCGCTGGGCCCGCCCCGCGGCGCCACGCTGCTCTCCACGCAGCGCCAGGCGGCAGCGCAGGCGGCGGCAGCGGCGCAGGCCGCCTCCCTGGCGGCCCTGCAATCGCTGCAGACCCTGCAGTCCATGTCCGTGAGGTCGGCAACGGGCACGCCGGGACAGGGGGTGGAGCGACTGGGCTCTCCCGTGCTGTCGCAGAAGTCGGTGCTGTCGCGCGCGCAGTCGCCGCCGTCACGGCAGCCGTCGTCGCCACAGATGCCGCTGCCGCCGCCGTCGCAGCAGCAGTCAGCGGCCGCGCTGGCCATGCCGACGCTTGCAGGGGGGTTTGCGGATGGCAATGGTGCAGCGGCGGCGGCAGCCGCGGTTGCGGCTGCAGGTGCTGCTGCCCCGGCAGGGGTGTCCGCCGCTTCAGTTCTTGGCGGCGCTGGACCCATGGGTCGTGCTTCGGTTACCTTTCCTCGCTCTCTTTCCGCTCGCGGTCGCGCCTGGGAGGACAGCGAGGTGCTGCGGCAGCGGGTAGCCGAGTACGGCAGTCGGTTACGGAGCCTGGCGCCGCATGATCCGGATTTTGGGTCGTTGGTGGTTGCGGGTGAGGCGTTGGAGGGGCAGTTGGCGGCGCTGGCGTCGGCGCCGATCACGCTGTCGGAGGTGGAGGCGGCGGTGCGGGAGGCGGACCCGGCGGCGTTTGAGGCGTACCGGGCGGTGAAGGATGAGATGGAGGTGAGAAAAAGAGGGCGGAGGTGGGGAAAAAAGAAATTCCAAAGTGTGGTATGATAATGATACAAGTTGCTGACAATCCCTGGTGGAATCAACCGTGAGTCGAGCCGAAATGGTGGTTAAAGCAATGCGAGCTAAACTTACCGAACTTCCCAATTATGGAGCAACCTTACCATAGTATTGGGCATGTGTGGAGGTGGGGAAGGTGTGTTCGGAATGAAGGCCCTAGGAAGGAGGTCAGGGAAAGGAAGGAGGATGAGAAGGGGCGGAGAAGAAGACTGTCCAGGAGGCTGGCATACCCACCCCAACCCCATCCCCTTCCCCCACCGAAACCCCAACCCACACAGGCCCAGCTCCGCGCGGCTCTGGAGGCGGAGGAGGAGCAGCGCGCAGCAGCGGAGGCAGCTGCCCGCGCGCTGGCACCGCAGCCCGGCCCCCACATCATCCTCACCGCTGCCGCACTGCCGGATCCCATCACTGTCGCCCTCACAAGTGGGGCATCTGCTACTGCTGGTGATGCCGTTGATGCTGCTAATGAGCAGCAACCCCAGCTACCCCAGCAGCAGCAGCAGGCAGCAGCCGCCCCCGGCGCCGCCTTCCTGTCCCTTCGCTGCCACACTGGCGAGGTGGCGCATGGAGTGGTCACCCTAGCCAGCAGAGGCACCTCAGCGGTGTGGTGGGAATGGCGGCGGGTGGCCGGCCCGCAGCACCCGCATGCGGCAACACAGCTGGGCCAGCCGCCCCGCTTTGTGGCGTCGCAGCAGGCGGGGGTGCTGCTGCCGGGGCAGAGCCTGCAGCTGCGGGTGACGTTCACGGCGGCGGCGGCTGCGGGCACCTTCCGGGAGACGTGGGAGCTGGTCACTCGGCCGCCGTTGCAGGTATGTGGAAGGGGTAGGAGGGGGGAGGGGGAGGAGAGTAAGAGGCGAAGCGCCTGTGAAGGGTGAAGGGGAAGAAGGGGAGTAGGGCCATGTACGACGAGAGTGTGACATGGACATTCTCCCTCAAAAACTAATCCACCACGCTCCTCCCCCTCTGCCGTCTCCTTTTTCCCTTACCCCTTTCCCAGGGCCCCGCCCCACCTCCTCTCAAGCTGCACCTCCGGGGCGCTGCAGAGGTGCGCGACGAGAGCGGCCCCGCCCGCGCCGCCCTCACAGACCGCCTGGCGCAGAGGGAGAAGATGGCGGCGGTGGCGGCGGCGGTGGAGCGGGTGCTGAGGGAGGTACGGCAGCCGCGGCGGGCGCATCCGGCGGAGGCTCCGGAGGAGGCGGCGGCGGCGGATGTGTGGGACCGTACGAACGGCTGTGCGGCGGATGGCGGGCCGTACGCTTGGCCTCCCGTGTACTACTCGCCTGAGGTGCAGGTGCGGCGGAGCTGGGGGGGGGGGAGAAAACAACTAACTGGGGGAGAGGTGGTGGAGAGGTTGGGATGGGGGTTAGTGAGGGGTGGAGCTGGTAAGAAGGTAGTCTTGGAGGGGCGTACCGTGAGAGGGGTGCCTTGGGAAAGGGAAAGGGGTGCCGTGAAAAAACGGGGGGAAAAGATAGCGGATTGAGGGTTAGGTGAGAGTGGGGCTCAGAATCAGATGGCAGTGGCCCCCATCAACCTCCACACACACACTAGCTTTCGCGGCCAGTTATTTTAACACACTAGCTTTCTTGCTCTTGTCCTACTCAACTACACACACACACACACTAGTTTTCTTGACACACCCCAGGCTGTGGTTTCCTATGGTATGGTAACCTGTGGTGCTGGTACGTATCTCTGATCCCCCTTACCCTCCGCGTACCTCCACCCCCCGCCCCCCAGGCTGAGCTGGCAGAGGTGTACCGGGAGGCCCTGGGTGCGCTGTCGGCGGCCCTAGCGCCACCGCAGGAGGAGGACCCCAAGAAGAAGCGCAAAGGTGGGGGGGCAGGGGCAGGGGCGGAGTTGTGGAGCTCAGGGGAGCTGCATCCCAGGGGGTTGGGCGAAGCAGGAGGGGCAGGAGGCTGATGGCCAGGGGAGGCGGATGGGCAGGGCAGGGCCTTCTTCGTTAGAGCCCTCATGACGCCACGCAACCTCCCGCCCCATGTAAACGCCATTCCATCCTTTTCCTTCCTCCCTCCTGTTCCTTCCTCCCCCTCCTCCTCCTCTCGCACCAGACACCGCCCAGCCCCGCAAGAAGGGCGGCCAGGACGACAGAGACACCCCCGCCACGCCCAAGTACCCGCCCACATGGACCGAGCGATCCAGCCTGGCCACGCTGGACGCCCTGCTGGCGGAGCTGACGGCGACGGCGCCCGCCGCCGCTGCGCCGCTGGTGGCCCGGGCGGCCGCCGCCAAGACCCGCGCGCGGGTTCCCGCCAGCAGCCGCCGCCTGGCCCGCCGGGCGCTGCGGGTGCTCGTGGGAAAGATGGTGGATGCGGTGGAGGACAGGTTTAACACAATCAGGACGGACCTGGAGGCGAAGGTGGCGGCGGAGGCGGCCGCCGCCGCCGCTGCCGTGGCGGCGGCGGGTGGTGGAAGCGGAGGCGGCGGCGGCGGTGGCACGGGTAGCGGCGGCGGTGACAGCACCGCCGGCGGAGGCGTTGGCGAGGGTGAGGGGCTGGAGGGCGAGGGCAGTGCTCTGCTGTCGGCGAGGAAGAATGGCGGCGCAGCGTCGCCGATTGGTACGGCGGCCGGCAAAGGGAAGGCTGGCGGCGGCAAGGGCAAGGCGGGCGAGGGTACGGCACCTGCGGCGCCTGCGCCTGGCAGCGGGTTGCCAAGTGTGGAGCACCTGCAGCCCACCTTCCATGACAAGGCCATGAGCGGGGCGAGGACGGTGATCAAGGTGGGGGCTGTGTGTGGCGGGCTTGGTGGGGTCATGGTGGATGGTGGGGGCATGTGCATGGTGGGGTTAATGGCGGGGTGAAGGAAAGCTGAAGAAGGAAGGATAGGGTACCGGTATGGTAGGTGGGTTATCAAAGCTCCTAACCCCTCCTCCTGCACCCCGCCCATTGCCTCACATAACCCACAACCCCCACCCTCCTCAACACTCCTTCCTTCAACCCCTCACCCCCTTGCCTCCGCACCACACCCCCTTCCCCTCCGCCAGGCCACCCTGAACACCCTCCTAGAGGAGCTGCACCGGCACCGACTGGCCGCGGGGGACGCCCTGGAGGCGTCCGTACGGCAGCTCGACCAACGCATCGCCGCGGAGCAGCAGCAGCATCAGCTACAGGTACAGGCACAACAACAGCAGCAGCAGCAACGAGAAGAGCAGCAACCACAACAACGCCGTCCGGGTGCGGGCAGCGATGCGGTGGCTGCCGCTGGGGCCGCCACAGGCGAAGCCGCCGCCGCCGCCGCGGCCATCGGTGCTGCCCTTGCTGCCGTCAGCGGCGCCGCCCCCGGTAGCAGCAGCAGCAGCAGCAATGTGGACTGGTACGCCCCACCTGCGGGCGGAGTGCCCGCTCCAGGTCCGGGGCCGCCTGCCGCGGTCCGCTCTCCGGCGCTGAAGCAGCTGTACTGGGATCGGCTGACGGTGTTGCGCATGTGGACGTCGCTGGGCATCCCCAACCGAGCGGACATTCGGTAGCGGCTGCATGCATGGGCAGCGGTAGCGAGGCAGCCGCTGCCTCAGCGGTGAAGCAGCAGCCACGTGGGCTGGGTAATGGCCGCATGCTGGCAATACATCTGATTCTGGCCAGAAGGGCAGCGGCTTTTGGGGCCTGCTGGATGGTGGCTTGGTGAAGTACGTTAAGTAGCAACTGTGTGAGTGTACCCTGACCATAGGGCTTCCTACCCAGAAGGGGAGAGACGTGTAAGATGTGATTTCAGGGTGGCTATGTGTTGGTGGTGGTGGGGGGGCCTGGTGGGCTTCCCGTTGTGTGTGCTACCCCTGCGTCGGGGTTTGGTTGGCGTGACGCCCAAGGTGAAGGATGGAGGAATAGAGGTGTATTGGCACGTGTAGCCGTACGGTTAACACATGCAGGGAGACAGCGCGCTGGTGGTTTGAGGACTGGGCCGCGGCTGGGACGGAGGGTGTGACTGCAGGCCCTGACATGAAGGAAGAGGCCGTGGCTGGGGTTGGGATACGAGGTTGCCTGCCTCGAGATGTGAATGTGGCGGTTGCCCGAGTAGCAGTACATCCCGTGTGCAATACCACCCCAGCCCCGAGCCCCAGCGTGTCCTCTGCAGGCGGCCAACCCAAGAAGTCGTCAGGGCGCTCCTTACACCGCAGGAAGCAGCACACCACAAACACCTACTCACACGCGCACATGCGCCGGCCGTGTTGGTAGCCAAGGTGACAACGCCAGCCCAGGTCCCCAGTTACACATGCCAAGTTCCCCCACCCAAACGACTTGTTACATATGGGGGGTCATAGTTACCGTACCTCCCAGTGATCATCGCGCAAAAATAAATAATTATTCGAAAAAATGTGCATTAACGCGCAAAAATAAATAATTAGTCCGGTGCCTGCGCGTTAATAAAAATTAATTCCCCAAAGGACTGCGCGTTAGCTAGAAAATTGCCCATGGCGTGGCCCCCAGTGCGTGCTGGCTCGAAATCCCGGGTTTCGCTCTTTTCCTGGCCCCATCCATACCTGCACCTCCTCTCTGATCCGTTTTCAGCTGGAGCTTTAAGTTCATTGCTCTGCTTTTCCGGCCTTTCTAGTGTAAGCTTTAGGCTGATACAGTACTACTTTAAGGGCTGCGCGAAGTGGAAAATAATTGCTCAGACCCCTGCGCGTTACTGAAAAATAATTCCTTACAGCGCTGCGCGTTAAAATAAATAATCCCTAAATTTCCTGCTGCGCGGTGATCAGACACAGGTACGGTACTCAGCAGAGGAGGGCGTAGCCAGGCACATGCCTGAAGCGTACGTAGCAGGACACTGTCTCTAAGCACGCACACGCCAAACGCGTCTTCTTCATTCCTGTCTTCTCCTTCCGCTGCGCAATACCGCAACGATTGAAGGCAGTCCAGATGCAGCGGCAGTTCAGACGTCCGGGCACCTTGGCGACATGCTGGCAAACTCCTTAACTCCCCGCACATAGACATCAGCCGCATCTAAAACGCATCACATCCTGCCCGCACCCCCAAGCGCCTCTAGTCTCGCTCGCCAGCACCATGTTAGGTTCCGACCAAACACACAAACATTGCAGACAGCAAAGCCCCTACCTTGCTAAATCTTCTTCTTCTTCTTCACGGCGTTCGGCGCCCACAAACACGTACCGGTACACAACTGCTACTGCGGTCTGCCTACATGTCCTAATAATAGCCACAGTGTGCTGAGCATGTGGCGACAAACTACTCGTCGTAGGGCAATGACAGAATCGCCCTCCGAATGACGGAATGTCTGCGACACGCGGGGTGCACTTAATAAACAGCACTAAAAAACGGTTACGGAAAGACGCTGCTACCCACCCTAACTAGTATCATGTCTCCCTCCTACCTCGCCACTGCTGCTCCCGCCTCCCACCCTCCATGCAATACACATGAATGAGCAGGTGTGCGCCCCCATCGACGCCCACCATTCCCATCACCACCACCACCACCGCTGCTGTTACTGTCTTGGTGCTGCTCAGTTGTCAGCGCACAGTATCATGTTGCTGCTCCTGCTGCTGCCGCTGCTCTAGCTACTGCTCCTGATGACATGTCTACAAGGGCTCCAGTGATGCTGAAGACGACACTGATGAGACCGCGGATTCACCCAACCCCCCCCACACACACATCCCCACCTCATACAGTGCGGTTTCCTCCATCGTCCACCCAAATCATGGGCACACACCATGCTGTTTCCAAAGCCTAAAAAGCCCCTCTCAACCTTTTCCACACCCTTCCACGTCCCACCCCTCCCAACCCCACGACCCGTGGCTCATCATCACCAGCTCCTCACTCCTCCTCCTCCTCCTCACTCGATGTACGGCTGCCAGCGGCTCTTGCGGATGTCCTTGAGCAGCATCTTGATGAAGAAGCCGGTCTCCTCGGGGTTCGCCACCCACAGCACGGAGCAGATGTCCCGGGTGGCCACATCGTTGCCGCTGTCCGTGAAGCGGTCGCCCACATGCAACACCTGGGCGGGGGGGGGGTTTCAGAGATATACCAGAACCACAGGTTAGGGCAAAGCAGTTGGGACAGGGGGAAGCAGTTTGTTACGAAACAGAAAAGTTAGTTGCCCCTACCGACAGGAGAGGGGGCGGGAGACGGACAGGTCAGGAAGAAAGCAAACCCAAAAAATGGAGTCCAAACGTTAGCGCAGAGGCATTGAGACAGGTGGCAGTGGGGATGGACGGGAGGAGGTGGTGGGCTGGGGGTTAATGAGTGCAGGAGGGTAGTAGTCCCTGTCACTCTGACGGAGTGCGATTCAATACATCCCCGTGCCTTTCAAAGTGCCCAAGCCCCGCTTTATAATTGTAAGTACTTCACGTACACACCCAGATTTCGCGGGCAGTTTTCTTAACACCCAGAACCTACCCTACCAAGCCACCGGTCCCATGTGGTCACACACCCGACCCATGGGTCACACGCATGCATGCATGCCCCCCACCCCCCCGGCCCCCCCCCCTCCTCACCTCCGACGGCCCCACTTGCAGGTACTTCATGAGCGCATCCAGCCCCAGCAGCTTGTTGCCCACATCCACGAACACGTCGTTACCGCCGTTGAAGGCGCAGAAGGGCACTCGCGCCACCAGCTGCGTTTGCAGCGTGAGCGCAATGTCCTCCAACACCTGAGCGGTGGGGGGGGGGAGAGAGGGGGAGGGGGAGGGGGAAGAAGGGTAAAGAGGGAGGGAGGCAGTCAGGCAGGCAGGATACCAAACCATGGGTTATGACGTCATCTCGTCCACACCACCACACGGCATGGCACACACACCGTGTCATACACACACGTCCCCGGCCCCGCCCACCCCTCCCCGACTCTCGCCCTTGTATCAGGCTGTATGTGAGGAACCGCCCCGCCTCCCTCCCGCCTCCCAACTACCTCCAGCACGACACGACACACCCCTCACACTCACCTCGTATATGGTGGGCTGTGTGGGTACGATGCCCACCGCACGGCTCTTGCGGATCACATTGACCGTCAGGTTCAGCCGCTTGGCGCCCTCCTGCCGGGGGGGGAGGGAGGAGTACGGTGGGGCGAGGTCAAATCAGACCATATGAAACCAGAAATGGGTGGAGTGGGGTGGGGTTTAATAAGGATGAAGATTCCGGGGTGGGATGGGGTGCACCGCGGAAATACCAACATCACCCGAACGTCCCCCGCCCCCCCGCACCAGCAGCATGGCCTCTCCCTCATCCAGCAGGTCCGCGATGTCCTTACTCCCTCCCCGTCCCCATGCATCCTGCCGTGTAAAACACACATACACACACGTTCCCCCGCCCCCCCCCCCCCCCCGCCCCGCACCAGCAGCATGGCCTCCCCCTCATCCAGCAGGTCCGCGATGTCCTCCTGCCGCCAGCTCTGCATGGCGGGTGTCTTCCAAACCGCGTCCGGCACGAACTCCAGCCGCTTGTCGTCCGGGCGCACCCGCAGCAGGTAGTTGCACTCGCCGCCCATGATGTGGAACCTGGGGGGGGGGTGCGAGGGGTAAGTTTGTGGGGTAAAAGAGGAGACTGACGATCCGTGGGGCCGTGGGAGGGAGAGGGGTGTGGAGGAGGACGAAAAGGTGCGGGTTACTTCCGGGTGCTTCCGGTGGGGCACAGGGGACACCCAACCCTACCCACCATCCAAACCCGAGGACACCTCCCCTCCTCCTCCTCCTCCTCTTCCTCCTCCTCCTCCCCTGAAGCAACCCATGGTGAAGCCTCGTCACTCTCAGCTCGCCAGTTTCTCCTTTCCATCCTCATCCCCCCTCCTCCCCTTCCCTCCCCCTCGCCTTTGTCTTGTGGCACCCTGCCGCCTCCTACCCCACTTGCTTTGCCCTAAGCTGTGGTCTCCTATGGTTTGGTACCTGGTCTTTGACTCCCCCTCACCTGTTGGTCACCTCCGACGGCAGCTTCAACCGCCTGAATGCCTCCAGCAGCCCCATCACGCGCTTCTCGAACTTGTCGGGTTCACCCGGGTAGCCGGCGGCGGTGACGATGGCCACCTGGGGGGGGGGGGGGAGAGAGGGGGGGAAGGGAGGGAAGCATGCGGGCTCTGTGGGGTAGGGGAAGGAAGATAACAGGAAGGAAGCATGCAGCCAGCGGCTGCTACCCTCTGTGTCGCATACAGCGGCTGCTACCGTAACAGCACCACCCCTTCTTCCGGCCTCCCCTCCCCTCCCCCTGTTCTCTCTCCTCCTCCCCTCCCCCCCCCACCTGCACGTTGCTGCGCATGAGGTTGATGATGTGTGCGATCATCTGGTTGTCCTGCTCCATGTGAGCCCCGTCCGCGTACAGCGTGCCGTCCGCGTCAAAGGTGATGAGCTTGAGGGTGTCCGCCACCGCATGGACCTGAGGTGGGGGTGGGGTGGGGGGGTTACCGAGATGTACCGAGACAACAGGTTGGGGCAAAGCAAAGGGGGCGTGGGGGGAGGAGTTGGGGCGTGGAGCGCGGGCGGTCCCCTCCTTAGTTGTTTGCATTTCTTATATAATTTCCCCCCCCCCACACCTGCGCGATGTTGACCACATGCCTCAGCTCCGCAAAGTTGGGTGGGATGTACTTGCGGCGGGAGAGCGCGAAGAAGGCGTCGTACTCGCGGAACGCCTCCACCAGCTTCAGCGGGGTGAAGAAGGCGCCGATGCCTGGGGGGGTGGGGGGGTGGGAGGAGGAGAGCGATGGAAGGGAGGCGGATTGGGTGGGTGGAGCGAGTGAGGAGGGCGAGGTGAGGGTGATGCCGACCCAAACACCCTATCACTTCTTTGAAGTTCCATGACAGTGGGATCCATTCTCTTTGTTCCGGCACCCAACTCCCTTCCTTCGATCCATGCGTTAACCAGGAGCTTGCCCTCCCGTGTCGCCACCCTCATTCAAACCATGGGGTTCTCCTTCTTCTCTCCCTCCTAGTTTCTTCACTTTTCTCCTGCTTCTTCTTTCCTCCTTTCCTCCCTCCCTCGTTCCACACACTGGGTATTCTTCCCTCCTCAAATCTCAATCCTTATTTTCCCTTATTTTCCCCCCTCCTCCCTCCCTCCACCTCCTACCCGGTATGAGCCTCCTGAGCCGCGACCTCCGCGGGTCCTGCCGGTGCTCCGAGATCCACCTCTCCACCTTGAGCATCACCTCCTCGCACGTGTGGGTTTCGTGCATGCGGCGCATGAAGTCGATCAGCCGGTCCTAGGGAGGGAGGGCAGGGGGGAGGGGAGGGGAGAGACGTGGGGGGAAGGAGGAGGGGAGGGGACGGGAGATTAGGTAAACTGAGCCGCGGAAACACCGACCCTGACCGATATATACCTGGGGATGGAGCGTAGGGACGGGGAGGAGTGGGAGGGGGGGGGGAGGAGGAGGAGTGGGGGGGAGGGACGCCAAGGGAGACGGGGACAGGGGTCAATTAATGCAAGGCGAGGGGGGGCTATACCCCTCATTCTTACCCGCCCTCCTGCCCCCTTCCCCACACCGCGCCCCCACCAGACATGTCCCCCCCCCCCCCATACCACACCCCACACCCATCCTCGGGGCAGCACCCCCGGGCCCGGCACCTGGCTAGTCCATGGCGGAGTGGCGGGGGGGGCAGTGGTGGTGGACACCCACCCACCCGCACGAACCCCTCCACTTCCCTCCATCGCTGTGCGTGTCCGGCAGCGCCCCCTGCCTTGCCTCCTGCATTGCCTCCTGCCCTATCCGCTCACCCCTACCGGCATCCCACCCCCTACCTCACCTGAATCGAATCTATAGCCCCCCCGTGATCCTACCAAACCCCCTGCCTCCCTCCCGCCCCTATGTGCGATCACGTCGACATCACGCCGCGCCTTTCTTTCACCCCCTCCCCCTCACCTGCTCCTTGAGGTGTCCCTTGCGCCTGAGCACCGCCGCATCGCTGGCCGACCTGGCTCGCTGGCTGAACACCTCGCCGCTCTCCGCAGTGCTCAGCAGCTCCCAGTAACCTGCGGGTGGGTGCGGGTGGGTGTGTATTGGGGGGTAAGAATATAGATAAGTGCATCAACGGAGTCCCAATCCCGGTATTGGGGGGGTGGGGGAGGAGGTGGGAGAGGGGTTAGGGGCATGCAGCAGAGCCATGGTGTGCTGGGGTTGGTAGCGAGGGGCGGGATTTTGGGAAGGAGGTGCAGTGGTGCAGAACAGGGCAGCAACGGCGGACCGGTGGTGCAACAGGCCAAGGAAGGGCGCAGTTGGGTGAGGGGTGGACTAGGAAACGCAGGAGGACTTAGCGGCCTTATCAGAGGAGGGCTTTGGCTGTTTTGTACATCCGCTTGGTGGCTAAACCGGGTTTCGCATCCTGAGGTCTCTGGTGGGTGTGCTTACCCATATTAACTTCGGCCACGGAGCCTCCATTGGGTGAAGGCATGTGTGAATGGACAACGGCACCGTTGCCAGCTGCTCCATGGTTTGCTGCGCCATTACTTGTTGTGCTGTTTTGAGTTGATGAGGTTGGCTGCGGGACTGGAGCTTGATGTCCAGCCGACACAGGCGCAGTGCTAGCTACCGCTACATGACGAGCCCGGGCTGGCAAAGGGCGTGGGCGTGAGGCGAAACTAGCGTGATCTGTACTTAAACATGCGTTTGGTTTTGTCGGTTTCGGGCGTCGAAGCATTGGTTATCGTGGTCGAAATTGCAGCTCAAGTCATTTAAGGCGGCGAACACTATAGGAGGTTATTTGACCTAAGTTGCTGTCGCCGATTATATTATACAATCTATTTGCAGGCCCAGGAAGGACTATGTCTTCGCTTGCAAGGGCGCAGGTAGTGGCTGTCGCAGTTGCTTTTGCGCTATCAAAGTGCAAGGGCTTCCAGGTACGGCTCAGCACAACTGATTAGACTCTGTAAAATTGAACATAGGTAGCCCATGCTCACTCGAACTCGACAAGACGTGGTTGCATACGCAGCTCCAGAACCATTCCACGGTCACCACCCAGCACAACAAGCCTCCCTTCGGTGCATATTGTCGTTTGGTTGATCAGGCAGTAAAGCAATTAGCAAAGGGATGCGACAAACTGAAGCCAACCTGGCGGTAAACCCATCTTTGTGCAAGGGAAATGGATTGCCAGAAAGTGATCTATTAACGCTTGACCTTCCAATCGCCGCCTATGCAGGTGCCGCTTCGCAGGCCATACATGCGTGTCGGGGGAGGCTAGAACATTCTGGGACCCTCCATGGCATGGCATGCTGCTTCGCTTACACTGCCCAATTGTCGTGATGGAGGGAGCCTCTCACCTGGCTCCAAGCTCTGGACCCAAGCTTTGCCGGTGTTCAACGAAGGCTTATAAGGCACATGGGGTACGGCAATCTTTAACACCTGTACGGTTGTACGAGTATCATGTTACCGTACGGTCCTTGGCACCTCCCACCACATGTCCTTCCCGGCTATTGACACCCCCAACCTAAGTGCCTCATGGGTCAGTATAATAGAAAAACGATTCTAGTGCGTTAGACCGCCAGTGCGTTACCAACTATACAACGGCAGGTAAAGGAACGCCTAGTCGGGACTGAAGGGCGCCGCATCTTCTTGTATCAACAAAGCCCCCAGCGACGAGCCTCTTCAAGCCTTCTGCAGGCACAACCTAGCCGAACTCTTCCCATAAGGTCCCTTGTCACTGTATGCATCTATACACAGTGCCCTCTCCCACCAAGACTGCTGCTCCTGCGCTCCTCCCATTGCAGCAACCTCTCCCCCTGTTCCCCTCCCCCTCAGCCGCCCCCCTCCCCTCCTCCTCCTCAGCCGCCCCCCTCCCCTACTCCTCCCCAGCCGCCCCCTCCACCCGCCCCTCCCCTCCTCCTCCTCCTCAGTTCTCCTGCACAAACAGCGCCACCTGTCTGGCCCCGCCCGCAACCTCGGCCACCGCCACACCGCCCTCCAGTACCTGCAGCGGGACAGGACCGGGTGCATGGGGGCGGCGGGCAGGGAGGGATAGAAGCGGGATTGAGGATGGATGCACGGCTAGCAGGCTTAACGGACGCAAGGCTAAAAGGGCGGAGCGCGAAACGAACCCAAAACGGGTAATACCGGAACGGACAAACGGTGGGAGATACTGCACACGCCCGAGCCTATTCGCCCACGTCCCCCACAACCCCAACCGCACCTGTCTTGGGTAGCTGTTGACCAGGTTCCAGTGGTCGGGCTCCCAGGCAGGGAAGGAGTCAAGCGACTGCAGCCAGTCACGGATCTGCAGCAGGCAGGCAGGCAGCAGCGGGCAGCAGCAGCGGGGGGACGTGGAGCCAGAAGTCGACACATGCGACCAACGAGGACCGTCGAAGCGCGTCGAGACCAGGGCAAGGGTGGTTCGTGTCCCCAACAGGCCAGGTATGGTTGCTAATGCTGCACCCCGTCCCTGTCCCCATCATCCGGTCTGCCTATCGTCAAGGTCAGCGTTTCATCGCGGCCCAGTTCCAACACCCTGCCGCAACCCCCCTCACCCAACCCTCTTTCGTTTTGTGACACAACAAACTGCTTCCCTCTACCCCCATTGCTGTGCCCAAACCTGTGGTTTTGGACTTTTGGTACATCTCTGACCCCCCTCGTCAGTTTCTCCTTTATGTTTAACACCCCCCCCCATGCAACCCATGTTGACGCCTTATCCCTCAGTCAGTCTGTTGTTTCCTCTTTATCCCCACCCTCACCTGCTGCACAGGCGCCTCCTGCAGGAAGCGCCGCGTGTGGCTGCAGCCGTCGGGCAGCCGCACCCGCACCAGCACCCCGGCCGGGTCGGAGCTGTCGGGCTCAGACTGGGGGAGGGAGGTAGGGAGCAGGAGGAGGAGGACAGGGGAGCGAGTGATGAAGCAAGTAAGGGGGAGCGTGATTGAGCCACTGAGAGAAGAGAGGGGGAGCAGCAGCACTCACCGCCGTCACTACATAAGTAACAAAAACACCCACGGCAGCAGCAGCAACAGCGGTGGCGCTGTGAACACGACCGGTGAGGCCCAACAACAACAACAACAACAGCAGCAGCAGCAGCTACTAGCGGACCGGACCATGAGCGCACCCCTCATCAGCGCACCCCCCCCGCACCCACCGCCTCATTCCCCCGCTGTTTTCCCCATTCGTGGTTTATTTCCTATGGTTTGGTCTCCTTTGACCCACCGGCAGCTCCCTCCTCAGCCGCTCCCGCAGCTCCTGCCGCCGCTGCAGCGCAGCCTCGGCAGCAACAGCCTCCGCCTCCGCTGCGGCCGCAGCCGCCGCCTGGGCCTCCGCCTCCGCTGCCTCCGCTGCGGCGCGCTCCTCCGCGCGGCGGCGGTCCTCCGCTAGCGCGGCCTCGTACTCTGCATCCTGGGGAGGTTCCGACCGACGAACCGTAGGCGGAAGTTTGCATTGGGGAGGAGGAGGTTTGCGGCTCACAAAAAGCGCATAACAGACTCATGGCGGTTTGCACCTGGCCTCTTCACCTCGCCTCTAACTTGACTCGCCACTATCTTCACGCACCTCCTTAATCCCGCTCGCCACCATCTGCTCGCTCACGCACCTAGCCCCCACCCCAGCCCTGCCAATGCCCATGCCTATGACCCCACGACCACCCTGCCTGACCCCAGCCCATTCACCAGGGGCTTGTCGTCTTGCTTGCCATTTCCATTCAACACATTGGGTATTTTCCTTTTCCCACCCTCGGTTGCTTCACTTCTCATTCCTTCCCCACCCCCCACCTGCTCCGCCCTGAGCGCCCGCTCCTGATTCATCGCCTCCCGTTGCAGCGGCGACAGCATCTGCCAGTCCAGCGGAGAGGGCAGGTCGCGGGGGGCCTGCATGCCAGGGGGGTTGGGGGGTCGGCATGGAAGCGGGTTTACATGCTGTGGGGTCATCTGACGGGGGGCTGCCCGAAAGGGCGTTACTGCTACCGCTAGCTGTTGTGTGCAAATGGGCAGCGGGGAAAGCGGCTTATGTGTTGTGAAGCCCATGAAAACATGCCGCCGTGTTCAGCGGAAGAGCAGCGTTGAAACGACTAGCAAGGCGTGGATTCTTCACGCCCTCATGTGTTTTACACCCCCTTCTACGGTCAGGGTCAGCGTTTCCACGGCTCAGTTTATCTAACCCCCTTCTCCTAATGAAGCCTGCACCAGCTGCGGCCCCGTGTACAAGCGCTTTCCTCTTCCAGCAACTTCAATAGAACGCACACACGCAAGCAAACTTGCGGCCAGTTTCCTTGACGCAAGTACACAACCCACTTCACGCACGGGGAGAAACGTTAACTCCTGCTGCGCTACATGTAGGACAGCGAGACAGGGCCCTGACCGCTGGCGCCCGGCGACACGACACCCGCCTGTGGCTGCGACTGCCGCCCGCTGCCCTCCGCTCCGGAACTCTCCGCTGCCCGCCGCCTGGTAGGCCCTGCCACCGAGGGACCCCCACTGCCGTTGCTGCCGCTGCTGCCAGCCTGCTGGGTAGAAGACTCCTGCGCGCGCCCCGCTGCAGCAGCGGCAGCAGCTGCTGCAGGGTCTGCGACAGCAGGGTTGGCAGCAGGAGCAGCAGCCGCTGCTGTAGCAGCGGCGAGCCTGGCAGCCTCGGCGGCTCTCCTCGCCGCTGCGGCCGCATCTTGCTGGGCCTACATGTTGGGTATCATTTCATTAATGTATGAACCGTGGGTCACAAGTGTCAAAGTCCTCAACTGCTACTCCGGATTGTTACCCCAGACTGCAGACCGTGCCGCTGAAGTCGGTTAAGAATAAGGCAACTAGTTTCCAAGGCAGGTGCAACCCCGTCTTCTTTTGCCGTACTGTCATACATGGGTGGTACCGGCACTCAAGCGTGACAATGTCGCCCGGGAACGCTTCGACCGGTAGTTTTCCCCTCCCAAACACCTGCAGTGGTCACCCCTCATCCGCCCACCTGCAGCCTCTCCAGCCAGTCCCCTTGTTGGGGCTGGGGGCCAGCATCAGCGTCCCGCTCCTCCGGGGAGGTCTGGATGAGAGGGAGCAATGAGAACAACACCTTTGCAAATTGGTACTGGTCCCGTTTCACTTTACCAGCCCCGTTAAGGCCTATGCGGACTGTGGTGCAGCATACCAACAGTGAAGGCTCACAACCGCAAGGCTAGAGTGCACATGAAGGAATAACTCCTAGATATCAAGGTATGCCAGGGCGTAGTGGTTAGTACTGTTATGAATATGCATGTAGACGATGTGATAGTCTTCATGCATGTGCTCGGTGCTTAATAACTATGTGTTCATGTCATGTACGGCACGTTCTGAATCAGCCGCCGTACAACCTACCTCACGAGCCGCCTGTGCCGCCTCCGCTTCCCTCTGCCGACGCATGGCCTCCGCAGCGGCAGCAGCTGCTGCGGCTGTGGGTTCGCAAAAGGCAAAACGGCGAACGAGTAGGATAGATGGGTTGGTGGGGTGCAAGCGTGCAGCAGCGGGTTTAGCTAAATTAGTACCCATGGGAATGAGCCGGGCATCCAAGCAGAGGTGGACTCGTTCACTAGCGGCTTGTGCCAGATGCTGGAATGCTACCTTTATCTCAATTTCTGCACCCACCCACCGGCTTCCGAAGCTGCTTGCTGGTGCTGCTCTACTCGTGATAGTCGTTGAGCCTCATTCTTCGCAGCAAGGCGCCGGTGCAGCCGCTGCACTGTGTACTCATCCCACCGGCGCTGCAGCTTCAAGTAGCCCTTGTAGGCAAAGTATGCGATTACGATGCGGACTGGGGAGCATCAAGGGAGGCATATTGGCAAGGGATTAGGCAAGTTGAGAAGGGTAGGGTACGGGTTAGCAGCTGGAAGTGGGAAGACACGGGAATGTGTCAGTTACAGTGATGATGGAAGGATTTCTGAGCTGGTACCATGACGTTAAAAATGGGTGTTTATTGGGAAATTAGGACGGCGAAGCGGTCGTGGGACAGCGATGAGGGACAGCATGTCCGCACAAACGATATTGCCTTAAAGCAAGTTGTGTATCAATCGCATGTGAGCCACGATAAAGCATCAGACAACGCCTTTCGTATTCCAGATTCCAAGTAAGCAGGGGACACCAGCGCAGTTGCCTCAAGGAGCTCACGCAAGGGTTGAACCCTGTAGGGTAGTCTGAAACATGTACACGACCGAATACATGGCTGACTTGATTTCCCCTTACCAACAAAGCCCCACGGCGTCCTGGGAAATAGCGTCTGGTGCCTTAGGTCGAGAAGGTGCAAAACTGTCCTTGGAAAGACGTATACATAATACTCCCAGTGGCGTAGGAAATAAGCAAAGACGAGCACGCCTAGTGCTTTTGAGACGAGTAAAGCTTCTGGAGTCATGCTTACAAGCTTTGATGCAAAACCTCTATGCTTCAAAGGCAGGTTGGGAAGGTGTCAATTAGTTACTGACTCTGCAGAGTGACCGGGTATGCCTCCGGCCTTTAACATTAACGCGCTTAGCGTGATCTGACTTGACCTGGGTGTTGTCGGTTAGGTACGGTAGGCCAAGCCAAGCCCACGGGCGTTTGGCTGCACTCCCACCAGTGCCGAAAATCTCTAGCACTTTGGGTCATCCATTGGGTACATAGACGCGCTCGCTTTGGGAATAGTCTGTGTCCTATGGCAGCAGTCCCATCAATCCTTGCTCCGGAAGAAATAGCCGCCGAAGAAAGCTAAGAAAGCTAGAACTCCTAACAGAAGGATAGCAGGTGTAAGGGCCCAGGATACTTCAACGATTGCCTTTTGCTCCTGGGCGTGCGCCCGCCACTTTGCTCGCCTGGCGTGACTCACGCTCACAGGGTCGACATGTGGAGCATCGTAATGTAGGTCTGGGTATATCCAGTAGAAATCTTAGCAGCAGCAGTATACTGCCAGCGACAGCTGTCGCGGGGGCTGTGACGAACTATAAAGTTCGCCAATTGGCTTTCTAGCCGCTTTACCTTACCTCGTATTACCTCCCTCCCAGACTTGTTACCTTGTTCACTGCTGATGTCGCTCGAGCTCAGGCCAGCGCAAGCGTGGATCCTGTGTCGTACCTTTCAAAGGTGGGCCCCCGGAACACAGCTACCTCAACCTTCCATACCATATCCAAAAGGGAAATTGGACCTACACGGGTTGCACGAGTTGGCATGCCTCACAAACACCATGCTCAGAACCCCAGGCTTTCCCCGCACCCGCTTTCCCATCCTCCCCCCCCTATCACACCACACACTGGATATTCTCCTTTTCCCCCCTCTTCCTAGGTTTCCGGCCCCTCCCACCACGTGGCCGACGTGTGGGCCAGCTTCAAGCCCTCTCCACGCCACGTTGAAATCATGAAGGCGGCGCCTGACACCTTCCAAGCGCTACCCCAGGTGAACAGCGGGAAACAAGCAGCGGGAAGCAAGGAGGACACGCCGCGAGGGGAAGACACATGGGGAAGACTCCCTGGGCTGCTCTGCGCCCCGCTGAGCGCCCTTCAAAGTGGACCATCCAGGTCTCGGGGCTCAGCGGGAAGGCATGCCTCCTGTCCTCTCAAGGGACCCAGCTCCGAAGCGGGTTGTGGCCTCTGCTGCCCCGCTGTCCGGGCAGTCTGCATGAAGCCATCAGGCCGGGCCACTCAGTCGCGCTGCGGTGGTGCGGTACCTGCCTGAAAGCCGCCAAGGATCAATGGGTGTATGTGTTCCATCTACGTTACCCCTCCGCAACCAACCCTCATCCCGCCCGCCAGGCGTTTGACAAGAACTACCGCAACCCCTGCTGGACGGACGCCAGCAGCGGCAGGTTCCGTTGTGCGCCGTATTTTCAAATCCTGGGCGTTTCAAAATGCGGTACGACAGATCTGTACGGCAGACTGCGGCGTCACCCGGACATGGCGGATGGTGCCAAGGTATGAGGTATGAGGTACGGGCGGGTTGCAACACCCTCAAGTCCTTCAATCCAACCCTGCACGGCCATACCGATGTACGACTAGGATGGTCCGGGGTTGGCTGTGATACAGCAAAAACAAGCAAGCTAGCAAAAGCACAAATAACATATCAGCGATAACACCCGCAACTGCCTTCAGGGACCGCACTTTTGGGACGAGTGCCCCTACCCGCCCAAGGGCCCCTGCACCGCTCCTCCCAACGGCGACTTTGACGGCTACATCAACCTCTTCGAAAAGGGCGCCTCGCAAATTAAGGAAAACCCGATGGTGGGTGCAAAACTTGGCGTCATATGGCGCCGTGATGTCGTGTTTCGTTGCGATCCCAACAAACAGTTGAGAGCGTGCGCTGGGCGGTGGACGGAACGGCTAGACCGTATCTGTTGGCTCGTCGCCCCATCAACCCAACCCAACGCACTGTGTGAATGTTTCCGACCCAGCCGACCCCCGGTGTTTCTTAAATGTTAACTCTGTGCATGAGCCCACCAACCGCACATGATGCCGCCGAACCCGATCACGCCCGGTCACGCCCGCCCCAACTTGTGGGTTCCCTATGGTTCGGTATGGTCTTTGGCCCCCAGGCAATCGTGGGCGAGGCATCCTCCAATACCTTCACCGGTGTCTTTACGTTCGTGCGGTGAGCGCCGCGGGGGCTGCGGTGGCTGCGGTGATGGCGGGGGCTGCGGTGGTAGAGGTGTTAGCAGTAGCAGCAGCTTCGGGATTCCTTGACTGTGCTATCTAGCAAGATGGGTGCTGAGGGGCCGTGCATGCTTGCGATTTGGTGACGATGGAGCCCGGGTCCGGTGTTATTGTTGCTGTTTGTTGTCAGGTCCAACTACCGGTAGCCGGGAGGTTGGAAGGAGGGGGTTGGAGGCAAGGGCGCTGCGCAGCATGTGGGATGCGGGGCAGGCCAGGCCGGGTCCACTCCTAGCTGCATGCATGCGTATATCACACAACCAGCAACCCCTCAGACTGTCCCTTTCATGCATGGTGCCCCTCCTCACTCCCCATGCTGCCATGCTGTTCCCCCTCGCTCCCCCTGCAGCGGACTGGCCCGTCTGAAGACCAACATCACGCTAGCGCAGCTGATATACGAGGCGCAGCCGTACCAACGGCAGGTACGACAGATGCTACGACGTGCTACGGACCCTTACTTACTTACCTTCCTTTCACCCAACTTACAAGCTTGATAATCCCCGTGTCGTGTCCGTACCAACGTACGGCATATGTCAAAAATGTGTTTTGTTGCTGACGAATGCAGATTGTCATCATGCGGGACCCGGTGGCCAGGTACTACTCGGCGTTTCATTACTACAGGTACGGCACAGCTGTGTTATTGGAGCGGCTGTAGACACTGTGGAAATGCACGGGTAGGTAGGGTGCGCAGTAGGTATGAGGCCCAGCTCATGCCGTACATGATGCCAAGCCAATGTAACCTATGTGCGCGTGTTGTGTGACCCGCGGGTCAGGCGGAAACCCAGTGAGCCCTTCGAGGGGCCCGACAAGTTCCACGAGCGTGTGCTACGGGACATCAAGGTACGGCTGCAGTACGGTTGCAGTACGGTAACAAGTGCAGAGGGGGGTTACGTGTTTTAGAGGAGGTGACGACGCAAGATTGGGGCTACTCGCCCCTGTCCCACTGCTGCTCCTGTGCAGTTTGTATCCCCCATCTGCCGCCTCCTATCCCCATTGCTTTGCCCTAACCTGTGGTTTCCTATGGTTCGGTATGGTCTTTGACTCCCCAGGCCTGGAACACCTGCGTGGAGCGCTGGGGTGTGCCCGGCTGCGTAGCTCGCTACGAGCCGCAGCAGCTGGTAAAGGGCATGTACGGCGAGTTCGTGCAGGCGTGGGCCGCCGTGTTCCCGGTGCAGCAGCTGCTGTTCCTGCGGACGGAGGATTACAAGGCGGCGCCCCGGGTGAGGGGCGTGTGGGTGAGGGGGTGAGAAGAGGAAACTGATGAGCTGTAAGACGAGGCTTGACTTTGGGTTGCTGCAGCTGGGGGATGAGGAAGGAACTGAGTAGGGGGGGCGGTGATGAGAGATTGGTGGGATTGGGGGCGCTAGTTAGACACATAGGAGGCCGGGGATACGGGTTGGCGGTAGGAGTCCTAACGCCGCCTGTGATGCCACCTTGGTCCGTAAGGGGCTGTAGCAGGTGTGGCTGGCAGTACCAGCCTGCACACTCAGCCACCCACCCTGCCATGCATGCCCACGTTATGCCCGCAGGAGCACATCCAAGCCGTCATCAAGTTCCTGGGTAAGCGTAGGTGAAAGGGAAAGAGCATGGAAGGGCGCTGGAATTGTAGATCCGTACGGCATCATGCACCGCTCACTGTGCTTGTTACTGCTGTTGCCGTTGCTGCTGGTGCTGCCGGGGTGCAATCCTAAACTTCAGTTGCTTTAACGATCCCCACGGAACATCCATGCCACGTTGCCCAGCTCGGAAGGTACCAGCAGACCGCCTAAGACGTGTATGGGCAAAACATCTCTTTGATGTTAGCCAGGTTCTCAGGGTAGCCATCCAACTTGCCTGAGCGCGATACCCCCCTCCGCCTTTAGCCCTCATGCCATCGTGTCCTCACCCCTCCCACCATATGAGATATGACACACAAGGGACACAACATGCCTGCTTGCCGCTAAAACCTGAATGCCCTCTGGCTTGCTGCCGCCCTCCGCTTCACCCCTCCGCTCCCCCGCCAGGCATGCGTGAGCTGAGCGACGAGGAGACGGCCAGCCTCATGCGGCTGCGGCGCTTCAACGCGCAGAGCGAGCGCTACCCGCGCATGTGGCCGCAGTCGCGCAAGCTGCTGGAGGTAGGTTTAAGGAAGTGCTGCTGCTGCTGGGTTCAAAGATATCGGTAGACCCTGTTGCTGGGGTGGGGTGGGGGGGCTTGATGCGGGGTTTGTGGTTTGGGAACAGTATGCAAGGCCATAACAACATTAACAAGTTAAAGAAACACTAGGTAGGTACCGTAGCATGAGGTTACCGTATTGGGTTGGTCTGGGGGACTGCCTGTGGGGGTGCCGGTAGGTTGGGAGGTGGGCGAGATCCAGGCTAGGTGATGGGGAGACGTGTTTTATGGGCCAGGGCAGGCGGGGGGAAGCACTGGTGGTGCGGCTAAGTTGAACGGAGGAGAACCGTTTCAGCACATGCATAACCACATGAGGTATGCGTACCGGTATTTTTGTGAGGGAGAGGCGAGGGCGGTCGTAGGTGACTCATCCGGTGACCACGCGCTGCTGCTCTTTCATTAGACTTTATAAGTACCTGGTCACCATGTTCTGCTTGTTTCCTTAGTATCAACATGTTCTGCTTGTTTTCTTTGGTGGGTTGTGCCCAATGCATTCCCATACAGGACTTTTACAGGCCCTTCAACCAGAAGCTCTCACAGCTACTTGGCAACGACCCAAGGTTCCTCTGGGAGGACACCGCGCAACGGGCAGCTGCAGCAGCAGCGTCTGAGGCAGCCTAGAGGGCGACAGCAAACTAGGACGTGAGATGTTGCGACCCCACCTAAAGGCGCGCGCGAGTGGCTAAGGAATGGGATAGGAGGGTGGATTGGCAGGGCTTCTAGGAGCTAGTGGTGTATGGTTATGAAGGTCGGAGCTAGCTGTGTCTTAATTAGGCTCTCTGGAGGCATGTTTGGGCTCGTAAGTTTTAGGAGTGGCTGAGAGGTGGAATGGGACGCCGTGGTGGGCGCGAAAGAAACACGCGAATACCGTACGCGCCGGGCTGAACACGTAAGCCTTTTGTCCATGGCTGGCTAGATAAGTCTGCTAGCCAGTCAACGGTATATGAAGTATCAGACGCTTAATTGCTTCGATGCTGTTACTGGCTTTGCCAACTGCACAGAGAAGTTCACACTACCTGCATAGACGTTGAAGCAACTAGCAGCCCGGCAAGCCTTTACACGTACCAATTGCAAGTAGAAAGGTAATTGCAAATTTTACAAGTTAGAAGTCTTTGCTGGACGTTTTTCCTAGTTAGTTGGGTTAAGAGTTCCTACTGCCTTCCGCACCGAAAGATTCCACCAACGCCTCCATCTGTTATGTAAGTGTTTTGCGTATATATAGGAAGCGATATCCGTCCTTGTTACGCTACATGCGTCTGTACTGACAGCGCTGTACTTCTCGTGTAACCTAACAGTCATTCTGAGACGACTTGGCGCTTCCAGCTCGCCTCCAACGTCTGGTGCATGCAGGCATATTGACAGGGCTATTCGTTTTCCTGCTTGGATATGTTTGGTCCTAGCGAGCCATGACGCTAACGTCAATAACCTTTTCCGGACCAAAGCCCGAGGATTCCGGGGAGCGCTCGGGGAGGAAGAAACTTAAGAGCTTCTTGACTTCACTCCGGAGATTGATACGTCTCGATCGAGGTCCAGGCGGCGATGTGGGGCCGAGGGTCCGTGGCTCAGGCCAGCCAGCAGCGTTTGACTCATTGTCGGCTTTACCTAGGCCGCGTCATGCTGAAACAGGCGTAGACAGAGAATCTGGGACTTCAAGTAGCTTCAGAGCACCTCCCCGTTCATCGGCAAGCATGCCGCTTCTCTTCCAAGTTGTTGGTCCAACCGGTAATTCAGAGTCAGCCGGGTATTCATCACCGCTTATGCAACTTTCTGCTCGTCGGATCCATCCCGCTCCTAGCAGCTCGGCCCTGGTGCTGCCACCAATTCAGGCTTTCGGACCGCAGCTGTCTACTAGCGCTATGGCAGATCACACCGATTCACCTGTGAATACCAAAGCCAGGCCGGTGTCCATGGCTTGGAGCTCGATAGCCGATGGAACCGGTCGCGACGACTCCAGCGCGGCGTTAATTGCTACCCGGGCTACATCGTCAAACATGGAAGACCAAACCCCAACACGTCCCCGATACCCAGGCCACTCTCTGCCCCTACCAGTCATTAATTTCCACTCGACAGAGTCCCCGTCTTCGCCGCTTATCGTTATGCGGCCCATCACCCCGTCCGGGGTTGCCTCAGCTCCTGCTTTCTCCAGCACCCTTATCGCTGTTTGCCCTGGAGCCCCTTCCAACATGCGTCGGCCGGTGTGGCGTTTGCTAGACTACAGGCTCGACGCGCGATTGTACAAGGGCGACATGTCATCTGTGTACAAGGTACATCCCGCCACCAACACCCAGGGCCTCTAACAAAACCATGGGCAAACCTCCTTCCATCCCCCTTGCGTTTCGTAAACCATACCACCTTTCCCTCATCACCCCCTTTTCCTCGTTACCCCCTTCCTCTCTCCACCCCTCTCCTCCGCCATTCAGGCCCAGTGCCTGGTCAGCAATCAAAAGGTTGTGCTCAAGGTGTACAACCTGAAGCGCATCCCGCAGAACGCACTGCATACCCTGGAGCGGGAAGTGCGCATCCACACCAGCCTGGCGCACTGCAACGTACTGGCGCTGTACGGCGTGTTCGAGGTAGGGATAGGCTGGACTACGACAGGGTACGACACACACATGCGGTTGTCATGTTGTTACGGCACTTTGTACGGCAGTGTTAGTTGCTACCCTTACCCAACGCGCCCCCCCCCCCACACACACATCTTTCGGCATCACAGTACGTTTCTCTTCGCGGCCAGTTATTTTAACACGCGCCTACACGCCTACACATAGGAATTTGCCCCAAAAGGACAGCTTACACGACATCTTGAAAGGCCTTTCGGAGTGTTGTTTACAGCCCATGCATGCCCCTCTTTGGCGCCGCAACAACTCCTTGCCCTCCCTCCTTGGTTTGGTCTCCCTCTACCCCTTCCCCAAAACCTCCCCAAATCTTCCCCAAAACCTTCCCGAAACCTTCCCCAACCCCGCAGGAGGAGGGCAGGCTGGCGCTGGTGCTGGAGCGCGCCTCCGCCGGCGACCTGTTCCGCTACCACCGGGAGCTCCTGCCCACCCCCTGCCGCATGTGTGAGGACGAGCTGCGGCTACTGGTGCTGGCGCCGCTGCTGGAGGCGCTGGTGTACTTGCACGGGCGGGGGATATGCCACCGGGACATCAAGGTGGGGGAAGTCAAAAACCCTATTGAACCATGGGAAACCAAAGGTTGGAGCGAAATAATGGATAGGAAGCGGCAGGGTGCCACAAAACAAGTGTGAGGGAGAGGGAGAGGAGGAAAGGAGGGAGAGGAGGAAAGGAGGGAGAGGAGGGGGCAGGGAGCGGCAAGTGAGGAGAACAGCTAGGCGGACTTGGAGGCAAAGCCTGTGATGGCCAGGGGAGGGGGGGAGTGAGTGAGAGGCGTGGGTGCTGCGGTCGCAACGGCCGGGGTGGGGAAATGCGATGCGTGTATTGGGGACTTGGTTGTGCTGCTAGGCCAACCCGCGGACCGGCGGTGCACATGCTCCACCACCACCACTACGCGGCGGTGCAAAACCTCCAGGCAGCACGAATAGGAATTTGCACTGCTCTTTCCCTTCGTGACCCATGGGTCTGTACGCGTGCATGTAACCACGCTGCCCGCTTTGGTTACTATACCTCTCTCCCTCTCCTATTGCAGCCTGAGAACATCCTGCTAACCGCCAACTGGCAACTGCGGTTGGCGGACTTCGGAGCCGCGATCAACATGTCTGAGGAGCGAGCTGTAACCCGCACTGGCACAGGTGCTTGGGGAGGGGGTGTTGCTTGGGAGGGGCGGCCTGCTGGGTGTGGTTGGGGTAGGAAAAGGAAGAGAAAAGTAACTAGCAACTGTACGACAAGTCTTCACCATGGGTTGCGCCATAGGAGGTGCTTGCTGGGTGTGGTTGAGGGGATAAAAAAATTAAATAAGTGAAACAACGAGTCTCAATCCCATATCCCGACTGTGGTTGAGGGGGTGGGGTGGGGTAGGGGCATGACAGGGCGGACCACATCACGGGGTGCGCCTTTGGTGACGCCCCGGGTGACATGCATGAGTTCCTAGGGGACATGCGTATGCGAGTTGTACGCTGCCGTATTGTACGGCAGTATAAGCGCACTCTTAAGGCACTCGCGAGAGGTGCGACACACATGCACCGTAAGACCATCGGTGTATTAGGGTGAACTTGTTTTGCAGTGCCCTCGTATTTTCCCTTTCACCTTCCATCCGTGCTTCCTCCTCACTAGCCCCCCGCTGCGCTTGTTTCCTTCCCTTCCCCTTCCCTTCCCATACAATGACGCCGCAACGCAATGCTGCCCACACTACACCCTATCTACACAGAGGATTACATGGTAGGGCCTGCCTCCGACTTGCGGCACCTTTTCCTAATGCGCCTTCCTTGTTGGAAGCTCCCTGTTGACATCATAGCCTCGCCTCGACCCCAACCAAAACCGCCAACAAAAGATGCTCTGATGCGCAGTTTTGCCCAGATATGGCTCCGGGTGCACTTGCCTCCCTCCTGGTATAGTTCTGCCTCCTGATTCGTGAAGCCTCATGCTTCCTGAGGCCTGCAGCACCATACCCCCGCCTACCCGCTCTCCCTCGACCTCCGTCCTGCCCCATTCTCCCTCTCTAACCCGTAACGGCTGCATGCGCTTCCCTCCCCGCCTCCACCCATATGCCTGCCACCGCCCCCCCCCCCAGGCCCCCGAGGTAGAGCGCTGCCCGCTCAAGTACCTGCCGGATGACAACAAGGACAACCGAGACCTGGCGTACACCACCGCAGCTGACGTGTGGAGCGTGGGTGTGCTGGCATACGAGATGCTCGTGGGCTTCCCGCCCTTCATTACCTGCCCGCAGCCGGACGCGGTACCGGAGGCGGATGAGGAGGGGAACGAGGAGGGAGATGGTGCGGGCGGGGGTGCGGGTTTCAGAGCTGCAGCGGGGCTGATGGTGGTGGGCGGCGCGGAGAGCCGGGAGCTCAGTTTTCCGCATTTCGTGTCGGCGGGGGCGCAGGACTTCATCGCATCAGCGCTGAATGAGCGTGCGATGGACCGACCCACGGCGGCTGTGCTGTTGAAGCATCCCTGGCTGAAACACGCGGTACGGCAGAACAGGGTTCGGCAACAGCAGCTGCAGCTTCAGCTGCAACAACAGATGATGCAGGCGCAGCAGCAACAACAACAGCAACAGCAGCCGTTGCAGCAGTCTCCGCTGCTGCAGCAGCCGCAGCAACAGCTGTCGCAACCACAACAGCCGGTGAGACGGCACCTGTCGCAACCACAACTCCTACCACCGCAGCAACAAGTGGCGGTGCAGCAGCAGTTTCAGCAGCAGCAGCAGCCGCACCCCCAAACCCAAATCCACCCCCAGCAACCGGCACCGCAGCCGCAGCCGCCGCAGCAAATAGCAGTCCAGCCGCCGCCACCACAGCAGCCGCAACGGACGCATGTGTGTGAGCAGAAGGAGCACGCTGCAGTGGGCCGCCTAACTCGCCTGGTAGGTAACCCCCGTGTAACCCGGTGTACGCCTTCAAACACGCATGTATGCATGCATGCATGCATCTGTAACGGTGGCTTCAAAGGCGTCTGCTATTGTTTTGCCCGTCCCGCTCTACTGACTCCGTAAGAAGAACGCTTGTTGCTATTTTGCATTTGCGTGAGTGCACTACTGTGCTCCTTCGCCGTGGCTCCTGGTAATCTTGGGGCTTGTGTCCGCAACCATTCGCGCAGGTTTCCTCACCCGAGCAAAGCTTCTGGAGCCCACCTGCCGCACGTGAGCGGCCTGGCAACTTATTTGTGTAACCGTTGGGACAGTTGTTGGTTGACGTCGTTTGTCGGTTGGCTTGCAGGTTTGGAGCAGGGTTCTGCAAGCATGCGCCCATGAGCCATGAGGGAATGGACATAAGTGGGTGTGCTGCAGCCCGATACCGTGTTGATATCTTTGCGTTTATTATGGTTATCTTGTTTATTTTACGGCGAACGGAGGGAGCGTTGGGTGGGGGGAGTGGAGGGCGGTAAGGAGATTGAATGGTGTTAAACGTGAAAATTTGGGTTATGGTGGTGTACTAACTAACCGTTGGTAAAGGCTGAGTTGAAACCTACAGTCATGTAAGCGGCTGAAACACTGCTGCCTGAAGGTTGAAAGTCAACCATCAACCGATTCAGACGTTCATGTGCGCAACTTGTGTTTGTTGGTGTTCATGTGTTGCCAGGTGAGGCCTTGTGGCCATGCGAGCGTATTGTGCTTTGTACATGGATGTGAATGAAGTACCAAGTTCATGAGCCACACGTACACGTTGCATGCGTGTGTTCCGTGATGGTCTCGGAGGGGGAAGGGTGGGTTCCTAGCACCGGTTTTGGCCTGCTTGTGTCCCTTCCCGTGTAGCTGCTGGGAAGTGGTGAATAGAACAGCAACGTACATGGATAACCGGGCAATTGTCCAATGGGACCGGCGGGGGTTTGGGTCCTGGTTCCAGCAGAACAGACCGCATACAATTAGTGCGGCTGTCCTGACGACCAACCCGGCTTCACACCGCCCTATCTGCTGCGATATGGTTGTCGGCGCAGGCCCACACCCTTGGGCAGGCCTCAACCACTGAGGTTGAGTTGGCCAGCTGGTCATGCATGTGACGTACATGGGATGCATGCGCTTGTGAGGTAAGAATCTGGGCCTCTGTGTTGATGAGGCCAGTACGGTTCATCTGTGCATGGATGGTGATGCGAAGGTGCGCAGGTGTTTAGCACGTGTGAGTTTGCAGGTGCGGAATTCTGGCGACAGCAGCTAACAAGTTAACGCAAAAGCTCGTGCCCTAAGAGTAAGGCTGACAAAGGAGAGGTTATGGGGTGGGTCGGAAGTTTACACTTTACAAATTAATGATAAATGCTCATGTATGATGTGGGATGATGTGTTTTGTGTCATGGCGATTCCATGGTGCCTTTAATCGTGAAAATCGGAGGTAATGCAGGTTATCTGTGCCCCAGATGCTGTTTTGTGCCTTGCGGTGCACTGGAGTCTTGCTGTTTCATGGGGCGGGACAGAGGGACATCTTCCCCTTTCGGCCCCAGTCGTTTTCTGGTACGGCGGTTATTGCACGTACAGCAAAAGGCAATGTCTGCGTGTGTTTGTGGTGCAGCTTCTTGATTCACTTTATAAACGGTGGTGGTTGTTTGGTGGTTGGTGATTGCACCGCGTCGCAAACACAACTGTTTTCATTGCGGTGATGAGGAAAGAGGTCCTTTCGTTCTCTTTCTAGAGCAACTCAAAACGAGGACATAATAGCGTGCTTTGCCATGTATGCAGAGCTTTTGCCGACGTGTTATAACTTCCAGTATATGCGACTTTGCCTGTGACCTGAAGTCCTGAATTAATATGTCATCATCCCTTGCGTTTTGCCAGGGATGCTTTGCCGTGGATGGTAACTGGTGACGGCACACACTTTTTGCGGAAACGAGTCTTGGTCTTGTTGGATGTTTTCCAGCTGCTGCTGCTTCTTGAGCTGCAGCAGCTGCCGCTGCCTCTGATGCCACCTGCAAAGATGGGCTGCGGTGGTGTGATGGAGGGACAGGAAAAGAGGGGTGGTGGGTGACGTGTCGGTGTGAGGCGTTATGCAACAAGGTTTTATTACAAAAAGAAGCTCGTAAAGAGACGTGAGATTGGGTTTTCATCAACACATGTTGTCTGCAAGCTGCAGGTTCTTTGAGTCTTATGGGATTTAATGGCATGGCAGGAGGCTCCGTCCAAGGAAGAGAGGAGAGGAGGGAGAGCAACAGGATAAGGAAACAGGGAAAGAGATGGGTGAAAGGAATTGGGAGTTGGCTTTTGGGTACAGAGTTTGGCCCCGCTTGGCCGAATGGGGCGCGTGCGCAGCGCTTGGAAAACAGGCGTTGATCGTTATTAGGAACTAGGGTAGTCTTGCCGGGGGATGGGGCTTGAGTTGAGGTCAGGGAAAGCATTAGGATTGGGAATTGTCAGGGCCCCTCGGTCCTTCCTTTCCCAGGGGATGGGAGGGGCTCCCAGTTGAGTTGTGTGCTTTGCACTTCCGTACCAGGGATCATGGTGGCCTCAACCCGTGTTGCCGGTCCCAGGCATGTTGGGGTCCCTCCCGAGGGTCCTGGGCGACTTCAAGAAACGGCGCGGATGCCTTAGCGGATACGTACACGGTACCCCTGCCGCGTAGCAACAATGAGTAAGCATAGTGTTTGGCAGGATGCATGGTGGGTGTTAGTTGAAGAACGACTGTGAAGAACGACTGTGGTTGTATGTTGGAAGTGAAATGTACAGATGAGCTGTTGTTGTTTTCTTGCGCAGGACTGTCGTAAAGCACCTGTTAGCCGGTGTGTCAGAGGCTTCTACTGGTGATGTAATAAGCTAATAACTGCTGTCTTGTACCTAACCTATAGCTGCCGAGTAGAGAAACGGTTGATGAGGTTCACCCGCTTTCATCCGCTTTGTGTTTTGAGCTTGTACAGCAGGCAGGTGGATCGCCCACCGTAGCGCACACGCTTGGGATTGTAACTCCTCAGACCTTCGTAACCATCATCTTCCGACAATCCAGTACGTCCTACTCGCGGTCAGTTTCTTAAACACACCTGCACTCCGGGCCGAGCGGGCCCGAGCTCAGCCCCCCTCTCACTTCCTCCCTTCTGCACGTTGCTCACACGCCTCCTCATTCGTTCAATCGCCATCCCCCTGCCTACCACAGCTGCCCCTGTCCCCCATCAGTCATGCTTCACGTCGTCTTCTTCCTCAATCCCCTCATTGCTGTCCCCACCACCGCCTTGACTGCTCCTCCGCCTGCCAACACCCTGCCATCCTAACCCCACCCCACCCAGCCCCACCCAACACGTTCCCTTCCCCCGCACCATAAGGGAACGTCCGCACTGCAGTGGACTTCCCGTTCACTGACAGTGCTGTGGGGAGCTGGTAACAGCCCGCACACCCTTGTCTGCCCTTGTCTCACCCTGTCTGCCCCTGTCTCGAACTAGTCCCCCTGTTCCATGCACCTCCGCACTGCCCTTTCCTACCCTATGTTCCTTCCCCCTTGTTTCATCCCCCGCCCTTTCATTCCATTATTCATTCCTCTTCATTTTCTTTCCCTATTTCATCCCTTGACCCTGTCCCCATTGCCCCTTGCCGTACTTGCATATATCATATTCTCTTCCTTGGCCACTCCCTTCCCTTCCTGCCGCGCCGTTCGGTCCGTAGTTTTCCATACTACCTTAGTTCACAGGGAGTGTGTCGCTGTTTGTCGCATTACCATTTGTCGCATGAACAACGTAACTGCCTGGTCCTCCCTTACCCTACCGCTACTTTTGCTCGCATGTACTCCTGCGTGGCTGGTCTCCTTCCATCACGCCGGCCTGCTCTCCCTTCTTCCGGTCGGCGGCTCCATCTTTTGCGTTTCCAGGTAAGTCCACCAGTGCTGCGTTTTTAGTGCGTCTCTAGTTATTTCGGGTCTGTTCTTTGTGTGTGGGGTTGTGTCCTAGTTGGCTCCCTACGGACCGTCGGCGCGGCTGCTGGCTACCTCGATGTACTGGCGACGCTACTCTTTCCCTCCCTATCCCTGTTCGCTCTGGCTTCGGTAAGTCTTCAATTTTTGGTAAGTGCATTACACGTACTGGCTTCGCTAATTCGGGCTGGGCGGGTCGGGCTGGCTCACATGTTGCAACCCATGTTGACGCCTTATCCCTCAGTCAGTTAGTTGTTTCCTCTTTACACCCAACACGATTGCATGCACCCAGAGCTTCTCGCTCCTAGTTTGCCACGCCATTACCGTATCATCCAAACACAAACTGGGTCTCCTTCTTTCCCTCACCCCACCCCACACCTTCCCCCCTCAATGCTGTCCCCTCCGCCGCCCCCACGCCTTATCACACGGTCAACAAAGTTAGTTGTTTCCTCTTTACCCCCGCCGCTTCAACCGGTCCAGATACTTCTCCCAGCGCGAGTGGTCCAACCCCTCCAAGGACGCCAGGGGGGCAATGGCGGCCAGGTAGGCAGTGAGACCCAGCAGCTCGCGGTCCGACCCACGGGTCAGGTGCGCCTTGCGGAAGGGCCGGATGACCAGCCCCTGCTGCGGGTTCATGATGTAGTTGCGCCTGTGCGTATGTGTAAGTGTACGGCAAGTGTAGTACGTAAGCCCACGGGAGGGAGGAAGGAGGGAGGGTGAGGAGGACAGCTGTACCGACACGGGGAAAAGAAACTGTTTATGGGGTTGCTCGAAACTGGCTGTAAAGAGATGGGCGGGAGTGAGGAGGGGAGGAGGGTTTGCGGTACTCACAACACAACACAGAGCCCCTGGCTACCGAGCTCAGTCTGCCTTTGGTTGGCCACCACGGACCCATGGGTCTCTCCCATGCCTCACTCTCCTTGCACCTCTCTCCTCCTTGCAAACCCTAAACCCCTTGAGAGAACCCAACCAGCTAGACAAGGTAGGGAGACCCACTTTAGGTCGTCCAGCATGATGGTGTTCGCGGGGGTGTACTGCCCGGGGAACTTCTCCCAGATGAACTGCGGATGAGTGGATTCATAGGGATACAAATTACGCATTTGGCTGGATTATAGGATTGGGTATAGTCACATACTTGTAGGGTTAGTAGCAGCAACCAAAATACAAACCGTATTCGAGCTCGGAAGGGGAGAGGGAAGCAAGAAGAAACGTACGTACGTTTCCAACGCCCCAAGGGGAGAAGTGTGGGGGCGGAGGGGCGCATAGCAGCATGTGAGAGGCATGGAGGGCCCTCACGGAGGGGTGTGGTAGTTGCGACGGGTAGTGTACATGACAAGCACCTGCATGCCCCCCTGCCTTCCTTGTTTGCATGCACCATCTGGTACCCCGTTTTTACCGTTACCAACCCTAAACCTCCAACCGTTACCAACCGTGCACCCCACCTGCAGTGGTTTGCAGTCGAACACGCCGTACTTTTCGGTGTGCACGGTGACCATGGCGGTGTGGTCCAACAAACACACGATGTTGTAGTCCGTGTGGCCCAACACGCCCAGCTCCTGCAGGTGGGGGGATTAGATAAACTGAGCCGCGGAAACACTGACCCTGACCGCAGGTGGGGGGGTGAAGGGGGAGGGTGAGGGGTAAATACACGGAACCTGAGGGGGCAACTAAGGAGCTGTATGACATGTAGGCTTCACCATTGGGGGTTGCGAACATGGTGGCCAGGCCATGGGGGGTCGGGGGGATGGAGGGAGGAGGAAAAGGGAGGAGTTCGTAAGAAAAAGAGGACGGGAACAGCGTTTACGTTGTCCCAACACGCCCACATAACTCCTGCACCCACCCCTCCTCCACTCCCCCCTCCCTCCCCTAATACTTCATGGTTTCCTATGGTTTGGTCTTTCTCTACCCCTCCTCCCTCCTCCCTTCCCTCCTCGGCTCCTCACCCTCATCTTGACCTCCACCCACTTCTTGCTGGTGGCCGACCAGATGATGATGTCGTACTCCCGGTGCGTGGTGGTCAGGAACTCGTGCAGGTAGGGGCGGGCCAGCTCCTGATGAGGGAGGGGGGGAGAGGGGGGGGGGTCAAAAAAGATCCTTCGGAGGCGGAGGGGAGAGGGCGAGGGCGGTACAGAGGGAAAGGGAAACAGACTAACCATGCATCCATGTGACAAGGCTGCACATGCATCTTCTTCCGCTGCTGCTGCTGCTGCTGCTGCTGTTCCCCCACCCACGCCCCCGCACCTCCGGTCGTTCCGCGGTGGACCCCAGGTCGAAGATGGTGTAGTCGATGTCGATGACCAGGCACTTCTTACCGGGTCGAGGCGGTGACAGGATCTTCACCTCCACACTCTTCAGCCGCCGAGCTAGCTTCTCCTGGTGGGGGTTGGGAGAGCAGGAGCAGCAGGAGCAGGAGGAGGGGCGCAGAGGAGAGTGGGGTTCGGATTTGGGTGGTCTGGGTTTGGGTTTGAAGGTCTGGAGCACTAAGGGCGTGTGCGTGCGTGTGTTGTTGAGTATTGTTGTTGTTAAACACTTCTTGACTGCCCATGTGGGGTCGCCACGCACCCACCTGCACCTCGGGTCGATCCTTCACCGCCACATCCGCCACCTGGTCGTCTGGACCGATGTCGAAATCATCCTGGGCCAACGGCACAGGGGTACCGTAGTAAGACAGTTATTGGGATAAAAACCGAATGAGAAGTGCAACAACTGGGGAAGGGGCCGTGAGGGTTGTGAAGGGTGTACGGTACAGCCCTAGCCCACCCTTCTCAGGCCTTGTCAGGTCACATCACATGGTTGGTTACCGTAGATGTTTCCTCTTGTTATCCTCGCCATCCCCCACCCTGCCCCGCCCCACCTCGTCATACCTGCACCTCGGGCGCAGCCTCAGCCTCCTTGGCAGTGGCGGCGATGGTGGCCTCGGGGGTACTGCGATGAAGGGGAGAAAAAAATAGATAAATGCATCAACGGAGTCCCAATCCCGAATCCCGAAGATTGGGGGAGAAGGAGGCACCGGAGCAACCGAAGAGACCATTAGGCCTCCGGAGGCAATGTACGAGGTGAGGGAAACTGGAGGCGTGTGAGGTCGAGTAGAGCTGGCGAAACATGGAGCGGGGTGTACGGCACGGGGTAGGCAGGACACCAACACAATGATGGTGATGTGTAAGGCGGGTGGTCAGGTGCGGGGGATGACAACGTGTGGTGGATCCTGGGACTCAAGTGAAGAGTGTCAGGAAAAGATTTTTGCGTTGCGTGGGGTTTTGATACGTCGGAAAAGCTGGGATTGTTTTGGTGGGTGGAAGACCCAACCCGATGGAACCAAGCCGTCCGTGTAAGCATATGTTGAGATTGAGCCTCCAGCAATGTCGTGGCATGACCAGTGTGCACCCACCCAACAGCACCCACGCCGACCAAACCAGCTATAAGACAGTGGGATATAGATAGTAAATAACGTAGATGCCAACCTTTCTGGCCAATCCTTGCCGACACCCACCCATCCTCTTACCCCATCATCATGAACTTGACGCTGGGCTTAATTTGCAGGTCTCCCACCGGGGATTCATCCGTTGCTGGTTTTCCCTCCTTCGTCTTAAGCCCCAAAATCTACGCATAGACAACAAAGAGGCGTTCATACTAGGTCCCGTCTTTTCCCGCCTTCCCGAGGGAAACTGCGGAGACGGATGAGTAAAGTCACGCCGCACCCTCACAGATCAGTTACAATTGTATTCACATTATTCTTATAACACTGTCCAGGCTTTGTCCAGTCCCGAAGCGCCAGACAACATGTTCCAATGCGACAGTTGGCATGGTCGCACCTTCTGCCGCTTGGCAAGGACGTTGGTCTCATTCTCCAGCTTATGCTTTAACGCCATCACGGTTTCCGTCGGCTCCAACTGGATTGTAAACTCCTTGCCGCTCCATTTTATGCCAACCTCGACGGACATTTCTTAGCTCTGCTGGCCTACAACCACTGCTCTGTCTAACGCAAACGCTACCTTGCAATAAGATGGAAGCTGTAACGAAAAAACGACAACCCTGCTCCCTTAGCTTCAAAGAGTCGCTCACACCTGAGAACGATATAGCGTGCAATATGCAACGTAGGGTCACTTCCTTCTACACCTGCGTAACTTGTTGTACACCTATGGCCTTGTTCGTGGGGAAATCAGCGTATAGCCGACTTACGTTCGCCTTGTACATCTGTACCGTAATTGACGTCCCTTGCGGGTTGGTGATTCCTGAAAGCGTGGACCAGAGGCGTCATTAACTAATTGCCTTTGGAAAGAACCATACTTTACATTTTTATCATTTCTATCCTGGAGATTCAGTCGGCAGCCGGGCTGGAAGCGCTGCGGCCTAGGTCCCGTGGGTCAAACGCATAGGGGCAGGAGCCCGCACCAGGCTGGGGAATTGAGGCTGCAGTCAGCTGACTCAACTGAACTCCTGAGCGTAGAAACCTCACGCGGTTGCACTACCACGGAGCCAACGCCTCTTCCTCCTCTTCCCCTTCCTCCTCCTCTCTCCAAGCCCCCGTGCTCACCACCACATAAGGCTTCCTGCCACCATCCCCACCGCCACCACCACTCTCATTGGACTTCCTTTTTTCCTCCTCTTCCTCCCCCATCTCCTTTCCCTCCTCCCCCTTCCCACCCGCCTCCCTCGCCAGCCTGGCATTCATGTCCGCCGCCTGCTGCTCCGAAAGAAATGTGGCCACCAATCGCAGTGGACTGCTCCTCCCTCTCCGGCAGGCTGCTGCTGGCGGTGGTGATGATAGTGGCAGCAGTGGTGCATGGAGGGGGGCTGTGTCGGCCGCCGCTTGTGGGCACTGCTGCTGCTGCTGCTGCTGTCGTTGTCCGCGGGTGCTGTGGGCTGCTAGGGCGAAGGACAGCAGGGAGTCGGGCGGCAACCAGGCCATGAAGCCCTTGGGCAGGGAGATGGGAGGAAGGGAAGGGGAGGGAGGGGGTGAGGGAAGGGGAGGGAATAGGGAGGGAGTAGGGAGGGAGCAGGGAGGGAGTAGGGAGGGGTATAGGAGGAGGGTACTGCTAGAACCAACAACCTCCCACTTTCGCTGCCCCCTACCCTCCCCTACAGCACCCTACAGCACAACCCCCCAACCACCCACCACCCGCCCAGCCCCCAACCCCACCTGCATGTCTAGTCGCAGCTCCGACAGCTCCTGAGGGGGTGGCATGGGGGCGGGGGCGGCATGGGGGGGAGGGGATTAAGAAGACCCACAGTGCCACGGGGGAAGGGAGTCAGAGAGAAACCGAACCGGCGGGAGGGGATGAGGCCAGCGTAGGGGCAGGGGGGAGGTGGAGGTTAACAGCAAGGGGTGGGGTGGGGGCACCTACCAGGACACATGTACGGCATACGCAAATACACACATGTATGCTACCGTACGATAAATGTGTACTGTTCGTCCCAGGACACGTGTACGATACACGCACTGCCGTACACTAAACCTGCACCGGGGGCATGCGTGCTCGCTGGCTGACGCACCCCCAGCGCCGTCAGCGGCATAAGCCCCCCTCCTCCTCCTCTTTCTCCTCCGCGGGCCGAGGGGCTTATGTCGTACGACAGCAGCTCCAAACGGCGCAGGTACGGCAGTCCGTACGACACGGCTGCTATCGCCTCATCCCGTACCTCCCACCTGGGGCTGCTGGCCTGAGAGGGAGGGGGAGGCGTTGAGGAGGCGTTGCGGGGGGAGAGAAGGGGAGGAGAGGTAGGAAGAAGGAAGGCGTGTGGCCAGTTTTGTCGACACAACAGCCCGTGAAACAGGTTGGCTGGAGCAATCCATTCACGACAAAAGCAACCCGCACCCACACCATCCCCGCACCCCCACCCCCGCACCTGCAACGCCAGGCCCCCCAGCCTGCCCCCCAGCGCCCCCGCCAGCCACCCCACCGCTGCCACCCACTCCACCGCGCCCCGCAGACCCAGCTGCACCTCCACGCACCGCACGCACACACGCAGCAAATCGCACCAGGCACTGCTGCTGCTGCTGCCGCTGCCATGGCTGCTGCTGCCGGCGGTGGTGGCGGAGGTGGAAGCAGCGGTGGTGGTGGCAGTAAGAGCGAGGGCCTCCCCAGCGGCCTCTGCGGCATCGTAGCTTGCACGCCAACTGGGGTAGTGATGGGGGGGTTGCTGCTGCTGGGGCTCTTCTTCAGGCTCCTCGCCAGGCTCCTCATCCCGCCCGAATCCACTGCTGCCGGCAGTAATGTCGTCAGCATCGGCGCCGGCGACGGCGCTTCCGCTTGTGCCACGTGCAGGGAGCCCGAATGGGCTGGATCCAGGCTTTCCTGAGAGGCTTGAGCCGGCTTGTTTCTTGGATTTGTGCTGCTGTTGTTGTACGACAGCAGGTACTGCGATTTGGAACTGCTCCAGCCGCAGGCCTAGCGCCAGGGAGCGCAGTCGTGGGGCGCTGAGGGTCAGGCAGCGGGAGTGGGGTTGAAGGAGGAGGAGGAGGAGGAGGAGAGGAGGAGGAGGAGGAGGAGGAGGAGAGGAGGAGGAGAGGAGGAGGATGGAGAGGAAGGGACGTGGCAGCGGGAAGCACGGCAGCAGCTTAGATGTGGCGTAGTTTTGTACCGACTGATGTAATCTGTTTTTCCACAGGTGTAATGTGGACTCGCAGCTCACCCAAGCCCCCTCGCTGCCCTCCACTTGAGGAACCCCCACTGTACATTACCCCCCCACTTTTTCGGCTCGACTCACGGTTGTTTCCAACAGGGCTTGTCAGCAATTTGTACCATTATCACACCACACATTGGAATTTCTTTTTTCCCTCCCTGCTCACCCCCTCAGCAGCTCCAGAAGCCCCCGGCCCAACCGCACATCCGTCAACCGCAGCGAAACCAGCCAGGGCAGCAGCAGCCCACCGCCGCCGCCACCACCCCGCCGCGGCTGCTGCTGTTGGGGCTGCTGCTGTTGGGGTTGCAGGTGCCGGCTGCTGCCACCCTCGCCTATAGCACCCCAACCGCCACTACCGCCGCCCAGTCGGCTAAGCGAGGAGGGTGTTGTTCCTGCAGGGCCGGCTGGGGTTGCTCCCATCTGCAGCCCCAGTGCCCCTAGGTGGGTCAGTGCGGGGCAGCATTGCAGTGCCTGGGGTGGGAGCGGGAGTGGGAGACGGGGGTGCGTGGAAGGAGGAGGAGGAGGACGAAGAGGAGGGGGAATATGGGATAGGGACGAGCTGGCGTCGTACACCGCATGTAATTGGGTGCTGCTGCCTCAGTGTGCAGCAGCGGACAGTACGGTACGGCAGCAGCTTCTTAACTACGTGGTCGTCATCGCGGGGTACTGAGGGGGACGTACTGGGGGGTTTCCGGTGAGTGAGGTGAGGCGAGGTTACGCGGCGCAGCGGCTTCTCCGGGCAGCCAGCCGTCGCACTCCACAGCCATCAACCCCAGCCGTACACGTGATGCCGTACATGTACGGCCCCTTTTCCAACCTCCCCCCTTTCTCTGTCGTACAGCCCCTGGTACCCACCTGGAGCAGCTCCGAGTCAATCCGTACCTGCGACAGCACCGACAAGCAACAAAGAAGACACGAAAAAAGGTAAACACAGAGTTGGAGAAGAAGTAGTTGTAGAAGAAGGAGAAGGGAAAGAAGAATTGAAGTAAATGCAGTTCAATGTTTGGAAAGGAAAGGCAGGCCGGACCGCCAATCGCCCACATCATCCCTCACCGTGGGTAGGTCCAAATGCGTGAGGCTGCCGCAGCAACCCCCCACCACATCCGCCCAGCTAGACCGCTGCGACGGAGGCAGCGCCGCTGTCGCTGCCGTACCCCCATCGGCGCCGCCAGCAGCACCTGCAGCTGGGGTACTGACGTCAGCAGCCCCGCCAGCTGTTGCCGCCACGATCTGTAGCAGCTGCTGCTGATGATGCCTCGCGGCGGCGGCGGCGGAGGTCGCCTCCGCCAGCTCCGCCGCCGTCGCGACGGCGGCGTCAAACCAGCGCCGTCGCGGCGGCGGAGCCCTGCCGTACACATCAACCGACAATGCGCGCAGCTGACTGAGTGACGTCAGGGATCCAGGAAGGTAAGCCACCGCTGTCGCCTCCGCTGCCGCTGCCGCTGCTGGCTCTTCGTCTCCTTCTCCTCTTTCCCCCGGCGGCGGCGGCGGCAGTGCCAAGCGGAGCCGAAGCTCTGTCAGCCCGCGCAGCTGCACGATAGCAGACAACACTGCCTCCGAAACCACAATGCCGCTGAGGCTAAGGCTCCGAAGCCCATCACTTCGCTGCTGCTGCCCCCATTCTTCACCATATTGGTGCTGTCGATGCCGCCCTCCCTGTTCCTCCTCCTCCTGCTGCTGCTGCTGCTGTTGCCGCTGCCCCCAAGCCCCCAGGAGGTACGGAACCTCCGATGATGCCGCCGCCACTGAAGACGCCCGGGGACCAGCAGCATCCGTCATGCTGCAGAAGCGACCACTCCCTGCAGCTGCTGCTGCTGCTGCTGTTGCTGTCATCCTGGCGGTTCCCCCCGAGTGGCAGTGCTGCTGGTAGTGGTGGTGCTGCTGCTGCTGGTGCAGGAGGGAGAGGTGTAGGGCACGCAGCCGCCGAAAGGCGGCCAGGGGGTGGTGGAGGTCGCGGGGGTGGGGTTCAAGTCGCGTTGGGTGTAGGGGGTGGTGTACTAGGCGGCCGCCGTTGCTAGGAGCAGCAGCACCTGCTTCAGCAGCAGCAGCGGCCGCCGCAACAGCAGCAGCGGTAGCGGCAGCTGCCCAGGAGGAGGAGTCGACCGCAGCTGCACTGCCGACGGCGCCGCTGCTGCTGCTGCTGCTGCTGTCGTCATACCCCCGGAGCTCCTGGCTGGTAGTCCCGGTGGTGGTGGCGGCGGCTGCAGGTGGTACCCCACCGGGAAGCGCGTCAGGAGGGCTGTCGACTGTGCTGGCGAGGGCGGCAGCGGCGGCTGAGGCAGGAAGCGAGGAGGTGAAGTCAGGAAGAGAAGAGGTGGCGGTGGCGGTGGCGGTGGCGGTGGCGGGGTCATGACGCCAGAGGCTACTGGACCAGGGTAGGCTTGGGATAGCGGTGGCGGAGGCGGAGGCCGCGGAGCTGTTTCCACGAGCAGCGGCGTCGCCGCCGATGGTTGTGCCGCTGCCCCATGGTTCCCAGGGTTGAAGACCCATGCAGGGAAGCGGTACCGGTTCCGGCAAGGATGAAAGAGATGCCCATGGTTGCGGCTGCTGCTGCTGCGGCGGCGGCGGCGGCGGCGCTGACGTCAGCGGCGGCAGCGACTGTACGATGGCGGACGATGTGGGCAGGATGCAGCGCAGGACCAAGGTCTCCACACCAGGGTAAGCCTCCGCAAGACGAGACATGTACGGCGAACCCTGTCGTACAACCTCAAACGGCAAGCCCAGTAGCCGTAATGTCTTAACAGCTGGACACACACCCAGCCAGGGGCCGCCGCCGCCGCCGCTGTTGCCACTGCCCCCCCTGCCGCTACCCTGGCTGCTACTGCCGCCGCCGCTGCTACTGCTGTCCTCTTCGCCCAATGGAAGGAGGAGGAGGGACTCCAGGGTCGGCAGCTGAGGCAGCATGCTGCCGTCCCCATCCTCCTCCAGGCCTCCTTTCCCGGAAGCTGCTGCTGTTACCACATCACCACGCCTGCCACCCACCATGTCGCTGGCAACCCTAGCAGCGGCTGCTGCTGGTGCTGCTGCAGCTGCTGCTGCTGGAACAGGACCGGTAGTCTGAGCTCGTCGTCCGAAGCCGCTAAAGTGTTGCATAGGGTGGTGGTGGTGGTGCTGCTGCTCTGTTGTTATTGTTGCTATTGCTGACTCGGAGGGAGGTTCCAACAGGGAGGGAATTCCCCGCCAGTCCCAAGACGACTTCCCTGTTGTTGTTGCTGCTGCTGCTGCTGCTGCGCCTCCTGCTGCTGTCCCTGCTGTTGCTGCTGCTACGGCAACGGAGCGACCTCCGCCGCTGCCGCTGCCGTTGCCGCGACTTATTGCTGCAGCAGCAGCAGCAGCAGCGGCGGCGGCGGCGGCGGCAGCAGGAGGATTAAGGAGGTGGAGGGCAGGGCCGCGGGTGCCGCCCGCCGGGCGCAAAGGTCTTGCTGGCGGTAGGTGGAAGGTGACGGAGTGAGGAGCTGGGAAGGTATGATGCAGCGGGCGGCGGTGGTGCCTGGTATGTGGGGGTGTGCGGGTCTGGAGGGTGACGTGCGCTGCATGCGGCGGGACGGGCCTGGTACTGGGAGGGATTACATCTTGGTAGGAGGTTGTAGGAGGTACCGTTCCGGCGGTAGGTTGTTGAACAAGTAGCTGTAGGTCGTAGACCCAGGCGCCGCAAGCCATGTCGTGAATGTCGCGGCACACAAGCCGCAAGGCCGCACGCTCAGCCCTACTGAGAGAAAGCCATATTGTCTGGCGGGCGACGTTTGGAGGCAGGGCGCGGAGTACTTCCGGCAAGGTAGCCGGGGATGGTGTGGTGGCTGTTGCGTCGGTTGAAGTTGCCATCGCGCCGGGAAATGCAGCGTCGGGTACTTCTTTGCTGATTTCTAGTCGCTTTTCGGCCTTTGTACACTGTTACTATCCAGGCAAGAAGTGTCGCATAACAGTTAGTCCCGGCATGGAGTAACGGTGCGTAGCAGCAGACGTCTAGGCGCGGTATACGTCTCGAGCCAACGACTGTTCCGCCAAATTGTGTGTGAGCTTGGTAGATTGCAAGAAAGTTCAGGATCGACGTGCAACACGTGCCCACGCGAAATGTTTTATTCGGTCGTTCATCAACGTTGCGTGACCTGTTGCTTTATAAGCAACGTATACACCACGAGTGCCTTAAATGTCTATGATCGGCACTAAGAACTCGACAGTGAAATCAGGATATGTCAATACTGTACAACAGCCGTCCAACATGCTTCCATGTCGCTGCACGCAAATGCTTCTGTCCTCCTGTTCCTAGTATGAAGGCAATACCGCTTGACCACCTCTAAACAATAGCGGTTAAGTGCCGGTTCTGGCCTGTAAATGTTTGTCTCGCCAGGATTGCACTCTCATTTTGCTGTTTTGTATTCCATGGGTAGCTCATGCTCGCTTACTATGACCTGTGACTGATACGCTTTTTACATAGTACTGTCAAAAAGGAGCAAAGGCGGCGTGACGCTGCGTAGAATTGACTCAGCAAATACTAGGTATTTGTTGCTGTTGGGGAAGCCATGTGGTTCATCAAAGCTCCTCCCGGAAGGGTCACTAGGTAAGGTTGGCGGTTGGATGGCCGATGTGGGCAACGGTGTCGAAGCCCCTAACATCTTTGGTTGGCCCTGCTATCTGTTGTTCGTTGTCAGCTGAACCGATTGCTGTCTTTGCTCACTGGATGCTTTTGGCGAGCTCCCTCGCGACGCTACACTGGCGTCCAGTGCATGCCATGTGCTACTGCCAAAGCAGTCAATAGGAGAGAAGCGTGTGCCCACAGCTTGTCAGGGTCTAAGCTATTAAGACACATTCTCACGCTGTAACACAGCCGCTATCTTCCACCTGCTGTAGATACCTCTGGGTCGGCGGAGTGCGCGGCATGTCTGTACGGCAACTCGCCGAGATCTTTGCCCCGTACGGCAGTCCAACCGTCGTACTACCAGAACCCACACCGCCACCAGATGCACCTTCCGCTTCCGCTTCTCCTTCCCCTTCCCCCGCACTCCCAACTCAAGGCCCGCTCCAGCCATCTCCCGCGGATGCTCCCTCCCCTTCACCTGCCGCGTCCTCCGGAGTCCCCCAACCCTCCTCCTCTGTCTCCCCTCCCAATCCCCTCCAGCCCATCTCCTGCCACCACGCCTTCCTGGCTTTCGAGGCGGAAGGCGATGCCGCGGCGGCGGCGGCAGCGGTGCCGCGGAACGGCCCGTGGGTCGCTGCGGGCGGTCGCAAACTGGTGGTCAACTTCGCGGACGTGCGGCGGGACAAGGTAGGGGTGTGTTTAAGGCGGGTTTGGAGGGCGTTTGGAGGGTTTTGGAGGGTTGAGGGATTGCAGGGTGCGAAAGGCGGAGGAGTGGAAGAAGGAAAGGTAAGGAAAGGAAAAGGAACGCAAAAGGAGAGGAAGCAGAGGAAGGCAGTGGCTTAGCAGTAGGCGGTCCGATGTAAGAACCGTCCTCCCTCCCAGGGATTGTCAGCAACTTGTATCACTATCACACCACACTTTGGAATTTCTTTTTTTTCCCTCCCTCCTCCTCCCCCCCCCCCAGCGCCCCATCCCCAGGCCGGTCGCCCTGTCAGCCCCCGAGGCGGGGGTACCGGGCCTGCTGCTGCTGCCCGACTTCATCACCCGGCAGCAGGAGCAGCAGCTCATGGCGGCCATTGACAGGGAGCGGCAGGAGGCGGCAGAGCGGGAGGCGGCGCAGGCGGCGAGGGAGGAGGCAGAGCGGGAGCAGGAGGCGCAGCAGCAGCAGGAGGCAGGGGAAGCAGGAGCAGGCGGCAGTGGCAGTGGCGGCAGTGGGAGAGAAGGAGCAGCAGCAGCAGCAGGAGGGTGTGGTGGTGGCGGTGGTGGCTGGGAGGCGATGGCGAAGCGGAGGGTGCAGCACTACGGCTTCCGCTTCGACTACGCGGTGGGGGGGGCGCGGGGTGGCGGGGTGGGATGGGATGGGGCGGATGACAACCATGAGGTGAGGTACGGGATGTCTGCACTCCGCTTCATCGCACGGCACTAAGAGTCCTAAGGCACGACCCCTCCCCTATCCCCCTTCCCACTCCCCCCTCCCCTTCTCTCTCCCCCCTCCCCCCCCACACACACAGACCCGCAACGTGGACCCCAGGCAGCCGCTGGGTCCGCTACCCGGCTGGCTTGGGGAGCTGGTGGGGCGCATGGAGGGGATACCGGAGGTGAGGGGGGGAGGGTGAAAACACTAGTACCCAATGTGTTGAATGAGGATGGAGGTGAGGGGTAGGGCAGCAGGGAGGTGAGGGATGGGGGGAAAGGAAGATGAAGACCCGTGCGTTGGGGTGATTAATGGGGGAAGGATGTGGAGGAGGGGGCAGTGTATGGGGGAGGTGCGTGTATGGGGTTGGAAGGAAGGAGCCCGCGTCTCCCTTACCGGTACCCACACCTGCTCCCCTCTTTTCCCCCCCTGTTCAATCTCCACCCCCCCCCCCCCAAAACATGCCCAAACACACACGCACACGCGCAGGTCTGCCAGCCCCTGGACCAGTTGACTGTTAACGAGTACCTGCGGGGAGTGGGGCTGTCGCCGCATGTGGACACACACTCGGCATTCACAGGTGGGGGGGAGGGAGGGGGGGGGGGGAGAAGGGGGGGGGGGGAGGAGGAGGGAGGGGGAGGGGGGCGGGGCGGTGGCGGGCGGGGGAAGCGGCAGCACCTCTTGGAGAGGGGGGTAGGGGAGGAGTAGGGATGGAAGGAGGGTTGCAGTTGGTTCTCGGGTATAGCTGTTCAAAATCCTGGCCGCGAGTCGGAACATGTCTGTGCCGCGGTGTGCCCCCCCTAGCGGTGTGCCCCCCCTAGCGGTGTGCCCGCATCGCAGCCTCGTCCTGCTGCGGGGTAATCTCATCCCCTTCTCTGCGCTCCCCTCCTCCTCCGCCCCACCTGCCGCCCCCCCTCAGGCCCCATCCTGTCCCTCTCCCTGGGCAGTCACACGGTGATGGAGTTCAGGAGGGGGGAGGCGGTGCGGCCGCTGCTGCTGCCGCCACGCTCGCTGTTGGTGATGGGGGGGGAGGCGAGATACGCGTGGTGGGTGGGGGTAATGAGGGAATGGGAAAGGGAAAGGAGGAGGGAAGGAGGAGGGAAAAAGCAAAGAACGAAGGAAGGGAGGGAGGGAGGGAGGGATGCACCCTGGGTACGGGAGACCCCCGGGACTGCCTCCCCCTCCCCAGCTCCGCACCCGCCGTCTCCCACCTCTTCCTCTCACCCCCCCCCCTTACCCCAACCCCCATCTTCTCCTCCTCCCCTCTCCCGTTCTCCTCCCCCCCCCACCTCCTGCAGGCAGCACTACATTCCCCACCGAGTGGCGGATGTGGTGGGGGGGCAGCTGCTACCCCGCAGCCGCCGACTGTCACTCACGTTTAGAAAGGTGGGTGGGTTTTAGAAAACTGGCCGAGAAGAAGAAGAACAACAACATACTGTGACTGTGCATGTAGGGCCCTTGACAGGGTGGTGTTTTGAATTATGTCACCCCCAAAACACACAACACCACCCCACACCCCTCCTCTGTACCGATGTCCCCCTCCCCCTCCCACCCACCCCCCCAGGTTCGCGGCTACCCCTGCGACTGCCCCTACCCCGACTGCTGCGATAGTCAGCAGGTGGGGCGGGGTGGGGGGGGGGCGGAGTGGCGGGTGGGACACAACAGCACGCTAACGTCCTTGTAACTCGGGTGATGTGATGTGCCCCCCCCCCCACACACACGCACCATGCAAGGCGCTACCCACATGCATGCAAGCTGCAACAACCCACCAACTGCCCATCAACTACCCACCCCGAACTAACCACCTCCCTCCCTTTCTCTCCCCCACCCCCCAGGCGGTGCTGCCACCCACTCGCATCTCCCTCCTCAGACCAACACCCTCCTCCTCCGCCTCTGCCTCCTCGTTGGCCTCCTCCTCCGCCCCCTCGTCTTCAACCGCCGCTACCGCCCCCGCTGCGGCGACGACCACCAACGACACCTCGGACCTCCCAACCCCGCAGCAACACCAGCAGCAGCAGCCACACTTGCTGCCTCACCAGCGGCCGCCGCCGCCGCAGCAGCAGCAGGCACGGGAGCTGGTTGATAAGGCAGCAACAGCAGCAACAGCAAGAGCGGCAGCTGATGGTTGTGATGCTTGCTGTGGGGAAGGGACAGCAGGGGGGGCACAAGAAAGAGGAGGAGGAGGAAGAGGAGGAGACGGGGGCGAAGACGAGGAGTCACGACTGGCTGCTTTGGAAGCGGAGTACGTACACAAGGTGTATGACGCGATCGCACCGCACTTCAGTGCCACTCGGTGAGGTGGCGGGAGGGAGGGAGGGAGGGAGGGAGGGAGGGAGGGAGGGAGGGAACGGACAGGAAACTGGAGAGGCATAAAGAACAATGGAACAAGATACCGGTATAACCCGCAACTTGTGGAAATCTTTCAGAATAGTTACGTAAGCGCATTGGCTTTCCCTCCACCTCCCATCACCCCTGCCTCCCTCCCACCCCCTCCCCCCTCCCCTCTCTCCCTCCCCCTCCCCCTCCCCAGCTTCGCCATCTGGCCCCGCGTACGCTCCTTCATCGAATCGCTCCCCCCCGGTGGCGTGGTAGCCGACGTGGGTTGCGGCAACGGCAAATACTTTGGTGTACGGCGAGACCTCGCCGTACTAGGCAGCGACATCAGCTCCGGCCTAGCAGCAGTAGCCGCTCAGCGCCTGCACCCCCCCGGCCTCCCCCCCTCCGCAGCTCCCCCCGCCGCCGACGCTCTCATCGCCGACGCCCTCCGCTTGCCGTACCGTCCCGGCAGCTGTGATGCAGTACTTTGCATTGCCGTACTGCACCATCTGAGCAGTGCCGTACGACGGGTGAGGTTGCTACGGCAGCTGCTACGGGTGCTGCGGCCTGGTGGGGGGAGGGCACTGGTGACGGTGTGGGCTACGGAGCAGGAGGATCCGGCGAAGACGCTCGCAAAGTGGACTCGTATTGCTGCTCCTGGTGGCGTTGATGGGGTGGCGGGGGCAGCGTGTTTTGTTGAGAAGGGTGGGGAGAAGGGCGTGTCGGTTGAGTCGGGGGTAGCGGTGGGTGATGAGCAGGGTGGTGGCAGCAGCAGGAACGGAGGAGGTGGAGGTGGAGGCGGAGGGGAGGCAGGTGGGGTGGACTATTTCGTCCCCTGGCACCTGCCCTTCCACCGGGCAGAGGCGGCCAATGCGGCGAGGGAGGTGGTGGGGGCGGAGCGGCAGCGACAACAGCAGCAGCAGCAGCGGCAGAGGCGGGGACAGGGACAGGGACAGCAGCGGCAGCAGGAGGAGGGCGAGGGGCAGCAGCACCAGCAAGGGGAGCGGCGGGGGGAGCAAGCAGGACAACAGGAGGAGCAGCAGCAGCAGCCCGCGGATGGCAGTTCTGCTGCTGCTGGTGGTGGTGGTGGTGGTGCTGCTGGTGGTGGTGGCGCAGGGCAGGGGGCAGTAGGAGGTCCGGCGCCCAAGGTAGGGTATGGAGGTGGGGGGAGTGAGGAGGAGAGGCGGGGGGGAGGGATGGTGGGGAAGCAGGGGAGGAGGGCGGAGGAGGCAGGAAGAGGAAAGCTGTTTCTCCACGCGTGCAGGGCGCCGGCTTCCTGATCTTCGCAGCGATCCCCGCGATCCACTGCTTTTGCCCTCCCTACGTGTTCTCGTGTGTGGGCAGAAACCTTCGTACTCGTCCCCCGCCCCTTCCCCTCGGGTAAACGTTCCCCTGCCGTCCCCCAACATGGCCTCCCTCCCTCCCCCTGTCTTCGTATGCGTCGGAATATGGGATTGGGACTCCAGTTGCTGCACTCCTCATTTACTTCTTCCCCCTTTCCTTCTTGATGCCCCCCCCAGCTCGACTCCTCCAAGGGCGCGGTGGTGTTCCAGCGCTACTACCACCTCTTCACCGCGGCTGAGCTGCGGGGGCTGGCGGAGCGGGCACTGGCGCTGGGGCCGCCGTCGGGGGAGGAGGAGGAAGAGGGAGGAGCAGGAGGGGGAGAGGAGGGGCAGGAGAGGGGAGGTGTGGGTAATGGTGTTTTGCCGTGGGGTGTAGTGGAGGAGGTGTTTTACGATCGGTCAAACTGGTGTGTGGTGTTCCGAAGGGATAGGTAGAGGGAGGCAGGGCGGGAAGGAGAGCGGGAGGGATCACCGGTACTTGGGAAGAGGTGGGCGCGTGGTGCGATTGTGTGGGACAAGAGGCGGCACCAGTAGCTTAATACTTTTGAGCGCTTTATGGCTTTTTTTGGTACCTCGCAACTGCGTCAATTGGGGATCATGGCACTTGACTTTAAAGTGGCTGGGAGGGTGGGCGGGTGGGCGTTTCGGAGAAACAAAATCTTTCCATCGGCCGGGGTATCCCTTAGGCCGTTCCCTTGCTTCCAAGCCGCGGCCTAGTGGAGCGGCTGGAATCAAGCGCAGGCCAAGAAAGTCCTTAGCGCCCCGGACCCGCCCACCCACCCCTGCCGTCCAACCAGCTTTGCAAGCCCGTAACTCTTTCCGTACAACATCGGAACAATTTTGTCATCACAGTGCACCACATACGTTCCTATCCTCATCAAGAGGCTCCGCCGCTATCCAACTCCTTCCAGGGGGCTGACACCCCCCCTTGTCCCTCCTGCGCCACAGCTCTCCACACAAACACACACACGCACCCAGAGCTATTTAAGCAGTTTCTGAGTTACGGTTCAGGTTTGGTTACCACTGTTTTGCCTGTACTCGCGGTTCACATCCTCTCCCAATTGCTTGCTCTTGTCCTACTCAACTACAAACACACACGCACCCGGTCAGTTTTCTTAACACACGCACACGCCGCCACCGCCTCCCCCCCCCCGCTCATCGCGCCCCCGTCAACAGGAACACCAGGGCAGGGTCCATCACCTCCCCGCCTCCTGCCCCCGCACCCCCTGCTCCCGGCCCTCCCCCCCCTGCTGCTCCCGACCCGCCTGCTGCCCCCGACCCCAGTCGCCGCTGTGCTGGCCCCGGCATGGCCGCCTGCTGCCGCCCCCCTCCTGGAAGGAGGTAAGGAGGGGGGTAAGATAAAAGGGAACTAACGAGCTGTACGACACAGCAAGGAGGAGGAGGAGCAGCAGGATCATTGCCGGTAGTCAAGATGAAGCCCCCCCCCCCACACACACACCCTTTTTTAAAACACACACCCTTCTCGTCAGTTGCCTTATCTTCAAATCCCCCTCCGCCTCACCCCGCACCTGTAGTCGCAGCGGGTGGGCCGTTACTGGCCGCTGCCAGCAGCGCCGCTGCCGCCGCCGCTGCTGCCGACTTCTTGGCGAGCACCCCCGCGGTGGCCTCGCTGATGTCCCGCTGACGCTTGCGGAGGGGGCCCTGGGAAGGAGGGAATGGAGGGGGAAAGGGAGGAAATTGAGGGGGAAGAGGAATGGACGAGCAGTGTGACGAGGCTTCGCCATGGGTGAAGGAGGGGGAAGGGGTACAGAAGATGAGAGCCCTTGTGGGCGATCGGTACGTTCGGTGTTTCACTTAGCCGTGCCATGACTCGGTATCGACAGGAAACCCTCCGTTTGTATTGTGGCACCCTGCCGCCTCTCCTTTACCCACTGCTTTGCCCTAACCCCTGGCTGGCTTCCCATGCGGCTGGTCCTATGCTCTCTCACCCCCCCCACCTGAGCGCCTGATAACATATGTTTTCGGTCCTGCCTCTTTGTCATGCCCGAGCACATATGGGGCCTTGGTGACGATGTTTGACATCAAGACAATAGTAGTAGACAACTACAACAGCCAGCATTCAGCTCGGTCGCTGGAGGGTCGCTGTTTCATCGCCACCCCGGACTCGGTATCGGTATGGACCGCTAACCCATACTTGTTATTGTGGCACCCTGCCGCTCCTATCCCCATTGTCTTGCCCCAACCTGTGGCTTCCTATGGTTCGGTATGGTCTTTGACCCACCTGAGCGCTCAGCGCCCCCTCCCCGCCTCCTCCGCCTGCTCCCCCGCCTCCCGCTGCCCCCGGGGGCCCGGTGAGCGCCGCTATGAGGCCGTTGTGCGCCTCCACCGCACTGTTCAGGATCTGGGGGGGACAGCAGGAGGGGGGGGGCGCGGGCATGGAGAGGGGACATGCAGGGGCCGCGAGGTGGGTGGGTACGACTTAAGACATGATACGTCTTGCACACGTCATGCCTGCCGCGTACTCGTACCTGGGGCGTAGGGAACTTGGGTTTTCTCTCATGTACGGCACCCACTCGACCCCCACCCACCCACTGGTTTGCTTCCTCCCTCCACCCGCCTCCGACCCCGCTTCCCTGCCCCCCGCCCCCCAACCTGCCCCGCTCACCTCAAACCTCCGCATAGACGCCATCTCCGGCCCCAGCCCAAGTGCACCCTCCACCCCCGCCGCCGCCTCCGCCGCCGCCGCCTCCCCCTCCGGCGTCAGCGCCGACGCCAGTTGCACTGCCACAGCCTCCGCGAAACCCGGCTCCGGAACCACCCGCGGCAGCAGCGCGAAACCATCCAGGGTGCCGGGACGCAGCGCCTCTCGTAAGCCGGCGAGCTGGAGCGGGGGGGGGGGTGAATGGGGGAAATGGGATGAAAAAGTGAAGGGAGGTGGGGATAAAGGGGAGTTGGATAAGTAGGTGGGAGGTAGGGGTAGGGGTGCGCAGGGAAGGGAAGGGAAGGCGACTTGGGCGGGTCCGCCGGAGGTGGGGAGGAGGGCAATAATAAGGAAACGAGCTGTGGGGAGGGAGGGAGGAAGAAGGGGAAAGATTGCATGTAGTATGCAGATGTGAGGTGCGATGGGGTTTTGGAGGTCAGAGGGAAGCGCCGAGAAGGGAAGGAAGATGGGAGGGGAGGGGCGGAGTTTCAATGGGTATAGGCGGGAGGCGGTTAGAGGAGCCGGTACGGCGACGCTAACACACGCACAAGACGACCGCTCAGGGCCCACCTGTGTATTGATAACGCTGTATTTTCGGATGATGTCGTCCCATTTCAAAGCACCAGCATGGAATCGCAAGCCATACACAACTTCATCAATGGACTTCTGCAGGTCCTGGGCACGCGCCCGCACCTGCAATGGGTTGGTACACAGGTAACTAGGAGAAAGAACGAGCCTAACAAGGACTGATTGGCTTTAAACATTACACATATCTTCTTCGCTTGCTTGTTTAAGCAGGCTCTTAGGCAGTAAACATACCGCGCGGAGATTCCCTTGCGTTGGGGCCCCGCCCATGAGGGCTACGCGGGGATCGGCTGCAGCTGACATGGGAAGAGGTCAGGGTGTGACGCTTAAAATTTTTGCCGTTCTGCTTTGGAGTATCACACGTTGTCAAAGGAGGGGCAACATGTACGACCGGTTTCGCCCAGCAACCCGCAAAGCACGAGCAACCCCTTCAACTTGAGGAACAGTTTCGTATTCTTGCGTAGCACTACTCTTTCTATCTTTTTACGCTACACAGCTGTCAACCCCACGAGTATCAACTGCCCTAGCATATCGTACCTTACAGCTTTAAGCCTTTGAAGGCTCCCGTTGCCCCTATGGCGAAAGCGTGCATTCTGTTTGTCGCGTTCATTGCAATGGCGGCCTCTGCCGCAGCTATGACTGGAGGAGCTCAACCTGTCGACGTGGGCGACCGCGGCGTCCTTGACGCTGCCAACTTCGTCCTGTCATCTGCTAATGAGAACGAGTGCTCTGGCTTGTGCGCTGGGCTTCGCAAGGACGGAGAGCTGAAGCTTGTCAAGGTGGCTTCGGCAAGCCAGCAGGTCGTTGCTGGCATCAACTACAAGCTGGAACTTATCGTGGAGAACTCCCAGGGACAGAAGGCAAGATTTGGGGTAATATGCTCTGAGGGGCGACTTGGGGACCTGCACATTCCCTTGGCTCCTACCCTCTTGTGGCGTTATACGCACCTCCCGCGTTTACACCCATTCCCAGCAGCTCAAGCTTCAGGCAACACTGTTTACACCAGTGCCGTTCCAATCTGCCCGCGATGCCACGGCTAAACTTCGGTTCTTGCGCTCAACTCCCATGTTGGCTGTGGGCCGTTTCATACCGTCGATGTTTTGACACCTCGCCTGTGTGCCATCGATTCTTGCCCCTACCGCGTGGCTTAAATTCTTCACTCCTCTTCCCTCACTGCAGTCCAAGGTGAACGCGACCGTCTGGAGCCGGCCATGGCTAGCAGCTAGGAACGATGCCACCGAGCCGGCGACCCAGATCACTGCCGCGTCCTTCACGGCGCTGGATGACTAAGGCTAGCATATCGGCTGCTGCTTGCCTTCACCCGCCGTTGTACTGTTCTCAAGCGGGGTTTCTTCGTTATAGGGATTTAAGTGAGGTCGTACGGCTACGTTGCGTCTCGTGCTGCTGTCGCTGCCAGGGGCGCCTGTACTTTACTGCGCTAGTGCCGAGGGGTTCTGGAACTGGTCTGCATGTCAAGAATGCTTTCATGGGGCCATTAGCATAGGCCTGCGGTTGGTCCCCTGCGGAGGACCGCACATGTGGTTTAGATGATTTGGCTCGTCAGGGGGTAAGGTGGGAGTGGGTAAGATGGGAGTGTCAAAAGAGCATTTGGGTCGGCCGTTGGTTGTCACGGTTGCGGCGCAGGACCCATTTCTTTGAGCTGTTCCAAGCATGCACGAATCCAGGTCATTCTGCTGGGAGAGGAGCGACCGGCCTCATGTGCTTTACAGCACGTGGAGGACGTGTTTTTAGTACAGGGGCTTCCCAATTTAAGGGAGCATGTTTAGATCGCATGTAGATAAATCATCATCATCATCATGGACATAGGTTTCGCTCTGGGCCCCCTTTTCTAGCGCTACTGAAAGGGGTAGGGTTGTCGTTGTACGGCTGCATGCCGTACATCCTATAAAGCGGTGTACTGCCTGCGAATGTACGGCATGCAGCGCTAGCTCATGGTGTGCTGGTTTCGCCCGACACGCGCGCCTGACGCGCGGACGTCAGGCTGCTTGTTAATTTCCACTTGCAGCACTCCGTAGAGATCTGCAGGATCGCCAAATGTAACGCTGGACGTAAGGTGGGCAGATGCACGCTGCCTTCTGACATGCCCCCAGGCATCCAAACAGCCACAGTCCAGCAGTTTGAATTTATGATTACGTTTACGACACGAGGCAGATACTTGCCGGCACCCCGTATGGGACATCAGTTATTGCTGTTGGGAAGGATATCAGTACCGCCGTTGCTGCCTAACTAGCTCACCCGGAGTCCGGGTTCTTAGTGTCTCAAGATGGCGGGGTGCCAGCAAAACAGGCACATTACCGTCAAGGGGCACTTCCAAGTCAAGGCCAAGACGTTGTTGAGGCTACATTGCGCAAATGTCAAAAGCGACTACTGCTGGCTTCTGTTTTCAATCCACGGGGTTGCCGCCGCCGCGGAAAGCAGATAAGGACAACGGTACGATATCACTGAGACTGTCGCTGGTTTGAGCGACGCCAGTGATGGGCAGGTGATGCGGGGCAGCCACCGGACCAGGGAAGGGGTGTTACCGACAGCAGAGTAATTAGTGTTGCAGTTTTCCGTTTTCCGCGTTGACTGACACCTTTTGAAACGGATAAGAGTAGGGCAAGCAATCAGGGGCCATTACTTTAACAGGCGCTAATGGCATACGAGAATTACTGCCTGCCATTCAAGCGGCCTTACAGTTAGGTCAATTGGGGTGGAAGCACTGATAGCTTACCATAAAGGAGGCTGGATCTTGGGATCTAGGACACGGGCGCGAAGGCGGGCGTGTACGAACTTGGTAGAGGGCTTACTGCAGTACAAAAAGTTTCGTAGTAGGAGCAAACCGTAATAGTGGTTACGCAGCCTTGCTCAGGAGTAAGCCCGGTATGCTCAGGAGTAAGCCTGGTATGCTACGTTGCCGAGTTTGAGACTGAGAATCTATCTGGAACGTGTACTATTAACCGTTTTGCGAAGAAGCGTACCCTCTATAAAATAGGCCAACCCTTTTTAAGCACACGATATTCTTACCTACTGTTACGTTTGCTTTACTGTATCTGTGGCAGCAATGCGCGCTTCCTTCTTTCTTGTGGCCATTGCCGTCGTGACTTCCGTCGCGGCGACAACGACGCCCCCTTCTTCTCCACCTGCCACACCCAATGCTGGTGGACCCACCCCTGTCAATATCACGGATGCAACGGTCCAAGCGGTAGCTAAATTCGTTGTGGCATCTGCCAATACTAACCAGTGCGGGGGCAAGTGCTCGGGCATCCTGAAGGGCGGCAACGTGACGCTGGTCAAGATCAATTCGGCGACACAGACTCTAGCTGCTGGGAAAATGTACAAGCTCTGTATGCAGATGGTCAACACTCAAGCAAAAAAGGTATGTGCGCACAAAGGAGTTATCATATTCCAGGGAAGCCAATAGTACAAAGGTTTTCTTCGTGAACCATTCTCATCTAGCGTGGGCGACCTCCTGCTTTCATGGTAGGGCTGGCCGCTTGGGATACCTAGCATACCAACTCCGGCGGCCATTCTGCATATGCATTCGCACAAAGACGATATAACATGGTTCATAAAAAACAAAGTCCGCCATCCTAATCCTACCCTTTTCCAGGTCAGCGTGAAGGCCACCGTCCTTTACCGGCCCTGGTTGGTGGCTAACGGAACTATGGATGCGGCCATGAAGTTCGTGAAGGTGTCGTTCACATTCCCGAAGGCCCGTTAGGCCACATGCCGATAAGAGCCCATATCGGCAGCTGGGGCATGTTGCAACCGGCTTCAGACTGCGGTAGTTCGTATCTTGGACTTTGCATTGAGTTTGTCTTCATGGAGTTTGCCTGCATGTATCTGTACTGGCGGATAGGTTCAGCCAGTGATATTAGTAAGGCACAAATGATGCAACGATGGGCGCATTCTTGTGATCTTAAAGCACGTATTAGGTGCGTGTATGCCATGCGCGCGCTCGACACAGGTAGTTTGGAGAAATGCGCATGAACTTTTTTAATTGGCTGGTGGTTGCTACCCTCTGACACTACCGGTAGGCTCACAGGCCGGCTATGCTGCGGTTAGCCATAGGGCACGCAATCCTTAATAAACAGGCTATCCAGCATATCTGCATTCCCTTTCGTATTGTTGAGTAAGTTGATATGATGAAGGAGGCACGGAGATTCCCGTACGCGTGCTATCGTTCAATACCTTCGGTGTGGTATTCCAGGCTTAATAAGGCCCTTTACACTTTTTGCGGAGTGTGTGAAGGATGATTGGGGGTTGACGTGTTTCTGGTTGACACGGTACACACGAGCTAGTTGTCCCAGGCTTTGGAGCTTTCTATATTATACCAAGCGGCCCCGGGCTTCCTGCTTTGGCAGGCCTTATCGTACTAGCCAGCATATACTGGGCCAACTTTTGCGGTCGCGACGGGAAGGCGAGCCATTCGTTACAAAATGGTGGTGAGGTTGGTGCTGGCCAGAACAATGCACAGCCCTTCCTGGGGTTGGGGGACCTGCACACAGGTCCGTGGGGGGCGCTATTCGATGTTAGTACCTTCCTTCATAGGCTTTGTGATTAAAATACTTTGTGTCACTGTTATTGTACTAAGCTATGCCGTTCTGGGGTTGCGAGTGCAGCCCGGTCGACAAGGCGGGCTACCGCAGGGTATGTGTAAGATTTGTAGGCGGTTTGAGCTACATTGGTGGTCAAGACTGTCGTAGGGTATCGATCGTTTTGCAAGATTTCCCTCCTGTGCTACCTGTCGTACTTCCCATGACTGTATGGGGAATGTAACCGTCCCTAGTAATTACACTCGGTGTAGCCATGGGGAGTCCCTCTGTGATTTGTGCCATGGCATGACGGCAGTCATAGCAGCAGCACCAACAGTACGCAAAGAAAAGGCAGGAACAGAGCAGGTGTGGTCCATCTGCAAGCTAGGCGAGGCACTGCATTCCAGGGTAGCCTCATCTACATGCAGTCGGTTCGGTGCAGGTGCGCAACAAGGAACCGTTTGGCTGTGAGTCTTAGTGTCGACGACACAACAAAGGGATGGATTGGATCGCTAAATTAGGAGGAAAATGGCGTGTGTATTCCTTGTGGGATCACAGCGCCGTGAGTGCCGTATACCACCGTATCGGCGTCCCGTACTCGTCCCTAGGAGCAACCGCCATTCATCCACGACGTGTCCAACGCATGTTTTGTCGTGGTGCTTATGGCTTGAGTTGTCCTTTCCTAAACATCAACACCGTCAGAACAGGTTTGGAACATTCCATCCTACGTTAGTGTCCACTGAAGTTAGAAGCAGTTTATGCTGCCACGATGAATTCGATCAATTGTAGCAGCTCAGCCGGGCGAACGAATTCCTTAGCGCTTTCGGGGGCCTCAAGCATCGTTTCCTTGCCAAGCACCAGCGGACGCCGCGCTTATGGCGAGCTGTGTGTAGAGCGTATGTGCCCTATGCGTCTACACACGGCTAGGCATGTCATGGCGCGCGCAGCGGGCAAGCGAACAGCGACGACAGTTTCGAGTAGCCTTGTGGCTGTGCTTAAGGACGAGATCAAGTATGAGCGGGAGTCATATCGACGTGATGAGTTTCTCACTCAAGGCCCGCCATGTAACTTTGAGCTACAAGACGCAAAAGGGACAGCTGCATTCTTGCTTACAAAGCAATTCAAGGACGAGGAGATCACTGTCCGCGTCAATCTGGACCAGGGGGACGAATCTGAGGAGGGGGAGGATGCAGCTGAGCTGTTCGGAGGCGGCGACGACGATGAAGACGAGGAGGAGGCGCCCGTCGATTTCATGGTTACGATTGAGAGGGACGGAACCGACGTTCTTGTCTTCGAGTGCGAAAGCAACGGCGAGTACTTGACCATAAAACGTGTTGCAATGCACAATTTATTAGAGGAAGAGGGAGGGGTACCACCCTACCGCGGGCCCGCCTTCAACGACCTCGATGACACCCTGCAGCAGGCGTTTGTCGACTTCCTTGAAGAGCGGGGTGTGAACGCGGTACTAGGGTGGTACATCCGCACCTACATGGCTGACAAAACCGCGCTAGAATACCAGCAATGGCTTGCGCGGGTACGGGATTTCGTTGGGCAATGAGAGGTGGAATGGGAGCGGGCCGCTGGAACACGTTGCCCTCGGCTTTGACTTTGCTTTGACTGGTGGCTTGCAGCTCGATGTATGATCCGGTACGGGGCATGGGCGTGCGAGTAAACGCTATCGAGCAGTGGTTAAACCCATCCTAACCCTTTCTGGTGTTGGCTTACCTACCAACCAACACATATCATGTAACGCTGTGCGCAGCTGTCTATTTAGAACGCATCTTCCGTCCGTTCTCTTCATCCTCTATCTGGCCGAATCGCCATGTCCTCTACGGGCCATGTCCACTCGCACAATGCACAACCCAACCCAGCCAGCATCATCACAAGCAGCATTCCGTGCAGCCAGTCCACATCTGCCCTGTGCAAACACGCCGCTAGGTGTCCCCAGAATGCCCACCACACTTCCCGCTATACACCAAACCAATACCTCCCGAATTGAAGTGCATGGCTTCTCCCATCCACGGGCATAACCCTTTGCTGTAGCCCCTTAGCCATTTCGGAAAAAAACCGAAGAGGAGATAATAACAAAATGCCGACACCGCAAAACCCACACACAAAACAATGCCATCAACAGTCCAAGCGTCCAGTCAACACACCAAAGGTCACAACACCCGGTGTCGCATAAACCCAACCAACCACCAAACAACCAAAATCAATACCTTCCTGCATCCACCCTACCCCACCCAAGCCAAACAACATTACAACACCACACGCCATCCGCCGCCTCTATACACACCTACACCCCACACCACCTTCCCCACCCTGCCTCCTCCTCCCCACCCACTGCATGAGTCGGGATATGGGATTGGGACTCGTTGTTTCACTATATTTTTTCCCTCCTCCCCACCCTCCTTCCCTCATCCAAATCCCACCGCATCCCACCCAACCTGCTCACCTGCACCTCACACCCCCCACCTCACGCCGCCGTTTTTCCTTAATTTTAACCCCTCACGCCGCCCGACCCGCCATCTCAATCTCCGCCCGCGCGCGGTCAACCACCGTCCGTATAATCGTGTAGATCTTGATGACGGGCGCCGTGATGAGCTGCGGCTTCACAATCAGCGCCAGACACATGACCGCCTTGATGGGCAGCTCCAGTGCTGGCAGGTTAAGGATGAACCAAAAGGTGGCCGAGTGGGCCGCTAGGACGAGCATGTTGAGGATGACGGGGCGCTCCTTGGCGTAGGAGGTGAGGAAGTCCTTGAAGGACAGGAAGCCGTCCTCGTTGGTGTCCGCGTCCTCCAACTTGTCGGCCACGATCTCGCGCTCGATGCCCTGGTCGTGGGGGACAGAGGAAGGGAGATGGAGAGGAAGAGGAGGGCGGAGGGAGATGGAGATGGAGAGGAGGGCGGAGGAAGAGGAGGGAGAGGGTGTGATCCCCATCCCCGCCTGTGCGCAGCTCCTCCAACGTCCCCATCCATTATCCGCCAACGCATGGTTCCTCCTCCTCTTCCTCCCCTCCCCGTCCCATCCTCCCAACCCCCTACACCACACCTGTATGACTGTACGCAATCCTATAATCCAGCCTAATACGGATTCCCCGTATCCCCATTAATCGCCCACCTGTGCCTTCCGCAGGTCCTCAAGCGCCAGGTGTTCGTCCCCGTTGAAGTCCAGCAGCTTGAACACCGCCAGCACGGAGCCCAGCTCGGGCGGGGGCAGCGAGGAGTCCCAGCTCAGCTGCCGTACAGCCGCCTCGCCCAGCAGCGTGCGCGGGAAGTCGGGCAGCGCAGCGGCGGCCTTGATCTGTGTGTGTTGGGGGGGAAGGCGGGAGGAAGGGGTGCATGGGGGAGGGGAGCGGGAGTGGGTTTGTATGGTGGTGGTGGGGATGTGGACGGTGGTGGTGGCGCTGTTAGTTGTGTTTAGAGTGCGCCGTGACGGCGAGCTAGCCAGGCGGTAGGTGTGGGGCAGGGAGTGTTGTGGGAGTAGTACCGGCGGCTGCTGTCTCCTTTTGAGTGTTGCAGTGGAGGTGTTGGAGTGTGCATAGCAGCAGCAACAGCAGCAACAGCAGCAACAGCAGCAACAGCAGCAACAGCAGCAACAGCAGCAACAGCAGCAACAGCAGCAGCACCAACAGAGCGGTGGCCGCATATCACCAGCACGGTAGCTGGGAGGGAGGCTGCATCCTCCTCAGGAGCCACATCCCTGCGGCAACACAGCACAGCGCCCCTAGCACTGCCTGGCACCGGCACCGGCACCGCACCACCACCGCCACTGCCGCCACTGCCGCATCAGGACGGGTACCGGTAGCCGTGCCCTCCTGCCGCATCTCGCACCTCCCGCTAGCTGCTCGTCGTCGTCGTCGTCGTCGTCGTCGTCGCGCCGCCCTCGCATGCATGCCCCCACAACCCCACACGGTTCGGTACCGGTACTTCCGCGACGACGATACGGGAAGCCCCGATACGGTACGGTGGCGATACGGCAGCCCCCCGCCTGCCCCACGTGTACATAGTCCTACACTCCTGACTTGTCTAGCGGATAGGAACATAGGACCGACGATGCGTGCCACCCAAACCATCAACTCCCCCCAAGCCACCCAAACAATACCAAACAAGGTGCCAACACCTCACACAACCCAGGAGCTATGCTCATTATCCAACCCCCATACGCTGCCACTTGGCTACTACGGGTTTACGGCTCTTCCCACTACGGCCTGCACCCACAGTCCGCGCCACAGCGGTCACCTGTTGCCCCCCCCCCTGCCGCCTCCGGAGCCCCCTGTTGCAGTCCCCAGCTGCCACAACAGGTAACCCGGGCGCCATGGCCAACCCACCCACCTCCACCCACCTCCCTTAGCATGGTTAAGGTACCAGTCATCGCTGTCATCGCCGAGTTCATTACTACCCCTAATACCCACCCACAACCCACACTTACGACACAACCCTCCTTCCGACCCACATCCTTGCCTTCCCGCTTTACCCCCACCTGCTCCCGGACCAGCTCAATGAACGCCTCCATGTCCATCAACCCATCGGGCGAGGCGGCCACCTGGCTCCTCGCAGCCTCCAGCAGCGGCTGCAGCTGTGCGGCTGCTGCGGGGCCCAGTCGCTCGGCGCTGTAGCTGCCGTACTGCTCGAGCTGCTGCAGAGTAAGCTTGCCTGCGGGAATGGTGCGCGGAGGAAAGGAGGAGAGGGGTGAAGGGAGCAAGGTTGGAAGGGGCATGTTGAAGGAGGAGGAGGATTCAAGCAGACTGGCATTTGGGTGATTGGGGTGCATGTGGGCTGAAGCTGGGTGAGCATGTGTCGGTCAGGAAGGGCTAATGGGTAGCGACCCTTGGGACGTACGAACAGCTGCGTCGAGCAAATTTGGAACGTGGGTATCGAGGGGAGTGCAGGGAGGCGAGGCGTCTAGCGATTGAGCCAGCGAAAACGTAATAAGAAGCGGTAGTGGGCACTGTTTGGGCGTAAGCTGACCGACACGGACAAGCTGACCTCGGCCATCCGTGTCGAACTGCTTGAAAACGAGGATGGCTTGGAACCGAAGCCTGTCGACAAGCTTTGTGTTGCGCAGGATTGATAAGCCGCCTATGCCTCCGCTGGGGGTAGCTGCAGAAACACAAAAGGGAGTTGATGGATGGAGTGGAAATTGGGGAAAAGCGATCAACCCCTGGGTAGCTTACTTGGTGTCGCTCCTACCAATTGGGCTCTCCGATTACAGCCATGATGAGCCCTATGCAGGATCGCTGTCCTTGGCTGACATCTGCCATGGCTAACTGGAAGGTGGCGGCCGACCGCGCACCGCATATTGGAAAGCACTTAGTTTCGCGATCAGCTATTGGTAACGACACTATGCGCCCTGGCGGGAAGAGGAAACCTCGTCTCGGGGTTGATGGAACCAAAGTCCGTAAGAATGGGGGTATGTCCAATGCAGCTTAATAAACGCTAGCTAGCATGAGGTCTGAGATCGTGGACCCTGTTCAGTCCGTGCTGCATTGGGACGTTTTGTAGGTAAAGGTACGGCAAGGAGTCCGCGTAGATGGCCTGAGGTGTTTGGCTGGGTGCTTCTCACCTTGAGAAACACCGTCATAGCCTTCTGAGCCTTCTTATAATTGCTTATCCACCTCAACCCTTACTCAAATACTTTCTTCACAGTTTTGGACTCAGTCCTCGGGGCGCTTGGCCGCAGCGCTGCTATGGCGGATCATATTGGCTCTGCTTTTGGTGAGCCTTGCTAAGAGCTTAAGCAAAGGAGCGAGGCGCAGCGAACAGAATTTGCCACGACTTGGAGCTTTTTGCCGCGTTACAGGGGCTCTGGCGGGAGCTCCCGTTCCAGGTGGAGGTGCAGACGTTCCCCTTTCACCTCAGTGGAGGCAGCCATTTGGCCGGACCACTAGCACGGTGCGTTCCTTGTGCTTTGGAGCGCGAATTCCCACTCAATCTGAGGCACTATAGCTCTGGAGGTGACCTTTTTGCGCTCGCTTTTTCCTGTAATCAATTGCAACAGGAGCCACCCATGAAAAGCGCTCTGATTGGGCCGTGGGACGGAAACAGCACCGGTGCACCAGCTTCCAAGGCTGACGCCGCCGCCAAACAGGCTGGTACTGCGTGGAGGGGCCCTGATGGCCCGCCCAGTCGTGACCCTAAGTGGCCAGAGAAGGACAGGCCGGACTATAACGCGGCACGCGACCGTCCTGCGCCTGCTGGCCGCTGGCGCGAGCGGGAGGAGGACTTGCGCGATCGGAACAGCGCCTGGGAGAGCGACAGGCAGGACTAGTATTAGATCTTGAAGGATGCTTATCTTACATCTAGTATGCTTGCTGCGGCAATGAAAAATTTCAACACTTTCTGCAGGTGGGGTTCGGTTGAGGAGCCGCGCCGCTGGCAGGAGGACCGGAGCACAGGTTGGTCCTCGGTTTGGTGATCATTGTAATTTGCTTATCTAGGTGGCCAGATTGTGATTGCTCCCAATTGAAATCACTTGCCTCACTGTAAATGGTCTTCAGGTCTCTTTGGCACGGTTACCTTATAATTTGCCATAAGAATACGCTGTTAATATAATGTTTCTCGTCTTCTCGTAATAAGGCATTCTGCTGGCTTATCATGGCTTACCATGTACCTATTGTCCAGATCGCTGGGGTGACTCGGCCGGCCGTGGTCGCGGGCGCCCACCTGCCGATGATCGCTGGAGCGATAGGAAGCCCAGCGGCACCCCCGAGCGTGAGTGGCTGCCCGGCATGCCGCCGGAGCCGGAGCTGCCCAAGCGCCCCTCAATTCAGGACCGCTGGGGCTCCGAGAGTAAGCCGGGCCAACCTTGCTCGCATGCGCTCACATGCGAATTCTTATGTGAAATCTGGGTTGCAACCGGGGGCAGAATGGGGTCAGCCAGCAGTAGGTTGATAAGCCCGCAACCTGCACTGTAGGTGCGGAACGTCGTCCTGGGGAGGACCGCTGGCGCACGCCTGGGGCTGCAGGTGACTGGGGTACATGTAGGGGCTATGCAGGTGGCAGATGTTATGCACGAAGAACGGGAATGCCGTCTTGGAGTCCACATGAACGTGATTTTGCAGATCCAGGGCATGCCTGCAGAACCACGCGTTGACCGGCTCCTGCGCCTTGTGATTGCCAGCGACCCCGTCAATTTCTTCCACATTGCAGGTGGCGGCACTCCCCTCTCCGGAGGCTCTGCAGACTCGGTGTTCTCGGCAACGCAGGCCGGCAGGGGCCGGGGATTTGCAGCGGGCCGCGGCAGGGGCATTAAGCGTAAGTTTCTCAGCACGATGGGGCTTTGGGTCAAACACTGCATGCAGGGATGCTTTCATGCCTGCGGCCATGCGGCCCTCTATAACAGCGAAGCTCTAGCCATGCGAAGTAAACGGCAAAGACATGCGTACCCACCAAGCACATGTCCCACTGCGAAACGTCCTCTCTGCAGCGACGGGTCCCACCGCGCCGGGCTCGGGCGTACCGGACCGCTGGGATGCCCCACGCGGGGCCAGCCTGGACCGCCAGGACAGCGCCACGGCAGCGGGAGGTAACGGCTACAATGGCGGTAGCAGCAACCCGTCGGGTGATGTACGGCGCTACAGCTCTCCTCAAATGAACAAGATTTACAATAGCTTGCTGAACTCTCATGGCGAAAAGTTGCCAATGCCGCGGATTAACCCCGAGGTGCGCGTCCTGCGGAAAGGAGGGGCTGTAGGCATGTGAAGCTGTCAGCGATGCCAATGTTTACGGTCGCTACGTTCCCTGTCCTGCATGTCTAGGTATCTGTCTGACCCAGATCGGACTTGGTCTCTTCCGTGTTGCTAGCTAACTAACCTGGCGTGTTTTGCCGTTCCCAGGTCACGGTGCAGTATCCCGAGTACCTTGCCGGCATGGCGGCGGAGGCAGCAGCAGCGGCAGCCGCACAGCAGCTTGGTAGGTTTTGCAAGTGGCCTTCTGCGTTAAGGAAGGTTGTGCGCTGAGGGCTAACCAGGATTTGGGTTGGGGAAGAGCCTTTCACATGTATCTGCCTTGAAGATACACGCCACTGCTTCGTGGCAACACGCACACCGGTACTGCCACCATGTGCGAAATCCACAGCACGATCTCCTATTTAATGTACCGGCGCCTACTGCAATGTTACTCATTCACTCTTGTAGGTGGCGGTGGGTCGAACTCTGGTCCTGCCGATTCGGGCGCTCCCGTTCCCTCGGGCGGTTCGACCACTTCGGGTCACAGTGCGCCCGGGGCTGCTCCCGGCCAGCTGGCGTCATCGGGCTCCATTCCGCCGCTGCCGCTGCTGGTGACGCATGAGCTGTATCTGCAGGACCAGTGGGTTTACAAGGACCCGCAGGGAGTGGTGAGTGTCGGGATGTGCTGTGTGGCTGGGGTGCGTTGCTACATGCAGGGTGGGGTTTAAGATGGATGTCAGGGTTGCTTGGTTGCATTGTGTTTACAGGGTGATCCCTTGCTGCCCGATTTTAGTCAAAGCGTACATGCGCATCGCGACTCTTTGCGTAGGGTTGTTTGCCGGTGTTGTTGCCTGACCCACATCTCAGCTTTTCCTGTTTCGCCTGTCCTAAGCACGTCTATCTGCCGCTACCTTGCTTTTTTGCAGACCCAAGGCCCTTTCGCACGCTCGGACATTCTGGAATGGCTGGCTTTCCATTACTTTGGGGAGGACCTTCCCATCCGCGCGGCAGCCCTGGCGGACGCGCCCTTCATCCCGTTGGGTCAGATGATGAAGATGTGGGACGCCATTGAGCGTGGTCGGCCGCTGGGGCCGCCCGGGTTCGTGCCCACCGCTCCGCCCGTCGTGCCTCAAACCGCGGAGTCGGCACAGCAACAGGTAGGAGAAAACGGTTGCTTGCCCATGATCCCGGCTTACATAGAGGGGGTGTAGAGCTGGCTGTAGTTCACTGTGATTGTCAGAGGTCCGTTCAAACCCTCCAACCGAGTACTAAACCGGTCGTTGCACCGCCGCTGCCCCACTGCAGCAGCAGCTCGCCTCCATGTCCTCTCTCAACCTCTCCTCGGCGCCTTCGGGCGACCTGTCGCAGCTGCAGCAGCAACAGCAGCAGCAACCACCACAGCAGCAGCAGCCTGCCCCCACACAAGCCCCCGCTGCGGGGGCAGCAGGCAGTGGCCAGGGTGCACATCGCACATCCTCCCTTCTGGAGACGCTGCTTGGCCGCAAGCTTGCCTCGGAAACTTCGATTCCGTCGCCGTCCGCGCCTAGCTTGGGTGCTGGGCCGCAAGGACCCATGGGGCATGGCGGTCCCGCCGGGCCCGATGCGGCTCATCAGCAGCCTGGCGGCGCGCGGCCGTTCACGTTGGATCCCCCGGTGCAGCTGCCTTCAGCGAGCTCCGGCGGTCTTGGTGCGGGGCCGCTTGGAGGGCTTGGCGGCCTTGGAGGGTAGGTTGGGTTTGCTGTGAGGAACCCAAGGAGGGCTTCTTGTGGTCGTGGACAATGGGGGCTTGCAATTGGATCTTCCTGGTGTCGCGGTGATAGTAGAGCGCTTGTAGCAATGCGGGTGTGCCTTTACCACACGTCGCAAGACGGTGCTTGTTCTGTTTTTGTTGTTTCACCACTTCAGAAACAACATGCATGGTTGCCTGCGGACCGTTGTTGCTAAGTCCCTCTGCCTTCTTGGAACCTCCCTGCAGGCCCCTGGGGAGCGGCTTGGGCGGCTTTGGTGCGGGCCTCCCCATGGGCGGGGGCATGGGGCCGGGTGGCATGGGCGGCATGGGGCCGGGTGGCATGGGCTCGGGCGCTTGGGGCGGCCCGCTGGGCGGCCCGGGGGTTCCGCTTCCTGGCGGCCCTGGGGGGCCCATGCTGCCGGGCTGGGGGCGAGACCCGCTCGTTGGGGTAAGCGATTGCGTTTCTGCGTACAAAGGAACATCGTGCAGAAATATTGCGCGCTAGCCGTATGATGTTTCTTTTTGCTGGATCTGGTTTCTCATGCTGGTGTTGTGGGCTGTGCTGCAGCTCAGTTGTAGGAGCGGGACATGTGCCGCGCTTCGCTTCGCTGCCTTCACAACCTGCGATGACCTCTTTCTCCATGCACACCTCATGATGCAGGGATTCGACCCGCTGCGGCGCCCCGACATGCATCCTGCCCTGCATCCGGCATCCGGTATCTGGGGAGCGGGGCCTTTCAGGCCGGAGGGACCGCCCTTGGGGCCGGGCGCCTTCGCGCCTGCGCCAGGTAGGGGTTGGGGCCTCCCACCTGGGTGTATGGTTGGTTGAGCAGCGACGGTTATTACTTTTGGAGCGTCAGCGCTGTTACCGTGGGAAACGCATAACTTGCTTCCCTTTGCACGCATGGTGTACAAGCATGTGAAGAGATTGTGTTCCTTGTCCCGGTTTGCTCGCCCTGCAGTCCCGCCGGAAGCCACGGCGCAGCAACCGCTGCCGCAAGTGTCCGACGGCATGATGGGCAAGGCTCCATCCCAGCTTCCATCCACCTCGCCAACCGCTGCTTCGCAAGCACAGCAGCAACCTGCCCCGCAGCCACAACAGGCTGCGCAGCCGCCTCCGCCGGCGGCGCCCTCTCCCCCGTCGGCTTGGGGCTCCGCTAGCCAGGCGCAGCCTGTGGGCCCTGCACGCAGCTTGGCGGATATTCAACGGGAGCAGGCGATGGAGGCCGCACGGCAAGCGGCAATCCAGGAGCAGCAGCAGCAGCGAGCGATGGCCTCGGCCGCTGCTGCGGGGCAGCCCCAGCCCCCAGCCCCGCCCGCCCCCGCTCCTCCCGCGCCGGAGGCGCAGCAGCAGCAACAGCCAGCAAGCGCATGGGCAAACGCCGGTGCCCCCGAAGCCTACAGGCCTATTTCGGGACTTCCGCCGGCACTGCAGCAAATCTTTGCCGCGGCTAATAAAGGTCCGCAATCGGCACCTGAGCCGGCGTCTGCCCCCCAGCCTGTAGCCGACGCTGCTGCTGCTTCCTCCGCCCCATCTGCTCCTGCCCAGGAGTCTGCTGCTGACCAGTCTGCTGCTGCTGCCGCTGCATCCGGAAGCAGCAAGAAGAAGAAGGCACCTCAGCTTGTCCTCCAAGAGCAGCCCAAACAGCCCTCCGCAGCCTCTGCCCAGGCAGCCGCCTCGGCCGCCACCAGCACCCCTGCCGACGACGCTGCAGCTGCTGGGGCGGCAGCAGCCGCACCGCGCCCTGAGCCCAAGCTGGCTCCATGGGCCTCCGCCGCTGCTGCCAAGCCGCCCACAGCGGGCATGACGCTCCGCGAAATCCAGATGCAAGAGGCGGAGGCTGCGGCCGCTAGGGCCGCACGCGCTGCCGCTGCGGCGCAGGAGGCGGCTGCGGCGCAGGCGGCTGCCGCTGCGGCCACCGCAGCTGCGCCGGCTGCGCCCGGCGTGTCCCCCTGGGCCAAGATTGCGGCTACCGGGACCCCTGCGGCTGTCCCGGTACCAGCGCCGGCCGCAGCCTCTGCCTGGCGCCCGGCTGCGGCTCCGCAGCCGGCAGCTTCCGCAGCTCCCTCAGTTGCACCTGCAGCGCCTGCTGCTGCCTCGGCCCCGACCGACGTTTCGCCTTCCCGGAGGACCGCCCCGACCGCATCCACAGCCGCCGCCGCCGTCGCCCCGGCGGCTCGTGGAGGCCGCTCTGCTGCTTCCCCGCCATCATCTGAGCCGCCTAGCGCGCCTGTTGGCGTTACGGGTACGGCACCCCGCGGTACGACGCTTGCTGAGCTGCTGGAGAAGCAGTTGAACCCCGCGGCGTCGGCGGCGGCCGCCGCTGCTGCGCCCAAGGCATGGGGCGGCGCGGCCGCCAAGCCTCCGCCAGTGACAAACCTCCGTGCCGTACTGTACGAGGAGAGCGCCGCGGATCTGGAGGGCGGTGCCGTGGACGAGGATTTGTCGGATGTACTGCCCATGCTGCAGCAGAAGCAGCAGCAACAGATGCCGCCGCCACCGCCGCCGCCCGCGCCGGCTGGCCCGTCGAACAATGGCGGCTGGGCGGCCCCGCCGCCGCCGCCCCAGGCGCCGACGTTGCGAGACATCCAGCAGGAGGAGGAGGCCCGCAGGCGGTCCGCTGCTGCTGCTGCCCAAACCGTCCCGCGTGTGGCGTCGGGTGCCGCTTCTGCTTCCGCCGCGCCAGCGAACGACGATGAGGGGCTGTTTTGGGACTACGGACCGTCGGCTGCGGCGCCCGCCCGGCCGGCGCCCGAGCCGCCGAAGCCCGCGGCTGCCGCCAAGCCGGCGCCACCGCCGCCAGCTCCCACTTCCCGAGGCGGCTGGGCGTCGGCCGTGGGCTCCGCAGCTGCTCCGTCGTCAGCGGCTGCGATAGCCGCCAAGGCTGCCGCCGCTGCCTCTGCTACCCGTCCGGCGAGTGCAGTTGTGGCGTCGAAGCCGGCGACGGTGACGGCGGCCCCCGCGCGTGCGCCCGCGGTCGCTGCGCCGGCGCCGTCGGCGTCTACGTCGTATGCTCCGGCGGCGGCGTCGGCGCTGTCAGGGGGGAACGACGACTCGTCTGGGCTGTTTGATGGTGAAATGGCCATGTCCGCTGAGTTCCAGGTGAGGGTGAGGGTGCAGCAGACACTAATTGAATCGGTAACGTTGGCCAGATTGGGAATGGAGGGAGCGAGGTAGCGACGGCTACAGGAACCTACCATGGAAGAAGGTGAACGGCTCCTAGGGCTGTGACATGTCACAGTTGGTCTAGCATGCCGGAAGCTCTTGTCATACCTTGACCTGCGTCCACCTGCCGAGGGCTTCTGTGGGTCGACGATGCCAAACAAAATGCCCTCTTCCCGTGCACGTTTTCCGTACCAGAATTGGTGCCGGGGCAAGATGATGGAATTCTTTGGCAACGACGACTTGGCGCTGGTGCACTTTTTGCTGTCTCTGCCCAGCCGCAGCGAGGTTGCTGCTTACTGCGAGGTGAGGGCGGCCTCGGTTACGGAGTATCATACGGGGTGTCGTACACAGGGTACGGGGTGGAGTGTGGCAGGCATCCAGGGCACCAATAAGTCTCCGTTATTCCCGTTGTGGGCGGTTGCCCTCATTCCTCAACTGTGCTACACTGCCGCTGGATCCGATAGGCCTGAAGGGCAAGGCCTTTCCACGCACGCTAATGAGTGTGGTTTACCGCCCCTATTGCTTTACCGCTGCTTCTGTTCTATCTCACTCTTCCGCTTTGTTACCTTGCATGCATGCAGATGTACATGCCCGGTAAGCCCAACGTCTCCACGTTCGTTGCCGAGTTCCTGAAGCGGAAGGACGCCGACATTGCGCGACAGTCCTCCGCCAAGGGCAAGAGCAAGGGCGGCGCCTCCGCCTCCTCCTCGTCAGCAGCTGCTGTTGCAGCCGGCAAGAGCGGCAGCAAGGGCGGTGCGGAGTGGCAAAAGGCCAGTGGAGGAGCCCAAGCGTCTGCCGGCTCGGCTAAGAAGGGCGCAGGAAAGCAGCAGCAGGTGAAGAAGGTGGCGGGAATCACAGCCACGATTCCTGGCTTCAGCCTTCTGTCTGACCGGGCGTAATGTGGTGGGCATGCGCGAGGAGGGCTATCATAGGTGGGTAGAGGAAGAGGGCGAGGGGTAGCAGTCTGGTAGCAAGGCGGCTTTGTGGTGGTGGTGGTTGAGGAGGCACAAGTCTTGGAAGGATGTGAGGGTGTGTTGTTGAAGCGTATCTCTTGCAGCGTATCTGTCCGGCAGAGACGAAGGTGATGGTAGCAAAGAGGGTTCGAGGAGGTCGGCGTGACACGCCGGGGCATACACACGTGTTGGGGCGCAGGAGGACGAGCGGCGGTTCCGTTTGTGGCGTCTGTGGGCTTGAGAGGGTTCTGGTGAGGGGCCGCCCGGGGGCCGACCAGGTCCTTCCATCGTAGGCATGATGGATGGATGGATGGGAGGGGGACGGTTTGTCGACATTGCAGCGTACAGCGCAACGTATGGTGCATGGTGTGCGATGTGGACGTCAAGTGTTAGTAAGCAGCATAGCAGGGACCGTCGTACCGGTACCTCCTTACCGTACTGTTGGCCTCCCTAGGGTGGCGAACGTCGGGTGGTGCCGTTATGCGATGTTCCATGTACCGTGTTGTGTTCCGTGCGTCCGCGCTTACCACACACAAAGCGGCACACCGCCGTCAAATGCCTTGCGTGCAGCGCGCAAAGCGCACAGCGGATTGTATACGCCGTTGAGACGGCGCATGGCTATAGGTGTTGATAGCCCGTTCCAGACCCGTTGTCGGTTGTCGACCCGTTGCTGGTCTCTGCCGCTATTTGGCCGTCGATGCGTCGGTTGCCGTACCGCCGCATCGATGCTAAAAGACGGTTGAAGGCGGTGTAGTGCTGTTGGGAACCGGGAGTGCTGTCCCTCCTCATCTTCCCTTCAATATCTATTATGCCTTTTGTTGAACCTGCCGGAACGTGTAACGCTGAGGGGTACGGTTGTGAAGTACTACTACTACACGTCCTAGTTCCTCCGCTAATGAACGCTTCTGACCAAAAGGCGAGAAGGGAAGCAAGTTCATGTGTCCCGCATCGAACGTTTGATGAGACGGCCCTACCGGTAATGAGCCGCCTCTTGAACTGTTTCTAAAAGGATATATTTGTCGGTTCCTCGCCCCCGTCATGGCCATAGCCCCCATAAAAGCCCCGTCAAAATTTCATCTGGTTATCTCCCAAGCCTTCACACCTGACAACATGAGCACCATGCTCATTCCAAAACGTGAACTACTTCCGGAGCGCTTAACACACAGACCCGCCCCCGACACGCCGGCATCTGGCCTGGTCTTTGGGGCTTTGGTAGCTCCTACTACCTAGTTGTGGTACGTGTCTAGTGCACAAACCCAAACCCGCTCCCCTTTAACGTACAACACCTAACACGACGTGGCAATGTAATGCGGAAATGTGCCTCTAGAGCCGGGCCGACGGAACCGGCTATGATGAACCCAGAGTACGCGGCGTTCAGGGGAACCGGCAACCGCAACCTGACCAGCAAATAAAACACAGCGGTGACCTACACGTCTGCAATGTCACTTAAAACAATCAGCCCGTGTCCTCTTCTCCAAACTCCTTGAGTGCAGTCAGCACACCGCCGCTTGAGCTGCCGTCGGGAGCCCCCTATGCCAGGGCAGGGATGACTTCTCCTGTTGAGGTCATGAGCACATGGGAGTTAGCACATGGGAGGTAACAGTCCACTCACAGAATGCCATAAGTGGAAATCCCAAAGCAGGCTAGCAGCTTTGTTGCAATTGCAGGGTGTAAAGAAACGTCCATACCCCGGCGCAAGAAGTGATACAGGAAGATAAAACCGATTACCCTTGCCAGCAAAAAAACACACGCCCTTCGCAAACCTGTGTGCGGTGCCGCACTACGAACCTTAAAAGACGCACCACGTACGACATACCTGCTCGTACACTTCGTTGTACATATCCACCTCCCGTCTCAGGTGCACCAAGCCGGAAGCAGCGGCGTCATCTACAACAGGACCAGCCCTTTCCCCGCCTCCGCTGCCAACAGCCTCCGCCGTATCTGCAACAGCGCCGGATGCTGCCCTAAAGGGCGGTGACGGTGGCGACACCATCCACAGGTCGTCTTCATCTCTAAGCACACCACCGCCGCCGCTTCCGCCTCCGCTACCTCCGCCGCCGCCGCCGCCGTTCTCCTTCCAAACCGCCGCCGCTGGAAGCCGGATAAACCGACCGGCAAGCCTCTCTTGCTCCAATGCCGCCAGCACACGCACAACCAAGGGATGCGGCGCCGATGGCGTCATGGGGAATCTGTTTCCCGATGTCGCAACAACTTGATCGCCGCTTCCATCCTTTCCACAACCACCACCGCATAACGCCGCCGCCGCTGCCCGGTTGACAGCGTCAGCGTCAGCGTCAGCGTCAGCGCGAGAGTCGCCAGCGACAGCGCCCTCCGCTAGCGTCGTCGCCCTTGGCAGCGCTGCGGCCGCCACCGGCACGGTGGCAACGTCAGTCGCAGCGGCACCGCCGCCGTCACCTTCATCGCCCTCCTCCTCCGCCACCAAGGCTATCTCATCCTCAACGCCAGCACACAGCACTCGTACAGCAGGCCAGCCATGCCACGTCATCATCCCGCCGCCGCCAGGCGCCTGGGCTGCTGGTCGCGCCGCGGCGCCGTCGCCGCCGCCGCCGCCGGCGTCGCGGCTAACGGCATCTTCCTCGTCGCAGCCACGCAGCCACCATGCTTGGATCCTCTCGGCTAAATCCGCCGCCGTCACCGCGGGGGTTCCCGTCGCGTACAACGCGAGCTCTAACACATCGCCGACGGCTAGCGGCGGCGGCACGTGGGCTCGGACCATAAGGCCCATGCCATGCGCATGGCCAAGCGTCGCCACCGCCGCTCCGCTGCCGCCGCCGTCAGCGGGGGAAACCACCTCCTCATCTCCGCCGCCGCCGCCGGCGCTGTCAGCCTTTGTACGGCGTACATCAAGGTGAACACCCGCGGCAGTCCTCGGCCTCCTCCTGACCTCTTGTACATCAGGATCCGAGTCGGTTGAGATGTCGGAGGAGCTGAATCCGCACGTGTCGTACAACTCTCGCAACCGCGCCGCGTAACGCTGACCGGGGTCTTGATTATCAGCCCACGGCGGTGGCGGCACCGCCTCTGTGGCCCCCGTCGCCGTCGCCTCTTCCTCCGGTTCCGTCGCCTCCACATCCACCGCCGCTGCCTCCGTTGCAGTCCCCGTTGCCTCTGCTGCCTCCATCTCAGCTTCCGCCACATGCGCTGCCTCCGCTGCCTCCGCTGCCTCCTCCGCCACCTCCAGCTCCGCCTCCGCCGCCCCTGCTGCAGCTGCTCCCGCCGCCACCTCTGTGGCCTCCGCAGCCCCCGCGGTCCTCCGCTCTATTCCACCCTCCGCCGCCCCCGCCTCTACCGCCGTCGCCGCCACCTCTGCCGCTGCCTCCGCCGCCCCCTCTATCGTCATGGGCGCGGTCAAGGCGCGGTCCTCATGACTGTTCAAAGCGAAGTCACCCGTCGAGATCCCACCAATAGCCTCTCCCGCCCCAGCTTCCGTACCCTGATCCAACGGGAAGCGAGCTGTGCGGTCCCCGTCATCGCCACCACCACCATCACCCTCGTCAAGAGCTCCGAAGCCCTCCTCCCCGCCAGTCATCATCGCCAAACCAGCACGGTAGTCCTCCACAGGCGGACTCGCGCTTCGTACGAGCGTCGTACGACCTCCAAGCGCCGTACCGGCGGCTGAAGCGGGCTCCGCCTCACCGCCCATTGCCGCCTGCGGGGCCACCCCCAAGGCAACCACAGGCGACGGCTGTGGCGGCGGCGCCGCTTCAGCAGGGGCTGCTGCGGCCGTCTTGCTCCCTGGCGGCGCTACAAAAGGAACTCCGCCGCCGCCAATTCCGTCGCCGCCGCCGCTCCCGTCGAAGCGCTGACCTCCTTCCGCCGGCGTTAGCACCACGTCCTCCCGCGCCTGCAGCGGTGGCAGCGGCGGTGGTGGCATGGGTAGCGGTGAAGGTCCTTGTGGCCCTTCACCTCCCGATGGCTGCTGCAGCTGCTGTTGCAGCAGCTGCGGCTCCTCCTGGTGCTGCCCCTGCCGCCGCTGCTTCTTGCGCTGTTGGAGCCGTTGCTGTGGAGCCCGCTGCTGCCGCTGCCCTTGCTGCTCTTGCTGCTGCTCTTGCTGCTGCTCTTGCTGCTGCTCTTGCTGCTGCTCTTGCTGCTGCTGTTGCTGCTCTTGCTGCTGTTGTTGTCCTTTGTAGTAAGCTTGTGAGCGAATGGGCAGCACGATTATCCTTTGCCGCTTGGCTCCCGACGCGGCAGCCGGGAGCTCCCCTTGAGAGCCCAGGCTGCTGCCCACGGTAGCGGCGGCGGCGGCTGCCGCCATCGGATCGTTAGGCCGTTGTGGTAGATCCGCAACTCCCGCCTCTACCAGACTTCCGCCCTCGTCGTTACCGGCAGCACCTCCTGCCGCCGCCGGCGCCGGCGCCACCGCTTCTGCCGCCGTCGTCGCCGCAGCGAGTGGCGTCCGCGCCAACCGGCTCATCGCTCCCACCCGACCAACACGACCGGAATGGGGACCGCCGCCGCCGCCGCCGCCGCTAGCAAGGGCGCCAGACGCAGGCGCCGGTAGCAGTGCCATTGGCCCTGTCGGCGGCGGTGGGCGTTGCATGGACGTACCCATCTGCATAGCCATCTGCGCTCCGCCGCCATCGTCGCCGGCGGCAGCGGCGGCCGCCCGCTTGCGCTTGGCTTTGGGAGCCAGCGCCGTCGGCGCCGCTGCAGGCCCTGCCGCTGTCGCCGGTGGCACCGCCGCCGCCGACGGCGGAAGGCCACTAGCGTACTGGGCTTGGGGAAGCTGCTGTTGCTGCTCTTGCGGCGGCGGCGGCGGCAACAGCAGCGGCGGTGGGGCAGGTGCCTGGCTGCCGTGCCCTGGCAGCTGCTGTTGCGGCAGTTGCTGTTGTTTCCGCTTGGGAGCCGCTGCGGCCTTGGTGGCGGTCTTCGCGGCGGCTGGCGGCAGGCTATCGATTGGCACCTATTGACGGTTAGGGCAGGGGGACACACGGACAGACAGATCAACACAGAGGGACAACCGCGCATGTGCAGGGGTGGAAGGGGATTGCTTTACCATGATGCAAACGTAAACCGACATGCTTCGGGACTCCGGTCAGGTACAGCTAGTCGTTGTGAATGTCAATGTTACGGTATGCACGCGCGTAAACGCATGGGTTTCCACTTCCCTGTGCAACTCCCTTCCTGCACGCCATGCCGCCACCCCAGTCCAACACCCGACAACTCCCATGCGATTGTGCACCCACTGCTGCACCCACCACGTTGGACATGCCCGCCTCCGCCGCAGGCCCGCTACCAGGCGCAACGGTCCCGGCTGTGATGATGGGCGGAAGAAGCCTTTGCTTCTTCCTCTTTGGTTGCGACGCCGCTGAACCTTGCTCCTGCGCCGCCTGCGGCAACAGCTGCGGCGGTTGCGGCTGCTGCTGCCGCTGCTTGGTGGTCTTGGCGGTCGTTTTCGGATTCCGTTGCCCCCCGCCCGAAGCAGCCGTACCTTCCCCGGTCGGCCTGCTCGTCCTCGGCTTCTTAGGTGCTGCCGTACGCTTTCCAACCGTGCCTCCGCCACCGGTAGGCGGCTCGCCAGCGGCAGCAGATGCCGTACCGCCCACCGCCGTCGGCGCCGTCGCTCCCGGCGCTGATGCCATGCTTGGCTGCAAGCCGGCTGCTGCTGCCGCCGCCGACGGACGGCCGCCCGCAACGGCAACGTCGCCGCCGCCGCCTGTCACCCCTGCCGTCTTACCATGCGGCCAAACCGCCGCCGCAGCTCCCGGGCTTGCCGTCGGAGCGGCGGCGGCGGCGGCGGCGGCGGCAGGCGCAACGCCACGACCCGCTGCGGCGGCGGCCGACGGCCTAGATCCCCGGCCGCCGCCCGGGCTGACTGGCGTCGATTGAGCGCCTCCACGACCGCCACGGCCGCCACGACCCCCTCGCGGCGACGGCGTCGGTGCCGGCAGCCCCGCCTCCCCTGCCGCCGCCGCGGCGGCCGCCGCCGCTGCTGCACGCTCCCTGGCCTGCGCTTCAGACCTTGAGTAGCGCTTAATCGGCCTGATGCGCGCGCCGCCAGTGCGACGTGCCGGGCCGCCGCTGCCGCCGCCGCCTCCGCCAGTTACCTCCTCGACGTCGCCGCCGCCGCCGGCGAGTC